CCCCCCCCCCCCCCCCGTCGGTCTGTCGGCCGCCGTGGTTGCTGACGACGATGCCCTGGACGCCGAGCTCGACGCACTTTTCGGCGTCGGCGACGGTCTGGGACCCCCTTGAGGATGACGGCGCCCGTCAAAGTGCCGCTGGCGAGCTCGCCGTCCGGGCTGAAGATCTTCTGCACGCCCACCGGCGCCACGGCGATGGGGAACGGCAGCTTGCGGCCCACGACCTCGGTCGACAGGTCCGGAAACGCACTCGTCGCGACCAGCCGACTGGGCACGGTGCTCCATTTCTCGAACGCCGTGCGATTCTTGCGTGCCGTCTCGCCGGTGCCCGCGTTGCCCATGAGGTACCCTTTGCTGTCGGCCGACAGACGTTCCGCGGCCAGCGATTCCCAGTCCAGCAACTTGAACGTGAAGGGCGGTCTTTGGTACTTGAGGCCCTTCTGGTACACGGGTCACCTGGTAGCCCGTAGGGTCTTCCTCGACGTCTTCTTTCATGTCTGGACGAGTGTGTGTATTGGACGCCATTTGAGACGCCATGTTCAAAGGAGATTGTGATGGTTGCTGTGACGAGTTTACCGTGACAGCCTCGCTCCTTACTTGCAGTGCGTAAAGACATTTGGTGAGGCTTGTATAACAACTCAAGGCCCAGGCTGGTTGTATCTTCCCACGAACAACAGAAGGGTAACAAAGCTCGGTTTTGTATATTCCTACCGTCCTGGATGGCTAGAACCATTTGTATCATGCAACCGCGAACGTCGTCGTTGCGTTGCCCTGATCCACTTCGGTACGACCTGCGCAGAGCTCAAGGAGACGGCGATGCTAGATCGAAGTAGATCTCTCAGATATCGTTCGCGATGCACCGACCATGGTCCGGACGTTTGTGATCCTCCGTAAAGTAAAGACTGGCACCAGAGAGGTACAGAACGAGGTCCGGATTGAATGCCGCCGTATCAAAAAGGCTCATCCGCCGATCCGTGAGCAAACGGTCTATTTGGAACTATGTTCTTTGGACCCTGCGTCTTTCAAGATTTCAACGGTAAGAAAGACCTTTGAAAAAATGTGGTACTCGGTGAAGTGTGAAATGTTCGATCCACAGGTTTTCTCGCCGGAAAAAAAAAGGCAATGCTGCGGTCATCGCTCACAAGACAGGGATATATCTTCAAGTACGGCGAAACAAGGCTGAGATGATGTCTTCGGCAGGATGAAGAAACAAGGCTGAGTGGGATGACAATATCCGCCCAAACGGACTTCGCCGCGTCGTCCCATCTCGAATTGCACTCATGGCTGTGGACAGTCGCAAATTGTCTAAGTGCGTTGGTACTGTATGCGGTGAGGACTGGACGACGGGAAAGAAATCTTGACGAAACCGGCAGAACGAAACCCACCAACTGGAAACGTCAAGCTAAAGACACAGGGGACAGCGGAATGATGTCGCTGTCGCTGTCGCTGTCGCTGTCACTCGGATAGGGTTATGTTATCGTTGTCCACTCCATGCATGTCGCGGTAGATTTCCCTCTATTTACTCCGCTACAATATCTATCTACACTCGAAGAGACCCTCCACCCCGATCTCTTCGTCTCATTCCTTACAGTACAGTCAAGAACGAGCTCTACACCTCGACTAGATTCCTCGTCCTGTCTCCATATATATCGTTTATACTGGTTTTTTTCCATAGCCTCGCGGCGACCTGCGCACATCTTGACTCGCCTTTCCCCAAAACCAATCCAGCGTCCGGGTCCATACGCCAAGTTAGAGAAACATTCATACGGGGATATCGCAAACCATAGGCAACAAGTGTCATATCCTTTGCGAGGTCTGCACGGTCATGGCCAACTCGGATACCCACACAGCCTTCTTCTACGGAACCTTGATGGCCCCCGGCGTTCTTCACCGCGTGATCGACGGCACACACAGTCCGTCCGAGTCCCAGGCGTCTCGTCTGACGATTCGTCCCGCCCTCTTGCATTCTTACACGCGCCATCGCGTCCGCAACGCGGACTACCCGGCCATATTACCCTCGCCTGACGTGTCGACGGCTTGTGTCCGCGGCAGCCTCGTGACGGGCTTGACGTCCGCCGACCTCTACAGACTCGACATCTTCGAAGGAGACCAGTACGTTCGACGAAAAGTCCGCGTGCAGGTTCTCAAGGACGTCGGGCTCGACGAGGTCGCGCCCACAGACTCTGCGCACGTCCTGGAAGAAGTCGAGGCCGAGACGTACGTGTGGGACGAGGGCGAAGCGACACTCGAGCCGAAAGAGTGGGATTTCGAGGAGTTCAAGCGGGACAAGATGAAGGCGTGGATGGGTATGGCTCAGAGTGAAGAGGTAGAAGTGGACGGGGGATTTGCCGACGTAGACCGCGCCGTGGCGGAGCAGGAAAAGGCACTTCAGGGGGAAGGACAAAATCACGATCCTATGGGAGGACGAGGTGCGAATGGGCATATTACAAGGCAATTAGAGGAGGCAGCCGTATAGAACATGACTTCTGCCAGAGAAAAAGTGGTGCATTGCTACCCTCGGTGGCCACCATCGAAATGAAAGATAGAGCCAAACTTCGACATTAAGAAAAACGGTATTTCGTAGCCACTGCATGCTAAGCACAAACCGCTCAATGCTCCTGTACACCTCCCACGACCATTCTCAGCTGTATAAGATACAGGGAACTACCCGAGTTCACTGTCCCAGAGGGAAAAATCGCCCAGAGCTTTTCGAATCAATCAACCAAAATTTTTTAGCGACGGCCATGGCTCCGGACTGCACTGCCTTGCATCTGCTCGAGTTCTTGCTCCAATTGCTTGATTGCGGCGTGAGTCGATTCCAGGTCCTTGTTTAGACGGTCTCTCTCTGCAATCAACTTCTGTTCCCAAGCCCGGAATCTCTGTTCTTCAACCTTGACTTGTTCTGTGAAGCGCTTCCGGAGAGCTTCCTCTTCTTCCTTGAACTTGGGGTTGTCCAGTTTTCTTGGTCTCGCCTCGCCAAACTTCCTCGTTTCCATTTGCTGAGCACGGTAGGCTTCATAGTGGTTCTCCTCGGTAGTGTGAATCAGATCAAGCATGTGAGTGCGAATCAGGATAGAACGAAGCTTCTTGAAGTCGCAGTGCTCTTCGTTCTCAACCTCAGCGACACCCCAAGCATATTGTCGACCTTTTACGACCCGGCCATCGGTAGTTTTGACATCCTTCTCGCTACCAATCACTGCAAATGGCATGGCAGCCATCAAAGCACGGGCGTGTTGAGCAGCAGCTTCGTCGTCGTCCTCGACGGGGGGCTGGTAAATCTTGATGCCTTGTGCTTCGATGACAGCTCGCACCCTCTGCTTGAAGCGCGCCAAGTCGGCAGGCGAAAGGGTATCAGCCTTAGCGATCACGGGAATCAAGTTGACGCGAGTGCACAACCGCTTCATGACTTCGATGTCCAGAGGCTTCAAGGTGTGTCCTGTAGGGCGAATGAAGTAGAGACAGGCATGAACACGGAGATCAATCTTCTCTTGTCGGCGGGGTTGCTGCTCCTGCAACATGTATGACTCGTGCTGGTCGTCGAGGAACTCGATGATGGGCATCCAGGAGTCTCGGTTGTTGACGTAGTCGCCAAATCCGGGTGTATCGATGACAGTCAAGCGAACTGCATCAGTCAGCACCATGAGCGTACGAAGCGCGGGCCCAACGTACCCTTGAAGAATTTCTCTTCTAGTTCAGCCTTCGTGATCTCAATCTCGACCGTCTTGTCAACCTGCTTAGCATGTCGTCTCTTATGGTCTTGGTAGTTTTTGATGGTGGTTGAGAAGAGGGTGTTGATGAATGTAGTCTTTCCCAAGCCTGATTCTCCCGCAACCTGATTCTGCGTCAGCTACAATCTCCCGGACATGAGAAAAGTATTACCATGATCGTGAAAGCGGCACCTCTCTTCGCGACAATCTTGTGTCGCTGGTTTGGCAGATTCGCAATGCCGATGGGTGAGGCAGCGGATTCTGCAGGAGGAGGCGCCATTGTGACTTGTTCAACTCAAACTGGTGGCGACGGGAGCGCAATAAAAGGTACAAGAAGATGATTACGAGGATGTGATGATTGCGAGATGCTGGGTCAGTGGAAGATACTGTTCGTTGAGTAAATTAGGGGTCGTTGGCACTTTCCTTACAAAAATCGCAGGCAAGTTCGAAGTCGGTGGCCCCTGAAACTGGCACTTTGGGATCGATCAGGACCCAATTGCTCCCCCCAGACTGGCCTAACCGGACAGCGTTAGCGCCGGAGTATGTGGCCTTTTTCTCCGACAACTTTTTTCTGTGCCCGCAGTTGATCTTGTGCATGAGGGCATGAACAGTGCGACAATTTTGTTACAGACATGATGAGACGATGAAGACAGATTTTCGAGTAAGAGCATTGATTGAGTATAGTCTGGCACAGAAACGCTGACAAGCCTCACAGTTTTCCAATCTCTTGGGCACCATATACGGCCGAGGGAATCTTGTCTTCACACCTGATGGCAATTCTCTGTTGTCGCCGGTGGGCAATAGAGTCTCGGTTTTCAATCTGACAAAGTATGCCCCTGTCTCGATTCTGTCTGAGTTGTAACAGCGTAGAATGCTGATCTTCATCTCGTAGGAATACCAGCTACACCCTCCCCTTCGCTCATCGCAAGAATATCGTTCACCTGGACCTGACTCCGGATGGAAATCTGCTCCTCACCATTGACGAAGGCGGTCGAGCAATTCTGTCAATATTGCCTAGACGACTTGCTATTTACCATTTCTCCTTCAAGACCTCCGTTACGTCCCTAGCCTTCTCGCCCGATGGGCGATATTTCGTCGTTGGACTGGGAAGAAAAATCCAAGCGTGGAGGACCCCTTCGACACCAAACAGTGACGCCACCGGAGATCTCGAATTTGCGCCGTTCATCCTTCACCGCGAGTATGGCGGACATTTTGATGCAGTGAGGCATCTCAGCTGGTCGGGGGATTCACGTTTCTTCCTGAGTGCATCGAAAGACCTAACTGCGCGAATATGGAGTCTGGACCCTGAGGAGGGCTTCGAACCCACAGTGCTTTCCGGACACAGGCAACAAGTGAGAAATGTGTGGTTCTCGGCCGACCAGGAGAGCATATTTACTGTTAGCGAGGACGGTGCTCTCTTTCGATGGGGCTTCGTTGCAAGACAGACGGATGACGAGGAGCCAGCAGACTATGCGGACGAGAGATGGCGCATCGTGCAGAGAGACTACTTCATGCAAAACGCTAAACTAAAATGCGCCTCCTATCATCCCGCAACCAAACTGCTCACAGTTTGCTTCGACAATGGTCTATTTTCTCTGTATGAGATACCATCCTTCTCCAACATCCACAGTCTCTCTATGGCTTCTTCTCCCATCTCTGCGGTCGCCGTCAACAAGTCAGGCGAATGGCTGGCCTTGGCATCTTCGAAAACCGGTCAGCTCCTGGTTTGGGAACACGCATCCGAATCCAACATTCTAAAACAGTCTTCACACTTAGATTCCCTAACTACCTTGTCTTACTCTCCTGATTCAACGCGGATTATTACTGGGGCTGATGATGGCCTTATAAAGATCTGGGACATCTCCTCTGGGTTTCACATTGCAACATTCACCGAGCACACCTCAGCAGTCACAGGATCAGCGTACTCCAAACGAGGTAACATTCTTTTTACATCCTCTTTAGACGGCTCTGTCCGCGCTTGGGACATGCTGAGGTACCGGAATTTTAGAACTTTTACTGCTCCAACACGCCTTCCCTTCGCTTGCCTAGCAATAGACCCCTCTGCCGAGGTTGTCTGTGCAGCATCTCACGATTCCTTTGACATCCACCTTTGGTCTGTGCAGACCGGTGCTCTTCTCGATCAACTTTCTGGCCATGAAGGCCCAATCTCTACGCTGGCCTTCACTCCTGATGGACGATACCTTGTGTCAGGGTCCTGGGATCATACTATTCGTGTCTGGTCCGTCTTCGACAGATCACAAACATCGGAAGTTTTGCAGCTGACGTCTGATCTGCTGTGCATTTCCATTCGCCCAGACTCGGCTCAGATTGCCGCGTCAACCCTGGACGGCTCACTTACTTTCTGGAGTCTGAGTACGTCAATACAAGAATCTGGACTTGATGGGCGGCGGGATGTGAGTGGCGGGCGTACCTTAACCTCTCGGAGAACCGCAGCTTCCACACCTGGGACAAAATCCTTCAACACGATTACATATTCTGCCGATGGAAGCTCCTTGCTAGCAGCCGGAAACAGCAAATACATCTGTCTTTACTCCGTGACAACTGCGACTCTTATCAGAAAGTATACAGTCTCCGTCAATTTGAGTCTGGACGGGACCCAAGAATTCCTCAACTCTGCTGCCATAATGTCAAATGGTCTTCCGCGGGACATGATTGATACTGAAGGCGAAGCAAGTGATCTCGAAGATCGCATCGACAAGAGCTTACCAGGAGTCAAGAGAGGAAGAGACGCCACAGCCAGAACCCTTCGACCGGAAGTCAGGGTCACCAGTATTGAATTCGCTCCAACGGGCAGGAGCTTTTGTGCTGCAAGTACCGAAGGGTTACTGGTCTATAGTCTCGACAGCGCTGGCATGGACGACTTTGACCCATTCGACCTCGATATCGACGTTACTCCACAGAATATTCGAGCTCTGATAAGCCAGACAGAACCGGAGTATCTAAAGGCACTGATTATGGCGTTCAGATTAAACGATCGATCTCTGTTAAGAAAGGTCTACGAGTCTGTTCCATTTGAGGCGATACCACTACTGATTCGTGAGCTTCCACGGGTATATCTTGGGAGGCTATTGATGCTTCTGGCCCAGCAAATTGAAAACAGCCCGCATCTTGAGTTTGCTCTGAGGTGGATTGGGGAAGTCTTGAGCGTTCACGGTCGCTACATCAAGGAAAGACAGGGTGAATTTGGAAGCGAACTTCGTGCGCTTTTACGCGGAGTTGATGGCGTTGGCAGGAGTGTACGAACGCTGAGCGAACGAAATGCGTTTGAGATCGAATTTTTGTGCCAACAGTCACTTGGGCAAGACGACGTGGCCCGTGACTCTCTTCCTGCGTAAGTAGATTTAATGCTTAGGTAGACTCATGTATATATCAACTCGACGAGGGGATCATCGGAGGGAAAATCTGTAATATCGCCATATACACGCAATCACAAACAGGTCATGACGAGAACTCTCAGTTTTCTCTATCGTCTTTACCGAATAAAAACAGCCGCCGGACCGGAGAGACAACAGACGTAGCTCCAGTTGGATCCAAATGTTCCCAATGAGCTGGAAGACACAAACCAAAAAGCCATTGACGAAGAGTGTGTTGCCTTATGAAGGTTCACACCAGCAACTGTTACGATTCTCACAGACAAATTCCATCCTTTTCCTTTCGTCAACCCTGTAATAAGCTGGGTGTATTCCGCACTTGAGACATAAAGAGGAGAAGGCAACAAGGCCAGGAGACACGATCAGAACGGCAGATGGTTCGAAACAACAGGAACGGAGTTCCAGATTTATACTCCCAAGAGCGCGCATGCTTAAACGTAGATGAAATACGGTAGAGTATATACGCCATGACTGAAGTCCGGTTTTTTTTGTTAAAGCACATATCCAACTATTCGCACAGGCGGCGTCCTCTCCCTCGCTGATTGGAGTATCTGGGGAAGGAGCGAGGACAAGGCGGTAACTGCTGCTTGGTGTATGTTATCAAGCAGGGTAGCGTATGACTGGCCATCGCTCGAATGACCCCCTGTTCTCGACTCTGCTTCGTCTATATGCTCTGGAATTTCGGCCAACGCTTCAACTCCGAAAGAAACAGACGCACAGCGACAAAGAGGCCTTTTCCGTTGGATCCGGTCTCTCCTCCTCAAATTCACGGTCTTGCAAGTTATTTGTTCAATGGCGGTCGGCGACGATCCTATGTCACGGAAACCCCGGGGGCTTCCCCTGCACGAGATGTGGAAGTCAGAGGATGAATACGTTGAGTCTCTCCTCTCGTTCGCTACAGGCTCAGATCTCTTTCGCAATCTCTGCGGTGGTGTACATATTTTGGACTTTCTCACCCGGGAGCCCGATTTGTATACCTACGTTCTGCCACAGGATTGGCGCGATTGGTTTGAACTGGTATCAATCGACGATGTGCTAGATCTTCTAATGCGCGCAGACCTCTCAAAATTCAAGAGCGGTAGCGTTCAAACAGAGTCTATCCCTAGCCCTCCACAGTCTCTATTAGAATACATCGACACGGTCCGCACACACAGTCTTCGACGAGACTTTCGCCCGGTCTCGGACAACATCGCCGACATGCCACGACACATCGCGGTTGGGATGAAAACCAAGAAGGCCCATGAAGTGACCAACTTCGCCGCTTACGTAGGTAGTTTGTCTGCAGAGGTATCCGAACGTCTAGGACAACCTGTTTCAGTTGTCGACTTTGGTTCGGGCCAGAACTATCTGGGCAGGACACTGGCGACGCCTCCTTACAATCAGCATGTCATTGCAATCGAGAAGCGCCACCACAATATCGTTGGTGCGAATAGGATGGATGTCCATGCAAAGCTAGCCAAGAAGGAGAAGATCATGCGCAATAAGAAAGAATACAAACGCCAGCTTGCCATGAACAACGGCATGCCCACGCCGCCACCGGAGCAAGCTGAAACCGACCTCGATCCGGTACTTGACACGAGCCTCGCCGAGCCCAACGTTACCTATGAACAATTTGGCCCTGGAAAGGGGTCAATGACCTACGTCGAACACGAAGTCCAAGACGGATATCTAGAGAACATCCTCACCCCTGCCACACTAGACATCAATGCGACGTACTCGCCCAACGCTAACCACAACTCGAATGATGATCTGCCTGAGGAGGGCAATCCTACACCTTGCTGCTCGCTCGATCGTTTCACTAGTTCCGACCGCAATTCCAACCCCGAACCCAAGCCAAAAGCAATGGTGATATCCCTCCACTCCTGCGGCAATCTCTCGCATCACGGCTTGCGCTCTCTGGTCCTCAACCCTTCGGTCGCCGCCACGGCCATCATAGGATGCTGCTACAATCTCCTCACTGAACGTCTCGGCCCCGCAACCTACAAACTCCCACAACTCCGGCCTAACCACCCCCGGCTCGAGGCCACCGGCAATGCGCATGACCCTCACGGCTTTCCCATGTCCCGGACACTGGAGACTTTCCCTCACGCGGACGGCGTTGGTGTAGGTGTCAAGTTGAACATCACGGCACGCATGATGGCAGTTCAGGCCCCGTACAATTGGGGTCCAGAAGACAGTGAGGCCTTTTTCCGTCGCCACTTCTACCGCACCCTCCTTCAGAGGATTCTCCTCGACGTGGGCGTGGTGAAGCAGTGTAGCGACCCGGCGCACGCTGCCGCAGGAGGGAGCATAACTGGCCGAGACGAGAGTGGGACGCCACTTATTGTTGGCTCGTTGCGGAAGTCATGCTTCACAAGTTTCAAGGCTTACGTTCATGGAGCGCTAGCGAAGCTGACAAAGGATCCCGTCGACGGCCCTATGATCGCCGAACGCACGAAGGGTGTTACTGACGAAGTCGTCGATCAGTATGAACAGGAGTGGGGATATGCGAAAAAGCATCTCGCTGTCATTTGGAGTCTGATGGCGTTCAGCGCGGGCGTGGTAGAGAGCATAATTGTCACGGACCGTTGGTTGTACCTCAGGGAGCAGCCTTGTGTGCAAGATTGTTGGGTTGACATCGTCTTTGACTACAAGCACAGTCCGAGAAATTTTGTGGTTGTGGGTATCAAGAAGCCAGAAGAGCAGAATGAACCTTGACCAACTCTGACCATCTTAGGAATGTCTGTTTCCACGCATTCATCCATCCGCTTCAGTCTCAATTACCAGCAGCTTCGCGCTTATAGTGAGATTGTCGGCATTATCAGAATACTGGTGATGATACAACGTCCACCAAACGGATACCTCTTATACCGAGAGGGTTGACAATCAAGCTGATCGATTTGTTCAGGTTCTACTATGACCTATCTATGCATCAGGTCTGGTAGCTCAACATAAGGGTTCTAAGCTTCGGCACTATCTGTCGATAGATTTGGAGTTCAGCTATCGGCAAGGTTATACTCACAACTTGTTCGCTGTCGCCAGCGGCGTCACACCTTCAAGGAAGCCACCGGCGACAACAGCCGTTATCAGTTGATTCGCGATGGCAGTTGGGGGTGGTAATCTCAGGTTGCCCTCCTTGTAGTCCTTGGGAGCGTCCTCACCCAAACCACTTGTGCCATTCTTCAACGCCTCCTGGATCTCTTCCAAAGTGAACCACTTCGCCATCTCCAACTCTGGGTCATGTTCAAGTTTGATCTCCTCGTCTTCGGGACTTGCCACCTGCCCAATGGCTCCGATCATGAGGTTGGCTGGATACGGCCAGGGTTGCGTAGAGTGGATCAAGACCCGAGATAGTATGACACCACTCTCTTCCCAGACCTCTCTGCGCACAGCGTCCTCGACACTTTCAGCGGGCTCAATGAATCCCGCCAGTGTTGAGAACCAGTAAGGAGGCCATCTTTTCTGACGGCCAAGGAGCAGGCGCTTGCTGTCATGACTGAGGACTGCCACTATGATAGTTGGGTCGGTTCGAGGAAATGTGAGGTTCGACAATGTCGTGCGAGTAGAACAAGGTTCCCTCTCTGGTGGATCTCTGGCTTTGTCCTTTGGCGGACATACTCGTTTACCCCCTGCATGTACGGACAGGGTCCTCTGTCCACACGTGCCACAGAAGGTATTGCGAAAGTTCCAATCGAGATAGTGTCGTCCTTGAGCGTATTGGGCGGCTAATGCTACGTCAGCATGCTGCCTCTACTATACCCAAGCCGGAGAGTAGATATCTAGACTCACCAACATCAGCGGGGAAACTCATGGCTCTCATGCCCTCGCTGAACTTCAGCCCTGATGCCAGGAACTTTTCGTTCAGTTCATTAGCCTCCTTTTCGTACGTGGGCTTCGGCGTGATGTCTATCGCCCAATGTGGAGCCCCGCAGAAATGTCTGAACTTCAAGCCGTCCTTCACGTTCTCGTCAATGCCGAGGAAAACCAACTGCGGTGTCTCAATTCGGGAGTCAAAGTCCTCCAACGTCTCTTTCTCCGACTTCTCGAATGGATTCGAAGGAACGAGGGTCTTAATCTCGTCATAAGTAGCATAGTGAATCTCAGTGGGCGACTTGATCAGGGGCGACAAGGTCTTGAACACCAAAAATTTCGTGGTAGGATGCGCGAACGCTTGGGCAAGGAAGCCGTAATCATCTCTAAGGAATGACAGTCTGTTCAAAGGGGAGCCTGTTGGGTTTTAGCCGTCGCCCTCCTGGGGGCGCCTTGCTTCGATATTACCTCCGAAATAGTTGGTCACCTCTTTTCCGAACTTGCGGCCCAACGCAGAATCGCGGTCTAGATGTGCGGGATGCGGGAGGTCGGGCTGTGGAGGAGGAGGCATGATTGTCGGAGGCGCAGGTGCAAAGATGGAGGGATGCTTGACACCAGGAGGAATGCGAGAATGCACAAATCTATACGAGCACACAAGGAGCGAAGGTTGACGTCTGGTACAACACACACGGAACATACAAAAAGAGAGAGATGGTGACAAAAGAAGCGGTACGAGTACCGAGTCAGGGATTGGGGAAGTCGATGATGAGAAATTGGCCGTCCAGCATTAGCAACCAGAGAGCCCTCTTTTGCGTGCTCTTCTCCATCATGGACTTATAATCCGAGTCTCGGGCTCCCCTATGAGAAGAATCGCCTCGATTACATGATCATCTTGTTGAGCATCGTACAAGCTTCGCCGTTGTGCCTCGGGCAGCGCGCTTGACTTGTGAGCGGTGGCGGCCGCGGGGTTCACTGCGAGATCTACCCCACTCACGTGATTTCAAGCAGCTTATGTAATATCCCAGACTATCGGATACGGCACTCCGCCCAATGACTTGACCTGCATTTCCGCCATCGGCAGCGGCCCTTGGCATCAAAGCAGACTTTCTCACAGGTATGCTCCATCAATAGGGACCTGGGATCAGAACCATCGGCCTGCAAAACAAGTCTACGTTTGTTAGCATATTGCCGTACCGTTGAGACCTATAGCGACGATGGGGAAGCTTATCACCGTTGCAAGCTGCTCTCTTAACCAGTCGGTCATCTTCCCCCTGCGTGACTCACCAAGCTCTAACAATCTCAGGTGGTCGCTCGACTTCGACGGCAATACTGAACGCATTCTTGAGAGTATACGGCAAGCTAAGGCTGCCGGGGCAAAGCTTCGAGTCGGTCCGGAATTGGAAGTTTGCGGCTATGGCTGTGCCGACCACTATCTTGAAGGCGACCTTTTCCTTCATTGCTGGGAATCGCTGGCGACCATTATCAGCAATCCAGATGTCAATGACTGTATCCTCGACATTGGGATGCCAGTGAGACACAACAATGTTCGCTACAACTGTCGTGTCAGTAAGTGAGATGAAATCATCAGCGAGACTACTTCGTTCGAAGCTATTATCCTTGCTATCTCGCTTTGAAACTGACTAGAGCACAGTCGTGCTGAACAAGAAGATTTTGCTCATTCGACCTAAGATGTCTTTGTGTGAGGAGGGGAACTACTTTGAGAGCCGATGGTGTAAGTTATCCCCAGTGTGGTCTGTTGGCACACAGGACCAACACTGGCCCCCGTTGCCGCTGATTGCTGCGGGATGTTTCATGCTTACGGTATATCTAGTCACTCCCTGGACCAGACAGCGCCAAATCGAGGACTACCCTCTTGAAGAGGCCATAAGTAGTATCACTGGGCAGCGGACGGTGCCATTTGGAGATGCTGTGCTCACAACCATCGACACTTCAGTTGCTTGCGAGACTTGTGAAGAGCTGTTTACTCCTGCCGCGCCCCATGTCCCAATGGGACTTAATGGAGTGGAAATATTTACCAATTCTTCCGGCAGTCACTATGAGCTGCGTAAGCTTCAGACTCGTGTGTCTCTAATACGAGAAGCGACAAGACAAAATGGCGGCATATACGTGTATAGCAATCAGCGTGGCTGTTCAGGAGATCGGCTATACTACGATGGTTGTGCCATGATTATCGTCAACGGCAGACTTCTTGCTCAAGGAAGCCAGTTCAGTTTGAATGACGTTGAGACGATCAGTAAGTTCCGCCCGTCCTATGGTCTTCGTCCTACCGTCATCCTATGGTGCACTTCGATGCTGACAACCCCCACAGCTGCTAATGTTGATATTGAGGATGTGAGAAGCTTTAGAGTGAGCCACAGCAGAAACTTGCAGGCTGCTCGAGCAGATCCTTATCCTCGCATTCACGCCGACATTCGCCTCAGCCATCCCCCACTAGAAGAAACAGGAACCATCATTTCCCCCTCGCCCGATATTCCAGTTCACTATCATAGTGCCGCCGAAGAAATCCAGTATGCTCCAGCTATATGGGTAAGTGATAACCTTGCTTGTTTGGCTGTTGCGATGACTTTGGGTGGTATGCTGACTGGCCGACAAGATGTGGGACTATCTGAGAAGATCTAGAACTGCCGGGTACTTCCTCGCTTTAAGCGGTGGTGTCGACTCATGCAGCACAGCTGTCCTAGTATATTCTATGTGCAGTCTCGTCTATGATGCCATAACGTCGCCGAAAACTCTGCCACACACCCGTGAGCTCGTCCTATCAGACTGTCGCAGAGTCTGCGCTCAAGAAGACGACTGGACTCCCTCCAGCCCTCAAGAAATATGCAGTTACATTTTCCACACCACTTATATGGGCTCGAAGAACAGCTCTAGAGAGACTCGTTCTCGTGCTGCTGCTCTCGCTAAGGCTATCGGAGCCTACCATGTCGACTTGAGTATCGATACCGTCGTCTCCGCGCTCTCCACTCTCTTTACAACGGTTACCGGTTTCACTCCGTCTTTTACATCATCAAACGCCGCAGAAGGCCTTGCGTTGCAGAACATTCAGGCCAGAATACGGATGGTTATCGCATACTTCTTCGGTACGTACTACATGTGCTCCACTAGACCGACCAGACAGCTCCTACGCATCCTTGCAGTCCTTTTACAGTACAAATTTCAGCTAACTGACCTTACACAGCACAACTGCTCCCGAGTGTCCGCAAGCGAAAAGGTAACGGTGGTCTGCTGGTCCTCGGCTCCGCCAATGTCGATGAACAGCTCCGTGGCTACCTGACCAAATATGACTGCTCGTCGGCCGATATCAACCCGATAGGCGGCATCTCCAAAGTCGATCTCCGCATGTTCCTCGCGCATGCCCGAGACAAGCTCGAGCTTCCACTTCTCCAGTCTTTCCTTGATGCGACACCCACGGCTGAACTCATTCCTACTACTAACGCGGACTCCCACACGCAATCCGATGAAGTTGAAATGGGCATGACATATGCAGAGCTCAGCGTCATGGGGCGACTCCGGAAAGTTCATCGCCTTGGTCCGTGGGGTGTGTTCGAGAAGTTACTACCTCTCTGGACCGCTCCACCCCCAGATCCCGAGACCATTGCTACTGAAGATCACGGTGCTCACTCAGACCCACAGTACGTGCACAGCGTTGCGCATGGTGAGAGCATGAGCCCCCGTTCTGTTTACGAGAAAGTGCGCAAGTTCTTCTACTACTACGCCGTCAACCGGCATAAACAGACGACGCTCACGCCAGGACTGCACATGGAACAATACAGTCCAGACGACCACAGGTATGACATGAGACCCTTTTTGTATCCAGCCTTTACGGCGCAGTATAGAAAGATGGAAAGCGCAGTGCAGGCGCTGGAAGCGCGAGAGAAGACTCATGGCGTGAACGGGGCCTGAATTTATGCCTAGACCGGCAATTTGCAAGATAGATCCCGTGGGTATGTTCATGTCCAACGACTGGACGACTTACAAAGCATATGGGAACCTACATCAATATACCTGCTTAGAAACAATTATTAGTCAAAGACACTCCAACACCTCGGACTTCGGATAACCTACCGTGTTGGGCCTTGCTAGTATGTCAGATATCGATTCTACCCGCAGGAGAAAAAAAGTTAAGTCAGGACCGCAGGACGTTCCGGCTCCCGTGCACCACCATGAACTTATGAATTGTAGCCATATCTCTGCCTTGAATTCCTACTGTTAGACACATCTCACACTTCCTCCCCTAGATGGGCTCCGTGGCCCTGTGAATAGGTGTCTGTCACCTTTCTGAACAAGCAACTGCACCAACGATTACGGTCCGTATTTGACTCTGCTTTTCGTTTGCCCAAATGAGTCAAAGCAACCAAAAAACTTCCTCTTCCGACCATATATCTCCCCTCCACCCAAAGCCACATTCCGCTGTACCCTCGTACCTTTTGAATGGCGGATCTCCTTTACACTCGCCCCCAACAACCAGTAGAAAGCAGGAACGCGAGAACCTTGCCTCGTCTATAAAAAGCACTTACGGGAGGAGAAGAACAGTAGATCTCGGTGCGCCGCAAACTCCGCCGAGAAATATGAGTACATCCTGGCTTGGCCTCGTCGATGGCGCGTCCAACGACGAGGTGGAACAGCCGGTCAAGCCACACGAACCGGCACGAGACGTCCGCGATGAAGCACCCATGACCCCTCCTGCTTCTCTTTCGCGGCCGGCAAGCCCTTATACTTTACATCCTCCTATCGATTTCGACGGACTGAGTTGGCCATGTATCGGCACACGAGAGAGGCGGGAGCAGACACCGGAGGAAGCACAAGCACGCCTGGACAAGCTTGCGGGCGCCGTCAAGACTATCTTCGAATGTATCGGTGAGGACCCCGAGAGGGAAGGAATCCGGGACACGCCGCAGAGGTACGCCAAAGCTCTCATGTACTTTACGAAGGGCTACGAGGAAAATGTGCAGGAGTTGGTGAACGGCGCCGTTTTCCACGAGGATCATGATGAGTTGGTCATTGTCAAGGACATTGAAGTCTTCAGTCTTTGCGAACACCACATGGTGCCCTTCACGGGGAAAATGCATATTGGATACATCCCCAACAAGCGAGTCCTCGGCCTTAGCAAGTTCGCGAGACTTGCAGAGATGTTCTCCAGACGACTGCAGGTCCAAGAACGGCTGACAAAGCAAGTGGCACTGGCAATTGCAGAGGTGCTGAAACCGCAAGGTGTGGCTGTTGTTATGGAGAGCAACCATCTCTGCATGGTCATGAGAGGAGTAGAGAAGACGCAGAGCAGCACGACGACAAGCTGCATGCTCGGTGCCATGCGGAGCAGTGCAAAAACGAGGGAGGAGTTTCTAACCCTCCTCAACCGCAAGTGAGGGAGATGAGAGTCTGATCTGTTTGGTACCACCACGACATGGTACACAGGGGGCAGATCGGTCATGGATTCATTCAACATACAATGACATCGCTCAACGTCGATTGTCATTTCGAAGGGCACATTCTGCCTAATCAATTCAACAACAATACCGTGCCGCTCAACATCAAGGCCATTTCTGGGATTCTGCAGAAGTTGCTAAAGGGCCCAGAATCACTGTTTCAGGACGATGATCGCCGTGCCCAACGTGCACTTTTCACCTACACAAGGCCCTATGTGCTCAGGCCTTTTCCACCGCCGCGTCAAATACATCGAGAATGATGCACTACAGAGACCTGTGAAACGCCACAACATCGTTTCAAACACCTTGGGCCGATGATTGGTTTCGCGGTGTCTCATACTATTACACTTCGTTATGGACGTTTATCTAGCAAGTCTGCTTGATTTGATGGACATTTGGCGCTCTTGAACTACCTTGTCGGTTCAGAAAGGCGGCGTCTTTGCGTCGCGTGGGGTCTGTACAAGCCGAACTGGAGAGAATAGTTTCGCGCTTCAGGATCTGTTACTGAGTGTATATAGGCGTGTTCCATTCTATGGATGGATAAGCTCACGCACATGATATTCCGCTCGAGCTGAGATTAGCTATTTACATACTAGCACAGGTATTTAAGTATATACCTACGGAAGTACCTGATATACCTGGTATGACTAGGGAGATACGGTACTTAGTGATATCGATGACTAAATTAATCGAAGTGGATATTGAACCGTCATCATCTCTTGTATTGTAGGAGTTCTCCTTATCATCGGGACGACCCGATCACGGCGATCTCCCAATCTATTTCTTTGTACCTCGGACTCTGTGGGTGAGCAGCCAGTGGGTAGTAGTCGTCGTGGGTTGGATGTAGTATATAAAGTTGATTTTTTCCGTTCACGACACTTCGTCCCCCTTGTACATCGATGGCATGATAAATACATCTACAACTACGACTCCAGCTACGTAACACAGCCAACATGGCACGCAGAATCCGCCTGGGCGTCATCGTCCCGTCTTCCAACACGGCGCTCGAACCACTCACGTCGGCAATCGTCTCGTCCATCTCCGACGCGGACCTCGACGTGAGCGTGCACTACTCGCGGTTCCGCGTGACGACCATCGACGTCTCCAGCGCTGCCGACGCGCAGTTCCAGCTCGAGCCCATGGTCGCCGCCGCCCGCCTCCTGGCCGACGCCGAGGTGGACGTGATAGGCTGGAGCGGCACGTCGGCAGGATGGCTCGGCTTCGACCGCGACGAGGTCCTCTGCAAGGCGATCCAAGACGCAACGGGGGTCCCAGCGACCAGCTCGATCCTGGCGATGAACGCACTCCTCCGAGGCCTTCAGAGGCGTGGCAGCAGTGAGTCCGTGGAAAAGGTGAAGCCGAAGCTGGCCCTTGTGACGCCGTACGTCAAGAGCGTCAACGATGCCATCCGTGCCAACTACGCCGCGATCGGCCACGAGATCACGCCCGAGCGGGAGCGGTACCTGGGCATGACGAAGAACACGGATTTCGGCAACGTCGACGAATCAACCCTCGACGCCATGGTCGACGAGGTGGTCACCGAGGGCGGCGCGGACGTCGTCGCCATTTACTGCACGAACCTGCGCGGCGCGGGCAGAGCAGCATACTGGGAACAGCGCCATCGTGGGAGCAACGGCGGCGGCGGCGGCGGCAGCGGCAGTAGTAGGGGCGTCGTGGTGCTCGACAGCATCGCAACGACGGTATGGGGCATGTTGCAAACACTCGACGGCGTCGACCCTGCCTGTGTCAAAGGATGGGGTGCGATTTTTCAACAACCGACAACCAACAACTGACTCGGGATCTACAAAACAACCCCTTGCCCTGACCTGGCCTGGTCTCGCGTCACGGGGCCTACCGTAGACCGTCCAAACGCACACAAGGGTTGGTACGACGCACGCCACTCCCACACCAAGGTTAGACTGCTGTGGAATCTCGCTCTCCACGTCGATTTTCAGCTTGGGGTCAAGGAAGGATGACCACCGCGACTCGTTTCCATTCCCGAATGGGGTTACTCAACCCAAATTCAGCCTTTATGATCCTAGATATCACATCATCGGTCATAATTTGTTGCGGCCCCGTACAACGAGGAAGAGTGTGTATACAATATACCGAATCACGTTCACGGTGGGAGCCTCCTCAACGAAAATCGACGGGGCCCCGGATCTTTCTTCCGCTTCATCTTGAATTTGTTCTCAAGTGGATCACAACCTTTTGACTCAGATCCCTTGCGCCTCCTCCATCGACGTGGCCCATCTGGAATGAGCAAGAATCTCTCGAGCCGCATAGTTTCAGGCTTGCACGAATTTTTTTCAGACGCGGTACCGAACTCCAGAAAATTCGACAAAGGGTCACGACAGTGGTTAAGGTTCGATTCGCCACTGGATCACTTGGTGGGTCTTGCACCCAGTACATGAGGAAAGCTTTCGAGACAACAGATGCTCGTTCGTCCCCGGCCAGAGTCGAACCGAGTGCAGATGTCGGAGTTTCGAGACGCTATTGCACGGCCAAGCAGCGACAAGGCATCTGCAAGGGGACCACAACTGCGACATGGCCCGTAGCACTTTTCCGGGGTCAAGGCTACGCGAGTCTTTGTGGATGGAGTCAGCCTCGACTCTCAAGCGGCGTCTTTCGGGCTTCCCAGACACACTGGGCTTACCTCTCCTTGGTATGCGCGTCCGATATACAAGTGCACACACTCGCACAAGGAGGGTGTTGATTTTCATTACCTAATAAAACAATCCAAAAAGGTCTGTTGTGGTGTTCAAGAGGCGACAAGACTCAGGAACTCGTAGCTTTGTTTACGTCCTTCTCCTTGCTACCCGGAGCTGCAGGGAGTGCAGCAGAAATGATATCACGTTAAAGCAAAATCACACCTCGTAGTATTTTTCATACAGCGGATCCTTATCTCCTTCTGCAATTTCGCGCCAGTCGTACTCCAGCTCCTTTGCCAAATCTCGTGCCACATCTAGGCCGCCGTAGAACTGTGCAATGAAAGCCAAGGTCCCGTCCATCTGCAGCTCGTTAGGAAACTGTTCTGACCAAAACGACAGGAATGCGCGAAGGCAAAAAAGGAAAAAGAAAACGTTTTCGTCGCCGGCAAACAGGAACCATGTCACCAAACTTACCCCCGCGCTAATACCTGCCGACGTCCAGATCTCGATGGGCGTACTTCCTGACGCCTCAGACGGGAGACTGCGAACCCACCGAGCCCCGTGCTGCCACGATACACCGGGATGCCGGCCGGCGACATCATCAAAGCGGGACATGTTGGTCGTCGCGCGACGGCCGTCTAACAAACCCGTGAATGCAAGGGCGTAGGACCCCGTGCACACAGTCAAGATGGCGGTGCTGACATGCGGGATCACCTTGGGGATGAAGTCGACCAGGGCTTGGATGTTGGATGACTTGCTGCCGTCTGGATGAAGGCGAGTCAGTCGTGTGCCAACGCCGCCCGGGATGAGCATGACATCGAGAACCGGCTTGTCCGCCCCGGGTGAGTTGAGCGCCTCCAAATAGTCTGCGTACGTGGTGTCTGGCTGGAGGTATTGGTTGAATGCAGTGTTGACCTTGTCCCCCAGTTGCGGAAACGCCTCTTGAAGATCAAAAGTCCACTGCGCAGATTGTGGCACGATGGGTTTGACGGGCACCGGGTCGAGACTTTCTGCAATGAATTTGAACGAGAGGCCGGGCTGGCTATATGAAAGCAGGTTTAAAATGTCGAGCGGACCGGCGAGGTCGAGAAGCTGAAACCCAGGAAAGATCGGCACGATGAAGTGCTTTGGAGTCGAAGACGACGCCATGATGTTTGGTGTGGTGCTGAGAGGAGAGGTCGGCGGTGAAGGTTGCGTCCAGAGACCTAGGTAGGAATTGATGTTGTTGTTGTTGAAAAGAAGAGCAATAGCAAGAAAGAAAAAACACAAAGAGTCATGCACCACAGACGAGGGAGACGCTGACAATGATATAGGCTTTGCCTGCCGACGCATCGGCTGTTAGTGGCTTGGTGGAGTTTGTGCTCGTATGGGATCGACTTGCCCGTTCTGGGCGTATTACCGCTTTCAGCCACCACGAAGCAGCAAGTCGCTAGGCCGAGATGAGCATGACGCTGGTGGTCGCCGACGGACAAGGGGAGATGGACTGTGACTGGGCTGTGACTTGACGCTCGTGGTCACAGACAGCCAAATACGACGAAGTGACGCCTGTGCTCGACAACAAGTACGATGAGAGGTAAGATGAGCTGCCGGAAAGCCTCACCTACGGCCCTTGGTCTCAAGGGGCGTGCACGGTGTTGATAGAAGCCCTTGGGGGGCGACTGCGGCCAGCTACCTAGGTATCTATCCAGTAAGTATACGCTCTTCTAGGCACATACAAGCTACATACCAGAAAGGCCTCACAGCCGCTTCCTTGCCCCCAGGGGCCCTGACCAGTACTGCCGGTCGTCTACGCCAGCGAACTGCTGACAAACAAGGCGCTCTTGGTGACGCACTCGGCATCCTCATCAGCCCAGAATATCGCTGCTACCAGCTTCACGGCTTTCAGGTCCTCGCAATCCAGTCTCCGATGACTTTGATGCCTAAGATCAACCAGCCATCAACGTCTACTAGCCTCAGTCACACGCCGTATCCGCTGCGCCTTGACGGTCCCGAAGGAGACTAGTTTACGCCTTCAACGCGGCTTTGACGAGCATTTCCATCGTGCGGACCCCGTATTTTTCTCATCGAGTCTCGACTTCTTCCTCCCGTTTGATTCTGTTCTGCACCTCGACCAGTCATCGTCGACGACTCTTCACCGACCGCGCCACTCTGATGGCCATCTGACTCTTTATCGACCTGTCCTTGCTTCCACCGATCGCCAGACTCCAAATCTACCAAACATGCCTCGCACTCTATCAAGCCAGGCACACGATCGCAAGGCCTTTCCGGCCTGTTTGCCTCCCTCTCAAGGTTTGCCTTCACAAACGCGCACTCGATGGGTGACGCGCGCCTCAAGTTCCCCTTCGTCTTTCCTCTTAATGCACGAGACGTCTGACTACCATGATTGGCTTGCCTTGCATGCACATATAGTCTGTCTGTTCCATTGACTTCTTTTCTTCCTCCGCAACTGATGACTTTCACTAAAGGTATGTTGAACTTACGGTTTGTCCATCTCTGGTTCTGTTTCAATGGCGTTAAACTTGCGCCCTGCTTTCACCAAAAGTTTCACTACATTGATAAAAAATCAAACTCAGCCATCTATGCCTCCACTCTCCAGAGGTTTTCCGATGTCCTAGGAGCACCAAGAGTTTCCTGTCCTCCGGCCAATCCGTTCATCTGTTGCTGCTGTTCTACTGGGGGCGTTATTTCGCATGTGTGCCCAATTATACTGATATTCTCGGTTGAGGGCCCCAACAACTGTGATTCCTCCTGCTTCATACCTTCAAAACGATCTCATTTAGGCTCCAAGTGACTTTTCCACGGCCAAGAGAGATCCTGAAAGGTTATACTTCATCAAGTCACCTGCTCTGAGGACCTTTCGGGAGCCGTCCCAAACAAATACTGGAGGCTTGAACGTCCATGAGGACCTTCGTGCATCTATCGATTTCGACCTTTTCTCTTTTTTTCGTCTTGCCAGGCATTCTCTCTCTCGATGATATTGCTTGGCCACTAAATAGCCTTCGCTCCCTTACGACCATCACTTACAAAGCCCTTACACCATACCTACACTGAGACATACGGCATCTCCTTCTGAATTTCCTGACCAACAGTCCTCTTCGACATATGAAGTTGTGTACAACATGACTAACTTCACTGCCATTAACACTGCTCGTTCCCGTACTTTCTCTGCCAATGCTCATATCCGCAGCGGGACCCGCCTCGGCACCAGGGGCTGGAGCAACAGGAGGACCACCGGCTTCGATCCAAAGTGGGAGCCGTACGTCCGGGATTGCCTTTCGAGAGTGCAGCAATATTACGATGGGGAGGAGGATGCACAGGTCGATGTAGATCGTGCGGTAGCTATTTGTGCTCTTGTCGATATGAGAAACTCTACCCAAAACAATGACGATGTTGAGATGGCCGACGCCGAGTCTCGTCAATCCTCTTCGTCTTCCGCAGCCACTCAATTTGCATCGAGCAACAGGGCATCATTACCTGCTACGTCGGTCACGTCCCAGTTGATAACGCCTTCGACAACCACTCCGATTGTCACCCCGACAATCACTCCGACAATCACCCCGACAGACCTTCCGACACGCCCATCGTCCCCAAAACCGGAAACGTCCCGCAGGGCAAAAAGGGGGAAGCGCAGTCGATACAACGACAACGACGACAACAAGAACAGATCACCATCGGACCATTTCGCCCACCGATTCAAAATGGTCATGAATACTCGGTCCAGCAAGAACGATGACCACGAGAAATTCAGTGACGCACAGCTTCACGGCCTAGGATCCGTACTACTGCCCGCGGAAATAGAGCTCTACAAGAGCCTGAACATCTCAGAAAGTGTCTACCGGTGCCAGCGTGCTCGCTTCTTCCTCGGCATTGCCGCCTTCACCGAGGAACTGCGCCGACGCAAAGAGAAGGGACTGCTCGCCAAGTCGCCGTGGAACATTGGCAGATCGCAGTTCCAGATGTTTGGCAACATGGACGCGAACAAGTCGAGCAGAGTGTTTGACTTCTACCTCGAACACGGATGGGTGCAACACCCCAAACAGACGGCAGAGTCTCTCCACACATACGAGACAATCTTCTCCCAAGAGCACCGGAATGCGCTCCACGCAGAAATGAGGAATTGGGGAGCGAAGAATGGGAAAGACGACGACGTCGTCACAGTGTAATAATTTGTGATCGAATGAACATGGATGACGGATTCTTGTCAACAAGCTGGCATTTTACAGGAACGATAGTCGACTAATCAAGCTAAGAAGGGAAGGATCAATGTGTATGGATGGATATTGCCCCCTATTCGGATTTACGGCCGGACAACTTTACAGATGTGCAACACAGAGTCGGTGCTCAAAGAAGAGTGTTGTGTGTTTATGCTTTGCAAATTTTGGTGCTGCATATGAAACAGGGAACAAGGTGTATGCCTGGGTCCAGCAGCCGGGGACATTTGGGAGTTCTGGGGTGTCAGAAGTTGGCCCCGTCGAGATGGTGTTGGGATTCAAAACGGACGGTACAAGGCCTTCCTTTTCGGCGTCAACAAGGATAATAGAAAGGAAGGTTAAGGCTAAGGCATCTGGTCTCTTTTGGTTTGTGTTGGGTTTGGGTTTGGGTTTGGGTTTGACGGCACTTGGAGACAAAATGAAGCAGTGGTGTGAACCAAAGTCCTCTCCAGCACCTCACGTCGACTCACTTTCTATCCCCAGGGTGGATCCTTGCGTTTTGTGTTGAGTATAGGTTTGGGATTTGGCTTGGTTTGGGTTGGATTCCAACGGGGAAGGACATGGACCTATACAAGTTTGAAATCGGAGAGAAAAAAGAATTCGACAATGACCAGTCGACCAAAAAAAAAATAACCCGATGGTTGAAGCGAGAATCTTGAGCGAGCCTTAGACCAGCATGCAGAGTGATTTGATAATTACAAATAATGCGCAATATGAATCCATAGAGTCAGTAAGCGATGGAGATTGAAACATTACTTATGTCGTAAATGCCATGTAGAATTGTTTCTTGTCTTGTTGTTGTTGTGTTGTTCTAGTTTTGAGATTTCCAACTTCCTCAGCACCGCCACTTGGGAAAAGCCATGTCAGGAGGGAATCAACTGGCACAGAGCATTAGAAGAACAAAAGCACAGAAAACATCCTTTTTGGGTATCTTGGAAACTGATCTGCAGAGACAGTGAGACGGGGGTTGATCCTACCAGCAGAGAGCGAATATCATAACGCCGGCGCCAGGAGGGGACGAATGTAGCAGTTCAACAAGCTGCTGTGGTGCTCTTTCTCGTTCTCGCGAGACGGTGCTGGCCGCAATGGTCACCTATTTCACGGGCTGCAGCTTGCAAGGGGCCGACATGACAGTCAGGCTCACAGTTCTCGTCCACCGACATGCAGCGGGCATAGGGCATCACACTCGCACGACAGCTATATGATGGGTGTCATATCCAGGATGGCAGAAGAGCCAAGGCGACTCCTACACCTCACACATGCTCGTCAAGTGAAAGAGAGCCTCAGGGGCCTCTCATGGCTGTCGATACAACTGGCGGTAAGGGTTGTCTTGCCACAGCAGCCGGCGCGGTCCAACTCATCCAACGGTTTCTCTACTTCTGCAACCAGCAACGACGCCCACATATTCACAAGTCCGTTTCCTATTCGGCGATCCAGGGCAAGAAAGGCCACCATTCAAGGGCCCTGTGCAAAACCCTACCGAATGCTGTGGAATCAGGTTAGGTCTGTGTGCGCCGTTGTTGCCCCCGTCGCCCTCCCGGTGTACAACACCTGGCCTCCCGGGGTGGAAGAGGCCAACCACAAAGATGTGGAAGCCTGCATTCCATGCAGTTGAGAGGCGGAGGAGCTTGGGACTGCCGAAGACCCCTGGCGTTGTTGAGCGTGCCCGTTCTGGGGCATTGGCAATGAGGAGGCCACACCTACCTGAACCCCCTTGAGACAGGGCCAGAAGTACCCAGACGAGGCAGTACACAAGCCGTTTGCCATCCTGGTCATAAGCCATTGACTCCGTTCAACTGCCTAATGTGCCTTGGTCAGTTCGAGACGCGCCATTGCAGAGTTATCTCCAATTTTTGCCAAAGCAGAGGCCTGGAATGTAGTCAATAGACTGGCTGCTTACACCCTGTCGGGAACAGGGCTGTGTATGTGCATACACCGCTTCTCCCAAGGATTGCACTGCAGACAAACTTCAAAGGTTGAATCCACCTTCACGCTTCAGATGCATTCGACCACTTCTCACTGGGGGCTGTTTAGGAAAGAGGATGGGTTACGGCAGGGCTTGAAGGGATGAATCCTTCATGCAGTTGTCAGCAGAGTCCATCTCCAGCAAGAGTAGAGAAAGCATTGGTCGATGAGATAGGTCTTCATGGTCCCAAGGACTTCAAGGGCGAAGATCTTCTGAGACGATATCAGTCGACTTCGAGGCTCTGCTCGCCGTCACCCGTACTCCACGCTGCCCCCGAAGTACCTCGGAAAACAGCATCTTCGCTTGACGCTGGGTGCATCAGACGACTTTGCGAGCGGGCCGAAGCCAATTAAACTCCTCCAAAATCCTCTTATCACCAACATCGCCCGCTGGGAACACAAACTGAGGTTGCCCGAGCAAAAACAACAGGTGTATACCCACCTATGTACGACACTGTCTGCCGTTTGAATCCATCGACTGAGGATCACCTTCGATTATTACCAAATGAAGCAACAGCTTCGAGGCCGAGCGAAATATATGTGGGCTTTCGGCTTTCTCGGGACCACCTGCGCTGGATCTAGATGCTGGAAACGTCTTGAAAGTTGAGGGTGCCCCATCGTGTTCACATATCACCAAAACTACTACGGGGCTGCACGAATGAGTATCAGGCTGAGACATGATCAGCACCTGCGAGCGAAGCAAGAGCTCAACACGAAAGGCGCAAAACGATCGTCTGTAGTGACAACCCAGTCATACCAGAATAGCACTAGCAAAGGGAAACCACCCTCTTCCTCAGTTGATGAGGATGCATGCACTGCGGGTTAGCCTGGGTAACTGTACAACGTACGTGTTGATGCTCTCCTCCACTCAATGACCGACTTCAGTGAGGCCGAACCACGTGGCAGGGTCCGCAGACGAACGCTGCACCTCAAATGAAAGTGACATGGAGTGACCTAACGGAGATTGTGATCCTGCAGCCAATTCTCCTCAAGTCCGAATTTGTCGATAGCATGGTCAAAAATCGAGGTCTGACCAAGTGTAAGGGCATCCGGGTTGCGGTCTGTAGCTGGCCTTGGCTTGATGGACCTGTCCATTCGAGACATGGTTGATCTCGGTACTCGCTGGGGAATGCAACCGAGTTCGAGATCACGGATCATGTGTGGCGGCGACGCGAAAATGATGTTCAACTCTGGTTCAGCCAGTGAAGTCTGCTTGACTTGACGAGACACGACGGTGGCTGAACGGGCTATGGTATGCCGTAGAGCCATGGGGCTGGCTTACAGCCCTCGAGATTGGCTCAGGTTTCGAGGACAAGGGTATGGATGTTTCCACGGTCGACAGCAGGTTTGATCAGCCAACCTCTGGCGTTCGGCGTCTACCGATGCTCCCTTGAACCTCGTATCCCGAAGTATTGAGACATCGCACGCATGTCGGTGCAGAACAACGACCTGGTGACCCACACTACAGCGGCGTAGTGTATGTCTACTTGATGCAGACTGCCACGGATCCGTGGTGCGGCCGGGATCTATCTCTCAAGGCCGTGTAGGAGAAATTAGAACCAAACCAACTTGTACCGTCTACTGAAAATTGAGACGCGCCTTTGCCTTTGGCCCCTTTTGCCAGAGATGGAAGGGTTGCACGTGACGCGGTTGTTCACGTGATCGGGATACCCGCGATGAGTTCGACAGCCACTTTCAACGACGCCATCGAGCAACTTTTCCCTGCGGGTTTCAACCTCACACGTCAATTGTTTGCTAGCCAAACACTCGCAAGCAAACATTCTACAAGCCACCGACGCCCTTCCTTGAGACTTGATGCTGCTATTCGCTCTTCATTCTAGGACCAACTTGAACGTCTTCTCTGGGATCATCAGGCAGCCTGAGACTTGACTGGGGGCCAGACAGCGACTTTTGGCTGGCTAGGTTGCGGACGTTTCACAGACTCGGGTCACCCTGGTCCTCATCGACAGTGTGTCTGAGTGCAGAGGTACTTGGGAGTGTCTGATTGGCTTCTGGGCCCCGTTCAAAGCGGCACGTAAGTTACTCCTTACTCAAGGACCAGGGCGCGTAATGCATCCTCGTGAGATTCGCGTCGTCTGTTTCCGGCGCCCAGAATCACTCAGAAAGCAAACTTGTGTGGAAGAGTGTCCAGAACATGAGGCTCGTATGAGGTTGGGCGGTCAATGCCTCTTCAGTCCTGATTCTACACTATATGCAGGTGCTGTCCGAATTTGCTCTCCACAAGCCGGCGTTACCTGAACCCCCAGGAATACTCCAGCGTTTGTTCAACAAGATGGAGAAACATGCGCGAGCGTCAATTCTCGCTCCAGATCGAAGCGTGCGGTTTTCAAGATTGCCGAGTCGGATACACTTCGTCTCCCCAAACCCCGCCGAGCCAGTAGCGACATGTATGTATGGCTCGCATATGACAGGATCTTGATCAAAGGCTAGAAGAGGCGAGACGGGTCGATCCGAAGGTGCAGGGATGGCCAAGGAGCACGATAAGGCACGGAAGAGCAAGGCTGCCCAAACCAGAGCGAGTCGGGATTGGGCGAGTTTTGGTGGATCAAGCTCTGTGACGACTGAAATCGCCACCATTTCTTCACAAACAACGCCTCGCTTTTGCTCGTGTATCCGACCCAGCCCATTTTTGCCTGCCCATGGACCTATGCGTACCGACCCCTGGACACACCCTGCCCACGGTCGCTCCTCAGCGACCTTGGTCTACCTACTTGGCCACATCCCCACGGTGCATCCACGCGAGCTGGACTACGGACTTTGGATCCTGGTCGATTCCATACCCGTCTGCATGTTGCTCCGCCTTTGGCTTCTATCATCTCCTCACTGCTCCTAATATCAAGTCTGCACCTTGCCGTAGTCAGACTTTGAACATCTGATTTCACTCTCTGTTTTATACTCGAATTCACATTAGAGACAGTACATCCATTTTGCCTCATTATATCGTGCAAAGCCTGTTTTCCCCTTCAACCGTCTCATCCTCGACAGGATCTCCCACTGCCAGCACCATCCATTCTTCGTTGTCCACTCGCTTGCTCTGTCACCTTGGTGATAGACCCAGGAAAATTTCTAGAGACCAGACATCCATCATCTTTACGCCCGACGCCGAGTGTCAGATCATCTCTCATTGACAGCCGTCACAGCATCCAGGGCCTGACAGAGAATCTGTATTCTGCCGTCAGGTTGGAATTGACTGGCGTTCTATCAATTGTTGCGCTTTCAAGCATGACCGATTATGCGCCACGAAGCAGTCAGGATTACAACACCTTCTTTCACAATCAGCAACTCGCCATGTCGCATTATTCCAATAGCAACGGTCTCAACTACCTCTACAGCAATGGTCAAGTTCAGTATCAGACCGTCAACCCGCAATATCCAGCATACTCAACGGCTTTCACACCTGCGCACAACGGTCACTCCAGTTCCATGTATATACCCAACGTCACAATACTACCCCTTCAGTACCCCATAACGAGCACCCGAGTCCCTACCTTACCATCCCAATCGCGTGCTCTCGCATCGTCCTCCTTCTACACGGCATCTCCTTCCAATCATCGAACATCCCTTCATCAGCGCATCATGTCTCCTCGGGACTACGGCCATGTGGATGGCACCGAATGTCAAGATTCTCCAAACGAGGACACAATGCTCTCCGAGCCCGTCATACCTCCCTTAGAGGGCTACCCGAATGTTAACGATTTCGATGAATTGGTTAAGCGGTAAGTGCTCCGTGTGACCACAAGAGAGACACGCACCTAAACGAACGTAGCTATGTCCAAGACCTGTCTCCAAAGAAACAGGACAAAGCGTTGATCAACGCTCGGAGAGCTACCAACATCCGGCACGTACTGATTGACAAGAAGACCACCTCGATCGAATCAGCGCAATTCAGGTAGGCGCAGTCCTTTGCCGATCCATACCGCAAGAGGGACACACCTGACTTTTACAGATTCTGGGTAAAGAAAATGTTTACGCTTCAGTCAGCGGATGGCAAACCTCCCGAGGTAAGTCGGTCCTCTAACGTATATCCTTTGACTGTGATGACTGACTCTCGAATCTCAGCACCGTAAAATCTGTCACGAGGGAAAGCCAGTAGCAGTACGGGAGAAGCTGTTCAAAATACTTACAAAGGCACACAAGCAATGTCAGCATGGAGGACGTGATAAGACCTCGGCGCAGGTTCGACGTGTATATTCCTGGTAGCACTCTCGTCCGCGCTACACGTTGAACGGTGCAGCTGACAAGCTTTCCTTAGGGTGCCGAAGGAACTGATCTCCAGGTTCGTCAAGCTGTGTCCAACTTGCCAGGTCCGGAGAGGTACCGCACGCAACTCACCTCCAGAGTTGGAGAGGAGCCCAGAAACCCGGGTGAATTCACATTCACCAGAGGACGGCGGCGTATCTGAGTCCAGGAAAAGCTCGACATCGACTAGATCGACGGCAGTCAACAACGTAACTCTGCCATTACTGTCTGCAGGGTTCCCCAGCAGTGCGGCTTTCCAGCAACAGAATCGCTGGATGACTCCGCTGTCGCCTCAACAAGACACACTGGAAATCAACCCGGTGGGAAGCAATAATATCAAACACGAGGTGTATAACACAATCCCGCCTATGCCCATCACTTGTGCCGACAATGCACCAGCTGGAATGTCATTCTCGTCTGTCAATACTAGCTTTTCCGGTCCTGCAGCGCCCTCAGGTGCGTATAATTCGACCGCCTCAGGCCATTCAGCACACGGACAAGGACCGGCAAACGACGGATATGACTCCAAGCCTGGACATCACTATGTCTGAATGGCCCGTTGGTGGTCGTCTCGACTCCTCCGAGGCCTGTTCTTCTGTTGATTTCCGTCGATGTCTGGCTTTGTGTGGAACCCAAAAATGTTGACAAAATTGCATCGACGTCCTTGAGAGGGCCGGGGTCGTGACTGGGTTGGACTACCGTTCGCATGGCGAACACCCGGCCACCAGTCCAGAGACCTTCTCGTTTTACTTTTCTTAGGTTTGGAAGAGGTTGTATTATCAGTAACAGAAATTTTTGAAACTTATTCGGAGTTGAGCGAGCACAGCAAAAGTGCTCATTCGGCACATCAAAATGGAGACATATTTCACAGGCTGTTCCGAAAGGGGCGTTGTTGCTCCTTTCACGACGATGACGAACGAGACCTCTGATTTTGATGAACAATTCAAGCTTGACTATGCACATGGCTAGTGAGATGGATTGCATTTCGGGATTGCATTTCGGCACCATCAGAGAGAGTCTTCTGTGAAGCAAGCAAGAGGCAAGGGATCTATGGACGTGTGGGTTGGTATGGGGAAGGATGTCCCGGACTGCATAGTCACCCAAGGGCACATATACTTTGTATAATGCTTGCCTGGAGGTTTAGATAGGAGCAAGTATGAAGCAGAAGTAGCTCAATGGATGCAGAGTCGCCTCCTCAAGATTGTCGCTGAGCGATGTAGGTTGGTCGTCAGTCGGTGTGAAGTGGTAAGGAAAGGCTTTTGATGCTTTCTATAGACCGTCGTGACACGTAATGTTAGATGCAGCGGAGATTGGCTTCTACGGCGCTTTTTGGCTGCGGCTGCTTTGATGTTCTGATAATTTGGTAGACGACAAAGGCTGTTATTAATCGTTTTCCAGTGGATGAGATACTCAGGACCATTTGGCCGCCCAATTATTTACCTTCCGGACGGAGGCAGGACTCCGGGGGTGATCTTTACTATTTCCCCTGCGTCGCGTCTCTCTCCACAAAAAAAGTGGTTGAACAGCCTGGCATCTCGCATTGCATCTTCTACTCAACTCCCTGGATGCGACAAACCCTCACTCGCCATCGTCCTCAGTTTCCACGCGTCTCTCTGACCGAACCTTCTGCGATTGCGCCTCATTGTATCGCGCCCCATCCCCCCCAAATCCGTCGTCTTTACTTGTGTGTCTGCGGTCTCTCTGACTGCGGCGCAACCCGCTCCGCAAGATGAATATCTTCAGGTTACTCGGTATGCACCTCAACTTTCCCGCGGACGCGCTCAATTGAGAATGAGGAACGGATCCGCTAATGGCCACCGACAACAACAGCTGACCTCTCGCACCTCTTCTCTATCTTCATCCTCCTCCATAAAATGCGAGTGACCAACGTACGGCCATCACCACGCCACAAACTCCCCCAAGCTTGGTTGTCATTGTGCTAACACACCGGTGTTCTCTCGACATCACAGTCCTGCTCAGGCATCTCGTTCAAGTCGCAAGCTCTCTACTTCCTCGTATACCTCACAAGATACCTTGGTGGGTGCCGACCCTACGTCCTTTCGTCCACCCACATAGCCTGAGACGCACACACCTACGAAGGCAGGGGGAAAGCCAGTTCTGACAAAAAGTCTCTCTACCGCAGATATCTTCTGGACATTCACCGACAGCGCCTGGAACACGATTTTCAAAATCATCTTCCTCTCCTCTTCAGCCTACACCCTCTGGGTGATGCTGAACGACTACAAGCCCACGCACGACCCGAATCTGGACACGTTCCGCGTGTCCTACCTCACGGGCGGCTCCGCCATCCTCGCCATCCTGTTCCCTTACAAATGGACCATTTCTGAAATGCTCTGGGCCTTTTCGCTGTGGCTGGAAAGCGTCGCCATCCTGCCGCAACTGTTCATGCTGCAACGAACGGGGGAAGCCGAGACCATCACAACCCACTACCTGTTTGCCCTGGGTATCTACAGAGCCTTGTACATCCCCAACTGGATCTACCGCTACTTCGCAGAGGGCCATTTCGATCCCATCCCCGTCATTGCCGGCATCATCCAGACCGTTTTGTACTCGGACTTTTTCTGGGTCTACTACACAAAGTCAGTTTTAATTGTTTTCCCCTTCTTGTCGTCCCCGCTGTATATGCCCACTTAGATGGTCTTTGAGAACTAACATGTTTTTTCTTCTGCCGCCTGACAGGGTCCTCAAGGGAAAGAGCTTCAAGCTTCCAGTGTAGAAACTCGTTTTTGAAACGGAGGTTCCTTCGTCTTTGAAAAGGGCGTTCCTTCGTCTGGGATTGCTCCACGATTTCAAAGCGCGCGTCGGTCGGTTCTCTGTTTTGGCGCCGCGGCATCTAACGAGAGTTCTATCTCCCAGATATATCACATGGCGTTTTGGCTGCGGACGTGTACGACCAAGGACTGGATTGGGGGGGAACCATTAATTGGATGGGGAAAAAAAAGGCAACGATCGGGGTCCGAGTGTGTTTGAGAAACTCGAGAGGACAAAATCGAACGCCGAATGTCGAAATGTCGAAGTTCGAAAGGCCAAAAAAGTCTCCAGTCGAAAATCGAAAAGTCGACGCTCGATAGTAACTAAAAATTGAAACAAATGGCTGGAACCAAAGAATCCACAAAGCTGTCTGAAATTTGAGATGGTGGTCGGTTCAACTCTAATTCCGTCCCCCGGTTGTTGTGTCTATCCAGCTATACTCCTCCGCTGCTCTGTCGGGCCAGGTATGATCGCGATAACAACATTTGCCCAGTCAAGCAAGAGAAGACTGTTGAACTTGGGAGACGAGAGAGAGAGAGAGAAAGAGAGAAAGGGAGGGAGAGAGAACTCTCTGACTTTAACTCATGTTATTTCGCTTCGCAGTGGGTTCACTTTTGAATATGATAGTGTAGTTACTAATAGTATCTTCGTCATATTCCGTAATTGGGGGGCATGTAAAACACCATCCTATAATATACAATGTGTCTGTCTGTCCAGTCTCGGTTCGTTTTCAAAGTCCCGTCCATCCACTCGTCATAAAACCCAGGCCCGGGGAGGACATGGATCAAAAAGAAAAATAAAAATAAAAAAAAAGGCCCGGGGGGTCTGGGTAGATGACAAGAAGAAATCAACCAAATGGCACGAGATAAAAAAAAAAGGTGCCAACTAGAAGTTGGTAAAGACGCCCGCTAAATCGCAACGAGAAAAGAAAAAGGAAAAAGAATCTCCCCCCCATGTCCAGGGTGACTGTCCCACCACAAAAGCCTCCAGCACAGCGCTTTGTCGCACAACGTCCGGGGAGTGGGTTCCGACCCTGTTTGCAAATCTTGAGAGTCTGAAAAAGAGAGCGTGCGATTTACCAATGGCCCCTCGTTCCAAGCACGGCCAGGACGATGACCAAAACGCAAACGACGACGCCGACGGCACACATCCAGCGATTCAGGTTTCGCCACCAACGGGCGTTCTGGAATTTCAACTCGGCGGCACCCGCAAGTTGTCGTTCAGTACGCAGTCGCGCCAGGACGTCCAGTTGCTCCCAGTCCGACAAGGCTTCTTCCGGCGGCATGTAGAGCTGCCTCGACGTGCGTTCCGAGCCCCTTGCCGCGTGGGAGATTGCGTTGGCATACGCCGCCTTTTCAAGATCGGCGTACGAGCTAGGGCGACGTGGCAGTGGGAGGAATGCAGCGACGAACCAAGCCAAGGGCACAACAAAACCGAGAGCGAAGCAAGCGACTTGAGTGCTGCGCAGATTGGCACGTGGCATGAAGCCTGCCGACCTCGTGGTGATGACACTGGGTGCCGTCCAACGGCTGTGCGAGTTGAAAGGAAACCCAAAACCCCTCGACGCGGTAGAGCCGGTATTGAGCCGGTAGTCATGGTGCAGATGTGGTGAGCCTGACCAGCGCCGAGATGACCTGTGATGGACCGGCGACGGGTGGTGGATGACCGATTGGCTCTCGGAAGGACTGACACTGTATTCGCCGTTGCTGTATCGGCGGTAGTGCGTGTGGTGGATGGTGTATGAGGAACGACCATGGGGCAGGGGCCGCTGGTGTATTTCCACGACGCCGGCCCAGTGAGCACGAGGATCAGCGGGAGAAAGGGGCGCCGAGAGAGACCGGTTGTGGTTCTGCACTGCGGGCGTCTGCTGTCGAGAGAGTGAATATGTCTGACGACGTTGCTGGAGGGCTGCAGTCGAAGGATGTTCGCCCACAGGGTTGGACACAAGTGGGCCCACGCCGGGCATGATATGTGACTTCCTGGCTTCAACACGGGGGCGGGAGCGAGTCTTGAGCAAAGCTTCGACACGCTCAGTCACAACCTGATGAAAGCTACGTGGGCGCTGTGGACTGCCATTGACGCTCAGTTGGGCATTTGATTCATCTGGCCGTGGAACTCGGCTCGGGGACTGGGCTAGACTATGCAAATTCGCGTGGGAGTTACTGGCGTACAGGAAATTGAACGAGTCGTGGTAGAAGCCTGAGTAGTATCGCTTGGCCCATGTCGGTATAGGGAGACCATTTGCGACTGTGCTCGTGCTCCCGGAAGAAGTTGGTCGGGAAAGAAAACTATGTTGATGTCGTAACTGCGTAAATGATTTCATAGAATTAAGTCGCGATTGCTGCGACGAAGTCGGTGAATAGACAAAACTTCCACGGTAGCTAGGATGAGAGGAAGGCGACTTATATACCTCATCGCTCGAAGGAAGTGCTGAAACCTCGTCTGTGGCTTCGTGAGTTTCGCTCTCCTGGTCCAGCACAATCCGAATTTGAGACTGGTTACCAGCATTATTGATAATATAGGCCGAAGCCGGAGCGAGATCGTCCGAGTGCAGATAATCATCCACGTCCAGCTCGAGCTCGGACGAAGCTACACTTGCAGAACGGGTTTTGATCCCTCTCGAAGCTTCGGATGGCACTGCTGAAAGTCGAGAGGCAAATACCGGCCGGCCACCATCAGTGGACATGCTCCGAGATGCACGCTTGGGGACCACCAGACCAGCCTCTTGGCTTCGTGGTGGCGCTCGGACAATGGGGTACTGGATTCGACTGGGAGGACTCGAACTAAGGGCGGCTTGAAGACTGGCATGTGTTCCTGAGAGCGAACTGCTATCGGAGCTCGGCAGGTCGCTGCTAGCGATCCTCCGTACAACAGGACTGGACTCATCCTGAGAGTCTTCCACCAGCCGTATACTCTGAGGCGCCGAGGAAGGAAAGCCGCCGTTGTCTGGAGATATAATGCTAGCGGCTGCTGAAGTCGGAATGTACGGGTCTAGCGGGGGACTGGAAGCGAGAGGGTTTCTTGCGCCGGCTCGTTCTGCAAAAGTTTGCGTACTTCCAACGGTATCAGAGCGTTTGCGCTTCCTCGAGGATGTGGAGGATGATCGCGAAAAATTCGCATACTCGAAGCCGCCATGCCGAGGGCCTACAGGAGAGGACGTGCCCAATTTCACCACGATTGGGCTTGAGGATAGCTCTGGGAGCGGGAGGTGTTCTGTGCTCGACGTGTTTGCTAGGCGGACGATGTTCGGGCTTGAGGAGCTGTCTTGAGCAGTACTGGAGCTAAGATCCTCTTCAAAAGGTTGGAGAACAGCACTCGACAAATCTTGAAAGGTCTGCGGTCTAGGGCTGGAAGTCACACCTAGGACTCTATAATTTGGACTTGATGTAGCTCCCGCGCGCTCCGCAGTGGAGGTGAAGGACGTTCTGGACGACAATCTCCTCGCGGGACGTCTACCCGCCGGCAGGGTTGGTAACAAAGCCAAATCATCAGTAGAGATCTTACGGAGTGAATCCCACGAGAATGCTCCAGACAGGCTCTCACTTGAGCTGATACTCCTCAGTCGGGTCGAATTTGCCGTGCTCGGTCGGAGCGGAGGTGAAGTAGCCGTTGAAGGGCGAGAAGAATCGTCGGCTTGAGATTCGTAGAGATCCCTCAATGCTTTGACGGACCGTTTCAACTTCACACCCTGCCGCGCTGCACCCTGAGGACTCCGCGGCCCATCCTTGGTTCTTCCACTGTCCAAGTCAAAGGGAAATCCTAGGAAATTGGGGGTTGAGCCAGGCGTATCCTTCCTTTTCTTGATCGAACTAGGCAGTAGGACATGCGCAGCTTTCGTCGGAAAGGGAGTGGTGTTGTAAATGCTGGTGTTCTCTTGTTGAAGTCGCCCATCTCTACCGGACCGGATGATCTCGTTGGCCTGCGACGCCGTCCGTTCGGCGAGGGGCGTCCTCTTGGGTGAGGCCCGCTTCGGCGATCTCTGCTTCACCGACGAAGGGGACGAGGACATTGCTATCGCATCGTCGACAAGGTCTACGTCTGCAGGAATCGGCTGCAACTTCAAGGCGAGAAGGTGATGACGAACGGAGAGAAGGGGTCCGAGTGGCAGACAGACTCTCGCCGGCCAAGAGGTGTTGGTATAGTAACGAGCGACTGAAGGTGAGGTGTCTGTGCAGAGTCAACAAAACTTTTGAGCTCAGGAATAGTAGTCAGGTCGTGTATGCGGGCGTCATCGCATGCGCTGGACTCGGTGGATGAGCACTTATGGGGCCGGGGCTGCATATGCATATGCATGCCGCAGGGCGAATTGGATTGTCTTAGTTGACGGTTGACAGACGGAAGGCTTGCATCTGACAGTGGACAATTGGAGATTGCAGTATTGAGGCTCCAACAATAAAGGTCCGTGTCAGGAATGCTGGATATTTTGCGTCTGAGATCGATTCACGTCGACAACAGCTGTTGGTTGAGGGTCGGCCGCCAACAGTTGAACAACAAGACCATTATCGATAGCTTCCTCAGGCAGAAAGCGGCGGCTGATGCTACCGCGTCCAGGATCAGGGGAGCACAATCTGTGAGAAGCTGGTGAGGTGATGACCTTGTTCACTTTTTTGACCTTTTGGAGGAGAGAAATCTCGGGAATGACCATTTGTGCAAGGTACTATTGGTAATAGGCGCCGATTCTACGGTGTCGGTGTGTCAAGGAGTCGCATTTTCTTGCAATCGCGTGGCAGACGTTGGCAGATTGGAAATCCCCCATTGGGTAAAATGATAATACGGAGGAATGATCCATGTCACGAAATTAACGCGTTAATCTTTGGTGGTTTGATGGAGTTGGCCCAGGGGGGTCCAGACGGAGGCGAGGCGAATGGTGGCTGTGCGAGGAGCGAAGTACGGATAGCAGCGGTGTCATCGCAGTTAAAGATGTTTAACATGTTGGTTGGGCAAACTGAGTTGGTGAGTTGGTATTGTATGTAGTAGGAGTAGTACATAGGTCGAGGACAAGATTCGTTGCAGAATGTGTGTTGTTCGCAGGCAGGGAGGTAGAGGAGGAGGACACAGAATCGACGCCCGGGCACCGAGTGAGAGACAGAGGTACCTCCGCACTCCACCAAATTACCTGCGATCTACATGTATCTGCCACCTATTTCTTTCCTTACTCTCTCTGCCTCTGCGTCTGCCAGTAATCGCAACACTCGTACCGCCACACAGAAAAGAAACATCCATTGTCACAGCAAGAGGCCAGGGAGACCAGTGAGACCAGTGAGACCGGGTAGACCAGCATCGACCCTGTCAAGACCCTGACATCGTCCGTGTGTCCTCGTCCCTAGACACGCCTGGGCCACCTCTTCGCTCTTCGTCGCCTCTCCTTTTGCTGTCTGTGTGATTGCCCTTCGTTTCCATCCATTGACCTACGATCCGTCCACCGCTTTTCCTCCTCCTTCGTCTCTTGCGACGTAAGAACGCTTCAAATGGCGCCCTTGGATCTGCTGAACAGACTGAGATCGACTTATTTCGGCCACAAAGGTTCGTTGCTTTGATTCATTGGGTTATCAACTCCTCCAAGCTTTGTGCCACCAGCCCAGCAAAAAGCCCTACTGGACGCACATGAAACTAGTTCGGCCACAAATCCACGACCCAATCTGTCCCAAACTCTCCGCATCCCCTAGTCCATCGTATTCCATTTCTTGAGCCCTTGCCATCCTCTATCGATAGCTGCTGATACGGAAAAATGACGACAGAAGAGGACAAGCCAGTCATCACGACCGCAACAGCAACCGCGCTCTCGGTATGTGAACAGGGCACTCCGGGCTTCATGTGCTGTCATGTCTTAACGCACCCTCTTCCGACCAGGTCGTCTTCACCTTAATCTATGTGGTGCCCTTCTATCTGTCACGGTCGACGCGGCCATCACCAGTGTTGAACCGAGATGCACCCTCGGTCATTCGAGCGCGGATACGCATCGTCACTCTGGCATGCATTGCAGCCTCCTCGGCAACCTTTTATTTACTTGTTGTGACAGCGAAATCGACACCCGTCAATGCTCTCCATATTATGGGCTGGTGGCCGGTCCAGTTGACTGACGTGGTCAAATGTTGCGCATTGACCTTTCTCCTCTTTCTCGGGCCGCTGTTCGAGAAACTCTATGTGGAAAGAGGCCTGAACGGTGTGCGCCGTCGTCGGGAGATTCTCGAAACCCTGCAAAGTTGGCAAGGCTATCGCAACTATGTCGCCGGTCCCATCACGGAGGAGGTCATCTTCCGTTCTGTGCTGATATCAATACATTTGTTGGCCAAGGTGTCGGCGACAAAGATCGTCTTTCTGACACCTCTATACTTCGGGATTGCCCACGTGCATCACTTCTATGAGTTCACGCTGACGCATCTTCATACACCTCTCCTGCCCGCGCTACTACGATCGGTCTTCCAATTTGGCTACACAACACTGTTTGGGTGGATAGCCGGCTTCATCTACCTGCGGACGGGCTCGATTTATGCCTGTATTTTAGTCCATACATTCTGCAATTGGATCGGGCTGCCTCGATTCTGGGGGCGCGTCCAACGCCGAGAGGAGTATCCGCTGTCGCCGATAGCGATCCGAGGAAAAGACGACACCGACACAATTCAAGCTGGTGGACGCGGAGGGCCCCAAGGCCTCAAATTGACGGTGGCCTACTATGTCTTGCTACTGATCGGAGCTTATTCATTTTATGCTGCACTATGGCCGCTGACGGCATCGTCGCTTGCATTGAGCGATTTCGAAGACAACAAAGTCTCCTTGTGATATAGAACTTTTGATAGATTCAATGGTTTCTCATTCGATTGTCGGCCGACATTCGTTATGTCCGAGGGTCGCTAGCGACATAATTCCGACCTCGTCCTCAATTAATTCCATAACCACATTAAAGGGCCTCTCTAAACTGCAGATCAGCTGGGAGAGTAGACAAGTTTATTTACTTCTCGACAGCCTCACACATTTCTAGGATGCGTAATCATCTTCGTCTAAAATGACTTCTCCTCTGAGGCTTGCACGTCTGCAGCCCGCCCGGTCCATTATTCGAACATCATCAGCACGGGCAACGCTCAAGACACACGCGGCACCCTTCCCTGTGATCCCTACCTGTCCCGACCCGACATGTCCCTGTTCTTCGATGCCTGATGGTCTGGATATTGACCGCAAGGCGCACCTCAGCGGCACCATGTCCGCGCACAGACAGCACCTGGTTGTCTCGAGCGGCCGCTCCGACTGGACGAGCAGGATAGAAAACGAGCGAGACACGGCGGCCTGGGGAAAGTTCACGGCGGATGTCAAGTCTATGCTGGGAAGAGGAGGAGAATTCTTCGATGTAGGTTCTTCTGTGGATTACAAGTATACCGCCCTCCTTTGGATGTTGGTCGTGTGTCTTTCGTTGTCAATGTCGGCTACATGGAACCTACGGGGATGAGAGGGCCAGAGACTATCTCTCTCCCACACACACACACACACACACACACACACACACTCGTATCCTCTCTCTCCCCCTCCTCCCTCTCTTTTTTGGTCGCTTGCCCGTTCGTTTCGTCTCAGGAGAGCGCAGCAAAAATGGGGCGAGGTGGGCAGCAGAACATGGGGACGGCTGACTTACACCACAGTCCTGACATCTAGCCGTACCACAACGACGTCATGGTCAGCACGTCGTCCTTCACGCCTCTAGAAGAAGCCGCCGAACGGGAGTCGCATCTGCACAAGGCGAGCGGAACCCCGACGGCGAGTGATGTGCAACAGGCTCCTCCTCAACAGACCGTCGACGCCCTCCTGTTCCCGGCCTTCAAACACTTCAAGGGCCTCGGGACCGGTACCGACGGCGACGATCGCTCCGGCAACGACGCGCGAACGCTGATCAAGGCGTCTCTTCTTCCTGAGAAGGACAGACTCAACGCCGTCTACAGGGACCTCTCCGACGCCGAGCGGACGGCCAGATCGCGCGACCCGGCCCTGCTCGCCTCGTCCCTGGACGCGTCGAGCATACAGGTGCCCACGATCCTGATATGCAGCCACGGCCAGCGAGATCGCAGGTGCGGCGTCCTCGGCCCGCTCCTGCACGGAGAGTTCACACGGTACATTTCGTCCTCCCGTGGCCGCGCAGCACGCTGCGGGGGAGGTACTACGGGACCACTCGAACCCGTGACCGGCGCCTTTAGATCCTCGATGTCAGACACACCCGGTTCCGCCGACGACGAAATCCTCCCCGTCAACGTCGGCATGATTTCTCACGTCGGAGGACACAAATGGGCCGGCAACGTCATCATTTACGTCCCACCGGGCATGCGATCCCCGGCCCCCGGTGCCGCCGCCGCCGCCGGACCACACCCGCTGGCCGGCAAGGGGATCTGGTACGGGCGTGTCGAGCCGCGACACGTCGAGGGGATCGTCGAACAGACCCTGGCCCGGGGAACCGTCATCCAGGAGCTCTTCCGCGGCGGACTGTCTGCGAACGGCGAGATGCTGAGGTTGCCGTTATAGGATAGAAGGGGTTTTTTCCGACATCGAGCCAGTGACGAAAGTACCAAGTTAGTACTAGGACATCGGTCCCCGGGAGGGGTCGTGCCGTTCTCCATCGAGGCTGCCATGATGGATTGATCTTCGGCATCGATCCAATGACGTTACTAACGTCGAACCGGGCTCGACGTCGTATCATTTACAGTGACATGAACAAAATAATCTATACAGGTGACTTGGGCCAAAATACCTGTACAACAGATTCGGTATCCGAGACACGAACAAACACAGAACGATCGAAGAACGAATAGAACACCGTCTAATCGGGACCAAGTACATCCACGCACATCTGTACGTTGAAGATTGTCAAACTATAATTCAGCTCATTTATGCCTAGTTCGTCCGTCTATGTTTCGTGTCCATGTCATATCAACTCCCACTCCTGTATGTCCAGTGTACCTCCGCGTTTAAGCTGTCAGTCACCAAGGTCTTGTATCCTACAGACGCTAGATTTAAAATGAAAGATCGCTCACTATATGCCTCTTAGTACAGTGTATATGCAAGATGGAAGCGATAACCTCAGGCTCACGCTCAAGCTCTTGTTACCACCACTGGTTTCGAGCTTGGTTCCTCCTCGGCCCTGCTAGGACCAGCTCGTCGAGATCTTCGTCGAGCTCATCACTGTCCCATTCATCTTCTTGGTCCTGTAAAGCGAGCTGCAGAAAACGCTCTAGCCCCATTGCTCGGCCAGGACCGGCTGCGAGCATACCGCCTGGATGATTACCTTGACCTGGCGCTGCATGTGGGAGAATTGGCGCCTCGCCATCCTCTTGTGCCACGTCATTATTGGCCACGATGGCTTCGACCTCTACAGGTGCTTGTGCCTGGTCGACCCTTCTCGGTTGGGCTGCTGGTTGTCGTCCCTGGCCAACCCCTCCAGCTTGCCCTCGGCCGTTTTCCATGCCACGAGGACGTCTGTTCTGATGCCCGCGACCTCTACGACGTGGCATACCTCGCTGTGGAATGGGCGCGGCAGGTGGTGGGCGTTCAGCTGGGCGAGGTCGGTCGGGCAAGGCAATTCGTTGTGCATTTTCACCCCCAGGACGTGCGAAATTCACGATTTCAATGACGTTGCGATTGCGACGTTGATCTGGTGCAGGCTCCTCATCGTCGGATGAATCCAACTCGTCGGTAAAGGGCCTCTCCCCGCGAAAAGCCCTAAAATCTTCAGGGGGAAGGTCGTCTTCAGACTCTGTGTCGGAGTCAACTTCTTCATGCCAGTCGGCCATTTCGGGATGGTGGAAGGCTTGAATATCAACACCCTCGCCATCACCGGCCTCGAGAACCCATAGTCGCATGTAACATGAGCTCTTGAGGTCATTGAAATGTGTATATGGGTTTTCTGGCATGAGATACGCCGAGCACAGGTAGCAGAAATGCGACTTGCATCGGAAACATATCATGTGATTGCAGCCCATTGTCTTTTGGCACGGCGCGTTGCATGTCGGACAAGGTGTCGAGTACTTTTGCATGTATGCCAACGACGCAGCCTCCTCTTCGTCGAGCTCCTTTTGTCGACGTGGACTACAACGAGCCAATTCGCCATGCCACCCTTTCCGGCAAACGCAACAAAACGCGTAGTTACAGTCTTCGCAGACTGATAATCGTTCAGACATCGGGAGCTCTTCGAGGTCATGTTTCCTTTTCTTTTTGCCTTTCTGTGGACGTGCTTCCTCTTCTGATTCGGAGACGCTGTCATCGACGCCGTTTATAGGGTCGACAGGTTTGGGATGTTTCTTGGACCGCGCAGCCCCCTGGCACCATTGCCGTGGACAATAAATTGTATCCGGATCTGCTTCCAATCTCTTCTTCCGCTTTAGACGGACATACCGTTGGACCAACTCTTGTTCGATAGGTATCTGGAGCAACTCGTTGGGATTGAGTGTACGATCGTGTTTTCGTCGTTTCAGTGGCTGGCCATTCATACCCACCATCTGATTCTCACCCTTGCCACATGTGGGGGAAAGACATTTAACACTGTCCACATCGCCCTCGGTGATGCAACTTTTGTAGAAGTCTTGTAAGCAGGGGATGCAGAAGACATCACCACATAGCAGCATTTTATGACAATGAGATCCCTTCTTAGGCTCTAGACAAATTCCGCAGTCAAAGGTTCCTCTCTCAAACTGTTGGCGCTTGGCCTGGAGATCAAAATCCAAGAGTGCCAGCTTGAGCTCAGCGGGTATCTGGAAGTCAATGGCTCCCGCAAGCCCAAAAGCGTTCTCTGCCTCCTGTTGAACATGATCGATGTATGTGTAGACGCTCTGATCTTTCCCTAGCTCTTCCCAAAGCCTCGAACAGTCGTCCCTGAGTTTCTGGAGCATAACCCGGGGCAACCATGGTGGTGACACTGAGATAGAAACCGTCGGCGGTGTTTCCTCGGGATAGCCTTCTGGCAGACTTATTCGGAGGGAAAGGGGAGGCAGATGTGAGAGTTCATGGGCATCAAGAGGAGGAGGTTGTGGACCTGGGGTTTTTGGAGGAAAATCTCCCTCGTCTTGATCGGAGGATGTCGGTGGCGTCAACAAGGCAGGTGGCGCCCCGGTCTCTGCTGGTTTGAAATATATCCGTAAGGGTTGGATGGGTGTAACTCCAAGCTCGAGGGTTGCAGCATACGGATTAGATGGGTCGATGACAAGCTCTGGGAAAATAGCCGCGATAGAGGAGAGTTCAATGGTTCTCTCGTCGTCCGCGGCACCTGGGTCATCTTCCATGCTGTGAGGGGTGAATTGTGGCGGTGATCTTGTACGGCGAACAAGCACAAGGGGAGAGGGGTGAAGGAGAAGAAACGAAATGAGTTGCCCTTTAATAATAAGGACTATCCATGAACAGGGTGGGAGGGCTTTCTCTTGATTTCTCACCAGCGCCTTAGAGTCCAGAACGCCGACCACAGTAGAAGGAGGCAAGAATGACGCAGTCCCCAAAAAAAATAATCTGGGGAAATACCCGAAGGCGAACCCGATACAGACCCTCGATCAGGGGCCAAGTTTCTTGTTTGATAACTACATTTTCCACCTAGCTACAGTACATGGCAATTGTACCCTATTGTCTCTGTATATCACAACACATCACTTGCTAAATAAATCGGAGTCATGGATGACCCGGCGCTGGCATCGCTGTCGCTGACCCATGTTCGATATGTACGACTCCTTAGGGCGTTCTTTCATGTGGCTGCACTAACAAATATAGAACCCCAATGATCCCATATCATATGCTTCGGCATGGCTGGCGCTGGTGCCTCAAGGCCTCTGCGTTGTTTACGTGTCTCTGATATGGGCGTCTCGAGAGGTGGAAATCTTCTTGATGTTTGCTGGACAAATGGCTTGTGAGGCTCTCAATTTTGGATTGAAGCGGCTTATTCGCGAAGAGCGTCCTCACCGTACGCGGCTCTTTGCCATGATCGTTCCTCTATTTACGGCTGCTAATGCACTACAGAGATGCACGGCAAAGGCTATGGGATGCCCTCGTCACACTCTCAGTTTGTGACCTTCTTCTCTCTGTCTCTATCATTGTGGTTGCTCTTCCGCCATGTGCCCACATCGAGCACCAGTTACTCACCGTCAACTTTCTCCGAGAGGCTACTGTTGTCCCTGCTGGCATGTGTCGGTGCCAGCGCTGTAGCTGCAAGCCGTGTCTATCTCAACTATCATACTCCAAAGCAAGTCCTGGTGGGAGTAGCTGCTGGCGCCATATTCGCGGTTGTTTGGTTTATGTTTACGACTTACCTGCGAAGATCCGGTTGGATCGACTGGGCGTTGGAGACATGGATATCTCGGAGGTTTCGATTTCGGGATCTAATCACCACCGAGGACATTCAAGACGCCGGCTGGGGTCGATGGGAGACGCGTCGAAAAGCGAAGCGAACGACAGGGGCAAATGAACCGGGCAAAAAGAGCAGATGAAGGTGCATTCAAGGGGAATATAGATGCCTCCTCCTATAGACGTCTGTCTACCCGTCTTACATGTGGCAATCACATATACTCACTTGGTACGTGGTAGAGCCTGGGCTCCACGACCAGGAGAGCAGCGTTGTTGTCATCTCGATTAAATACAGCCATGGGAAGGTGTCCAACGAAAGATCTCGGTCTGAGACAGTAGAGTACGTCGTGCGACTCGGATGCCGGGCTGAGACCTGTCGAGGAGCTGTCAAGCAGCCCCTCAATCGAATGCCAGTGAACGCGTGTCTGCATTCTTTCCAGTGTACATGAGCAGGTCTGTTAATCCAGAGGACACCCCGACATCTTTCTGACCAGCGTGCAGCGACCAGGCACGGTGCGTGGTGTTTATGTGTGTGATCTTGACCATTGGGGCTCTCACTCTGCGCGGAATCACGGCAAGATGGTGGCTTTGTCAAGCTTTTTGGAGCTGGTGTTTGTGGCTTGCCTGATCCCTGAACAGCTTATCCGCCCAGCACAACCCGAGAGGCTGAGACCCATGTGCACACGACCCTGGGTTGCAAATTTGTGCGTATGACGGGCGAAATAAACGTGTGCTTCCCCCTGGTTTTATGGGGGAATCCAAAAACTGCCCTGTCAGACCCGCGCACGGCTTGAAATCATTCTGCGTTCCGAGCACATTGCATAATTCTGACCTTTTGGTTCTAAATTTACTCGTGTCCCGGTGCATCCGGGCCTTGTCATTCTCCCTGAAGGCACCGCAGACGCATGCAATCAGCGTCTCGCCTGAGTGATAGTTAAAATGGTATGTGGTCGTTGCTGCTGATGCTGATGCTTTGTCACGCCCATGTGCCCCTACCCTTCCCTCCTCACCTGCTTTCTTGCCCTTTGCCCTCCTTTTCCTCTGTATCAATCATCTCCCTCTATCTAATCTTGTCACAACAACTCTTGCACGAACGAAATCAACCAACACCATGCATCTTGCACCTGCGCTGGCCGCCGGTGCGCTGGCCTTGAGGGCCTCAGCCTTCCTCCTCCCCCTCGAAGTTACCGCAGCTGCCGAACGTCCCGCCTTCGAGGTGAAACCTCCTCCAGAGGTGCTTATGGTCGGTGGATCGATTGATCTTGATTGCCCTGGATGTCCGTTCGTCGACCCGAAGACTCCGTCTGTGGTGCAGCTTGGTGTCGAGAGCAAAATTGTAAGCACGTGCCTAGTATGTGTATAGTCAGATGGTGACTGATTTGTGTAAAAGCAATTGGAATTCACAATCGACGCCGAAGACCGCCTGAATATCAACGATTTCCCAGTCTACCCTCACGACTTTGACGCATCCAACTCGTCCCCAGTCTTGGTGACGACTCGCCAAATAAGGGTCGAAGATGGTCAAGAGTCGGATCCCGTCCAGCTAGACTTTGCTCTGGAGCTTCTGGAGCCCATCAGATCCATTCACAACCCCGATGCCACTCTCCAGCCCCTTCGGTTCACTGTGTTTGGTCTTCAAGGCCGTCCGGTGAAAGTCGATGCGATTGTGGTTGATATTCTCCAGACACCCGAGAAGGCTGTGATCGCCAGATTCTCTCAAATCCCCTTTGAGCTGACCCCTGGCGCTCAGACTTGCGACACTTCCTCGCAATGGTCTCTCTGCCGTTTGAGAGCCATCATTACCGCCCGTCTCCAGTACATCATGGCAGCCGCAAAGGCGCGTGCTCATGGAGCCCATGGTTGGGTTAAGAATGGGAAGGGTTGCCACGGAAGAAAGTTCGGAGGCAGGGCCGGACATCACAGCCATCACGGCCATGGACATCATATGGGTGGTTGGAGTCGTCACCACCGCTTCCATCGATTTGGCCATATTCTGCACCAAACAATTCGCTTCTTTGTTATCCCCGCTCTTCTGGGTATCATCGGAGGTCTGATGGCAAGCGCTATCGGTATGCTTGTTGGACAAACAATCTCATATCTTTGGATTCGCTTCCATCGACGCGGCCAGAGAGGCAATGCCAGCGCTCGCGCGGTTGAGATTGTGATCGCCGAGGATGAGAAGGACGCCTTGATGACTGAAGACATTCCATCTCCGCCAAAATACCAGGACTTAGAAGCCTGTGCCGAAGAAGTCGAGAAAGTGACCGATGAGAAGCATTGAACAAGGTTATACTACAGGACAACTGTGTTATCAACTGCGTTATTGTGACCGAGGAGATACACTCCGCTGACAGCAGAGACTGGTCTGTAAGGACGAGACTGGAATATAAGAATTATGAGATACCCAAGCATTGCAGGTGTTTAATCGAGGTGGACCCAATGGAAGGAGTGCAGACCAAGCCTGATCGTATGATCCTGAAAAGGGAGGCCGAGTGGGATTATTACAGATGATCAGGTTTACTGTATATCTGAACCAGTATAACTATGCGTACGATGTTGCTCTAGTCGCAGCATTGGGACAGCTCAGGACAAGTGGCATTGCTCAAGGACAAAGCGTGAGTGCTTGCTGCCACGTACCTAACTACACTATAGGCTTTTAATTTTCTTTTTTTGTCGCCCTTTGATAGCAGAAACATTCATATGAGTATCATGATGAATTAACTAGTCAACACTCGATCGATGGTGTTCCAAGGCAAGAACTGTTGTGACTTGGTACGTTGGAATGAAACCTCCTCCATCGAGTACCGACGCTTTTGGTACATGACTCTTCAGTTAGTGAAATGAAAGGCCACCATGCGGACGACACAAAGTGCGCTTTGTCTGTCCGCTCTACCCAAGCACAAGTTGTGCCAACCCCGGCAGGAACCAGCCCGTAGGAGTGGCGCGTCGTCGTGACGACGAGGACCGGACTTGCACGGTACTTATTTATTCACTCTGACAATGTAAAAAAAGTGTCGCCCATGGTTCATGACTCGTGGCTTTCGGTTTGTCAAGGAGGACAACAGCGCTACCGAGACGTCTCCTCCCGCTTCATCATCATGACCGCGAGGTCGAAACTGACAATGTCGATGAAGCGGCGTACAGACGGAGCAAAGTCGAGGTACTGTGGACCATGGAATGCGCGAACGTGATTGAGTCGAGTCGATGGCGTTTTGTCTCGTCGATGGCCGTCATGTTGCCGTTGAAGGGCTCGTTCGCGACAACAACTCGCGGTTGTTGTGGTTGTTCTTCTAGGTGTCGACGTTGTCGACGACGACGACGACGACGCTACCGACGGCGATTTGTGTAGAGCCTTGCCTGCGGTGTGGTTGCTTTTCGTGACGCTTTCGATCCGAGAAGGTGACGTCGAGGACGATGATGATGATGGACGTGATGGTGATGACACAGGTGGTCCGGATATGGAGGGAGTCGACGTTGGGGGATCGTCTCGTTCTCTGGGAGAAGGAGAATGAGACTCGGTGATTGACTCTTCAGCCGCAGGACCTGATGCAGAAGCAGGAACAGGAACAAAATCCTTCTCGAATGGCGTCCACGGAAACCATGCTCTGATACTCTCTTGTCCTTGTCCGTGTCCAGGTACAGGGGTAGGTACAGATGAAGTCACGAGTTTCAATACTGTCAATGTTCCCTCTTGCACCACGCCGGTGTTGGGCGAAGGAAGTAGCACGGATAATGTCGAGTACAGACTCGACCCTGTGGACATACTCTGTTGACCACATGTCACCATGGCAGTCAGGGTCCGGACCGCAGCAAGTACCCATACCAGAGTAGCCGTAAAGAATCCAGGGAGAGAGATCGCCAACGGCGCGATACAAGCGAACAGGAGAAAGGCGATACCGAGGAAGATGTACGCCAGGAAGAAGGCCAGGAGGAAATAGGTGGGTCTCCTGTCGTGAGTGTCTGATGGGTCCTCCGAAGTCATCGGTGAGTATGCTTGCGCGGATTCTGATTCCGATATGTGCAGCGAGAAGATTCCCGTTCCTGAAACAGCACGCGGACGAAGTGGCGATGGAAAAAGACTGTCGTGGTCACTATGGGATTCAGGCTGCGTCAGCGTCTCACTTTCGTCCGTTCGCACGATTGAGAGGGCTTTGGCAACTGTCTTGTCGTGCGGTTGAGAAGTCCGGAACTGGAGAGGATCTTCTTCAGTTTCGGGTTCAGGGGCGGAGGTATTGCAGTGATTTATGGGAGACTCTGACACGAAGCGACCTTCGTTGTCAAGTGATGTCGGTGCCGCATCGACCGAGTCAGGATCCAAATGAGTCGAGTAATTTACGAACGCTTCGAAATATCTCTCACTCATGTCGTCATGACTTCTAGTACAATGAAGGGCGTCCGAGTCGCTGATTGTATCTTCTCGTGGGGATTCTCCTTTCCCAATGCTTGCCAGCTCGAAGTGGTGGTCATAGCCCAAATCCACATTGAATAGATCTGGTTCCAAACAGATATCTGATATTCCCAGAGAAGCTGCTCCAGATTCAAACACCGTCTCAAAGAGCTGGGTAGGGGTGCTTTCAAGTTTGTCGCTGAAAAGGTCTAAACTTGACATCATGAAAGTGAGCAAAGTATGGGCTGCTTTGTTCTTCGACAGCCAACCAACCTGAGGTCTGTATTCCAAGTCGTGTTTGAGTTTCTGATTTTGATATGCTTTCAAGTCATCCGAGTACACATTATCTAAGCGAGAGTGGGAAGATACACCAGCCAGAGAGAAAGTCGGTGGTAAATCGTCGTCGCGTGTGCCGTTGATGTCGTGATAAACAGCTTCACCAGTCATATGAGACGCCTCTACCGAGTCTGATGAAAAGCTTTTGTGGATTTCCTTTACCACACGTCCATAATCCACCACTGTGCCAGGTATCAGAGTTTCTTCATACGCCCTAGCTATGCCGTCCGAAGCTTGAAGTGGCTTGAAATTGCTTCTGGACATGGTGACAGTTGTTGATGACAGCCGGTGAACAGCTCCGTCCCATGAGTAAGGTCGACGATGTCTGAGTTCCGATGGTGAGGCATTTGATTGTCCGAGCGGCAGAGTCTGGCGATGGGAAGTTGCAGATTTATCTTTCTCGAAGCCCCCGAACTCGCCCGGGATCACGGGTTGCTGTTCATCACCAGTTGCGTTTTCTGCCACGTTGTCCGACGTAGTTGTCTGCTTCGCAACTGACTTAATGGGGGCTTCTATCCCTTTATGGGAGGAGTAGCTTGCCTCCACATCTCTAGCTTCCAACCGGTTAATTGGGAGAGAGCGGCTTCTTGCCGATGCTTGTGGGCAGCTGAATCGCTGTTTGAGACCGAGGCTTCGAGGTAGCTCAACAGCACTGCTGGTGCCTCCATGGGTAATTCCAGAGGCATGGTTTGTCGGAGTTCTTCTTGAGGCCTCCAAATCGGTGCGCAAGGGTGAAGAGACAAGGGCTTTAGACGGAAACATACTGGGATGAAATTCCCGATCTCCCGTTCCTTCTGTCTGGGATTGTAGAATACCCTGCAGGGCATTGACATCTTCAGTCAGACTCGGTCTCGCTTGGGCACCAGAAAAATCTTCAGGCTTTTGGAATGATAAGCTTGGTTCGCCTTTGCCGACAGTAGCTGCGGTGGGAAGCTCGTCCTCGCCTTTTAATCTTGTTGGTGAGCGCACTTCCAAGCGAATTTGAGGCTGCGGACTTAAATATGCCTTAGAACTTGACATTGGTGGAGACATTGACGTACTAATATGTTTGTCGATTCGATTCTTCGGCATAAGCCTAGGTATTCGTGAAGGAGGTTTGCTCAAATCTGCGGCAATGATATCGGCCATACGTAAGGGTTGCTGGAGTTTCCCAACGGTAGCATTCTCAGCATTTCTAGGGGCTTGTGTCCATGTACGCGTCGCTTGTTCGCGCTGATAGGATTGGAGCTGCTGGCGGAAGGGATCGCAAACATGTCCAGACCGTGTTCGAGCAGTACCATTGGGAGGCAACTGCACCATCGATCTCGAGTCCTTGCGGTTGGGAACATGGAAAGCTGTCTCACTAGCCATACTGTGGCGAGTCGACGCGTAGGCTTCTGATGGTATCGAGATAAGATCGCCCAGATTCTCAAATTGTGCAGGGAATGGAAGCATTGATTGGGGCATTCTCTGCTTCCAAATGTTGTCGTGAAGTCTAAGTAAATGTTGCGAATGAAAATGTGTCAGAAGGGGATATATTCGAGACTGTTGTTCCCATGCCTTCTCCATCCAAGGAATGATCTTTGTTGCGTCGGCTTCGAGTTTGTTTGGGGGAGTAGGTGGCGAGCCTTCTGCTTGATTGAATTGTTGCGATTCATTCTCCTTCGCTTCGGGCTGAACCTTCAGTCTCGATATTTCGTCAGAAGAACCTTTCAGCGCAGCCTCCAGCTTACTATTCTCCAGCTTGACTTTCCTGAGTTGCTCCAGCAAACGTAACATTGACTCTTCCGAGCGATCCTTTTCGGTTCTTGCCTTCTCGGCAGCTTCAACAGCCAACCTCAGGTCATGGTCTCGAATTCGGGAGGCGTGGAGATTTCTGTGACCGGCGGTTGTCAAGTCATTCACTTCGTTGCATAGTCGAGCATTATCTGATAAAAGAGCCTCCATCTGCTCCGAGATCTGATCTCGTTCATTTTCTACTTTCTTCAACTTTTGAAGCAGTTTCTTCTGGTCTGTACTTGTCGTCCTCTTTATTTCACCTGAAGGTTCCTGCTGTGCCGATGCTGGCATGGTTTGGCTTGCGACGCCCACCTCTCGGTCAATTTCTCCCGGGTTTTGGATCTGTGCCTCTAGTGCCGAGATTGTATCGCCTGCTTGAATATGCTCATCCAATGGCGAAGCATTGCCACTTCTTGTGGGCTGCCATTCGACTTCTGGAATATCGGCCTCATACCCTTCTATTGCACTTTTGTAATCATCTCGGGCCACAAAGAGCGGATCTGCGGGTATTTCCAGCGGTATTGAATTGCTTGTGGGCGAGATAGACTCAGAGACATGACGGACGGTATCTTGGCCTTGGGAGCGTTCAGCTTCACATATAGCCTGGGTATTCGCAGAGGTTGACAATTCAGCTGATGAGGATCGGATCCCTGCGATCGAATCAATATTGCGTACCAGGACAGGGCTTGCTTGCGCTATAGCTGCGACCCTCTCCCTCCCTGAATCGCTTCCCGCGGTGGATGACACAGGAGAGGTCGGGTTGCGGTCTCGCCTCCCGGCTGGCATGGGACGCTGAAGTCTGCGCGGCGAAACAACTGGCGAAATTCCAAGACTGGACAATGAGCTGTAATCATCCTCTGTTCTTTCGTCATCGGTTCTCGAGTCCTGGCCAGGAGAACCATGTCCGCGAGTGGATAGATCCATCTCAAGTTAGATTTCAATCTAGGTGCTAATTCAGAAGATTGAATCGGTGTTGAATGTGGTTCACGGAGCGAACATGGCGACGACAGAGATGAAACTGGTGGTGAATGCTGTTCGAGGACATTGGCGCTGATTTCGCAGGGTTTCGTATAGATTCGTGATTGAACTCATCCATGCCCGACAAAGAACTTTTCTCAATGGGAAAAGTCGAAAGCGGCCAATAACACAGAGTCACCGCCATCCGTTTCCGGCAGAATGAATATCGAGAGGGTTAATAGGAGTGTTTCCAGACACGGACCATAGTCCACATTCCAGTGCCTATTGCCGCTCTTTGCGCTCAGTCAAATCAGTAAAGCTGTACAGGTATTAGATTCTTTGGGATTGGAGTTGAAGTGATCACCCCCTCAAACACGGAATGGTCTGCCACATATAAATTCGGACCGCATTCTTGTAAGTGAGCAAATCCTCTTCACCGAGGACTCACTTGAAGCTTTGATTAAAGTCTACTTCAAGAATCCACACCCAGGAACAGTAAATGCGTAGGAGAAGCAACCATCAATTCCGCGATCGGTAATGGCCGGTGGGTGTTGGTATCCAGCCTAAACGCCCTTCGCTATGCTGATCATCGCTGTTATTCGAGAATAATTCAATATTCACACCATCATCTGTCCGACCGATCGACAGGTAGCCCAACGTCCCATCATTTGCCATGTCTCCTGTTCTTGCCATGATAGTATTGTTTACCTGTTGCCTTTACAATCGACTTGCACAATTTTCTGTTTGCCGTGGCCATTTACTACCAATGCTGTGAGTTGTCCACCGACGACACATCCAGAGTCAAGCCCTTTCGTGTATTTTCGTAATTTCAAGCCCGTCTTAGAATCATGACCGTAGATGACTGTCATTTGCTTCTCCGCAGATTTCTTTTTCCCAAGGCTCTTGAGGCGGTCCCAACCTTGCCGTGTAGGAAGCAACTGTTGATGTTTGTTCCATAATTTGTACCAAGCTTTTGCATGGCCTCCCTTCTGCTCATGTTTCTCTGAAGGGACGTGAGTTCGCATATCCATGGTTCGCATGTTCATAACCGAAACCGGGTCTTGCTGTTCTAGAGGGACGCCTAATACAAGACCTCCATGGACGGCAACAGTCTCCCCGGGGAAAGCAGTGATGTTTCCAACTCGAAGGATGACTGGACAAGATGCGAGCCACTGGATTTGTGCCGAATCTAGCGACATGGCGAGCTCCTTCAGGGAATCGTCCCTACTCACAGCAGCCTGGGAAGCAAGATCCTTTGCGAAATTGAGATTCTTCTTTGAGTTCAAAGACGTGCTCTTCAAATCCTCCACAAGCAACAGAAGCCGATCTTCGTGGTTTCCACGCACGCACGAGGCATTATAACCACGCAAAAGGTCGATGACCCCCCGTGAATCGGGACCCTTGGAAACGATATCCCCCAAGGCGATCAAATGGTCGGTGACCGGATCGAAGTGCGCCTTGTCCAGCAAAGCTTGCAACTCGTCTTTGCACCCATGGATATCTCCAACAAACATCAATCTCGTTTTATTTCCAGCTTCTGGAGACGCGTCACGGGGCAGTCGTGGGAGGAGAAGGGGATCTAGCGTCTGCACCTGGATCATACCGGGGAAATGAGGTCGTAGGTTTATTCCAAATAGCCCCCCCGAGGCTGAAGTCCCGCTCTTGCTCACCGAAGCCAAAATTGTTCTTTCCTCGTCGACAAACGGCCAGACCTTGAGACAAACGACGGCTGTGACCACGAAAGCCAAAATCACCACGGCCAACAGTCTGCGAAATTTGGGGGCCCTGACAACGGCCTTGGTGTTTTCCCACAAGTCTTCTAGGCAGTCCACAAAATCTCCAGCGGGAGTTGCACGGTCGGGGGATACTTCGTATCGATGAGGTGGTTCGTCTCGCCACTTGTTGGTGCAATGATCGATTAGAGGCTGGCGAAATCGTTGACGAGGATCTATATTGCTACCGTAGAAGGGTTTCTCCATGCTCGACATTCTGGGTTGTGTCGAGCCCGCGGATCTTCAGTTTCCGCCGGAAAGGATCGAGGTGCTGTATTCCGGCATCGATGATCGCAAGTCTCCAAGGAGAGAAGGTAGAAGAGAGGATTTGTCGTTCAGACACCGTCGGGTCAATCAGACGACGATCAAGATACAAAACCGGGACTGCGACTTCGATGGAAGACTCTCCGTCAGAGTATTGTAGCAGGTTTCAGAAAGCGAAGAATCCAACATGCCTAACTGCCACTGTCTATTCGTCTCAGGAGAATAAAAGTCACTCTATCGTGACAGTATGCGGAATGACAGAACAGATCCAAGAACAGCATCGTCGAATGCCGAAGCAGGATGAGGCACGCTCGCGTCGCCATGCACCATGCTTTCGTTTAACGAGGTCCGCAGCGGCATAAGCCTGAGCAGCCAAGCAGCCAAGGCGCCGCGATGACGTTCTAAAGGATGGAAAAGTACACTAACGTATTTACCTAGATGGGAGCCTCACTAGCCATAGCCCCTATTGCGGGGGCGCCGCACCTTCCGTTTGGGGCCTCGATATTTAACATTAAGTGCTGAACAATAAGCAGTGTTTGCTTGGGCAGTTGTCGTTTCCTACACGCCAATCCATTCATTTTTTCAACCTGAGGCGACAAGTAGTCCCCAAGCAGATGGCTAGATCTACTTGATGCATGCACACCTGCACGGTTCTGTGTCTGGGCCATCGCAATCCCTCGGAACCTCGTGACCCAGGCTTGCAAATATGTCATGATTTATCACTACTCTCTCGTGCAAACAGGAGATTACGTTCTGAACATATTCGAAGGACACATGATTTCTTATTTTTATGTGCTAAGTTTCGAAGACTGCCCGCGACATTTTGTCAATACTGTACGCCTGCAAACAGCCAGCTTCAAAACAAAGCAAAAACGGCAATGGCCGGAAAGAACTGAAAATCTTTAATGCGAGCGGGTGGGTATCATGTCGTGGCCGTCAATGATCATTCACAACGCAAGGCCAGCCACCAGCAATCCCAAGAACCCAAGACCGATGGTACCGACTCGAATGTCACTGGCGCCGTTGTCCGAAGAAGTCGAGGTCGCCGATGCCGAGGAAGCTGTGTTTGATGCCGAGCTGCCGCCTGAGAAGAAATGTATTAGTCACAGCAGTGAGTGCCTTTGCGTTGTGGACTTACTGGACCCTGAGTCCGTCGTACTGGCAGCACTTCCTCCAAATGTTGCCGAAGCAGCACTCCCCGAGCTGGAGGCTGTCGGTGCAGCGGTAGACGAGAGGAAGTATGAGCTGACACATGAGGCCTGGCACTGGGCGTATGCATCTGTCTCAGATGCGGTACCGTTTCCCTGCGGGCATTTGGCTTCGCATTCAGTTGTTGCGTTGGCCTGGCTTTGGCTGGGGCAAGGTACGTTGACACATTTCGCCTGGCAGCAGACATCGGCAGAACCACCTGTTTGATCGGTCAGCTCAACCACTATTCCGCTGTGGTGGCGGAGGCATGATGCTTACATTGTTGCAGACACACCACCTGAGCGGACAGAGACGGGGTCGAAGATGCGGAGCTGGAGAGGCTTGTTCCAGTCTGTGTCACATTTGTAGCATTTTGCGCGGCGACAACGGCAACAAGACCGAAAGAGGCAAGAGCGAAGAAACGCATCTTGTTCGTAGCAGGTTGGAGACGCTTGGGGCTGTGTAGGAAGTGTTGTAGCTGGCTCTTGGATGAACAAAGGCAAGTGAAGCAGAGGTAGCGAACGTGGTAGTCACAAAGACTCAAAAACAAAGGGGGTCGAAGGTGTCCTGCACGGTATTGAAGTGGAAGGCTGAAGGACTGACAGACTCACGGAAAGGTCAAGGCGCGTCTGCTAGGTAAATATAGCCATGCAACATGAGGAAGTACGGATAGTCAAATCTCCCCAGGATTTCCGCACCACAAGGTCCAGGGCCCAGGGCTGTTATAGGTGGCTTGTAGACTGAGGTGTGATGGAGCAAATCCCGGTTGGTCGTCTCGACCCTCTAGAAAGCGCATTTTCTTGGTTGTACAAGGTGTTGGCGTGTCAGAGCCTTTGCTTAGCCTGGAAATGAAGTCGCTTGTATTGCGTTACCCCTGTCCGGACCTGAGCTTGATTTTCAATGGGCCGATCCGGCGCTGAGGTTTCATTCCCCCTGCCGCCAATCTTAGTAAAACGAAGGTATCCGTAGAATGGTAGGAGGAGCTCAGAAGAAGTTGCTAACAGGCAGCCACTGGTCCCTCGAATCGCCCAAATGCCCAACGCCATCACTGAATCTTTCAGCAGAAGTGTCCTGTCGGGTACTAGGTATGAGAAAATCCATCTTCAGTAACGCGGTCAACAAAACAAGCACCATCTGTCGCGCCGGAATGAGCCGACCGCCCCCCTAGGGAAAGGAAAAAGTGTGGCGCCAACGTGACAGTGGTTTGTATCTCTCAAAGGCCGATCTTCTGTCGCGTGGGGAAGCTGTCATGGTGGAACGATTTCTTCGCTTTCAAGTTCCGACTTGACCAGCAGGTATACCAGCCTTGGCCCCTTACCAATGACTATTGATAATCCGTAGTCTGCCCAGAATGTCGGAGATTAATAGGGCATGCTGGATACTATTTCGGCGGTAAAATGTTGACTCCCTACCAAGGCCGTCATGGGACGAATTTGTGCTGTACCTCACGAGCAGCAGCTAGGAGTGGGAAGGGCATCATACCTCCATATTTGAGGTCAGTAGGCCAAAGAACTCAATGAAGCATTGCGGCATAACTCTGAGCTATAGGCATTGCACAGGGGGTAGCCCGGTGCACAATGGTCCGCTATACGGCGTCCGGAGTAATATATTACCGTTCGCCGCGACACCAGAAGCAAAATATCCCCACGTGATCGCGCGTCATGCAGGACGCGTCTCATTTGAAGCCACACTAGGCGACTCGTCGACTTAATCAATTCTATCCGTGCCAGCAAGATGAGTTCCTCTGCTGATGACAATGTACTGGTCCCGAGCTCGCAGACAGATGATGACAATCCGCGCGCACGCAAACGTCAACGGAGGAGACGGCGATCCAGCCATACAGATGACGACGAGTATGATCTGCCATCATATGGGGAAGTCGACGACGAAAAAGAGGAGAATGAGAATCGAAAATCCAAATACGAAGATCGCACTCATTATCCAGAAGCAGAACGACTGCCCGACACTTTCGTAACGCAGTTGACACAGCAATGGTCGAGTCCCTCGAGAATCAGAGGTGCTCGCTGGATGAAACCTCGCAACAGTCCCAGCCCTTCACCGGCAAGGCTTCCTGCTCGGTCCACAACCTGCACTGGTGATAGCGCCGTCCCCGAGCCCGCTGCTGGTGAGTTTGAAGTTGAGGATGAGGACGAGGCCGCTTTGTTGGCCGCTCTTGAAGCTGTGGAGGCTGCTCAGCCTGTTCTTCCTGCCAGCGGCAATTCACACAATACCTCTACAGGAAGATGTCCGATTCAACGAAGCACATCTTTTCGCCAGACTACTCTTCATGGAATGCATATAACGCAACAGGATCCTCCTCGGACCCAATCACAGGCCAAAACACATAACTGGCCACTGATCAACCGAAACGAGACGCCCACGCATCACAGCATTGACCGCGAAGCCATGACAACATGGGTGTACCCAACAAATCTAGGCAGGATCAGAGATTATCAGTACAACATCGTGCACAAAGGTCTCTTCCACAACCTACTTGTTGCTCTTCCAACCGGCTTGGGCAAGACGTTCATAGCCGCTACCGTCATGCTGAATTGGTTTAGGTGGACCAAAGACGCGCAGATAGTCTTTGTCGCACCAACAAAGCCTCTGGTATCCCAACAAATCGACGCTTGTTTCAACATAGCGGGCATCCCTCGCTCAAAAACCACAATGCTGACGGGAGAGGTTTCGCCGGGCATTCGAGCAGAAGAATGGCAGGCGAAACGGGTCTTTTTCATGACCCCTCAAACTTTGCTCAATGATTTGCAGAACGGCATGGCCGATCCGAAGAAGATTGTTCTTATCGTGGTGGACGAAGCGCATAAAGCCACCGGAAACTATGCCTATGTCGAAGTGGTGAAATTTCTGCGGAGGTTCAACACGAGCTTTCGTGTGTTGGCCCTGACAGCCACCCCGGGCGCCAGCGTGGAGGCAGTACAGAAAGTAATTGATGGTCTTGGAATCGCTAGAACCGAGATCAGGACCGAAGAGTCTCTTGATATTCGTGACTTTGTGCACGACAGAAATGTCGAGACTCAACTGTTTGACAATTCCGACGAGATGAGCATGTGTCTCGAGCTATTTTCATCAGCCGTCCAACCTCTCATGAACAAGTTGAACGGCCAGAACGCGTACTGGGGCAAGGACCCAGAAAAGATCACGCTCTATGGTCTCAGACTTGCGCAGAATAAGTGGGCCGCCTCTGAGCCCGGAAGAAGAGCATCTCCAGGCATCAAGAATATGGTTCACGCAATCTTCGCAGTGGTAATGAGCTTGGCGCATAGTTTGGAACTCCTCAAATACCATGGTCTTGGACCCTTCTACCACAAGATGAAGCTCTTCGCCAGCGGTGAGGCTGGAAATGGAAAATATGTAAAGCAAATCACCGAAGACGAGAACTTCAAGAAGATGATGTCTCGCCTGCAAATCTGGATCAACGATCCCAACTTCATTGGCCATCCGAAGCTTTCATACCTGAAGGAGGTGGTTTTAAACCACTTCATGGATGCCGGGGAGGGCAGGGGAAACACCTCTCAACCAGCCAACACGCGTATAATGATCTTCGCCCACTATCGCGACAGCGCCGAAGAGATTACTCGCGTCTTGAACAGACACGGGCCGATGATCCGAGCCCACGTCTTTGTTGGACAATCTGGCACGAAAGGTTCCGAGGGCATGGGCCAGAAAACCCAGCTTGACATCATCAAGAAGTTCAAGGCAGGCACCTACAACACCATTGTCGCCACGTCTATCGGCGAAGAAGGCCTAGATATTGGAGAAGTCGATCTCATTGTCTGTTACGATTGCTCCAAGTCACCCATCAGGATGTTACAGCGGATGGGTCGGACGGGCAGGAAAAGGGCGGGCAATATCGTACTATTGCTGATGCGTGGGAAGGAAGAGAGCGATTACTATCAGGCCAAGGACAATTACCAGAAGATGCAGGAAAAGATCGAGAGTGGCAGAGAGTTCCAGTATCACGAAGATCTATCACCACGAATTATACCCAGAGAGATCGTACCGTCTGTTGATAAGCGTGTTGTGGAGATCCCGATCGAAAACACACAAGACGGCTCCCTTGAGCCGAAGAGAAGAAGGGCGAAGAACCCTAAAAAGCCACCGAAGAAATTTCATATGCCGGATGGAGTCGAAACTGGGTTCACGTTCCTAGGCAAGGGAAAGAAAGGGAAGAAGCAGGAAAGGGCGAAAGCGAGGATAGTAGAGTCCCTGACGGATAGGCGCATGGCCCCCTTGCCGTCTCTCGAGACAGTGCTATTGACGGCCTCAGAAGAGGAACAGCTGGATGAGAGATACGTCAAATTGACAGGCACCGAGGACCAGTACATTCAGCACGTGAGATTCGATGCGTTTCCCAAGCAACAGCAGCGCCTGAGCAGGACCACAGCCGTCAAGCATTCGAGAGCAACCAAGACGCTCGTGAAAGCTTTCAAAGCCATGCACGATCCCCTTCGAGACTGGGAGCGACCATGGGAAGATGAGAGGCTGGAAGATGAGAATGAAACACCGAAGCCTGCTGCGAGAAAGGCTGTAAACCCTCGAAAGGCTCAGCGTCAGTCGACCGAACGTCCACGGCATTCTTCACCTGTACGCTCTTCGGCAACTCATGGCTCAATCGGCGACTATGATGACGAGGACAGCTTCATTGACGACGGAAGCCTGGCTCAGTTTGGCGCCGGGGCGGAATCAAGCGACCGGGATATATCTCCTCCAGAACCGTCACCCGTCGCCCTAAAGCCATTCTGGATCTCACAGGAAAGTGTTGGCTTCGACACCACAGGTGAAGAAGAGCTGCCCGAACTTACATCTCTTTTTGACACGAGCAAGCCCATAACTGCTCCTGCCGCCCTAGCCATATCACCGGCACGGAAGGGGAAACTATCAATATCGAGGCCGAGCAGAACACGACGTGTGGTGGATAGCGATGATGAGGATTGAAGTAGAGATAAAGCCCCATGCATGCTTGAATCTGTGAAGGGCATTTCATGATGATCAGTATATGCCTGGGATCACTCGACAGATAAGACACCATAGCAGCCAGGATAGGCAGTCGGGCTTCTTCAAATGGGTGTTTTGGGTAGAGATGCGGCATTCTGGGATTGTTGTAAGTCACCTACCTATGTATTGTTAGTATTCCTGGTGTTATGGGACAGCAAACCGAGTGGCGAGGGTTAGGGTCATTATCACTCAAGCTGTCATGCCTTCGTAGAGGGAGCCTTTTTCAATGCAAGTCCGCGCGAATGAAGACAGGGTGCGCTTGACACGCTCGCCAGCAGTTGAGAGACGTCTTGAGAGCGCGGCCATTCGCAAGGAGATCCAGTTGAAGGAATGGCAGCTTGAGTGATAATGACCCTAACCCTCGCCACTCGGTTTGCTGTCCCATAACACCAGGAATACTAACAATACATAGGTAGGTGACTTACAACAATCCCGGATCAGAGCAAGGAACTTCCCATATACCCGCAAACATTGGGTACGTAGGAACCTGGAGTGATACCTTGCCTTCATCTCGTTCGTAACGCGCGTGATTCTGACTATCAAGAACTATCTCCGTCCATGGCAAGAACAGTGCTATAAACAGTGGTCTAGATACCTAGACTGATACTTATTGGACGAGAGAAGAAGCCACGAGATTGACAAGTTCAGCTCTTTGGTTGACGTCTCTGAATTCGTGATGAAGTTTTGACTTAAAATGGTGTCTGCTTCCTTTCCAGAAATGCCGTCTCTCTCGAGCTCAGCACTACTATAAATAACTTCTCTGGTGGTTTATTTTCGGGCGCGTGCTTCACGTTGCAACGCCCTCGTATGCCGCAGAGCACCGCGTGGAGAGCGGTCCTTTGATCGCATCGTCGAGCGGCCCTGAACCCTCAGGCCTTGTCGTGACCAAACAGTGAGTTCGGTTCAGATGTTCATCATTCCGCGGCGGAAAGCCTTAGACTAGGTGATTGCTCCAGGTTCAACGAACGTGGTAGTGGCTGCGACTTTGAAATGCTGAGTTCTCCATGAGATGACTCGGTGACATTGAGGTTACAATTCTGAGCCGGGACAAGACTTGAGTCTGAAACCCAAGCAGAGATTTGCAGGCTTTGAGCGATTCATCCCATCTCTTTGTCGGCATCCTGGGTGGTATCATTGTTGGTGACTGGATCTTGTAAACCTCGATCTGCCCTCTCCACGAATTCCCGTGCTCGACTTATGAGCTCCCGTTTCATCCCAGCTCCTACCTTATCGCTAGCTCTTGCATTCAACCAACTTGGGTCTAGAGGACCGCCTCCAACTTTGGTCAGGCTACTGTCGCCTCCGAACGCTCGCCCTCTTCTGCTATCTCTTTCATCGCCTGGTAGTATGAGGTTGGCCTCTTCCAACGCGTACACTTGTCGGCGGAGTCGGACTTCAATCGATGATAGAGTCGAAAAGTAGGTGTCTGCAGCAGTGGTGAAAGCAGCGCGGGCTGCCTCTGGGTTCTGAAGAGCTGTCGCCTGTGCCTCAGAAGTCGGCTGGTTAGAAAGAATGCCGATCGCTTCAGAGGCAGCAGATAGTAATGTCGAAATTGACCTATCAATCTCGTTCAACTCCGCAATACGATCTGCTGGGCTGAAGCTTGAGGCCTCAGCTGAAGCAGGAACATCAAGGTCCATATTCATGCCATTCCATGCGAACAAACAATACTTGTACGGTTGGAAGCATTCCACGTCGCATGTGTGAATCCAACTTGATCGCTGGAACAATCGTTGTGAATGAGGAAGGTTGACCGACGAGCTTGGCCTAAAGAAGATTAGCGCTGCGTAGAACATATCAGACTTGGCAGGTAAGGATGTGCCGTGCTTGGACTGACTCTCATCTTAGAGACATCATCACAGCCCTCATCGCATCGTTTTTCGCGTCTTGATAACCTTCGATCTCTCCTAATGATACCCTGATAGCGAATACTCCCTTCAGCTGGTGCATGAGAGCGCTGCGACAATGTCCGGGCAGACCGCGCCCAGCCCGGCGCCGCGAAGCGCGAGTACAGGGCCAAATGGGCCTTTGGCGACGCCGACTTCTGCACCCCTGGTAAATGGAGCTGCGAACACCTCAGCTACCGGTGCACCTGCTGCTGCGCCTGCACCATCGGGAGGTGGAGGCGGTGGAATGAGTCAACAAAATCTTAACCAGATTGTAAGCATGGCCCTTTCTGGTCTGTTTACCTGTTTGCTTGTTTGTCTCTCGTAGCGGGGAAGCCGAGAGCATCCCAGCCCCTTGAGCCCCTTGATTCTTCCATTTGGTCTGACAGCACTTGGGTATCCATGGCTGTTGGTGATGAGGTTGAACAAGAACTGCATGTCTTTCGCGCTCTGCGGTTTGGCTCTTACAGCATCATCAGCAGATTCCAAAATGGGCCTTGGATGGTTGATGTGGCAATATGATAGCATGCATTGCCCGCAGATTGGAAGAGGACGACGTGACTGACTGTCTTACAGGTGATTGATTACTTGGCCAAGAAAGGCTACCACAGAACAGAAGCCACACTACGAGCTGAATCATCAAACCAAGAGATTCCCAAGGACGGCGATATCAGTCCCGCCCCAAAGGGTCCACCCCGTTACTATGAGATGTTTGCGCGCCTACGAGCTTGGACTGACGACGCTCTCGATATCTATAAACCCGAGGTGAAGCGCCTTCTCTGGCCCATGTTCGTCTATTCGTACCTCAGCCTGGTGAAACAATTTTACACTAAGGATGCAAAAATGCTGTTTCAAAAATTCTCCGAGGATTTCCGGAAGGAACACGAGTACGATCTCCGTAGCATCGAGAAAATCACCCTTCCTGAACACAGCGAAGACAAGACCGCAAAACTCTATCGCGACAACAAATACCGCCTCTCACTCAGCAACTCCGCCTTCATCTACTTTATGCAATTCCTCGAAAGCCTTCCTCAACCAGGGTTCAAAATTTTCATTGATATTGTTGAAAAAAATCTAGATCTTCGACAAGTCGAGCGTACTGCCGATGATCGCTATAGCTTCGCATCTATTATCCAACGTGGGATCGATGGCCAAGATATGCCGGCTGAAGATGAAGGCATTCCAGGCCACCGCCCCGGAAACGCTGTATCATCCACTGACCCGACTGTTGGTAATAACCTCGCGACGCTTAAATTGGGCAAATTACCCTTGGATAAAGAAGTCGAAGAAGATGTTCGAGGCGATTTAATGGACTTAGATCTTGCGGCACCTCCTCTTCCTGACCAGCCATCGCTGGTTCAGGTTCATGAGCAGCTCAACATCAAACAGGAAGATGAAGACGAAGGGCCGACACGCGCTGAGATCCCCTTCCCACCCTCCACAGCCCGTGATGTCGCTCTCGAAGTTCAAAAGATTCGCGAAAATAGAGACCGGGTCAAGATCGAATCCCGCACGGGCGGCGTAGGGCCCGCTGTCAGCGTCGTGATGTACACCTTCCACAACACCCACGATAGCGTGTGCTGCCTCGACTTCAGTGGTGACCACAATCTCGTTGCAGCAGGGTTCCAGGAGAGCTATATCCGTGTCTGGACCATGGACGGTAGTCCGCTGGGACAACCTGTCAACGGCCAACCTCAGAATTCTCAGCGCCTCATCGGCCACTCAGGGCCCGTGTACGCCGTGTCCTTTTCACCTTCAAGCTGGAAGCCGAGCGCAGATTCTGGCCCTACCGATGCCAAGTGGCTTCTTTCATCCAGCGCAGATGGCAGCATCCGTCTTTGGAGCCTGGACGCCTTTGCCTGTGTCGTCGTATACAGGGGACACGTGGGGCCCGTTTGGAGCGTGACTTGGGGTCCATTCGGACACTATTTTGCAAGTGCAGGCCACGACAAGACAGCACGGATCTGGATGACCGACCATATTCGCAATGTCCGGCTCCTCGCAGGGCATGATGATGACGTTGACGTTGTAACCTGGCACCCGAACAGCAGCTACGTGTTTACTGCGTCGTGTGACAAGACGGTCCGCATGTGGGCGCTCAACAACGGCAATCCAGTACGGATGTTCACCGGCCACACGTCGACCATCACGGCTCTGTCGTGCTCGCGCAATGGCAAGATTCTAGCTAGCGCCGACGACACGGGTGTGATTCTGCTCTGGGACCTGGGTCCGGGGAGACTGCTCAAGAAGATGCGCGGACACGGCAAGGGTGGCATCTGGAGTCTGAGCTGGAGCGCCGAGTCGACGGTATTGGTGTCCGGCGGTGCTGACTGCACAGTGCGCACATGGGACGTCACCGGCCCTGCGAAAGAGGCTGCAGCAACTGCGGCGAAGCCCGACGGTGCTGCTGGTCCGGGAGCCAAGGTCGATGGTGCAGGAGGCGGTGCCGGCGGTGCCGGCACAAGTACAACGCCAGCGTCGAACCTCGCTCTTGCTTCTGGCACGGCCACTGGAGCCCCCGGAGTAGTTGGCGCGGGCGTGCACAAGAAACGAGGCAAAGACGCCGTTGTCACCAGCGACCAAATCAGCGCTTTCTTGACAAAGCACAGCCCCGTGTACAATGTCAAATTCACAAACATGAATCTTGTCATTGCAGGTGGTGCGTATCTGCCGGAGCAGGCGAAGTAAAACCAGACCCAGGGACAACATTGGGATCTTCTCGCATCTGCAATCTCTAATCGGGCTAGAGCGAGATATTGACTCGTTCTGCTGGTGCGAATGTTGAAAGGTCATATAGCAGAGCCACTCTACTGTGGTATGAGAATCCAAACTTTGAAGCCATTGAAGTCCAGGGACGGATGACATGTATGTGTATTTCATGGGGGCAAAGAAAATGGAGACATCATGGAATGGCGCTTCTTTTGGTGCCCAAAGGGGGTTCCCTACCTGTGCATTTATCGGGACGGGTATAGCGGGCCACAGCTAGAGGAGGTGCAATATGGGGGTTTCCCTTGGCCTGCCCGGAGCCACCGCGTTGAATCTGTCTACGTAGCAGAATGCAAACCATGTAGTTGTACTTTGTATTCGTAATTCATCGCAGCATCTTTTTCCCCCCCGAGCGTCGAGACTCGCTCGATTCAAAAGGAGCTCTGGCATAAAGTAGAGGTCACCCTGCTTCAATACTATTGGGTTAAGGTCATTCCTCAGGTTTTAAGTATTCATTCGATACATGTATATGTACATGGTCAGCGTAAGACATGGTCACGTGAAGGCACTTGCAATTCTACTCCTTGCCCTGATCTTCGGCCCGTTGAAGTAGAGAACCCAGGGCACAAGCGTCAACAAAGCAGCGATGCCACCTAGCAAACCGCTGGCTCCCTGAAACCCCAGGTTGAGAAACATTTGTTTCGTAACGAGGGGGAATGAGCCGCCCAGGAGGTTTCGACATAGCCCCGAAGCGGCGAGAGCCGAGCTGGCGTAAATCTGGTAGACGTCCGCAGTATAGTTGAATGTGGCGAGAAAGATGCTGAATATGCCCATGGTCGATATCATAATGCCTATCGTCGGAACTATCCAGTGGATCGATGGGTAGCATGTGAAGCCGAACCAGAAGATCCCAATAGGCATCAGAGCCGACTCGACACAGGCGAACGCAAGTCGACCTTCAGGGGAGCCGTTGAATTTCACAGGATTGCGTTTGACGGCGTAGTTTTCCTGATGGATGGAGAGAATCGTCGAGAAAATGCCACCGATACAGATGGAAGTGAATACAGCGCCGGTTTGTTCTAGGGAGAACCCATGGTTGACCTCGTACACTAATGGGATGGAGCCGAATTGCAAGTAGAGGATGGCCCAAGAGAAGCCGACCCACAAGCTGAAGAAGAATACCACAGGTTCGGTAAAGAGCATGTGAATCGGTCGATACAGGGATGTGGCGATCATGCGACCTATGGAGGACCGTTCTTCATCGGCCTTGACTCTCCATCTGATGCGGCGCGTTGTTCGGCGGTCTTTGTCTCGACCGACGCAGTCAAGTACCAGACCTGTGGCACCAGCCCGTTCTAACTCCTCGTACCACTTATTGAGGATCCTGGCCTTTCGACTTAGGATGATGGTTCCCCGAGTTTCTCTGAAGAAAATTATGACAAGAGATACTAGAGCGCCGCTTGTCATGACTTGGATCCAGAACACCCATCGCCAGGACAGATTTTGGGCGACAAAGCCACTCACCAGTGGCCCAAGGCCTGTAGATGGTCAGAATGAGACGAAGGCTGGACAATCATCTGAGCTGTGCTAAGACTTGCCTGTACCAAGTAGCGTGGCTCCAGTGAAGAGGACCATAGGAGTATTTCTCTCAGCCGTGATCCACACGTCCGCGAGGATGCCTCCGACCATGGTTGAAAAGGTCGCTAGAATTTATCAGCACGGCAGGACCATCGAGTGCGTAGCACATCTCACTTACAGCCTCCAACGCCAAGAAAGAAGCGAGCAGCAAGCATGCCGCCATAGGATTCGGTTACAGCACAGCACACCTGACATACTATGGCCTCGGTTAGCGACTTGCTCTGTGACAGTGCCGAGAAAGTACACTTACTGACAAAGAGTGCACCAGTCGCGATAAACACCGGTCTTCTTCCGTTGATTTCTGAGAAGGGGGCCAGGACCATCGGGGCAAACCCAAATCCGCAGGTGAAGATGGTGATACCGACGTTATATGCCACTTCTGATACGCCCCATTTCTCCGTCAACTGGAAAGCGGGCGCAGCATAAGAGCCCGCTGAATAGGCCGCTGCGATGTTTGCCGAGCATGAAAGCCATGTCATCCAGTTCTTCCTCGTTCTGGACCACGAAAATGGATTGTCATAGTGACGTAGATCTGGAGGTGGTGGATAATCACGTTGCAAACCCGCTGGAAATGCCGGAGTCAGAGGGATGTCTGATTCGAAGGTGAGGTGGAGATAGTCAATCTCTCCCTGCGATGAGCTGGGATCCGCCGCTGAGCGTGGATGGTCGTGGATTGGAACATTCTGCAGCTCATTATGCTCAGGTCTCGGAAGGACTAATTCCTGGTCCAAAGATCCTTCATTCTGGATTGTGACATGCTCTTTGAGCATGGCCAGAGCAACGAGGATCACGGAAAGAAAATCGCACAAGTGATCGAATGCTAGCTATGTCTCCTTCCGACGAGGACACATTAACTGCGGCCGCCTCCATATATACGCATATGCAATGCTCCATGTGCAGAAGCTTGAATGAGGGGGAGGACCCATCAAGATTGCTAGCCTCGGACGCAGATTTGCGTTGCGGATACGGATAAGTAGGGGTGGGATGGGAGGAAGACCGAAGTCTGATCATCGAAACTCATCTCGAATCCGGAGACTCATTTTCTTCCCCGCGAACAGCAGCCATTCACCCGAATTGGGGAACTTGACCGATGCATCGCTTTGGTTGATCAACACCGACAGAGACGTGTTGCTGATGTTCTGTTTCCGCGGAACCAAGGTTGTTGCATACCTCAGAATGTAGCGAGCGATTGCTCTGGGGCGTGATCGCTTCAAGCTTGTAGTACCAGGCGTAGGGAAGTAACTCACCTGATACGGCTTCACACGTTGCCAGAGGTCCTCCCGGGCCTTTGTCTTAAAATTGTTTCCTAGCAGCCGATACAACCATGCTCGAGGCTTCGTAGTTCAAATTATCAACGATGAGAGAGAATATACCACATTGTCTTACGCAGTCACTTGAGAAGATCTTGAGATGGCTGAAGGGAGGAACCAACATCTAAGTATCTAATCTTATCTGTGCAGCGGAACGGAGTAAATTGTATCCGCTCCCTCTGCGACTTCAACTTTGGAGCGCTCGGATGGTTCACTTCTGACCCGACTCTATGGCTCATCATCATATGCGTGTGATATATCCTGCAGTTCTTACTGACTTGACACTCACGCTCTGGTTGAGAGCGTCTCGTTCGAGATAACGTCGCTTCCCCATCCATTGAGGGTCTTCCTCCCCATGATCCAACTCTCCACCCTCCCTGGTACGAGTAAACGTCATGATCCATGATTCATACATGAATATGACCATGGCCACCGGCTATGATGCTGCTGCTGTCGGGTTTGGCTTCCTGCTCTTCTGGCAAATCATGTCGAGGTTTTCGCTGAGATGCAAGTTCTCGGTTGCGTTTCCAAGATATACATAGCTCTGGATCCTTCACGTTTGCAGTTTCGCCCTTATATGTATACCTTAGCATCGTTAGGCTATTTGTGGGACTATCAACAAGATCTTGTGTGTATTTTGGCTTCTCAATCAACATGGGTTTACCAAATCAGACGTCAAGCAAAGAGATGGTGAAGAACAAGAACAAGAATGGTGAGCAATCAGTTTCATGCCACCGTCCGCTACGACTGACTGCTCTCAAGTGGCCGGAGGGCTTTTAGCACCGCTCACAAAAGACTATCCTGTCGGATACTATAGGGACGGCTATTGTAGAACCGGCCCCGACGACCCTGGAAACCACTCGGTTGGAGCCACCGTCAACCAAGAGTTTCTTGAATTCACAAAGTCAAAAGGCAACAATCTGGAAAAGGCAGGCGTCAAAGATGGAATGAGATGGTGTCTATGCGCCACTAGATGGAAAGAAGCATTTGATGCGGCGCAGAGAGGGCACCTCGCGCAGTCTGCCGTCCCCCAGGTGCATCTCCATGCCTCGCATGACAAAGCGCTTGAAGTTCTTCAATACAGCGACATGCGCAAGTATTCTCATGGTGGTGAAGTACCTGCAGGCCAGAATAGGAACCGACAGGCCGATTACCATTCGGGCGACACGCGGCGCGGCATAGTGAAGGAGAGCAGTGAGATCAGTGGACACTGAGAGACCACAGGAGGCTTGGGGCCGCGGACAGATTCTCACAACAACAAGGACAGCAAGAGTGAGGGGGGAAGACGTGACAAGTGACGGGTAGTCTAGAGTATGAGATGAAAAATAATGAGCAGTGGTGATTGTACCTTCGTCGCGCGCTGCGCATATGCTTCGCTGCAATGCAAATATAGCCGAGGATGAGCGATGTCGCAACCATGGGGAAAGGCTTCATACCTCTCATCATCTTGTCAACTGCCGCCCAGTGCAAATCAGAGCGACACTCTCCAGCTACCAGACAATTCCCTACCCACATGATGACGATTTCCTCTTCTTCATCTCCATAGGCGCAATCATCTATCGCTTGCACAGCCTCTCCGCATATCACCCCGGCACGAGCCCATCTATGACACTGTCTTCTTAACACACATCCCACCCTTGCGGGGGATATCTCACCTGTACCTCTGACATAGCAAGGAATCCAGTCCACGGTGCTGCTGAAGTCATGTCTGACTCTGTCGGTATGCTGCTTCCATCCACCTGCCTCTCATCTTCCCTATCTCACAGTTGGGCCCACCAGATCGCGTGTTTGTACACGCCCTAGCCACCGTCCGCCGGCTGCCACGGACAGGGTCGTCGAGGCCTCCTCCCTCAGCACGCCTTCAGCTCTATGGACTCTACAAACAGTCCATGGAGGGCGATGTCGAGTCGATCCTTCCTCGCCCCACGTTACCCACTGTATCGCCCGATCCCAACAACTCTCGGTCGAACAACGTCCACCGCTATGCCTCCCGAGACCTACGTATCCGTGAAGCGGAGGCCGAGATCGAGAAATGGGATGCATGGCACAGCTGTGCAGGCATGTCTAGGACAGAAGCCAAGAGACGTTATATCAGCACATTGATCGAGACGATGAAGGAATATGCAAGTGGAACGCAGGAGGCACGTGAGCTCGTGGCCGAACTTGAATTCGTCTGGAATCAGATAAAGAGCCAGACTGGGAGTTCCGAGGACGAGGATGCTGACTCGCCTACGCGACGGCTGGAAAGGGCTGGACTTAAGCAGACCCAAAGCTTTGCCAGTATACCTCCGAGTCAGAGTAGTAGATCAGGTAGGCCAAGCCAGGCCATTGGCCGCTTACAATCCGACCCGAATCACCTGCGAGTCTTGTCGCCGGTGTCGCAGCGTGACAGTGATGGGGTCGTGGAAGGTGAAGAGATTGATCCTGAAACTGGTGCGCTACTAGGGCCTACTACACCCGAAGAAGAACCACCTGTCCCTGCGCTTGAATGGAGAAAAAGCATCGAGCAACATCTGAGGCATCTATCGACCGAAGTTGCCGCATTGCGTGAGCAATTATCAGCGAACCATTTACTTTCGTCCCAGTCCCTTTCTCCATCTCTAACCTCAAGACGACGGAGAATATTCTACAGAGTCTCTACCTGGGCAAAATGGTTGACCTGGGTTCTGGCGAGGCAATTGATCTTGGATGCAGGTTTGGTGCTCGCCTTCATCCTATGGGCCCGATGGAAGGGGTACAAAGAACGCAGAGTGGAAGATTGGGCAAGAAGACGGTGGAACGAGCTTCGGAGAGGGTTCGTTATCCTCGACGATTGGCTCAAAAGAACAATACCCATATCCACGAGTCGGGCACTGGGAATAACCAAGGCCTAAGGTCTCACATATCATGAGTCTGAAACCAAACATATTCAAGGTCTGAGGACATTTCGAATACGACGAACCCTTGCCAAACGAGGGTGACAATCCAGCTCGCCCAGGACGAGACAGCGACCAAGAGCATTACAGGAACAACTGTGATTTAGCAATTCACGGCCAGTGCGTGGCTAAGACTGTCCTTCTCAAAGTCGATCCTATATAAGGTGGGCGAAAGTCGAAAATTGGCACGATGGATGTTCAGGGTCTTGACGAAGAACAATAAGAGTCAAGTTTTGCCCTTTCATCTGGCCGTCGAACTCTTGTGCTTCGCAGCACGTTATCCGTGGGATATGATGCCAGCTGTAGGACATATCGCGCAACCGCATGGCAACATATCTTTGCATCTTCTTACACGACTTAAGAATGCATTACCTACGTTCTCGGCCATGTGACGTGACGCTTGCGTTCTCAACGAAAAAACCGGCGGCCTTCGTTATCCGCCATACGGACTGAGTGGATGCAAATACGATGATATGAGTGTACGCATTGCGATGGGGATTTGTGATTCTGAACTATTGCCGCATAAAAGGTCTCGGATCTCGGGATATACTTCTTGGTTCGCGATATCTTACTGCTTTGGTTTTGTTCTTGTATAGCATAGATGCAGATGTTAGAATTGGGCTGAGTCGAGATCAGTTGGGACCAGCTAGAAAAGAGAAACCATCACACTTAATGCTGTGTGGAGTTTGCTAGCTGATCATGAGGGTACGATGATCTCCTTCAAACTGGCGTGTTCTCTCTGCGACTTCAGAGGTGGCAGCCCAATCAATGAAGTTGTCACTTCTACTGCAGTGCAAAGAAGCGTCTGCTTGTGCACTTAGCCCAATGTTACTGGTTCAGACAAAGATCTCCCTATCGCCAAAGTGAAGCGCTACCCATATCTCATGCAGGTGAATCGCGAGCTGGCCAACTGTGGTTTGTTTATGGCCAATAAGAACGGCGCTTGGCGAAGCCCATTCTGGCTTCGACACCCTCGCGCTTCTTTCACTCACACCAACTCACCTTCATTGTATGTGTCTTCCACCAACCTCTTTCTGCGCCATCCGGCCTCATAGGACACGGACAAGTGTTGATTTCCTGCTTTGTAGCGTTCGGGGAGTCTGGGATGTCGCATGTTATGAGCGGCGGCCCTTGAATCATCCACGACTGTATCGATGGCCTCCGATCAACCGAGCCAAGAACTTTCGCAAGGCCAACACTTGTTCGTCAGAGCAGATGAAGTCGACTCCGGCACCACGATATTATCACCCGGGAAAGAGCTGCCCTTGAGTGCGCTGAGCCCTTCCGATCCGACACCTGTAGGAAGAAGACCCAAGGCTCCGCCTCGCCCAGGTCTACGACGTGAAGACTCAGCACCACCTCCGCCTCCACCTTCGCAACCGCCTCCTGCCCCTCCAACACAAACAGATCCCACAGATTCTCTCAGCCTTCCACAGCTGCGGCAATTAGTGAGCCAATTCCCTAAAATCGAGCAGCAAGCATACGCTTTCCAATATAGTGATGCCGAGGACTACGAGCCAGAAGTCGACGAGTGGTTCCACTACACGGAGCTAGAACAGGACCGTGACTATCTTCTGGTGTCTCGGGAGTCATTCGAGCAGCGATGGAAACAGTTCTCTCAAGAACATGATCTATCGGATGACTTGACGTGGATTACGGTGAGTCCCGACGATCGCCAGCTTTTCTTGTCGGAAATCCGCAAGGACTTGGCACAGACATCTTACGATGACCGCCTTGACGCTCTATGCTGTATATTCTACATTCTGACCGGTGTCTGGAGCGTGACATCTGGCCTGGAACCGAAGCGTCCCGCTAGGGAAAATGAGGATTCACCAAAACTCGAGGATGACCGACCTAATCTTGTTCAAGTGCAGTGGATGCACAAAGGCGCGGACGAGATTCAGCAAAGTGGGATCATACCTGATATCTACGCTTGCTTAATCAATGCGGCGAAGGCTCCTGATTACCATCGTGTACAGCAGGACGACGCGGATGATCTTGGTGATGGCGCCTTTGGAGAGGCCGAGTATAGAGAACTCAGTCTCTGTCTCTCACCGTTCTATCTGCTGGTTGAATCTGCCAGGGTACGGATTAATGGTGATGCTGGGAAAGCGATACGACGATCGATTGCTTCGTTAGAGCCCAGTTTCCTCGTCTTTCTTACTAGCATCATTTCACGGCTGAGATGGGACGAATCATACAACATACCTCTCATGCATGCCCTACAACTGTTCTGGAAGTCGATCCTAGTACTGTTTGGGGACCTGAAAGAACATTTGGGAAGGATAAAAAGCATTCTACAGCCACGAGTCGATCCATTCTCGGCGGATGCTGCACACCCCGTTCTGACGGCCTCTCCACTAGACTACCATCAATTTCGACAGGAAATCACCTCGAAGTATCCTTCGTACAACCCCCCGCTACCCTTGATTCCTCTCGAGACGGAACAGAAAACAATGCTTCCGCCGTTGCCGCCACAAAGCCGAGCTGATTCCGTGGCCCAAGCCTATTCTCAACCTGGAAATGCTACGCGTGGCTCGATCTTTCACCAGCCCGTCCACATCGCCACTCCAGCCCCTTCACCGCCCCCTTCGCCCGTTGGACCAGGTGGCAAGGCAGGCAAAAAGCAGAATTACCAGACGAACCAGAATTTCCCTTTCCTCTATCCTCCGCTCGACAGCTCTAGCAATTCAATCGGCGGCAAGGGGTCGACTGAGATGCAAGATCTGATGGTCGGGAAGCAGTGGGAAGGCAGCGATATCCCTCTTTCAATCATTGAAGCTGGGGAGCTGTTTGCGAGTCGAATGAGGATGACGAGAGCCATGCGCCAGCTATGGAAGGAGCGAGATCTCTTTATGAAATATGAAAGAGGTTGGCGTGCTGATAAGTTCGGATCAACTGACGAGAGCAGCGAAGATGCGCAAGAAGAAAATGAATTGGACAGCCTAGACCCTGACCTACGGGCTCGCATGGAGGCTGTCGAAGAGTTTTTCCAACAAGCTCTGCCCGACCTCCAGTCTCTAGTCATAGTCATGATGAAGGTCATGTTGACTAATGTCCAGGATATTGCCGTGCGAAATGGTGGTATTCAAGATACATCTCAGACAGGTGGACTCAGCCGTTCTAAGTCGAACTCTAATATGGCTCAGACTCAGGGGCTACCTATGCCGCCGCCTCCGCCACGCCCGGCGGAGATGACCTTGGAAGATCTCGATAACGTCAGATCTCGAGAGATCAGTCAGAAAGCGGTGTCTGGAGCAATATTCTTGCTTCTAAAGTGGCTGAAAGCGTCGCACATCTTGAAGTTTGAATACATGACACAACTGTTGTTGGACTCTAACTACATACAGCTGACGCTGAAGTACTTTGCCCACCAAAACTTGGAAGACCTCGTGGCATTCAAATACGATCGAGATGATCTGAGCGTGTGGCACTACTGTCACGCACATTCCGACCATCCGCCACTGTCCCCCACCAGTCCAGGGGAAAGGTCAGAGACTTCAAGTATCGACGAGGCTGAGCCACCGCCAATTCCTCGCCAAAGGAAGTCGCCCATCCCAAATCCCGATGGCCAATTTAGAGAACCTGATCCTTCTCAAGGACTGGACGCCCCAAATCGTCCGTCGGTTGACGAACTCGGCAATCCGCTAGGGCCCGTTCCCTCACAACCAATCACTACATATTCATTTCGCCAGTTCCAGACTGCCATCCACCTTCTTCGCATATTACAAAAGCTCACTCGAGGCAAGTCTCACCGAATTCTATTCCTTGTCACATTCAAGTCTTCTCAGATTTTAAGGCGAGTCCTCCGTGTGCCTGATCCAACATTGCGCCTGTACGTATTGAAATTGTTCAAGTCACAAGTCCCTTACTGCGGGCGGAAATGGAGGCAGAGCAACATGCGTGTCATCACAGCCATCTATCTACATTGTCGACCGGAGTTGAGGGATGAGTGGCTTGCAGGGATGCACGATGCTAGTGTCGAAGGCGAGGTCGACGAGGCCGTGCCACTAGAATGGGCCCTGAGAGGTTTGACCTTCTGGTGGCAAAGACGTAGGTACCCTGGCGTCATGAGGAAAGGCAAGCAGGGTACGGTGCCCAACGGTAGGGGTAAGACCAAAGACCACGAGGATGACGATGACGTTGGTGAAGACGAAGATGAATACGAAGGTGGCCAAGGGATTGACGACGAAGAACGTGACTTCTTCCGCCGTGAGCTGGATGCGATAGGATGGGGCCTAGCGGGCGTCCGGATCGGCGACGGCACAGAAGATGTTGCGTTCGGCGAGGAGGCTATCGGTGTCAATGGCGGAACCAACTATGTCTCTACCAATGGTGCAGGTGGCAGCATGGGACTCGATCAGAGCGGGGTGCAGCAGACGCAAGGCCCGGTTCCAGCGGCACAGCCTCAATGGATTACGCCTGATGCGACAAGCATTGAAAACTGGCAAAACAGTTAGAGACTGGGACTGCATTCTGAACCAGGCCTCGACCATGAGGCGGAGGCGGAGGCGGAAGCTGATCCTTCTTGGTGGGATACTGCTGGCTATGATTATGAAGGGGGTTTGGATCACGTCATGGAGTCCAACCACGAAGGAGGCCACGAAGGAGACCAAAATCTGCGGCGGGGGATGCCGGGAACGTCGAACAGGCTGCCTTTCGAAGAAGCTCAACAGGAGAATAGGGAAGGGGTCGAGCAAGTGGAAGAAGTCGATTCGAACGGATTGAATGGACGCTCCAAGACAGGGTCTTGAGGTGCGTCGTAGAGCAGGTAAAGGGGGGTGGGGGCCGCTTCATGTTGAACTATATGGGAGCCGGAGAGATGCCTTGTGTGCGTCTGGTGACGACGGCGACGGCGGACTACGGTCCAGGCCGCGCTAAAGATGGAATGGACGGTCACGCTATGGGAGGGCCTCTATGATGTTGACTGCGACAACGAACAAGGAACAAGCCGTCTCGCCGCGTGTAGAGAGAGAGAGAGACAGAGAGAGATAGAACGGACAAGTACCAGAAGCGACCTAGGGTACTTGTGCAATGCGTACAGTAGCAATAGGCGCGAATGTCTCACAACATAGCGAGGTAGAAGAAGAAGAAGACATAGAGATCGTGTCAATGTGACGCAGGTGTCAGCCATTACGGAATATCATGTCATGTCATGCCATACATGATTGAAAGATAATACCTGATGTAGGCATGTACCCTTGGGTCAGGGCAAGGTAGTCAACCAGGACTATTGAGTGAGGGTTCCTGGTGTACCTACCTACCTACCTACCAAACCAAGCTACAGTACCTGAACTTCAGTCAGGTAACTACAGGTAAACTCCTCGTTATCAAATCATCAAACACCCCAAAACCCAAAACCCAAAACCCAAAACAAGAACAAAGAAAGAAGAGAGAACGACTCTGGTGTCTGAGCTGAGCTGAGCTGAGCTCTGATCTGTTTAATTTATCAAAGTTTGGCAGCAGGCTGCTTCTTCTTCTTACTGCCACCCACACCAGTGACTTCCGCCCCTGAGAGGATGAAGTCCGGGTAGGCAAAGTCGCCGCCGGGTGAGCCTCCGGACGTCCGCCAGGCACCGCCGTCGACGACCAGGTTGTCGGCCGTGACGTAGTTGCCGGCGTCGCTGAAGAGGAACACGGTGGCGTCCGCGATCTCCTTGATCAGCCCCCACCTCCCCAGGGGGATGCGCTTGCCCGCATTCGAGGCCCCGGCCTTGTGCTCCTTGGACAGCCTGTCCATGCCCTCGGTGCCGGCGATGGGGCCGGGGGCGATGATGTTGCTCGTGACGCCCAGCGGGCCGTACTCGATGGCCACGTTGGCCGAGAGGGCGTCGATGCCGGCCTTGGCCACGGCGACGTGCGTCTGCATCGGCAGGCCCGTGTAGTGGATGGTCGCGGACACGTAGATGATGCGGCCGCCGGGCGAGCCGGACGGCGAGTGCGGGAGCGACGACGACGAGTTGTGCTTCTTCGCCGACGCCACGAGGTGCGGCAGGGCGAGTTTCGTCACGTTGTAGGACCCCAGAATGTCAATGTCCATCACCGACTTGAAGGCGTTGGGCGACAGCTGCGCGAGAGGAGCGAGGAAGTTTCCTGCTGCGCCGGCACTATAGGTCAGGATGTATTGTCAGTGGTCGTATCCCAGAACGAGTGTACCTTGTACATGTAATATAGTCTGCAAGTGCCCTCCGTGGTCTTTGTTTGGGGAAGTTGTTCTCGTCTTGAGAAATACGAAGATAGGAGGTCGGGTCTTGACAACCAGCGCCCTCCTCCGCCCAACCTCCTCCATCAACCCTCTGGAGACCCCAGAAGTGATGTGCTTGTGGTATGGTACGGTATGCAGTACGGGTTGGGTTGGGTTGCGGATGCGGAGTATTAAATCAGGTATTGTACTGACATTAGGAAATCAATCCCCCCTAGTTCCTTGACACAGGTGTCGATCGAATTCTGTAGGGACTCGACGTTGCGCACGTCCACGGCGCCGATTCCCAGGACCTTGCTACCCGGTCGAGCCGTCGCGATGTCCTTGGCCATGCGTTCCGTCTTCTCGACGTTGCGACCGACGATGCATGCGTTGGCGCCCAGGTGGACCAGTGCCCGCACCTGCGCGGAACAGATGCTGCCGTTGCCGCCGGTACAAAATACAACCTTGTCGGTGAAGATGCCGTCTCGCCATACGGACGAGAGGTATTCGTGTTTCTGGAGAGGCATCGTAGCGGTGGAGGATGGATGGGGGGGGGAGAGGGATGCGAGGGGGCGAAGATCAAGTTGGACGGCAGCGGGCGAGGAACAGAGGACGTGAGAGACACCAGTTCGCGGAACTGTTCGAGTGAGTATGGGGTGTTTGGAGTGAGATTTCCCTTTGGGCGTCGAGAGGTTGTATAGTAATTCAAGTGCATCAGCATCAGCAACGGCCGTAAAACAATTGCGCCTCGGATGCGCCGAGGGTGTTTGGGTGTGGAGGACGTTGATCCGAGCCGAGGTTTGTTTGACGCAGTATGTACTGTATGTGCCTGAACGTAAAGCTTATTTAGGCGTTGGTGATTAGTATGGAGTAAGATACGGGGCATGTACAAGTAAAGTATCCCGGCTCTTTAAGTGCCGGGAGCTCCCTGTGTCCTGGGCGGCCCGGGGGAACCCGCCCCCAGTTAGAGCCACCTGACGTACCTAGAATGACCACCCAGGTATGTAACCACATCCTCTCTTATCTCGTCGTCTCCCGCCCATAATCATCCTCTCCAGTATATATCGATACACAGTATGTAGCATCTACCAACGAAAACACGCTCTCCAAGCATTACGCCCCCTACTCAGCTTCCATCGGACGTGATGATTCATTGATCACAACCTTGAACATCTTGGTGGCCATGCCGTAACTCTGTCCAACAGCATCGCTTGCATACACTCTCATTCCCTTCTCATACTCAGCCGTCAAGCCCTCTTTGTAGCCGCCTGCCTCGCGCAACAACCGTCCTAGCAGAGCCGAGTCTCGGACGGCGGTATTTGCACCAATTCCACCTGCAGGAGTCATTGAATGAGCCGCGTCTCCAATCACCGTCACGCGAGGCTCGTTGGGCCATTGTGGCACTCCGCTGGGAGTCGAGCAAGTGATCTTCCAGAAGGCGGCCTCGGCTTCATTCATTTCATCGAGCAAAGGCTTGAAGCGAGGGTGCCAGTCCTTCGTGAGGGACTTGGCAATGTCCGCCGCCGTCTTGCCCACAATGGTGTAGTCGTCGTTTGGGGGCTTGATAACTCCAGGCATGGCGGATAGCGTCCAGCCGAATTCCACGTTGGGGTCGTCCATGTCGTTGGGCCGCACGTTGGTGATCAGTCCTACTCGTCCAGAAGGTTTGGAGTCATCCTGAAGCCGAAACACGCCCTCCCCTAGACCCTTGAAAGCCGTCGTCGGTGCTTGTCCGTGGATGCCCCTTGCGCCGGTGTCGTAGACCTTGAGTCGGCCACCAGATACTTGCTTGGCCACACTCGACTTGAGGCCGTCACCCGCGACCAGGAGTGACCCTTCCTCCGATTTCGAGCCATCGTCGAAAATGGCTCGGACACCGTCGTCGGTCAGCTCATAGCCTTTGACGTGCTTGTTGAAGTGCACGAATTCCTCGCAGCCTTCCATAAAAAGCCTCCTCATCTCACCTCGGGCTATGCCTATAATCTTCCCGTCCCTCGATCCGAGACTCTCACCCATCTTGCTCTCTTCGAAGACTTCGCCCGTGACGGCATCGTAACCTGTAAACCCACGGCCTCCCGTCTTGCCGCAGCGGTCATAGAAGCGTTGGAAGGCCTCTGGGTCCAGAACCGACTCGATCGCATCCAACCCTTCAGACGACAGTCGCAGACGATATCCTTGTCCCCGGAAAGAAAGAGAAGCATCGCGTTCAAAGACCAGGAATGGAATCTTGGACAACAAAAGAGAGCGTGCAAGCAGGAGGGACGCCAGGCCAGCGCCAGAGATAAGGACAGGTTTTTGCGCCATGATGAGATTCTCTGACCAGCCTAGCTAGCGACGCATCGTGAAGCCAAGAATCCAAGCGCGTTGAGCATTGTTTCACCTACCTGGAGAATGATGCCGACATAAAGGGTTGATATCTAAGCATGCAAATTTCTAAGCAGCTTGTTCGGCGGGTTTTGTCAGTCGCAGACACCAGCGTGGAAACGCCATCTGACTTGCCCATGTCGTCAGGAAGAGAGGAGCCTTGGTCGGAATCGGTTTTCTTTGACGCCGACGCCTATTTGTTTACGTGATGGTCGATTCTCAGGTCAGTTTGATAGGATGATTCAGACACGGTCAAATCGAAGTATTTTGGTGACATGACTCAGCCAGTTGCTCGTTGCCTCCTGCAGCCTGATCACCTCGTTTTCGCGGCTTGGCCTTTGGAAATATTGTATCCTGTGTCAAACATCAGGGGAAATTTGCAAATCTGGGCCCTTTGGATGATGTGCCGCTCGGTAATCAAAGGAATCAGGATACAAGCTCAATGGCACCGACGTTCAACTTTACCTCGGACCCGACACTTTCATCTTTCGCCGTCAACCTGCAGACGTACATTGCCAGCGACCCAGGCCGAGAGACTTCCTCAGCTGACACAGTAAAGTTTCAATATGTCGCGGTGGGAGCCATTGTCTTCGCCTCCTCCGACCCAGAGCGTGTCCTACTGGTTCAGCGTGCTGCAACTGACAGTGCGCCGAACAGATGGGAAGTTCCAGGCGGTGCTGCCGATTTTGAGGATCCGTCAATTCTCCATAGCGTGGCTCGGGAGCTGTGGGAAGAAACAGGCCTGACAGCGGAGACGATCGGTCCTCAAGTTAGCGACGAGGTCGTTTTCCTCACACGATCGGGCAAGATGGTCTGCAAGTTTCACTTTCTGGTCGAAGCGAAAAGAAATTCCACTGGTGCTTTGAATGTCATGCTGGACCCAAAGGAACATCAGAATTACCTATGGGTCACCGAAGAACAGGTCAGAGCGAGGCGCGTGGATGATCGCGATCTGAAGTTTACGAGTAAAGATCAAGAAGCCGCCATTATTGAAGGATTTGAAGTACGCAGACGCTTGAAAGGGGAGAGATAGAGTTGCTACCACAAAACCCCCATTGTGAGAGTATCCTTCTTCCCACTGTATACACATGGCACCCTTCATGCACGCAAGGGAGGGAGGGTGCTTTGGATGGTAAACACAGCCCAGCAGCAACCTTTTCCCAGGAGACCGCTTTCTTCAATCCCTCTCCCTTCTCTGATGGGACTTGTGTCGGTCCGGTCCTGAAGGGCGGTGTAGTAGACAAGACCAGAAAACTACATACGCATCTCAACTAAACACATCCGCCCAATATCGGACGCCCTTCAGTCCATTCACCCATGTCTCCGCTTCTTCCTTCGACACTCCTTTGGCTTCAGCATAGATCTCGGCAATGACCTTGTTGATCTCAACCCCAACGGCACTTGAACCACACATGTACACCTGTGCATTGTTCACGAAGAGCTTCAGCGCATCGGCTCTATCATGCCATATACGGTCCTGGACATGACGGCACCCCAGGCTCTTATCTGCTGCTCGTGAAAAGGCATGGCGGAGGTCAACTGCTCCTTGATCTTGCCACTCCGCAAACTCGGCCTGGTACAGGGCATCTTGATCTGGCGAGGCGCACCCGTAGAACAGAAGTGCCGGGGCCAGCTGTTTCCCAGATTTGATTTGAAGCGCCCTCTCTTGAACGAATGCTCGGAAGGGGGCTAATCCGGTACCAGCACACACCATCAATATCGGAATGTCGTGGTCCAGGGGAAGATGGAATCCTGCGTGACTAGGTCGAACAGCGATATTGATCCGATCACCAAGTTCACTATTTCGGAGATAGTTGCTGCACGCACCGAGGAACCGGTCCCTGTCTGCATTGCCACCCCTTGCCGGAGCGTCGATGACGGTGTAAGTAATGGTACACTTCGAAGGATCCTCCAGTGGAGACGAGGAAATACTGTATTGCCGAATTCGCATCGGGGGCAAGGCTTCAAGAAACTGTCCCAGTGTGAACTGTGCACTCGGATATTTTTCCAAGATGTCAAGTAGAGATTTGTTCTTGCCCAAAACCTCCTGCTGGAAGTCATTGGTCGCTAGTCTTTCCAGACTTTCCTTCAGTTCCGCTTCTGGGATTGTCCTTGCTACCTGCTTCAACTGCTTTGAAGTGGCCGCCTGAGACAGCTCTACCAGAGCCGAGAAGACTTCAAATACCGACAGAGGTCTTCCTGTAGGGAGATAAGTATGAGATTCTGGGCTGATGGTGATCATTGCATCCCATGTGAGATTGAATCTTCCTAGTGCCCGCCGTATGTTTCTCCGCGGGTTGAACGGCAAAACAGCCAGGTAGTCTCCAGCTTTGTATGACATGCCTGAAGGCAGTTGGATCTCTATGTGCCGCTTCTCAGGGAACCCGGGCGCCGTCAGAGCTCGGTTCTCGAGCACCATGGCTGTCTTCAGATCTTGTCGAAGGAGGCTTGATCTACTGTCAGCCGTCACTTGAACGTCGAGACCTGTAGATTGATCGTCCTCGGCTGCGATCGAACGGGTATGGAAGGTGTTTGCAATCGCAGGCCACAACTGTTCGTCTTTCCAACCATCAAAGACGTCCAAAAAGCCTGCGTCGTTGGCATCCGCAGCTCCTCTGGCTACCATGCGCTCTGCACCCCTCTCCGCTAATATGCTGTCTACGAGGGTGGGGATTTTGTGGTATGTATGGTGCCAGTCGCCTGTACGTAGATGTCAGTCTCGATTTTTCTCTGGTCATTCATCAGCTGGCACCTACGGTTGCCCATGCCAAACACAGCGTACTTGACTCCTTGAGCTGCTTCTCCTTGTAATGTCTTCAGCCAAGACACGAAATGGGCCGCATTATCTGGGGGTTCTCCCTCATAGCTGGAGGTGATAAGAACGACTGGCCCCTCCTTCGGCAAGGCATTGGTAGCCTTGTCCAATATTTCAACGGTGGCATTGAAACCGTGCAGCGAAGCAGAGGAAGCCAGAGTATTAGCCATGGCTTCACAAGTGCCTGAGTTGGAACCATAGAAGATGGACAGTACAGGCAGGCTTGAACCAGTGTCTGCTGTCGTTTTTGCTAGAACCTTTTCAGGCTTTTGTTGTTTGGGGTCCCGTTGTCCACCAAGTCGAGACGCAATGTCTGCATGTCTGGGTTTCGCGCGCATGTAAAAGTTATGTGGCTTGACTGTCAAGGTAGACTGGAGTGAGATTTGATAGGATGGATCAGACATGGTAAAATCGAAGTTTTGAAGAAGCATTGCCAAAGCCAGGAGAGCCTCCTGCCATGCGAAAGGCCGACCAATGCACGCACGGGCACCGTTCCCAAATGGCTGCGCTGGAGGTTAGTGATGCAATGATTTCGAACAGAGGGTATTAGAAGCACATACTTTCCATGCATTTGCTGGTAGTTGACGGAATGGTTCATCCATCATTCGTTCTGGGCGGAAGACCTCGGCGTCTTCACCATACACTGCAGGGTCTCTGTGGATGGCCATCAAGAAGCAGAAGAGAGGAGACTCCTTTGTTATGTGATACTTGCCGCCGATGATTTCATCTTGTTTAGGCCGCACCGTGAACCCAGGTGCGGGCGGATATAGGCGTAAAGTCTCTCTTAGAATCGCATTGAGGTATTCCAGCTGGGAGAGATGTTGATACTCAACGGTCCCATCACCAACCACTCGGTCAACCTCCTCTTGTGCCTTTCGATAGGCTTCCGGATTCTTCAGGAGCTCGTAGAACACGAACGAAAGAAGACCGGACGTGGTCTCATGGCCTGTACAGTAACAGTTGAGCATCGAGCCAGATTCAGTGCAAGGTATCCTTACCAGCAATAAGAAATGTGATCATGTTGTTTGCAATACTTTCTTCAGTGAGACTTTCCCCTGTCTTGGGATCCTTGTTATAGAGCATGGCATTGAGAAGGTCTTTCTTGTCCACCGGGTTCTCACGACGTTGCTTCACCAGATCAGTGGCAACTTTTTGCAACAACGCCACATTGTCTTTGAACCGTTGGTCTGCGGCGCTGAAGAAGTAACTTGGCAGTGGTAGTCTTCGTGCGCGCTGGCCTGCACCGACTAACACAGCGACCATTGCATCGACGAAAGGATGCATTTCTTCCGTATAAAAAGAATTGAACCGAGTCCCCATAGCACACCTGGTCAAGGTCAGCCGGTACATTCACCCGGTTCAAGTCGCTTACAGTGCAATTGAGTCCAGTGTCAACCGAGTGAAATCGTCTGTGACTTTAATATCATGTTGGGGACCAAACCGTTCCCACTTGAGAACCAGCTGAGTGGCAATATCGTACATCTCTGTCAGATTGGAAGGTCAACCTCTTTGCATGTGCATCGATATTCGAGTCACGATAGAAACTATACTCACCATCAAACATGCCATGGATGTGGAGAGGGCCAAAAGCGGGCATCAGTGCTCGATGGGCCACTGCCCAGTTGTGTTCTCCTGGCAATGCGGTAAACAGACCATCGTGAACAGCTTCTCGAATGTAAAAAAGCGACCCTGTCACGGCCTTTTCGAATCTCTTCTCGTCCATAAGCTCATTGAACAGGTCTCTCCTGCAAATAAAGATTCTTTCGCGTCCAGCCAAGTTCAGCTTGAAGATCTCCCCTGGGCGGCTCGTGTCAGTATTTACCCATCAAGTTGCAAGCGACTTTCTTATCCTTACCATATCGTTTAGCCAGGTTCGATAGGCTTGTCATGGGGTACTCTGCATCGACCTCGAGAGCATTGCCAATAAGTGGCCATCCCTTTGGGGAGGGAATAGTTTCGGCCATGATCCGTTCCTTGCGTTACAACTTCGGAACGAAGAAGCACTTTGCCTTCCACTCTGGGAGAGACCAAGATCAACCAGAGGGCCAACTGGTCGATCTTTATACCTCGCATCCATAATCCGGGTGTAACAAATGCTGGTCGAGATCAGAATTCATGCACATGTGAGTGGCCACAAATCCACCCTAGCCAGGCACAAGGTGTCCCGATCAACCGAGCAGAACAATAGTCTCCACGTGTGGAGGAGATCCAAGCGCATCGTTAGTTCAGCTTGACTTCAACCATTGGCGACTCGCATGGCGTGACATTTCTGCTGCAGCTCGCTTATTGACTTCTTGGCCAAACGATTCTGGGGATCCAAACCAGCTGTGACCACCGTTGCCATGTTTTCTTCTGTGGCAAACTCTCTCTATAACCGGAAGGGCTCGGCCGGGAGACTTCATCACCGTTTGGCAAATAATTAGCGGTGGGTTCTCTGCCGGTAAGCAACGAGAAACACCTTGGAGTATACAAATAACCAGTGACACGAAATTACTTGACACTTCACCATTGTCAGTTGATGCTGGCAACTTCCTGGCCAAACTAATAGCAAAAGAACAATTGCTGTGCTCAACCTCGGGAGTCGCGGGATCTGACCTGACATGATACGAGCATATAATCTATTCCTGGCGAAGCTGGAGTGGTGGGCCAGTGCGCCGATAGTCTTAGTGAAATGGTGGAAAGTATAACTCGCTTGGCCGTGTAGACCGGTGGGGGGATGGGAGGGTGACAAGCACGCCCCAGGATGAAGACCTATTTGCACACTGGCCTTCCATCTCTGTCAACTTCAAATATTTTAACGAGATCTTTGGGCATCAAGGTGATTGGCGCGAGATGTCTGGCATACCTGCTCTGATCCGGGAGTCCAGGCCAGACCTCGCGAGGTATGAAGCGCTGTACAAGAAGCTACATGCGAACCCTGAGCTTTCACATCAAGAAGTCGAAACTGCATCGTTGATTGTGCGGCATCTCAGCGGGTTAAGTGGTGATCTGGATATACGCCCTGGTATCGGAGGTCATGGATTGATTGCAATCCTCCGCAATGGAGCCGGGCCAACCGTGTTGTTGCGGGCTGACATGGATGCCCTGCCAGTCGCCGAACGTACCAACCTCGAGTATACAAGTCATCGAAAACAGTTGGGTAAAGATGGCCTAGAGAGACCTGTCGCGCATGGTAAGCAAATTAGAGACTGGTTTCCACCAGCAAAGTCCGAAAAGCTAATGAAGACTAGCTTGCGGACACGACGTCCATGTCATATGTCTGCTAATTGCCGCGGAAGCACTCATCAATGCACGAAGGGCATGGGCTGGATCGATTGTTTTCCTCTTCCAGCCGGCCGAAGAGGCTGGAGATGGTGCCCTCGGCATGGTCAATGATGGACTGTATGACGAGTCTCGTCACAATTGTCCTGTCCCGGACATTGTCCTGGGACAACATGTCGCACCGATTCGAGCCGGGATTGTCACTTCCAAGACCGGGGCTATCATGAGCTCTTCAGACAGTCTCAAGATCACGATATTTGGACGGGGCGGGCATGCCAGTATGCCTCACCATTGTATCGACCCAGTCGTGACCGCGAGCCACATTGTGGTCCGCCTTCAGACAATATCGAGTCGCGTGGTGCCTCCAGACGAGGTGGCCATCATAACAGTTGGATCAATTCACGCAGGCGAAGCAGAAAACGTCATCTGCGACCATGCATCTTTCACCATCAACATTCGGACTCTCAACGAGGAGGTGAGGTTGACTGTTCTCAAGCACATCAACAGCGTCATCAAAGCAGAATGCGAAGCCAGCTTTTGTGAAAAACCTCCCCAGATTGAGCATCACATGAGCCTGCCGACTACCTCCAACGCTGCAGAGGTTGAGACGAAGCTCCAGGCAACACTGAAAGATTTCTTCGGCCCAGACTTTATGGTGGCTCCGAAAAGCAGCTTGGCGAGTGAGGATTTCAGTATCCTTGCCAGTTCTATCGGCAAGCCGTACTGTTTTTGGCTGTTCGGTGGTACCGATCAAGAGTTGTGGGATTCGATGGCAGCGCAAGGAAAGTTGGATAAGATTCCGATCAATCACAGTGCAGAATTTGCTCCTGTGATAGATCCAACACTTCAAACTGGCGGCGATGCCATGACGGCTGCCGCTCTGACATTCCTGGGATCACCATCGAGCTAGTAACGCCTTGAAAATGGTACAACTTCGTGTTGAAGCCTTGGTCAGATTGTACATAGATATCAATGGGCAACATCACGTAGCCAGGGCCCCTCTGTTCTCTTGACCACCAAAGGCCTGCCAACTGCCAGAGCGCCAACGAGGCAACTCATGATTCTAGCACGTAGGCCGGGCTCAACGACCTGCTCTTGATGATCCCTTGGTGGCCCGGTGTCGGGCGTTTTTTCCGCAGACTAGTGTGATATTCCTGGAGAATAGTTACTCCGTCTCCAATGCAGCCTGCGTTAAACAACTCCCAATTGCCTCGTAATAGGTAATCGCAACATCATTCACTCGCTGCGTCTTTCCACCGCTGCAGCCAAGTCAGCTTTCCATAACCATCGAAGTTTCGTACTCCCTACTTTCCAATTCGAATGGCAATTGTATTGCTCGTTCTCCTATCTCTCAAGACTCGATAACAACGACAAGGACGGACTGTATTCCCTCTCATCGCAATCGCAATCGACTGCCGGCAGCTCCCAAATCAGCTCTCCGCCACATTTCGATAGATACAACCAGCACTACCGACCGACGTACGCGCGCAAGCACCGCCATTACTCGGCACCCAAGGTGTATCGTTCTATAATTCTACAAGATGCCTTGCCCGATAAGCATTACGAAATTCGTCGGGACCATCTCCCTTGGTCTATTGACAGTAAGTACTCCGCATCTCGTTCTGTCACCTCAACAGCTGCTTCGTCGGTATATGCATGCGGCAGTGGTGGCGGTTGTAGTAGTAACCGTCGCTAACTCGATTGAAGGGAACATCGTACACACTAACCACCATCACTCTCCCGTCCCTCGCACTCCTCCCGTCGGCTTCCCTAGCCGCGCGAACCCTTGCGACCATCCAGACGCAATCATCCCGACAGATCCTCACCCTGGCATCGGTCTCATCACTCTCCCTTATCACAGCATTCAGCCTCGCTTCTCCTCGCGGCCGCCATCCGTACCTTTTGTGGACGGCCCTCGTGGCGTTCATCGGCGGCCAGGGCGTTGAGTACTACTACAATGGCCTCTCCCGATTCCCGAGCCTGAGCTACTCGCGACCCAGCAGGGGCAACGCGAATGTCGTCAGAGGGACCAGCCCGGGCGGCTCCGATAGTGGCTTCATCGAAGTCGAGGCTTCCGCAACCGAGGACCAGGTCAATGGCGAGAAGGTCGAGATGGAAATGGCACGGGAGCGAAGAATACAGAAGGTGCGGAGCTGGATCGCTGGTGTTGGGTTCGCCATGGGGGTGGTTGGTATCTGGGGTGACGGTGCGTAAAGGCACAAAACTTTGGAACAATTCGACCGAAGTCCGGCGACCTTACATCTGCGTGGTCCTCTCGAAATGCTACGCTGCAGTCATAATCTCAACTGCAGACGAAGAATGGAGTTTGTCAGAGCATTGCCATCACCATGTCCATGTCAAGTGGGAATATCCGGAAAACGACATGTCTAGGTAATGTACCTAGTTACAGCAACGACACAACTACGACCGCGCTGCTGTTCGCTCACACTTGCACGCTCCCCACCCAAGTTCGGTCTATTTTCATGATTACAACGACTCTGACTCTCCTCGACTCACAACAAACCCTCTCCCACTTTCTTGGCTTGATCTGTACGGGTAGGTCATATAGTCTTTTGAAAATTATAGTTGCTCTCCAAAAATCTTAGAAGGAAAGGGTTAATGCTGCTCATAATTCTGCCGCAATGTCCATGTTCACATGTAGCTCTACCCATTTTTTCTCTTTCTAGGGACACGGCGTAGGCACGGATGTAGATCTAGTGCGACCAGAACATAGGTCTAGAATTAAGCCCTTCTCGGAGAAGAAAGACCAACGATTGCTCCGAGACAACACTTGGCCAGATAACCAGCGGAAGGGTATCTGTCCAGTCGATAGTGGCTGACTTTGTACTCCTTCGTGTACGCTAGCTCAAGATACCATCGACTATTCGAAAGGGCAGATGTTGGGAGAGACAACAGACCCGCCGTAACCCCCTCGCAATGCCCTTTGTCTTTCTCATCATCAACAACCTCCAATCTTGAACCAAAGAGCCCCTTTGATCGAAGTTCACCTCTTGCAACGAGTCGGAGTTGCAGGGTGGTAGGTCTCCTGTACCGACCATGCAGTCACCGCGCGGCAACGTAATGTAAAGAGATGAGATGAGATGGTACTCCGTAAGGTGCGATGCGATGCGATGCGTTTTGACATGAGACAAATGACAAGTCATCACTTCCCACCCATACTGGAAATGACATCTCTCTGCGTCTGCCTGTCACGGTTCACGCCCGTCAACGGTGCGACGCTCCTCAGATCGCCGACGACATCTTTGGCCTTGCCGAAATACACCTCTTGAAGCATATTCCTCATTTTCCCTTCCATGTCCTCGATCAGGCGTCCAGCGTTGCACACGTGTCCGCCGTCCTTGCCCTGCCCGCCGGCGCTCTCGACCACGAGATCGGCCTCGACCTGCCTTGTCATGCTGCCGGCGAGGTTGAGCGCTCCGACGCCCTCACCGCGCCTGCTCAGGTGCAGAATCACGGTGCTGGTGAGCTTGTAGTGGCAGGTCCTCCCGCTGCTGCCGCCGCGGCGCTCGTCGACCTCGAACACGTGGATGCTGTCCCAGCCGGCCTCTTGCGCCACGCTCTTCTTCAGCAGCACCACGCCGGCGAACCCGTCGTCCAGGTCCCACAGGTACACGCTGCCCGTGCCGCCCTCGTAGTACATTTGCCGGTAGACATCGAAGGCCGTGTTGGCCTCGACCTCCATCTTGCGCACGCGGTCAGACGGAAACGTCGCGTCGTCCAGCGGCGGTTCGAACTCGTTGCTCCATGGGGACCGGTACGAGTCGCCGTCGCGGTTGTAGTCGCATAGCAGGTAGTCCCGGCCCGTCTTTTTGCATCGTGCCGAGCTGAGCGGCTGGTCGACCGAGGAGAGGAGGTCTTCGGTCAGGTCGGGCACCAGGTTCGTGATGGCTGTGAGGTTCGATGACACATTGAGTGGGGAGAGCCGGCGGAGGAGGTCTCTACACGATACACAAGACAGAAGAATTGGTTAGTTCAGGTCAATACTACGCGTGAGTGTTGAAGATGTATGCCCTTTTCCTTTAACTATAGGCTGTAGCGTGCAGTTGGCGGGTCAGGGAGGGAACGTACAAAGCGGCGTCGAATTGAGCTTCGCTGGCCATGGTAGACAGTCCGTGTGGAGTAGCGAGAGCTCGTGGGAAAAAGAACACACGAGGCTTTTGTTCCTGGAACTCAGGTGTGATCCCAAGAGGTGGTTGTCCGTAGTGCCGTTGGAACCAGGCCAGGAATGGATGGTCGAGAGTACGATCAGATAGATGTGTAGGTTGTTGTAACAGATGGTGGGGTCCGCATTGGAATCAGCCTGGAACAACTTTATCGCGAAGATTGCCTCGATATCCGTGGTAGGGGCATCTGCAGGTTCGCTCTGGGTCGCCCTCTTTGCTGACACTCCAAAATTAGAAGTGCATACGAGTACAGTCTTGCATCATACCTGGGGTTGAGCGTGTTTCCTTGAGCGTTCCTGAAGCGCATCCTCTCGTGATCCTCGCCCTACGGCATCGTCTTCGGGCTCCGCCTAAATGTTTATCCGGAGCATCACTTCCGCACCTGCGGAACCACCATCTCTCTCATCTCACATCTCGCCAACTGTCCCTCTCACAGTCCCTCTCACAATGTCATAGTCTCATCTTCTCGCGATCGACCTCGACTACCAGATCAGCCACGCAGTCTGTCTCCGTACATCCTTCGAAGGGTCTCCGGGTGCAAGAGTCGTACCTTTTAGCGTCCACTAGTCTTATATTGTACCCTGACTCAGCGTCTTGACCGCTGGACTTTGCTTCTACTGGCTCTCCTCCATCCTCTTTCGGTCAGCCTTTTCAGGCCCAGTCGCTTCTTCAAACGTGCCATTGGATGGCCAAACCTTGGGATTTAGACCTCTCCGCTACACGGCTGGGCGGATTCTGCTCCGTGGATGGGACGGCTCACAGTGCGCAATTGTTGGCGTTACTTTTGGACTTTCCAGAACACTAGAAAGACCTCGTTTGCGAACTATCACCGGCCAACGACGTACTTTCCGGAAATCCGTATCAGCAATTGGTTTCACAATTGAGTACTTCAATTCACGTCTTTATGACGTCGGCTGTAACCCTCATCTGATCTATCCTAACACCGTTACAATCCGAGATCCGTCGGTGGCTGTCTACAATTTATCTGTTTAGTCTTGCAAACCACAGGGACCACCCCTGAGTCCAAACTATTTCCCGGAGCCTTGGACATATTGCATGCTTGACGTACTCCAAGCTCAAGGCTAGGCATCGACAATCCCAAGATTATAAACAAACTTCTCGCCCCTTCTCTGGAACCACGACGAATCCCATGCTTCGCTAAACGGAACAGCAACCCCAAGTCTACATTTGCTGAGAAAAGTGGCACGTCTGCCGCATAATCATCTGCTTATATCAGATCAGGAGCCCCTCGACAACTATTAGGATTACCTTCGGACGCAGAAAAGCAGTTGAAAACGAAGCCATCTGTACCTCCAGGAAAGCTTTTGCGGGACTGTTCATCCCCCTTTGGGGAGCAACTGAGTACATATTTGGAACTGTCTGTACCCTTTTCGGACTCATTCGTCAGGTCACATTAGCTGTCACTCAACACTTCACTGTGACCACGAACTACGCCTCCCTTCAGGATTGGCGCACGCTGAACTCCGACTCTAAAGCTGGTGTTTGCAGTCAAGTACAGCTCAATCTCGTAGCTGGTGACACCCGGCAACGCATCCTTACTCAGCGACTTTTGTGGGGTGGAGAAAGCCGGTTTCTGCAATTCGTCCATACCATTACTCATTTTGAGGTATTGCTTGCAAGTCCGCAGCCCTCCGACTGACTCAAGCGACCTAGACTGACTAGGCCCAGGTCGAGCCGAAATCATCAAGCGTCAGTACCGGTAGCAGCAACTCCTTCGGTCACATCTCGATCTCCAGAATCCCTTGGGCCTTGATAATCTTCATCCTGCCAGCCATTCTCAAACTTGAACATCTCCTTCGACTACACTATTTCCACAAGATGCCGTCGCGGATAAGTGGTGCGTGCAACGGTTGTCGCACGAAGAAGCAGAAAGTAAGTGTTTTGTCTTCCAGTTCACCGTGGGCTGCAAGAGCTCTTGTCAGCCGACTGTCCCGAATTGATTGTCCTTCATTTTATTGTGCTTTCTGGATTCAATTTGATGTATGCTGACAGAGTCTTCCACCATCAGTGCAGTGGTGATAGGTACGTATCATACCTTAACACTTTCTCTTCTCTTGAGACCTTCCGGTTCGGGTGGGCAGTGTGTCTTTATACCTGAGCTCCCCGCTTTCATCCCCTTGTCATGGCTAAAGCTTCGGTTGTGTGGGCTCGCGTCCACTCGCCAAATCGTTCTGCCATGGCGATCCAGCATTGGGTTTGAATTGGCAGGGCCTCCCCTTGATTTGCTCAACAGGGCAAGCATATTGGGGAAAGACACTCGCTTGAGATTTGCCTATACAGAATCCTGGCAAATGCCCGCTGCTTAGCTACGTCTTCTGGAAAAAATATCCCTCTATCCTTGGGCTTGGTTCATCAGGGGTTTGGCTAACTTTGTGGTCCCGAAAGGTCTGGTTGTACGCAATGTCAAGCTGCTGGTATACCATGTACATGGCCAGAGCAAAGAAAAAGGTTAGTCAGGCTCTCGTTGCACAAAATATCCTGGGTTTACCTATACCCGACCTAACCGAGAGACTGACCGTCTCCCTTCACAGAGGGCCGGCAAAGGGATACATAGAAGGTCTCGAACATCGCCTCCACGAAGCTGAATCACTCCTTCTCTCCCTTCTTCCCCTAGTCACCGCGGAACAGTTAAATTGCGCGACCGAGTCTTTGAAATCAACCTCCTCCTTAACGACGAACACCCTCAACATGCAGACGCGAGACTCGCAGTCACCAGGGCCTCACAATGTCAGAAGTAGTCCACCTCTTCTGAATAAGAAGACCGGTATAGAGTACTGGGAGTCATTCCCACTAGATACCGCTGACAATATCCGGAAATGGCAAGAAGACTGCGTCCTGCATTCGACAGGTCAGAGTCATCATCCGTCCTTCAGAAATTCCACCTCGGGTGACGACTCGCTCTCCCGCGAGATGATGCAGAATGCTTTCCACTCTGCTCACGATTCTCGCCCGGCGTCAGTCGACTTGGTTCGAGCACCATCAGGAGCATTCCGCTCAATGAGTAGCGACTCCTATCGGAGTGGAACAAGCACACCTGTTCATGCCCCTCAGCATCCCCAGGCCCAAGCCACAGTATCTTCGTCGAATCATCTACGGCAACTGCCGTCCACATCTCAGCAGCAACATCAACCCCAACAACATAATTGGAACTCCATGTCTATTTTCTCTTCTCTATCTTCACCAGGTGGCACGACGACGACGAGCACGCCGAACAACAACTCGACCATCAACAATGTCGACATGAGTAACGAGGCGCTCTTGCTGCAGAGTTTCGCCGATTCCACTTGGGCCCAATCACAGTCCTTGAACAATGGCATGGGCAACATGAACTCTGGAGTAGGCACGGGCAACGGCATGGCACTGGAAAGTGGGCCAATGGAAGTCGACACGGGCTTCTTTACCAATGATTTGCAAAGAAGTTTATTTTGGTGATTGCTGATGATGTTGACGACGACGACGACGATGATGATGTTGATGATGTGAAGTATAGGGAGAAAGCACATATTTTCCTGGGTTATTGCCTGCCCCGGTGGTACGGAAAATTACATTGCCTCGAGTTTGGCACGAGTAGTAGGAAAGCAAGGGCAGGCAGGGCGCTTTTTGGCCAGAAGGAACACACAAAAGATAATATACCCTATAATGCGCGTCATAGTTGTTATGCAGTATGTACGATGATTCTGGACTGTTTGTATCTGAGTTGATGAAGCATCATTATGCGTAACGCGACGACACGTGGACTTTTCTTTTCTCTTGCGGTTTGGTTTTCTCTTACAAACTTCCGTATATCTCGAGGAGCACGCGACAGATATATATTGTCAGTACATACAGGCTAGGTACCTAGCCAGGTACCGAGCTAGGTATCCCACCCGGCTTTCTCATGACGGATGGACCTCCGAGTTGTAACGATTCGGGGACGCAGGAGTAAGTAAGTGTAGTGCCTAGATACCTTGATAGATCGGTATCTAGATGGGTAAGTAGATAAGGAGGCAAGTAAGCACCTGGTTAATGAGCACGTTGCAGCCAGCCAGCCGGCCAGCCGGCCAACAGCGCATTGCATGCATGCCCTGACTTGCTCCAACTAACCCTGCGTCGGCGTCCTTCATGGGATTGAAATACATCATCTCCCCCCCCCCCCCCCCCCCCCAACATATGCCTTGATGACCTGACCTGACCTGGCCCGTCTCGGTTCATTGTGTCCTTGGGAGACCATTGAAACCCATCCCATGCATGAATGAGCTTCACAATCAAGTAAAGGAACCTATGTGGGTACCGTAATGTCATGCATTTACCGTTTTTGTCGACCGTTGCTACCGTTCACAATTCACATCTCCCAGGCCCCATTGAACCCACCGCCACCAGGGGCGAAAGGGCCCGTCATATTCTCCCACGTGGCAGAACCGAAAATATCAGCAACGTTGAAATCCATGTTCCCCCAGAACATGGGGTCAGAGTACTCCTGCACTCCGCCGTTGTTGGCACCACCACCTCCTCCTCCTCCTCCGTCACCGCCGCCACCGCCACCAGCACCCATATTGCCCCCGTTGCTGCTCGGCGGCAAATTCATGTTCATCGTCGACTGGGCAAACGCGAGATCCTGGGGGGTGGCATAGATGGCGCTCCCCAGACCAGCGTTTATCTGTGGCTGCGTCGTAGGTTGGCCTCGGTCCCAGTTGGAAAAATCAAAGTTTGACATCGAGGCCGCCGGGTTGGTGAGTGCGGATGGATTCGTGGCGTCGTAGCCGAGTGACGGGGGCCAATTCCCGGGTGTGCTCCCCTGGGTTGACGAGGGCGCGTTCTTTAGAAGGGACAGACTCGTCGCGGTTGCAGACAAGGATGGGTGCTGTTGGTGGGGCGACGGCGTGGCTGATTCTGTCATGGAAGACGATGATTTTCGTGGACTGGGCGGCAGGTCGTCACCTGTGCGCTGACGTTTCCGGGGCGGCTGAGCCGAGTCAGAGGAATCATTCGGCATGCTCTGTGGAGAAGGCTGGTCGGGTTTGGGGACGGTCAAGAAGCCATTCGCGGAAGCCTTTCTGGACTGGATGTTGATCATGAGCAGATTCAAAACCTTGTGGCAATTCTGCACTGTGTACCATCTCGTGTTCATGCTGTCGAGAATGCTGAGGCATGCCTGGATGTCGGACAACGCTCTTGCTTTGGCGTATTTCCCGAGTTGGCAGGCGAATGCGATGATGAGTCCCGACATCCAAACCGCGGACAGCAAACCAGGCAAGAACATGGATTGTCCATGGCTTCGGTGTGATTTCAGTCCAGCGACAATACCACGAGACGCTCGAATGCAGACTTGTAAGCCATGCTGGAATTCGGGTGTCGACTGATCAAGGGATAATCTCGGACGACTGACGAGAAGGAGGAGTCGGTGATATAGGATTTTGAAGAAGCTTGAAAGGTGCTGTTGAGGAGGGAGAAAAGAGGCGTCGTTTGACGAAGGTTTGTGCGTGCTCCTGGTCTCGTGGTGCTGGCCGGGATCGGCTTCTCCGGTAAGGAAGCCTGGTAGATCGTTCCACCAAGTTTCGATGTCGCTTGTCAAGCGCAAGATTTGTTCGTGTTTGGGGAAACGGTGATTGATACTTTTGTGAAACACTTCAATGATCTGCCCCGTAAGCTTCCCCCATTGGACATATGCCGTCAAAGCTGCTTCTCGCAGTCGCTTTTCTTTCGCTTCTGGGCCTTCCTTGTCCTGTTGAGTGTTGCGTGAATCATCGGAGAGTGGTCTCGGGGGCGGCATGGCCATCGTTTCATCACCATCTTGCGGCATCATTGGTCGCCACACAGCCTTGTGTAGTTCTGGACCAGACAAGCAGACGTCAATATCATCATCCTGGATGGCATTTGGGTCGCCTAAACTCAGGTTGCAATGCCGATCCAGCGCATATGCAGACCAGAAGATTCGTTTTCGGATTTCGCAATCCTCCGCCGAAAGCTGCGCGTATCTCAGCGGACAACGATGTAGACCGGCATGGTATATGAGCTTCACCACGATGCCGGCTACCGTGCTAGCCTGACGAATCGCCAATGTTGCCGCCAGATAGAGCTCAGCGGCAAGGATTGCTTGGATGTTCGTAATGTCATGAGACAGAGCAAGGCACCCAGCCACTCGGCTCACGTCAGCGTTCGATTTGATGCGGGATTCCATGGGTAGAAGAATGTCACTTCGATCTAGCGACGCGATGTTGATGATGAGTTGGAAGGTCATTAACTTCCTGAGGTCAATAGGGGACGGATGTTCCTTGGTTGCTTTCGCATGTCGCTTTTGGTTAAGATATATAGTCTCCATATCTTTCAAGAAGGTCGGGCCATGGAGGAAGGGGAATAAGGGGTGCCACACGGTGAAAAAGGACGTGACAAGTTGAAAAGCAATCTTTCGATCTGGTGGTCTGCCGAGGGCAGAGGCAAGCAGATGCGGTAATGAGTCGGTCTCACTTGGACCCTCATGCAGAGGACCATTGTACGATCGGCCTTCAGCATCCTCACCCGTGAGGATGTCTTCGCTGGCGGGAACTGCATTAGGACCAGCGAGATTTGAAGCGCCAAAGGCGGTAGAAAAGGCACGGCGCACAGTATTGACAAAGTAGACACCAGAGGAACTACCTAGCCAGGCGGTGCCGTGATTGGGGAGCTTCTTGAGCGTACCGATCTCAGAAGTATGAGGCGGCCTCTCCTCGGGGGTGTTCTCACTGTCGGAGTCATTGGTGGTTGTAGCGGCGGTGGTCGTCGAAGGGACAGCTGGAGGGGTAGGCTGGCCAACGCTGGGGGAGGGATTGTTGGTACTCGGAGTCATGTCTGTAGAGCAGACGCTGGCAAATTGAGATGGGCAGAGGAGTAAGGCCCTTGTCAAGAGTTCGTCGCGCGCGTCACAATGCCATCCTGTCCGTCTTATGTACGTGTCTGACCTGGTAAAGAACGAGGGGAGTGCGACAATCTTGGACAATTGTCCCAATTCGAAGACAGTGCGACGCTTGCAGATGTTGAACGTTGCTAATGGTGGTTTGCGTGTTGCGATGTTCGAGATTTCGATATCGATTCGAATCACACGATGACAAAGGCGATGGCCGCTTTTCAGTCGGAGGTTCTCGCTTGATCTCACTGGATCAGCGAAAAAAAGAGATGGAAGAAGCCGTGGCGGAGTCAGAACGGGACGTTTCTGCAGAGAAGAGAGAAGGGAAGCTGGTCCGATGCCGACTACGCTGTTTCCCGTTAAAGCCTCCAGCCCAGAGAGCCCCGAAGCGGGAGAGTTTATGCGCCTAGAGGAATCTTGGGGGCGCCCAGGGGAACTTAGTCAGGCATAGGAGCCCCTAGCGAGGCCCCTAATCAAGCCCTTCGAACCAGCCTCCGGAACTGCCAAGTCTTGTGCAAGGCTCGTGCGAGGCTCACGCCTCGGCTGCGGCACAGTCCACCATTGGCGCTAGGCTGGATAGGGACCAGATGCTGACTAACACTCGCGCCCTACAGTCCTTGCGCGCTTCTTATCGATCCAGGAACATGGAGTCGTACCGCAAGTGCAGTGATTGCCTAGTAACAATGGGCTACATGCATGGCTTCAGAGCACATGCTCTGCGGCTCACGCAGTAGCTAAGTGATTCCACTGGTGGGAAAGGTGGCACATTATCTGTCATGGGCACCAGCTCGGATATCTGCTTCTCTGGTTCAGTCATCAAGAAGGGACAATCTCCCTGAATATGTACCTGAGCTCGACGGTCTTGCAACACCTGGTCACTGTGGACTTCACCTGTTCACCTGGAGATGCCCGCGACTCCATCACCAGGCTTGATGGCAACATCACTACCAATGACACTGGCAGTCTTCAGCACATCAACCACACCACTCATGACAGCCGCGTCGACTCCTCTCGTATTTTCCACAAACTTGACGTCCTTCAACCACTCTCGGCCGTCTTCTTCAGAATAATGACACTGCGCCTCACCGGTGCCCAACATCTTGATTGCAGCATTGGTGTCTGTATTGAAACTCTTTACACCTTCGTCAAAAGCTTGGAATATCTGCCTTAACGTATCGTCTGACTCGGGGTTCGGAAATGTCGACCTGGATGCAGCAATATGCCAGCTCGGCCAGGGCGTGTATATCTCTCCAATCTTTTTCAGTGGTGTATTCTCTCCGTGAAAGTATGGCTTGGTCGTGAAATGCTCCCACATGAAGAAGTCGGCACTGGCACTGGTGACGCCGTCCCGTAGATCTTTGAAAGGACCCAGCGGCACAATTGAGAGCCCTTCTGACTTTTGGTCTTTTGATTGACGAAGCCAGCCTTCCTGCTCGGCCAGCACAAATGCCATGACGTGACTGCCGCTGCCAATCCTGCTGACTCCCACACGGCGGTGCTGCTTGAGATCGTCGACACGATTGATGTCGTTCCGATTTCGGCCAGTAACGACTGCCCATCTCAGTGGCGTGGCCACCCATGATCCTACTATGGAGTACCCTTTTTCCGTTCCGGGCTTGTTGTAGTTCTCCGCGTTCAGCAGACCTGCAACCCAGCCTTCGGTCAGGCCAATTGCCAGATCGATCTCGTTTGAGCGCAGGGAAGTGATCATATGTCCGGTGCCAGAAGGAAACGGCACCAAGGTTACTTTTTCTATCGAAGAGGGAAATAGATTGTGTTTTGTGCAGAGGTGCAGCGGGAGGAGGTAGTGCTCGGGCACGTAGCCGATGCGTACTTCTGAGGGCGACATGATTCCTCGACCGTCTCAGGACAATGAGAGAGAGGTGGAGATGAGGAACGAGAGATGGACGGAATGGATGTCTCTCTGCATGCGAAGGAACTCCTGATGTCAAACGCTTTACCCAGGATCTACGGCGCAGTCAAGACAAGGAAGAATCGCTATGACACACACACATTGACATCGTCGTCCCCGCAGTCTGCAATGCCGTGGTTTTTCCGGAAGAAACAGCTCAACCGTCGGGCTTCATCTCACCTTGATAGGACGATAGCAGATATCACCAGGACTCCTTTCAGCGAGTCTGCGAGAGTCTAATCCATGCGTATCCCTACCGCCTACGACCTATCCTGACAGCTACTGCAGGGTTTCGAATCTTTCCGAGCCGGCGCGGAATCCCCTGCATTTCCCCGCGAATATGCGGAGGCCATTCCGTGTTATGGCCAGAAGCAACGGTAAGCTATATATCCCGAGTGTCCATGGCCCTTGACGGCTGCTCAATGGAATGCTTTCGAAGTATAGTGGCAACGCCGGGGGGAACAGCATATGCTTTGATCCTGTTGATGCGACCCTTTTGTGAACGAACGCGCCGAAAGCAATAAGCCACGCGGCCATGGCTGAAGAATACCACTACACGTTGTACAGCTATTTTCGATCCTCCTGCTCAGCACGAATTCGAATTGCTGCATTGCTCAAGGGCATCTCCCTGGATTACAAGTTCATCCACCTTGTCAAAGGCGAGCAACACGGGGACGAATATAGAATTCTCAACCCCAGTGAATCTGTACCAACTCTCATTGTAACGGACGCCCGGTCAGGCGAGCTCGTTACCAAGATACGACAATCGCCAGCAATCCTGGAGTTCTTTGAGGAGACAAGGCCTGATTTGCCCAGATTGCTCCCTCTTCCAGATGACCCAGTTGGTCGAGCCAGGGTACGCGAGTTATTCGACATTGTAGCTTGCGATATTCAACCGGTCACCAATCTCAGAGTTCTGAACTTCATCAAACCCCTGAGGGTCGAAGCAAAGGATTGGCAGCAACACTTCATGGTTCTCGGGTTTCGAGCCTATGAAGAATTGGTTAAGCAGTACTCTGGAAGATACAGCGTTGGTGACGAAGTGTCCATGGCAGATTGCGCTCTAGCACCTGCTATTGACGGAGCCCTGAGATTTGGTGTCGATGTTCAAAACGACTTCCCTCAAACCTGGAAGGTATGGGAGAACCTCAAGGTCATTGAGGCCTTTCAAAAGGGCAGATGGAACAACCAGGAGGACACTCCGGATGAGCTCAAGGGCAAGGAGTAGGAGAGAACCTGAAGACAACTGTCGCGACAGTCGCAATATCTTGCCTTTATAACTCCAAACTCTGTACCAACTTGTTGTCCGCTTGGAAGCCGTTATTGATGAGACGGAGCAATGGCGGTTTGTAGGTGTTGCTGCTGCTCGGCACACTCGCCGGTCCAGACATTTGATACTGAGATGGCACCCCCCGGGGATGCACGGGATGCACTTCTTGTTCCGAGCGCAGCCCTCAATCCCATGTCAAGGTACATGGCTTCTGGACCTCTACTTCTGTCCCTAATGCCGGGGGCAGAGGTGAGCGAGGCTTCGGTGCCTGCAGCTATTTAGTTGGTACCTCCAAGCAGCCGAAGATCCCGTAGCACTTCGCTTCACTTTCCGCCCAGATAAATTTTTTTATTTGCCCTGTTTTGATGCGCAGTGACGCAAGACAAGGAACAAGTCTCTGTGGCCGTCTCGATGGCGTCTCGCTGTCTGGAATGTTCGTTCTGTCCATCTCTCGACCCTTCGCGTCCTCCGATCTCTTCGACCATGCTTTTCGCGGACGATGAACGCAGACCTGGGCCTCAACATCTTCCAGGTGGTACAGAATGAACTTCTGTCGCGCGAGGGCAGTCGCTCCACGCTCGGCCTGGGCTTTCGCCTCGCCGTGCTCGAGGAGAGACTGAAGAACCACGAATCCAAATCCAAGAACTCGCTCGTGTGGCGGCCGCACCATGCCGTAGCACCCATCTCCTCCCTGACGCCCGAATCGAAGCGCCTCGTCGACGCCGAACGGAGACGTCTCCTGAGCAGGAAAGGCGCCAGAGCCATCGACGACAAGGACCCGACCATGCTCCCCCGCCACGAGGAGTCGTGGGAGGTACACCCTGATTTCCCGAGGACCGTCTTGGAATTCAAGCAACTCCAGTTCCACCGTAAGACAGATAGACACAGACAAACCCCCCCCCCTCTCCTCCTCCTCCTCCTTCCCCTGGCCATTCCTCTTTTTACCGGTTAGAGTTTGATCGACGGTTTTGATTTTGACACGACACTCACCCCCCTTTCTAGCTGACAGGGTCCGAAGCCTGCTCGAGTTTTACTACGTCAAGGTCTACAGGCCCGACGACATGAGGCCTGTGGTGACAGATCGTCACGACCACTCGGCCGACGTCAGGTACAATCTGGAAACCTGCCTCGAGGAACTCGCCATGACATGGGGACTGAACTGGCTTCGGATCGGTGGTCTAGCACTGCCTGGCCCGTCAGGACCTATTAGCGGTCGCGTACCGTGATCGAACCCCCCGTCGCTGGCCCGGACATCTGCCAGTCAACGTGCCACGGACACAACTTTACAAGCTCCCCCCCTTCCAAGAGGAACGACTCTACGGCCTGGAGATATCAACGTACGGCTGGAGAGTTTCTCCTGCGCCCACCCGAGGGAGACAGAGCCTTGGTCGGCTCGAGTACTCTCCCGCGCACCCTTTCCAAAGTCGCTCACCGACATAGACAACGCAAACTTATTCGACCGGACGAATGTAACTATGCCGTACCGATCGATAAGATCGGCATCGCTCTCTCTAGCTTCGTCTAACATCTCCACAGTTATGACCTTCACAAGGCATGCCAGCTAGAATTAGAGAGAGGAAGACAGAGGCGTAGAAGAACATGATTTTTTTATAAAGACTGTGTCAACCCAATCCAACCTCTCGAATATCCTATAACACCCGTAGCCGTAAATGGCACCGTAAGTAGCCAGCTATCTGAGCGTATGCCTTGTCCTCCCAATGACTCCAAGCCATCGAATAGGCTGTCTAAACACCTGAAAGGACCGATGTGTTGCGATAACGCATTGTTTCCCAAAGCAGCAATGTACTGCGAAACAGCCCTATACCCCCATCTCGTGCGCCCTTAAGATTTCGACGTCGTGTCCACCGAAGCGCCGACAACACCTTCATCAGGCTCGTCATCTACGTCTTCCAAGTCACTTTGTTTCAAGGGTCGGCACACGCCTTCTCTCGTGCATATCATGACTTCCGGCACGAGGCCCTTGACAACGGTGCGGCCCCAGCCCTTGAGACGGCGTAACTCGCTGTCCCGCGTAGTCATGGGTGCAATCAGTGTCTTCGCTCCGACTTCTTGCATGACCACACAGGCCAGCAGGCTGACGAACAGGAACGGATGCTGGATAATCTCCACGGCAAAAGCGTCGAGGATACCCTTGGCTTTACCGAGGTAGTTGTGTCCGTCCGCTGTCGTGGCCGTGGATGGAGAGGCGCTCTGACAATATGACGCGAGATAAAGCAGATTGGTACATATAATTCCATTCGGCGACGGGAGAGAGTTGTCCGTGCCCGGCTTCAACCTGATGATCTGCTCCGCGGACGCCTCGGCCTGGAAATACCCGCCCGTGGTGGACGCAAAGTGCCCGTCGACGTACTTTTGTAGTTGGATGGCCCAGTCCAGGTACGGCTGCGCAAGCGTCAGGTCGTACAGCGAGAGCAGTCCAAGGATCAAATACGCGTAGTCATCCACGAACGCGGCCTGGGAGTCCGGCGTGCGGGACAGGCGTCCGGTAGATTCGTCGTACATCTCCCTGCGGATGAACGTGGCAGCCTTTTCCGCGGCTTCCTGGCACGCGCGGGCGCGCGTCTTGTCGATAGTGGCGAGGGTGTTCGCAGCGCGAGATAGCGCTGCAATTGCAAGACCGTTCCAGGACGCCAGAATCTTGGTGTCGATGCTGGGATGTTCGCGTTTCGACTTGCGGTGCTCGAGCAGTTTGGTGCGCCCAGACTTGATGATCTGGACGATCTCCTCTTCGGGTACGCCAAACTCTTTCGCCAGAACCGATGGCGTGGCTTCAATGTGCAGCACGTTCTGAGTGAGGAACTCGTCGTGGATGTCATGCTCGGCGGGGACGTTGCCGTCCAGCTTGACGCCGAAGTGGCGGGCGACAATCGCGGCATCCCGTTCGCCCAGAATGGCCTGAAGCTCCTTGTACGTCCACACGTAATACGCGCCTTCCTTCTTGTCTTCTGATGCAGGAACGCCGTTGGCGAGCTTGGGCAAAGAGGGGTTCGAGTCGGCGTCTTCACTTGCGTACCAGCCTCCTTGAGGCGCCACGATCGGCGAGTCCGAGTTCGTAAAGTACTCTACCAGGTTGTAGATGGTGCCGAGGATTTCCGGATCGCGACCAAGTGCCCATGCATCGCAGTAGCAGCCAAGTAGTTGGGCGTTGTCGCACATCATCTTTTCGAAATGAGGGAGATTCCAATCCGGGGTGACACTGTATCTGTGGAAGCCATACCCAAGCTGATCCCGCAGCCCAGATCGAGACATGGCGAGCAGAGTGTGCAGTGACATGGACGCAGCCTTTGTGCAAGACGGCGTCCCTAAGATGCCTGGCACGGGGCTGAAGAACCCAAATCGCGTGTGTGTGGAAGGTTGAGCAATGGCGGCGCCAATACGAAGGAGGAAAGTCAGGTTCGATGGGGTAGGGAATTTGGGCGCAGTGACAGAGGCGCTGAAGCCGCCATGGACCGAGTCGTATCGGGATATGAAGTGCTCGAGAGCATCGTCCAGGAGATCGATCTCCAGGGGTTCAGCCGTATCCGATTCATTGCCCTGGCTCTGAGTATTGGTCTGAGAATGAATCCCCTCGGCCGCAAAGGCTCGCAATTGGTTGGTGATATCAATTGAGGACTGGATACACTTCTCGCGCTGATTCGTCCATACATCCCGCATTTTGTGCAAAATGTCAATGATAGTCACTGGTGCGTCGTCTCCCGCCGGTGTGGCTTGTTTGACGCTGCTCGATGGCGATGGGCCGGGCCAATACGTGCCTCCAAAGACAGGTTTCAGATCGGGAGTCAGAAAAACATTCAGCGGCCAGCCGCCGGAACCTGTCGTTGCAGTGACATAGCTCATGTAGATATCATCGAGGTCTGGCCTTGTCTCTCTGTCGAGCTTAATCGGGATGAAGAACTCGTTCAGCAGATCGGCAATTTCGGGAGAACTGAATGATTCATGTTCCATGACATGGCACCCTTCCAGTCTGTTAGTCTCCGATGGGTCTGCAACAAGAGGGGTCCTCACAATGGCACGCATGGTAGCCGATACTCAGGAAGATTAATCGTTGATGCTGCTTAGCAAGCGCCAGAGTGGCGTCCGACCACTCTTGCCATGCTACCGGGTTGTCCTTGTGCGCCCGAAGCTGAAACTGTCATTAAAAACGTCCAGGTCGCTCGCTGACTGACTTACATAAGGCGACGGACTCTCTGCCAGGGCATTTTGCAGGTGGAGTCCGGCGTTCCCCTCAACCATCGAGGGCCGAGTGCTTACGGAGCAGCGTCGAGATTGATCAAAGAGGATTGTATATTGTCAATAGACAGACTGATGGCGTCGATTGCAGTCAGTCTCGTGACAATGAGAGGTGAGTGTGAAGTTTGAAAGATTCGATGTCCGTTGAGCACGTGGGCCCTGGATGTCTCCGCAAGGCTCTGAGGAAAAGTTTTGTCGCTTGTATGCGGAAAGTGCCGGTTGCACGGAGGGATTGGAAGCAGCGCCCGGCAAAGTCGGAGACAGATCGATGAAGAGAGTGACGAGCCTTAGGAATGTCCCAGCTGGCAGCTAAACCTCTAGAAGGCTGTTCAGAGTTTTCGCCGGTAAGACAGAAAAAGCACAGAGTTGCGATTGACCACCCACGGTCCCAGGCCAACCAATCACGAGGCGCCTTTGGCTGACGAGCTGCTTACCTAAGCCGGCGCATTGATAACAGGAGATAAGATGGATCCTACTAGTTGGTACTACGAGGACAAAAGCTTCATCATCGCAGCCTGAGTAGCCTGGACAGTTCTCAAGTCCGTATGTACGGTGGCCTCGCTCCGACCAGGATCCATCACTGTTCGTCTCGAACCATCTTCTCAAGCACATCTTGCTCTTCGGATTCCATCAATGCGCGCAACTCGGCCTCTTCCTCTTCAGTCAGCATTGACAAGTCCACCGTGGGTTCCGGATTGTCCTCCACGAGTTTGGGGTTTCGGGCTTCTTCTACTGCTCGCTGGAGATCGGCGGGGGCTAGGCTCCATCTCCGTAAAGTGGCATCAATACTGACACTGACAAGCACATCTTCCGACAAGGCCAAACCGGTAACCTCCTCGTAATGGCCAGAAAACACATGATGTAGGTCGCCGGTCGCCTTATTCCATACTCTTATTTCTTCATCTCGACATGCAGTGATGACCCAGCCATACGTATCGTGAGTGACTACATCTCGGACAAAATCGGGATGCTGAAGGGTCATGATAGCATTCCAACCCTCATCTCTCGACAGCTGCTTCGCCGTCGTGTCTGCTGAAGCCGTCCACAGATCCCCATCATCGTCGAAATGTAATTTATAAACACTGGTAGCATGTGCAAGGATGGGGTTTTGCAGTTGTAATTGAGACGACTTTATCTGCTCTAACTCGGGCACCGTGATCGCGAATATCTCCTGCTTAGACGTGGACACCATGACGATTGGTGAGTCTGGAGAGGATAGAGGATCCAGCACAAGAGATTCAATCCCGCGACAATTTGGGTTGATCGCTGCGAGGGCTTTCCCTTCTAATGACCAAAACCGGATGTCACCGTCGGTGCCACCAGTGATCAGAATGTCGTGTTTGTCTGGGGTTCGGACGACCAGAAGGCATTTGACAAAGTCTCGATGTGCAGAAAACGAGGTGATGTCGGTAACTGTTCGCCCTTGAGTGGTGCCATCGGCAAATTTGAAGGTATACTTCCATACGGACTTGTCCCAGGAACCGGAAAAGATGGTCATTGTGGTAAAGGGGTCTTGGGACGATTTGACAGCATGAAAAGCCAGGCTGGTCAAAGGCCCTTGAGGACCTCTTGGAGTACTGGACAATTCATTGGTAGATAGCCTCAGTCCCGTCACCGAGCCGCCAGCTTCAGCGACAAAAACAACATCGCCCTTCGGGTCGAAGAAGTAATTGACTCCGAGAGCCAAAATCTTGGTGGAAAATTTGACCGGATCTCCTTGCGTATTTGCTGCTTTACGTTGCTTTCGATCATTGTCCGCTAACGAAGAGCTGTCCAAACGGGTCAACCAGGATACCAGTGTTGTGCAGTGAGGAGGGCACCTACTCGGTTTGAAAGTAATTACCGGGTTGATCAGCCATCCCAAACGCGGCCATTGCAGGCCAGCGAGGACTCAGAGGGAGGACGATACTTACCTCACAGGGAACGGATAAAAAGCCGTCGCCTTGCAAATCCCTGAACAAACCTCTGATGGACCAGAACACACTTGCGGACGCCATAATGCGTTTACTCCGCCGTACTGTCTTTGCCAAGCTAGTACGGTGAAGTGAACAGCTCCAAGGGCAATTCGAAATCTCAGCCACTCGTGTTCGAACTTGGAAATCTCTCTCTTCGTGCATCAGCCAGCTCATAACACACCCTTTACGCGATCTGACATTTCCTTCTCTCATGTAATATTAGTCTCTCTTTCTTGACCAGCGCGCGCTCATTTCGCGAACATGGACATGGATCATTTGATCGGCCAGAGGTTCAACCTCATCTCCAAAAGTGAAATTCGGTAATGTGTCCTCGAACTGCGATTCATTTCTCGACACTAACAAGGCTCGTACAGCTATCTCGGCACGCTTCACGAAATAAACCCTGAACAATCTACAATCGCACTCGAGAACGTCTACTCGTTTGGGACCGAAGATCGAAAGGCGGAGAAATTTATCCCCCCTTCACAGCAGAAATATGGCTTTATCGTTTTTCGAGGCAGCGATGTCAAGGATATCAAGATTGCAGAGGAGGAACAGTCACAGCCATCTCCTCCTCCAAGCATGCCAAATGATCCAGCTATTCTGGTAGGCCTCCTCAGCAGCTCCTCCCTGCACAGTCTTACATGATGAAACATTTCGGATGTAAATTCACAGACCTGTTCTGAAAGCGCAAAGCCATGTGGATATTTCCGTTGCCTTCCTTCTGATGAGACCATCTACTTTATTCATCTCCTGCTCAAGCGACTAGGATTGGCTCAATGCTAACTATGCTCGCCCATTTAGAACGCGTCTCAGCCAGGTCCGCCGCCTCCTGGTCCCCCACGCGAACATTTCTCTCCTCCTGGCTACCCTCCGCATCCTCCCTTCGGCGGCTTCTATCCTCCAGGGCAATTCGGCAGAGGGTATGGTCCCCCTCCTGGTGGATTTGGACCTCCTGGACCTGGGTTCTCACCTTACGGGCCGCCTCCCCCTGGATACTTTGGTCCTCCAGGGCAGGGCTTCCCGCAAGGCCCTGGTCCCCAGTTTCAACCTTCCCCGGCCCCCATTGGACCTCCAAGTCAGGGTAACAATGGTCCGCCACCCGCATCTCAACCTCCACAAGACCCTCATTCTCGACCTGCTCCGAATAGTGCGAATAACAACCTCACTTCCGAACTACCAGTTGACAACAAAGCTGCCCAACCCCCCTTCCCTGTACCACCAAAAGACGCCCCAACTCAATCAAAGCCCACAGCCGCTCAGGTGGCGGCTAAGCCGCCTCCAGCACCAAAAACTGGGTCCCAGGCGGCACCGACAAAAGCTGCGGCACCAGGTCCCAAGTCCAGTAAAGTCGCCCCAGCAGTTCCTTTCACAGTCAATCAAAAATCATTCACTCCTCCAGCTGTACCTGCAGCAGATGTGTCAGCAACGAATGGCACTGCCCCGAAACCTGCAAAGCCCATTTCGTCTCAATCAGCAATGGACGAGGCAGCCAGACAAGCGAAAGAAGCGGTAGCAGCGGCTATGGCTAAGCTTAATCCCCAAGCAGCAGCTACCGCGCAGACCAAACCCGCTCCCATATCAGCATCTGTTGATGCGGTAACAAGGAAGCTGGCAGAAGTGTCCACCTCAGGCTCCACGAACGGCACCGTCCGTGGAGGTAGAGGCTCGTTCCGCGGCCAACGAGGTGGACGTGGCGGTGGAGCCAAGAGGATTGAAATACCAAACTCTGACTTCGACTTCGAGTCTGCAAATGCGAAATTCAACAAGGAAGATCTGATCAAAGAAGCCATAGCCACAGGATCTCCGCCCGTTGCTGGAGCCGAGGAGAACGTGGTATCTGAGCCAGTCGACGGCGACGCGACAGCCACTACACCGCAAAGAAAGGACAGTTTGAATGCTGCCCCAGCTTATAACAAATCCAGTTCATTCTTCGACAACATATCTTCCGAAGCAAGAGATCGCGAAGACGGTGATCGAAGCACCGGTAGACAAATCAGAAGCGAAGAATACAAGAAGAACCTGGAGACATTTGGTCAAGGAAACGTCGACGGCGGCTACCGAGGACGCGGCAGGGGTGGCTATGGCCGTGGCCGTCAGTATGGAGGTAATTACCGCGGTGGCTACGGAAACCGAGGCCATGGATATCGAGGAAATCGCGGCCGGGGTGGTCAGGGACAGCTCGCTGACCAGGCTTAAGCTCAGTCCTAAGATTTTACGTGCATTCTCGGTGGGCTTTTTTTTCTCTGTTTCTGACATGATCAAATGAATCTCTGGAGTGAAAGTGGGCTCCAGGCTGCACAGTAGTATGGGAATCGTCATCATGATCGTCGTCATCATCATCATCATACGGGGTGGAAGAGAGCATCTTTTTTTGTTACAATACCCTGGGCTTGTTTTTACTCTCTCTGTCTTTCTCAGTTGGTCCCTGCCATTGTTGTTGTGACAGTACTCACTCCACCAAAGAAGGGGTGAAAGGAAAAGGATACGAATGGAAAAAGGAGAAAAAAGGAGAAAAAAGGAGGTACGAAACTGAACCGGATCTTAACTCTAGACGGGGAAGGGGGTTTGGAAGGGCAAAGATTACCGAGGTCGAGACACACGGCACAGCTCTCAAATCTCAAGCCTGGGGGCTTATTTGGGTTTTGTGTTTGGTTGGGTTGGGTTGGGTTGGATTGAGTCGAGTTGCAGGGAGATACCCATCAGATACCTACCTAGGTACCTCATGTCATAAGGTCACAAGTCGTGAACGATGGATATGAATGAAAGGAGTCTCACGAAGCAGAAGAAGAAGACGACCGATGATATAAACACCGATTTGTGATGCCTGCCTCTACCTCCACTACTTGTCTACATTTCTACCTTTTCTGCCTCCTTGGTAGAAGGAACACTCAGTCTTCACGAGTACTGCCGAGGTCGGCCGCGATGCACAGCTAAATTGTTTTTCGACGAAAAGAAACAGCATGAGGATGAAGCCGGAATATTCGTGGAGACATTGAAGACACTGAGGGCGACTCTATAGTCGAGTCTAGAAGAGGTCACAGGTTGACGACGATGGTTTCCGCAACTTGCAATAGCCTCAACTTTTCCTACTGGGAACAATTCCAGACCTTCCCCCACTCCCAGCTTGGCCGACCAGCCACATCTCCAGTTAGAAGATTGATGTCCATTCTTTAGTCGCAACGAAGGAGGACTATAGAGTACAGTTCCCGTGGGCTTGCGTGGCCGGTGGATGCAATAGGTCGCAATCCAACGAACGTGGCGATGGTGTCGCTGGCAAAACATTTAAGCGGTCGATCTTGGATCTGAGCTTTATGGACAAGGCACTCTTTACTGACATCTGACTGCCGCGCAAACGTCAAAAGAATTTGTAGGCGCTAAAAGCTCTTGTCCGGTGATTTTGTCGAATTTCAATACGGACCACCGTTGTGGCGGATGCCATCTTTGCAAGGCATCAGGCCCAAAGGTCGAAAGTTGAACCGGCACTTGACTCCGATCAAGACAAATCCATTGCTCCTGGAAGCCTTTAGAGGGATATTCATGTGGATGGTCTGATATATGACTCCAAAACCAAACGGTACAGTCTGAGGCATTTTGTGCGCTTTTTTTGTGGCTCATATCATGCTCAGTATTGGCCTCCCATTTTCTGTGGTGGAAAAGATGTGGCCGGCATCCGTCTATCATCCAAACAGACCCGGTTTACTGGTACTCGTAGAAGTCATTGGGATGTCTGTTCCGCTTAGGCCGGCCCCGTACATGTAGAACTGCAATCCGAGGTAGCTGTCGCAGCAGGCCTGGAACATTCCGCAAAGTCGAAAAGGCCACGGAACATACTGACTGCTCAGAAAGAAATAGCTCATTTTCATGACGTCTCCGGCGAGCCAGTTCGCGATGACAGAAAGCCGAAATCCTTTGCATGATCTTGCTTTGTGATTCTTGACGATCTGCGGCACCGGAAGGATGGCCTCCACTGCCAGTCCGAAATAGCCCAGGAACGCGATGTATGCAGGGGATCCGGACACGAAAGGGAGTAGGACATGGACGACCAAAAGAGTCCCTGCAAGGTATCCGAGAAATTGAAAATACCTGCCGCAGGTTAAATCACTACCCAGGCTTTTTCAGATCATGCTGGGCGACTCACGGCTTTGAACTGCTCCATTGCCAGAATCCGTAAGGGCGTCGACCCTCTAACAGATCCCGCAGACCATTTTCCACCGTGTAGCCGTGGAAAGGCGTGTGCTGCGATCCATCCGGGGCTCTGTTGTCCAGAGCAACCTTCAAGAGGATGATTTGGACCACAATCATCAACGAGGCCTGGGCCAAGAGCGATTTGTCATAGTATGCTCCAAACCAGTAGAAGACTCTTGGTATCTTGTCAGAAATTCCAACGTCTCTTTCCCATGCGCGAACGAGGGACATGGCTCACTTCAGAATCGATGCAACAAGCATGATCAGGGGGATGTCGAGGGAGAATCCATCGCTCGTCTTCCTGCGATGGATCGAGGCTATCTGGTCGGCATAAGAGGTGATCGGGGACAAGATGAGGCTATCGACGGTGGTCAGTTGTCACTCTGGACGTTCCCCAAGCGTGAGGTCTCTACTCACAACGCCGGGGCGAAGTAGTCGACGACAACAGACAGGAAGCCGAACATGGTGGCCCGGAACAAAGAAGCCTCGGCGGCGGGAGAAGGTCAAACGGAAGAAGCTTCAAAGCCGCATACGTGTCACTCAGTCTTGTCAGAAAGAACAAGATTGAGAAGCCATCGCGTGAAAATATGGAGGGCAACCGCAGTTCGCCAGTCCCAGATTGCGACGCCAGAAGATCCTGGTTCTGCGGTTGAGGATCTCGCCAGGAACAGGACAAGCGCATACAGCCATCCGTCCACAGCGTTAAATTGGTGGAGACTGCACGAAGCCCCTGACCTCGACGTCCTCAGACTCGCACATTTTATCTTGCCCATTGTCAAGTTGCTTTCGGCCTTTAAGCAGCTTCTGACGGCCACTCTACATTGATCTGCGGTTTGTTGTGATTGATATACAGCAGTCAGCTGTCTTCCTTTTCAAACTGATACTTATGTAACCGTACAATTATGGGTGCATCTATCCAGTTTGCTCGAAGCGTAATACTTTTATTTTTCAGCTACTTCCTATCTTACTTATACAGGCGACTTAGATTTCGGATTTCTCGCCAGGGGCCTTTGACAGAGAGATGGCCCAGTCTGCCCCAATGCTCACTCCAGGGCTTCGGATGACGGCCCATGCGGCTTTGCCTCCTGCTGCCGCGTAGTACATCAGCTCCGCTGAAGCCGTGCCTTTGATGCCCTCCCCAGTTATGGACACCTCTTTCATCTCTGACCATGCGGCTGGCGCATTCACCACGATGATTTTCTCCACAGTTACATCTTTCATAGCCTTTAGGTACTGGGCTGTCTTCGCTCCCTTGGTACCAATGTTTGTGCTTGTCAGCTCACCACCGGCAAAAGTAAACCTTCGGTGAATGAATGCTCCTTGTTCATAATCGAACGTTTCGCCATCGTCAACGTAGAGGGTGCCTGCAGCCTGAGTGTTGCTGTCTAGGACAACGACAAGCGTATACGGATCCCATTTCATGAGACCAGAACTCTTCCGAGGTCGATCCTTTCGCGGAATAATGTTTCCACCTTGCATCAGCAAAGGGATTTTGTCTAGTGGTGCTTGGATCTTGTGGGTCTTGGAACCCCCGCTGTAAATAGTGTAGTCGAAGTAATCGTAATAATTCTCAGAATCCGCGAGATAGATTTCGACACTTTCTGCGCCTTCAGTGGTGACCGGTTTGGCCAACAATCCGGTCGAGCCAAGGTAGAACTGATCGTCTATCGCAAAGCCCTTCTCGTCTTCGGGGTGAACGTAGTACTGTGCGCGAACTATGGGGTAGCCATCTGTTGATGCTTCGTGGAAGGCGGTATACCAAGCGGGGAACAATGCATATCGCAATCGAATGGCTTGTGCCATAATGCTCGTATATGGCTCGCCCAAAAGATAAGGTTCGCGCCTGCGTGTGTCGATATGCGCATGTCCACGCATAAAGGGATAAAACACACCAGCCTGATACCAACGAGTCTGGAGCTCTTTGCTGGGGTTGCCAAAGAAACCTCCAACGTCGGCGCCAGCAAATGGATAGCCACTTACTCCCTGATTCAGTATCATCGGAATTGAGACGGCAAGATGGTCCCAATTGGCTTGGTTATCTCCGGTCCACATTGCAGCTGATCGTTGGGACCCAGCATAAAATGATCTCGTCAAGATAAAAGGCCGCAGGACTTCGCCCTTCTTACGTTCAAGTAGTGCGTGATAAGTGGCATTGTGGAAGGTCATGCCGTTGATGTTGTGTACGTCTCGATGCTCCCAGTTTCCATGATGGATGTTGTCCCGCGGCATTGTGATCTCTGGGCCATTAAACACTGAAGGCTCATTCATATCGTTCCACAACCAGACGTTGTTCATCGTGCCCTTGAATCGGTCATAGCTGAACAAAGTCTTCCACCAAGCTCTGGCTGCGGGATTGAACGCATCAATCCAGTGTGAGCTGCCAGGCCAGCACCATCCTTCGAAGACGTTGTTTTCTTTGTTTTTCACCGCTAGCCCCTTGCTCTTGAGCTCTTCATCGACCGTGTAACCACCCTTGTTCTTGATATGTGGATCGATGATAACCACAAGCTTGCGTTCAGTCTCATCTAACTGCTTCTCCATGGAGATAGGGTCTGGGAACGTGTGAGGATCCCACGTGAAGTATTGCTTGTCATCAGTATATTCAATGTCAAGCCAGATCACGTCGTACGGGATATTGTGCTTGTCAAATTTCCGATCCACGTCCTTGACATCCTCATCGCTCACGTAATTCCATCGGCATTGGTGATAACCCAGGGAAAAAGAAGCCGGGAGCTGGGTGTAGCCAGTCAACTCGCCGTAAGACTTTGAGAGTTCTTGAGGAGTTGGACCGAGCATGACGAAAACATCCAAGAGACCGCTCTCTGACATCCAATGTGTTTGGGTGTCGACGACACCTCCACTCAGACCGAGAGTGAGAGGGTTTCCGCCGTGAGAGGGTTTCGTGATGTCAACCCAGGTTTCGGCAGCATTCAGCCAGAAAACACCGACGGTGGAGTCCTTCTTGTGAGCTTGCATGAATGGAATAGAACCGTAAAGTGTCATCGGACTATCAAGCTCATACTCGAAAATGTCACTGTTGTACATGCGGTACGGTTGGTCGTAATTACCATCTCCGCCGCGTGTTTGTTTCAAGGACAACGGTCCAGCGTGTTCTGCAAGTCCGAAAACGTGGCCATATCCGGGGAATGTGATGTCCATGGCTACACTCTCAGGGCCTTTGGGCTTAGAGTCTGTGTTGCCGCCAAAGCTCTCCTCCCACCAAGTGCTTTCATCCTCAGACGGAGCAGCTGCAGCTTCCCCAGTGGCATTCTCATCAGCTGTAGGCTTGTCGACCTTGGGACGCCAGTGCTCTATGTTCATGAATCCACGTCCATTGAGCACGACTTGCTTGTCGTCGCCGGCCCAGAATTCCATACCAAAAGGGGCATGTTGAATCGTTGCTTTGAAGCGGCCTTCTGGACCCCATGTGACCTCACTCACATCCTTGGATACCTTCTTCAGCGAGGAGGATTTCTGGGACTGTAGGCCAGCTCCAGTCAGTGCCCATGCAGCGGCTTCATTGTATCTTTCCTTCCGGGCCACACTGCCGTGTCTCAGCTCAATCTCTCCCTTCTTCCTCTTCTCTTCGTCGATTGTGACGCGCACGTTTCCTCGCTCGAGAAATGTGATAGTCATAGGGAGCTTGACCGCTTCGCCATCCTGCAACGTCTTGACTATGGAGCCTTCTAAGCGGCCGTCCTTGAACTTGATCGATGCACCGTCCAGCTGGTAGGGAGAGGAGTCAGGCCCGCCTTTCTCAGTCATGGAATCTGCAAGTGCCCGGTTCCTCTTGCAGAAGCCGGACTGCTCACATCGCTTGAAGTCATGGTGTTTGACCGCTACTGCACATTGTCAGGACATTTCTCGTAGCCCCCAAACATAATACTTGCCTGTGCACGAAGCGAGAAAGAGTAGGACAATGACTGCTAAGGAGGAGAATGTCCAACCTAACAGTCTCCTCGAAGAACGAGCCATGGTGTTGACGGAGTGCTTCCAGAAGTCCAACTCTCGTCAAGGGCAGCGAGTGTATGGCAAACCAATGTGTCCTCTTTGGTGACCGATGTGGATTCAAACACCTTCACGCCGCAGGCTGGCCCGCCACGCTGTCATTGGCGGCGGTGGGCATTAGACGGACCCCTGCAGTGTTTGGTATGGGCCATGGATAATAACTTGCTGGAACGGATAGTGTACAGTAGGCTGGTGATGCCCCTCGCTCCCCACTAATAAAAAAGCTGCCCGAAAGATTTGCCCTCATTCCTGGATTGCAACCGTTTTCTTTTCCTCTGCAACATTCTCACAATCGAACTCAGAACGGTCTCATCAGCAAGCCAAAACCATTTCAAGATGTCTAACGAACAAACGTGAGCGTCATCCATGCCCTGTGAAAACAATCCACTGACGCTCGACCAGTTTCATTGCCGTCAAGCCAGATGGCGTCCAGGTACGCAGGCGATACCAAACTCGACTCTACCGACTCCCCTCGAGTTATTGTGCTAACTCCTCGACAGCGAGGACTTGTTGGAGACATCATCTGCCGATTTGAGAAGCGAGGGTGAGAAAACTACAACCTGAGAAGAGAGAGGAATGCGTTTCTGACAAGGCGGTGAAGCTACAAGCTGGTTGCTCTGAAGATGGTCTCCCCATCCAAGGAGCACCTCGAGAAGCACTACGAGGATCTCTCATCGAAGCCTTTCTTCAAGGGTCTCGTTACCTGTATGTGGACATCTGCCGCTAACTATAGCGACGCTGACGACTTCAGACATGCTGAGCGGACCAATTGTCGCCATGGTCTGGGAAGGACGTGATGCTTGCAAGACCGGCCGCTGTGAGTGCAATCCACGGAATTGACCTTTGATCCAGACTGACGTTGCCAGCCATCCTCGGTGCTACCAACCCTCTCCAATCCGCCCCAGGCACTATCCGTGGTGATTATGCCATCGATGTCGGTCGCAACGTCTGCCACGGCTCTGACGGTGTTGAGAGCGCAAAGAAGGAGATTGCTTTGTGGTTCACGCCAGAAGAGGTCCAAAGCTGGAAGTCTGCTCAGTTTGACTGGATCTATGAGAAGCCATAAGCAATGCGCGATAGCCAACGGTGGCCTGGCATGGCTTGCGTGACCGAATACATAGTTTGGATCTGTCGGCAACACCAGCCATCAGCGATACAGAAGCCGTTAAGGTAACCAGAATTATCACCAATGATGAATAGCCTGGATTATGTTTCTCTGCTCTTGCTTTTAGTCTATTGAGACACAAGCTTCAAGTGTGCGTTGCAGAATTGCGAGTGACTTCTTCACGACTTCTTCCCGCGAAACAATGATCTCGCAGCGTTTCCAACAGGGATAACCGCAAGCCTGGCAAACCACGGAGCACCCCATACGCTCAGAAATATGCGGACGGGTAACAGGACCTTTACAATAGCATAGGCACTGGCCAACTCGACAACCCATCGAGTGGCACTCTCCCCCCGTCCGAACCATTTGGTTACGCCATCTTTCTTCTCGAACCGTGTCGCCTGGCCGTCTTTGGTCTGTTCTTCAACTTCCTCCTCGTCGTTTGCACTGATCCAGCCTTTCTTGCGAAAATACCTTCCAAACCGCTCCACGCCGTCAACGACCCACGCTCCTTCGGCAAAATATGGTGGCAGCCATTGCCAGTAGTGAAAAGCTGAAGCCAGTCCGAAGAGTGGGATAATCGCGGTAATCTCGTGTAAAATGAAGAATGCAGTAGCATGCGAGACTGGGGCTCGACGTAGTCCATCTAGGCCGCGTCGGAGGAATCGCGGTGTGCGATCTATAAACCGTTCGAAGCGCCCTCTCAGGGCTGCTTGTTCATCAGTCGGCGGCAGCGGAGGACGAGGACGAGGCCGAGGTGGAGGAGGGGGATGTTCGTGAGCATTCGTCTTGCTCTGAGATATTCGGCGTCGACCAGGAGCGGAATTTCTCGTGCTGCGGGCAGACCGAGGAATGGATCGAAACATTCCGAGCCTCATCATATCATGAGAGGACAAAGAGAACCATCTGACCAAGTCACTTGGCCGAATCCTTACGTTTGGACATGTTGTGCTTTCCGAATAGCAATCCACGAAAGTGACGTTCTGCCTTCACCTGAGTCAATACGGCGCACGAATAGGTGAACATCAGTAGGTGCCGAGTACAAGCTTTTATTCTAGGCTTAAGTGACTCCACAAGGCCCAAAGACTCCACAGGCGGGGGTTGTTGGAGGCAACGTACTCCGTAGAGTACTTTCGTATTGTACAGACAATACTCGGAGGCTCAGGCACAACCTCAACCATCTGCGTGCCATTTGGAGGGGCCGTTGGTCCTGTCTTCCCTTTCATTCTCTCGATGATTGATAAGCCTGGCCTGCTTTGTTCAACCGAAGAGCTGGTATCACGCAGGCTCTGGAGAGATCCTAGATGGATCCGACCGTACAGGAGCATCCATACGGAGTTCTTCTTTGCTCAATAGATCGAGTCCATCCGTGGCATCAGGCTGTGTCGAAAGCTTTGGATCGGCCATGGCCTCCTCAGTAGTATTTCCCACTTGTGACCGCTCGCTCGACTTTATTGTGGTCAGCTTTGGACACTTCCAAACTCACTTCCACTCCGACCACGGAAGCGCTATGAATGAACGTTCATCCTAATGAAATGATAGGGCTCTTCTGATCATCCCTGGGCACCGCATCCCTGCGGAACTTCCATCTTCCCTGACGGTTTTTGCTGCGATCGGTGAGAAGGTGCTCTTTGACAACTTCGACTTCCGGCTCTAGCCAAAGCTAGACCGCTTGCCTCGATTCTATGATTTGGCAACGGCGACAACCATCGCGTCTTGCCTGACCTTGGCAGAAGGGTCAGACATACTCTATAAGTACAACGATTACAATCGCTCCATGGGCAATAGAGTGGCTCAGCACGTCACCAAGGTCGATGTCATCAACGCCTCAAGCCCAATGAGATCCACGAAGCATTTCCTGCTCTAGATCGAAACCGGTCCATGATCGATACGTCGCGCGAAGGACGGGTAGTGTCGCAGACCAGCGATGGGAAACATCCTGCACGGTGGCGGCCGATTTTGGTGAACCATAATTTCATCCCTGAGGTGACATGGTTGGGGTTTATCATTCTTTTTTTAATGATGCCTTGGCTGATCGCTTCGACTGGGACTACTCAAGGTACACGGCCCCGTCTTATTTTAGATGTCAGCGGACATGGAGTTCATGAAGAATATATCATGAAGATACCACGTCCGGAGCCTCGGACCCTTTTGAGCGCCCGCACAAGAGCGCAGAGTGACCGAGATCTCCACCTGACAAAGCATCAATCAAGGCCCATAAGGCTGAAATGGTTTAATGCTTACGTACTATCCGATCGACATTACTGTATGCAGTTGCATCGTCCGTCCCTGGGTCCAATTAGACGGCCAAATGCGAAAGGTGCCGTTCAGAAAAGGACGACGTCGACGAAATTCCTGCGTGAAGACCTTGGTGGATATGCACCTAGTCTTGCCACTCATTATATGGTCTTGTGCCATGGGCAGGAAACTCTCAGCATACTTATACTGCTTGAATGTCCAGGAAAATGTACTGATGATACACAATCAAATATTTGTTTAGTCGAACAGCGCCGAGCATCCATCTTCGAGTCTAGCCCTTCTGGGAGGTGGAGGGAGCAATTGTTTCCATAATCACCCTGAATCAACACTGCGGAACCAGGCCTTGCATCATCAGACGATACACGCATTCGCTCGCAGGCCCAAGTTTATCGAGTAGCAACTTCCTGTCAGTGACATATCCTCGACACATCTCGCATGAAGGCCAGCTCGATCTAGTTGTCGCTAGAGAAACTTTCTCGCCAGTGTACTCCGGGGCAGCCATGGCCAGCAAATCACCGAAATGGTTGTCCAAGCTCTCGAAGCCATTCTCCGGTGAGTACGACGTCTTTTTATGTTCCGAGGAAGACTAATCATCGGTTCTTAGAAGCAGGCCCTTCATCTTCTGCCCCTTCCGAGGACAATTCCGGACAGGACGCCCGGTCCCGGCGACGCGAGCAGGTCAGGAGGGCACAGAGGTAAGCAACCACCCGCCACGCACTCCTATTTCTGTCTCTCTCAGTCGGCCGAAGGGCAGAATTCGCCCCAGGCAGATAGTCCGTACGCATATAGTCATATCCCGACTCCAATTCAAAGCACATAAATTTTTTTTAGAGTTGTTCGCTTACGCCCGTAATTCTAGGACGCATCGTGATCGCAAAGCAAGCTACCTCAAGATGTTGGAGATGGAGGTGGCCAAGCTACGGGCAAAAGATGCCTCAAACGACGCCGAGATCCAGGCGTACAAGGCCACGATTCGTCGACTTAAAGATCTGATCAAACTTCACAACCTAGTCTTGCCCGACGATTTGGCATCAGACCCGCTCATCCAAAGCCCTCAGGCCGCCGTCGAATTAATCGGAATGCCTGATCACCATTCCCAGACTATTCGTGCCCAGCTACCACAAGCATACGCATACGCCCCCGAATACACTGCCGGAGCTAGCACGCTCACAGAAGGCGACATATCATCCACGTTCCCACCGCTACATCCTCTCACTTCGAACGTGGACCCTGAGGCCCTGGCTAACATGAGTCTTCGCGACAGTGCCGACACAGGCTTTGATCGGCTTCAGTATAAACAACCAGGAGAGGGACAAGATGTGGCAGACGTGTCGTCGACGGTTCCGCATCCTCACGGTCTCGGGACAACTCAGATAGGCGTCGATTTCGTCCTTGGGCTCGAATACGTGTGCCTGGAACATCACGCCATACACAGAACGGACATTGATGGCAGCGGGCACGAGATGATGTTGATGAGTCCGATAATGCGGTGCTCGCCTCCGCTGTCGTCGCAGCCGACCGAGACGGGATCCGGACTACCTGATGGAACGAAGTGGACAGTGCCGGCGGTCGAATTGGAGAAACTGCTTGAGTTCTCGGACCGCCTGAGCCTTGATGGAGAAATCACACCCGTCGAGGCGTGGCAGAGGGTACGCCTGCACCCAAAGTTCCCGGATCTTACAATGGCTGGACTCGATGATATCAGGGCCAAGCTTGTACCTGAGGTCAAGTGCTATGGGTGAGCCGATCCCAGTCATATTCACATCGCTCAGTACTTATGGTGATTGTAGCTTCGGTGCTGTTATCGACGAGGCGTACTTTGATTCCGTCATTTCGCAGATCATGGGAACATATCAGGGCGGCTCTTCTTGACGCACAGGAATCAACTGGAAGCTGGTGGTTGTCGGTTCTCTCCAAAATTTTGCCAGCGCGTTCGGGACAGAGAATGTGTCCACAAATAATGGAATTCCACTAGTTAAAGAGATGGTGAGCAGTGCCGCGACTACACGCCAGGAGACATGACGAAACGTCTCGAAACTCGACTTCTCAAGCGGGCGCATTTTCGGTGTTCATGAAAGAGCGCAAGGCAAGACAGGAAAGGTAGTCGTTGATTCATTTTGGTGAATAACTTGTCTGGCGTCAATTACAAACACTTGTTAGACAACGAGCACAGGTCCGGTATGAGTGTGTGCGGTGTAAGCGTTGTTGGGTCACGAAAGTCTCTCAGAGCGTCCGCTTTAGGCAGGTCGGTTGCCTGGAGCGGGTAAGACCAGGACGTGTCGGGGATCTTTTCCACGTCAAAGCTCGATAGCCTCTCCTATTACCTCGGATATATTTCTCTTTGTTTTTACAAACGGTGCAACATCTCTCGTTAGTATGTGATCGCAGGGCGAAATCTTCATTTACTGCAGTGTCCCTTTATTTCGACAGTGCTCGTGACTCCGGTGTCATTACTGCCAATCGCGTTCAGATTGGGCGGTTGACACCGACAATCCAACTTCAGGGAGACATCTTATTGCATATCTACAGTGTAGGTACACGCTTCGAATCATGCCCCCACGTGCACGTCAACCACGAGCTCTCAAAAGGAGCGCGAAGGCAGGAGAACAGGAAAGCGTGAAGCAGTCATCGGCATCTACAATGCCCGCACAGGGCCAAGGCAAGCGTAGCTCACAGACTACCAAGAAGTCCAAAGTGACGCGGCCGGTACAAGAAGCTACAAGCACGGATAACGTCGACGACACAGACCCCGATGCAGACGGTGGAGTTCCTTTGCCAGCTTCCTCGCCTGTAGCTCCTGCACCAAAGACACAGCGAACGCTAAGCAACCACGAAGTACCCGCGTCGTCGGGGTCCAAATCTATCCCCTGCATCCGGAGCGCCGGGCCAGGCGGTGTGCCGCCGCCCTTGGTCTTCACGCACGGCGCCGGAGGAGGGTTGACAGCTCCAGCGCTTGTCCACTTCGCGCAGGGGTTCGCAGATACGGGCTCGAACATTGTCTGTTTCAAGGGCAACATGAACCTCAAGTCACGGACGAAGATGTTCAGCATGGTGCTGGCGTACGAGAAGCAGAACAGCAAGAGCGTCAGCGGTTGGAAAGTCGTATTCGGCGGACGCAGTATGGGTTCTCGAGCCGCTGTTCTTGCCGCCCAGGAGGACGAGGATGTTCAGATGCTCATCCTGGTGTCGTATCCGCTGACGGGCCCGAATGGAGATGTGAGGGACAAGATTCTGTCGGACATCAAACCTGGCGTGGACGTTTTATTCATCTCAGGCGACAGAGATAGCATGTGCGATGTCGAGAAATTGAAAGAGGTCCGAGGCAAGATGAAGGCGAAGAACTGGATGGTCGTGGTGCGTGGGGCGGATCACGGTATGAATGTCAAGGGAGGCAAGAAGGGGACGGAGGCGGTAGGGCAGGAGACTGGCAAGATTGCTGCCGCGTGGATTGCAGAGAGGGACGCGACAGCCACGGAGATGAGCGTGAGTTGGGACGATGGCACGGAGAGCATCATTGGGAGTGGGATTTGGATGAGTGGTGGATTGGAATCAGGCCAGAGTGAAGAGCTACTCGAGACAAAGGGACACGGCGAGAAGGATGTGGTCAAGAGGCGGCGCAACGACGAGAATAAGGACATGAACGAGCCCAAGAAGAGACAGCGGAATCAGTCGAAAAAGTCGACTGCCTCATGACTTGTGCGCTGATAGCACTGGTTTTTGACGACCAAACCCAACGTCCGACGTTTTTATGTTTTTTTTGATGGCAGCCTCGCGCAAGGGAAGGGGCAGGAAAGCGTCTGTAACCACACTTCGTTTCGTCTGGCGAGCACCAGCCGCGCCAGTAGCTCCCAATCCTTGCCAAGCTGAACACAGTCGACGTGCAAGCTGTCGAGGGAGAGGGCGATCTTTAACCCGACCGGAACTTCTGGACAGAAAGCCGTGAAACACAAGTAAGGACAGCGCGAGTCATTACCGATATCCAATAACAAAGGCAGCATAGAATACGGGAGAAACGGTCAGCAGTTGAGCCATAATGCACCGTACAAACCCCATGGGAACCGACCGTCCTGGTGCTAGAGGGTCAGACTCGTCAATACATCCCATTTGACCCCTAGGCGCCTAATCCTTGGTGTGGCATAACATGATGCAAGCTGCGGTAAGCGCCAACAGATACTTATCAACAACTAAGCGCCCGTAATCAGGAATGAAGTCTGTGGATAAAGTCTGTCAGGAGACCGCATGAATTCAAAGCGGCCCTTCAACCAAGAAATCTGGACGATCAATCTCAAAAGAATGCGATTTAGTGTGGTCATTCCGGCACGGTATGAGTCCAAACGACTCCCCGGGAAGCCCCTGAGCGATATTCACGGCCAGAGCATGATAGCCCATGTGATAGCGAGGTCGAAACTTTCAGGTGCCGATGGAGTTATCGTCGCTACCGACCACGCAGACATTGCGGCTGAAGCTCGACGCCATGGGGCCGAGTCTTGCATGACCAGTGCGCATCACCAGAGCGGCACTGATCGACTGACTGAAGTCGTGGAGCTGTACCGATTTCCTGACGACCACATCATTGTCAACGTGCAAGGCGACGAGCCGCTTATTGATCCTCGACACATTGCGCTGGTTGCAGAAGACCTTGGTCTCTGTCTCGACAGCGTGGCGACGTTGGCGACGCCCATTACAGAGAGCAAAAGCCTGTTCGATCCCAACGTCGTGAAAGTCGTCTTCGACCAGAACAATCGTGCCTTGTATTTCTCACGGGCTGCGATCCCGTGGGATCGTGAAGGCGCCGTCACACACGACGAACCACTGCAGGAGCAATTCTTCCGCCACATCGGACTGTACGCTTACCGGGCAGGCTTTCTGAGGAAGTTCAAATCATGGTCCGACGCTTCAGTGGAGAGGATCGAGCGCTTAGAGCAATTGCGAATACTGTTCCATGGCGAAACTATCCACCTCACTGTCACGGAGAAGGCGGACAGCGTCAGTGTTGACACAATTGAAGATCTGAAGAAGGTCCGACAGATGAGCCCTGATTTCTTTGCAGCTACTTTTTTGTGAACTGTTGTACTCGTTTTGGGTGGAGTCTTCTGGGGCTTCTTCGTTTTTGGTCAAAGATCTTGGATATGCGTATAATCTCGATGAGTTGCATCTTTGTATCCCAATGCAATCTGAAGGGTGATTTTGGTAAATCTTATCAACATCCATCCACAGACAAAACCTCACATGGTTGCATGAGTTTTCCACCAGTAGACCGTCCCCCTGATCAAGCGAATAAGGAGGTTTACTAAGCTTGGAAGCATTTGGTCGAGGGAGGGAGGCCATTTGGGGTTTGGAGTACGACAGAGTGTATTTGAAAGAAGCTTACACTGATCAGCTCGAGCAGAATCGCTGAAGTCGTTCGACCAGTGGAGCAAGACAGCAGAGGCAATGGCCCGTGAACAGAGGGTTCGAAGAGCTGGCAAGGATCTTTGCTGCCAAAGTACGTGAACAACATCGACGGGCTCAGTCTTGAGCAACCTTGAAAGGCAGTTACACCAACCAATAAGAAAATTAGCAAGCAATCCGGTACGTATTCTTTCTCTACCTGCCACGCAGAATCCCCAATGGGCTCCTGAGGTTAGGACGGGCGGCCCGCTGCTGGGAGCGGAGGCGCTCGACCGTGGCGACTTGTTGAAGACATATCACATCACTTCCGGCGAGTAGAGAGACGAGAGTGTCGTGGGACTGTGTTGGCTGTGATTGACCGAAAGACAAGGAGGGTGGAGCGGAGATGCGCACCTTGATAGTGGTGTGAGTTTAGGATCCTGCAGAAAGAAATTGCTGAATCGACTCGCCGGCTCTCTGAGAGACTCATTGTCACCCAGCCCATACTACGTCTTCATACATGCCAATGGGCGACGCAGGTTCTACGTCCTCAATATCGAGGGTTGCAGTGATTGGGGCTGGTCCGGTCGGGGTTTCCTGTGCGAAGTTCGTCAATCTTCAGGGTTCAAAAGCTCTTTGTCGAATCGTCGTAGCTGACTACCATTAGATACCTCCTTGCTGAAAAGGCCTTCGATACCATAGATGTCTACGAGCAGCGTGACGGTGTAGGTGGAATATGGAATCTTTCCGAGCCCGTGCAATCTAGACAGATTTCTGTGCCCCAGGTCAACCCCCGATATGGCCATCAAGACTCCGGTGCCGAGTCACTGGAGTTTGAATCGCCCCTGTACGACTATCTGGAGACCAACATCCCAAAGCAGCTGATGGCGTTCTCTGACAAGCCATTTTCGGACGCCGACCCCCTGTTTCCGAGCCACCAGGCTGTTCTTCGATATCTGGAAGAGTACGCCGCTGACGTGCGCCATCTGATCAGGTTCCATACCGCTGTGAAGGACTTGACGTCGACTGCCCCTCAGGCGGAGGGACACGGGCAATGGAACCTTGTGGCCGAAGACGTTCATACCAAAGAGACAACGCGGCATGTTTATGATGCAGTGGTGGTCGCGAATGGTCACTATACAATCCCCTACGTTCCGGATATCAAGGGCATTGCTGAGTGGAACACCATCTACCCGGGGACCATCATTCATTCCAAGGCGTACCGCAGACCAGAGGACTATCGGGACAAGAAGGTCCTGGTGGTAGGAAACTCTGCCAGTGGTCTCGACATCGCCACCCAAATTGGCACATACTGCAAAACTCCTATATTCCTGTCTGCCCGTTCCGTGTCTGCCTTCGGAACCCTACCACCAGCCGAGTGGCGAGAGGATATCGACGAGCTTGTGGAGTGCCTCCCGGCCAGCGAAGGTCACCGGGCGTTGAGATTTAAAAGCGGTAGAATAGAGAAGGACTTTGACGCTATTGTCTTTGCGACTGGATACTTTTATTCGTTTCCCTTTCTGTCACAGCTGTCGCCACCATTGATCACTGACGGATTCCGCACAAGAGGGCTGTATCAACACTTGTTCCATATCAACCACCCTACACTTGCGTTCCCAGTCATCAATCTCAAAGTCATCCCGTTCCCACTGTCTCAAAACCAGGCCGCTGTCGTTGCCCGCGTCTGGAGCGGTCGGCTCAACTTACCATCGAAGAGCGAGATGCAGAAGTGGGAGCTTGACAATATCGAGAAGAACGGGGACGGCAAGTATTTCCATCTCAAAAAGTTTCCCCAAGACGCCGCACAGATTAACGAGTTCTACGACTGGGCCCAGAAGGCGAGCAAGAGAGACGGTCTCGAGAATGGGGGCGTAGGCCGGCTTGGGACAAGATGGGACGAGAGACAAGTGTGGATGAGATCGAAATTCCCAGATATCAAGGCCGCCTATCTCAAGAGAGGAGAGGCCAAGGTCAAGGTCAGAACGATGGAAGAGCTTGGGTTTGATTTCGCAGAGTGGCGGAAGGGCGCCGAGGAGAAGGACCTCACGGTGTTTCGGGAGGCCAAGTGTTGAGAATATGTAACAATGCTCAGGTTGATATAGACATAGACAGTCGGAGAATTTTAAATCGAGAGGATAATGACATCGCCGTCCCTCTCTTTGTCACGGTTGAGTCGGGTTGATGGCGCATTGTAAGTCGCCGCTGTCTGTGATCCCGGGCAGAATTGCCACCAACGAGCGCAAGGTACCATCATCATTCGGTACCAAAAGACGAACTGACTGATCTCTTTACTTGTCTGTCACAAGACGCCTGCTGCCTGCCTCGCATCCTGCCCTCCTTCTTGCTGCCTCTCACGTTCTCGACATCTCTATCAGACAGATACAAGTCAGTACTGTCGCCATCATTCAAAACGACACCATACACGTTCGCACTCACGAATTGGGGGCGACAGCATTCACTCGCTTCCGCCCGGGCCGGACCTCCATCGGGGGATCTTCTCTTGATCTTCTTAGGCTGGTGGGCACAGCAGGTCAAGCCGCACCACGACAGGGATCCCGCCCGGCTAAGTTAGTGAAGCCCCCAAGCAGTAACGGGACTTCGGCTAAGTTGCCCCCCCAAACCCGCCGAATCTCCAGTCGTTTTACGCCCCAATTTCATAAACATCTTCAGTGAGTCTACACCAACATACCACTTTCCCTTTGTCTGAGCTGGCTGCTTGTCCTTTCTCGTGCGCCATGATCCACTCACTGACAATGACTCTTTTCTGCAGCCGCCGTGGAGGACGATGAAGAATCCAGTGCGCAGCAACTTAGACAGTGTTGAGTACAAGTCTTCAAAGCGCAAGTTGAAAGCCGCCGACGAGAACGTCCAGTACTCGACCCGAGAGCCGACCTGGGAAGAGCAGCTGAGGCTACCGACAAGATTTCACGAACACGGTAAAGGCACTTGGCCTGCCTCGCGTATTCTAGAAGAGAAGGAACGCAGAGTCGGAAGGACCAAGAAGAAATTCTACCTAGTCCAGTGGGAGAAACACCCAGAAACGGGCGAGGTTTGGAAGCCATCCTGGGTCCCGACTGCTGACCTGTTGAGTGGTGAACTGCTCCGGGATTGGGAACAGTGGAAAAAGCGAGGGTCCCAAGACACGAGCGACTCGTCCAGAGCTACCTCACACGCAGCCAGTGTGAAGCCAGAGCCTCGACGCAGCAGAACCCTCCATAGGATTCCAGACTCCTCGAGCGAAGCAGCTTCCGAGAAGGTCACTCCTAGCCAGCCACGGCAAAGATCATCATCACGAACTCCAAGTCAGCGGAAGTTAGCAACACCCAAATCGAACTCCAGAACAGCGACAAGCAAGCCCGGGAGATCAGCCTCGTCCCCCATCGAGATTGCGGAAACTCAGACAGACACATCACAACGCGTGTCGGTTTCAGTAACAATCCCTCCTTCTCGTATCGATAAGAGCGAATACGAATCTCTAAACTCTAGTCAAATCAATTCTGAGGGTGCCATTATAGGGTTTTCTCCGCCTCACGGTCAGAACGCCATCTCTGAACGATCGCCTTTTCCTCGTGCCCCCGAACGATCAGCCGATACGCAACAACCCGATCCGATAGGACTCTCTTCGGGCTTTTCGAATTCCTTTGCTGCCAACGACTTCACACCACTATCCAACGGCAGACCAGTCACTCCATCAACGCCCAAGAACTTGTCTCGGCCTCCTACACGCACCAAAACTTCCCCTGGAAAAGTACATTCCAGCCCCGTGTCGATACGAAGCCAACCACCGAGGAATTCTAGAAAACGTGGAACTCAGCCATCTGTTTCAACTCTTCATCAACATATTCTCAGTACTTCCACTTCGTCTGACTTTGGCGTACGCTCGCCACAGTACGTCCAAAGCACATCCCAAGAGTCTGAAAATCATCTTCGGGCAAGTGAAGAGCTCAACTCCTCGGGGTCAAGATACAATTACAACGTGAACGGGTTTTCTTCACAGCTGGACAAGACACCATCTCAATATCAGAACGGGACGACGTCATCACCCTGGGTCTTTCAAACTCAAGCACCGTTTCGATTTAGTACTGGTAAAGGTTTCGAGCGCCCAACATCTAGAAGGCAGTCTTTGAACGGTTTTTCGTCTTCGGCACGTTCCGGAGCTTTCGGGTCCGCCATGGAACACCAAACGATACCCTCGTCATCACAGGCAATGAGCCCTCCACCTGTACGGACTGGAAGCACTGCAGGGTTTGGTGTAGCAACTGTACCTGGGAGTAACGTTCCAGGACATGATCAGAATGGTTACTCGAGCAGTCTGGATATCTCTGCTGGTGTGATCGCGACGTCACCCCCAATTGCAAGCCAGCACGAGCACCATTCTGGACCTGAACTCGCCCCAATCCACCCCCCACAGGCACCGGTCTATGATGTCGCACTTGGCGGGAGCGCTCTGCCCATTCAGAAGTCGATCGAGGAAGAACCTCAATCTTTTAGTGGTGAGCATTCGTCAGCAGAATCCAAAGCAAGCTCGAGTCAACAGTCTGTCGAACATGAAAGAGATGTCGCCCAGGTTGACGGCTTGGTACTTCCGACCTTACCAGTATTGGGACCTGACGAGTATGCCCTCGCTCTCCCAGCCGAAGGCAAGATCCAGTCGGTCTATTCCGACATCATCAAGTCGAAGAAGAAGGCAATCCTGAAATTTCTCAGTCGGCATGAATCCGTCGGCTCCGCTAATGGGTCTCTCACCAGGACACAAGAACGGATTGAAATGGGTGAATTGATCCAACAACTGAATGACACGGTCACGCACATGGACCTTGGCCTTCCCGGAACTTTCACACAGTATTCCATTCAGTCAGAGGAACACGCAGCCTACGCAAACTACGCAGGGTCCAAATTTTCTCTCCTAGGTCACCTCGTTGACATGCTAGTCAATGTCGAATGTTCCATCGTTATCATGAGCCAAGCGGGGCCCGTACAGGACCTGATCGAGCAATACTTGAAACTGAAGCATATCAATGTTAGGCGACAGGATCGTCCAGCGACTGCAAGCTCGCCGGAGTCAGAGCGTACTCGAAATGAATTCCGAGTCGAATTGATCAGCACGTTCTCGACATATCAAGTGAGCTTTCTTTTGAAACCTATCTTGATGATTGCATTTGATGCGTCGTTCGATTCACAAGATCCCCAAGTCATGCGTATCAGACAGTACTTTTCGCCAAATCCTCCAGGACTGTTGCCTGTGGTCCACTTCCTTGTGTCCAATTCATCTGAGCACGTGGATCGATGTCTGCCGAAAGACATGCCGTCCCCATCAAGACTGAAGCTTCTAGTACGTGCTACGTATCAAGCCCGACCAAATTTGGGAGGCAGGCCGACTTATGTACCCGATGCTTCGGATGAACCTGAAGGTCGTACTATGGACATGGCAGATCTACAACGAGGTCTCCGGAAGACTCCAGAGCGCAAACTCACCATCTTTGCTCGAGTTATTACCAGAGCTTCGCTAGCGAAAGACTTCTCCAGTAATTGGACGCTACCAATGCCTCCGCTGCAATTGATTGATATGGATCTAGCTCCATCAAGGTCCAGCGGCGTCCCAACGATGGCTCCGACACCTCAAGAACCCATCCGGTCGAGAACTCCTGCGTCGCGAGCCGAGACCCCATCGGGTAAAAAGCGAATGTTGGATGTTGACAACTTTCTTCCTGCTTTAACGAAGCGGCAGAGAGTGACTCCTCTCCGAGACTCGGCAGAAGTAATGGTCAAGACTGAACCTGACAGCCAACTCCAACAAATGCAGGAGCTTGTCACCAAATTACAGGCAGATATTCAAAGTGAACGTGAAGCCAGGCAGAAGCTCGAAGAAGAGAAGACCAAAATCCAGGAGCAACTCGGGAAGTGGAGGGAGGATCATGCCAATCTTCAACGACGTTATGAAAAACGAATGACGAAATGCCACGAATTAGATTTTTCCACACAGAAGCTCCAAAAGATTATTGATAATAATAAATCGCGACATGAGAGAATCGCCGAAGACAATGTGTCGCTCAAACGAAAAGTGACTGAGCTGCAAGCAGAATTGACGACCGTGCGAGAAGAGTTGAAAGCTGGTGGCGGCGACGCAGCTGCATTGGAAGCGGCTCGTGAAGAGGCTCGTGGTTTCCAGGCAAAGAACGTCTACCTCGAAAAGTCGCTGGAGAACACACGCAAAGATTTCGAATTCACACGAACCCAATATCAAGAGGCCTCCAACAAAGCTGCCGAGTTCGCAGGACAAGTTCGAGAACTGGAGACCAAAGTTGCCGAGCTCGCTCTGCAAGCTGGTGACGAAAAGCGGCGCCTCAAGGAACAAAGTCATGCTTACAGCCTTGAAAAACACTCTTCAAAGATCCAGGAGTTGCAACTTGGTATCCGTAGTCGAGAAGTGCGACTGAAAAAACTGGAGGAAGAGAACCGTCAATTGAAGCGTGTCAGAGGTGTACAGACCAGAGGATCGAGCGTCCAACCTCCAGGAAGTCCAAATCTGGATGCTCCCGGTAGAGGAACCAGAAGTCGACAAGCAAGTCCGGCGGCGGGGTTGTTTTCCAATAGTCATCATGCGGCAGGATCTAATAGGGGAAGCTTGCTTAGACATCAAGAGAGGTAACTTTGAGCTTGGCTTTCTCAGGAAGAACCATGGTGGTTCAGGATGGTGACCCAGTCAAGCACAACTGGTGTTGGTCAACTTCAGCTTGGCTGGGAATGGTGCGGCGAAGGAGCTGGTGATGACTTGCAGGGTTCGTGCGTGTATTGAACAAGGAATCCAACGATTATTGCAGCGAGGATTGAGATTGAACAAGTTGGGGATTTGGTAATGGGATAAGGGGGCGGTGGAAGCATGAAGTACCTGGCTTCTTATCCCGTACAGGGCACGATCTGTCGTATGGCGCGAAGACGGAGGTTCGATTTTGTTTTCCCTGTTGCTTTTCTTAGTCCTTGGGACTCCTTCCTTGAAGAAAGAGGCAGATGAAGCCAATCAGACATTCTTTTAGGAAGAAACAGTTCTTCCGACGGAGATTCATATGAACATAGATCCATCAATGATGTGACATGATTATGGTTCTTATGGAGTACATTGAGTCGCGAGTGTGTACTAGATATTAATGATGCTCCGTACGGTAAGTATTAATGTAGGTTCTTCAGCTTCAGTACGGGTATGTGAAATGATATTGAGTTCGTTTTCTACTTTGTTTCTATTGTTCTCGCCCTGAAGTATTCTTTATTTGGTGTTCATTGGTTGTGGTTCTGGGGTTCTCGGGTGGCTGTTTTCCTTTCTTTGTGTGTGTCTTTCTCTCGATTAAGATAACGAACCCACGCTTACAGCATCCCATTTTATTAGTCCCGTCGTACTCAGCTAACTTTGCCAATAGCGGTTTCGTACGATCATGGTCGCTTAACAGCCAAAATCTCCTTTTCTATGGCCTCGCCGAAACTGTCCGTGGTTCCCTTCCCACCCATATCCGCCGTGACGACATCGCTGTCCGAGCGTGCCAGGACGTTCTCGACGGCCTTGAGCACGGCGTCGGCGGCGTCCTTGTACCCGAAATGGTCCAGCATCATCTGGCCGGCCCAGATCATGCCGACGGGGTTCGCGATCCCCTTGCCGAAGATGTCGGGGGCGCTCCCGTGCACCGGTTCGAACAGGCTGGGGAACTCGCGCGTCGGGTTGATGTTGGCGGACGGGGCGATGCCGATGGTGCCGGCGCAGGCGGGGCCCAGGTCCGAGAGGATGTCGCCGAACAGGTTGCTGGCGACGACGACGTCGAACCTCTCCGGGTGCTGGACGAAGTGCGCGGTCAGGATGTCGATGTGGTACTTGTCGACGGCGACGTCCGGGTACTCGCGGGCGTGGATGTCGGCGACCCGGCCGTCCCAGTACGGCATGGTGATGCTGATGCCGTTGGACTTGGTCGCGGACGTGAGGTGCTTCTTCGGCCGGCGCCGCGCGAGGTCGAACGCGTACCGCACGACCCGGTCGACGCCGACGCGGGTCATGATCGTCTCCTGCACCACCGTCTCGCGCGCCGTGCCGGCGAAGATGGTGCCGCCGATCGAACTGTACTCGCCCTCCGTGTTCTCGCGCACGATCCAGAAGTCGATGTCCCCCGGCCCCCGCCCCGCGAGGGGACACCGCACCCCCGGCATCAGCCGCGCAGGCCGCAGGTTGACGTACTGGTCGAACTCGCGCCGGAACTGGAGCAGCGACCCCCAGAGGGAAACGTGATCCGGGACCAAGGCAGGCATCCCGACCGCCCCGAAGTAGATGGCGTCGAACCCCGAGAGCGTCGCCTTCCAGTCGTCCGGCAGCATCGAGCCGTGCCGCAGGTAGTAGTCGCACGACGCGAACGGGAACGTCTCGAATTCCAGCGAAAGGTCAAACACTTGCGCTGCCGCCGAGAGGCACCGCAGCCCCCATGGCATCACTTCCTGTCCGATCCCGTCGCCCGGGATCACGGCGATTTTGAGTTTGGACGGCGGTGGTGGTTGTAGTGACATTGTATGTATGTAGGTGGGTGTGAGATGTGCGATGTAAGACCAAATATATAGATGAAACTGGGCTCGTGTCTTCTGTCCTCTCTCCAGTGCCCAGTGTACGTCGAGGTTCAGCTGTTGTCGGCTGGGACGGACACTTGCCGGCAAGTGATTTCTGGTTATATATATATGGAGCAGGAGCTGCGTGTAGCGATTACAAAGTCTCGGTGATCCGGTGAGATATCAACTTCGAGAACGGGTGATTTTTTGACCGAAGAAATTTGATTCATGTGCTTGACTTCATGAGAAGCAAATATCAAAGTCGAAGTTTATGTTGACGTGTCCCAGGTTCACCAAGGCTGATTGATGTTGTTCCCTTTTGACCTGTACAGATTCCCTGTTCCAGGGTGGTTGTCTCGCTCGTCAGACTCATATGTTGCTCGTCGTGAGAAGTGGTACTTCCCATGTACCTCGGAGCTTTGGACGTAGGTGCAAAAGAGTCACCGTATTCACGCACTCGATCGTTGTCTCAATGATATGTGTTGGGTAGACAGACACAGGACGAATCCTCCCCCCCACCAAAGAGCCTCAAGCCCTCGAGGACTCTCTGTTATATGTTTAGCCAGTCTATGAGAAGGTGTTTGCGACCGGCGCTATACGGAGTCTTCGATTTTCTGTCACTTTTGCCTCTCATGGCATGGGTGATTCCGATTGCGGAATGCGGTCAATTTTTTGGCCGACAGACTTACTGAACCTCGACGTTGTTATTTTGTCCAGTGGCGATAGGACCTTTACAGGCTGGAGTGGAATCCTATGGGGGGGGAAATCCATGAGAACGATATGTGTGTTTGATCGCTGATGCGAAGTCACCATAGAAAATGCATTTTGTTTTTATTCTGCCGGACAGTTGTGAGTACAAGAGGCGCGGCGCACAGGCGTCTCGAGGAGAAACATGGCGATTTGCGAGCGAAAACCGGAATATCATGAATGGGTATACAGTACGGATTGGATATACTTCTACCTACGAATACCCAGTGTCTTGATAGGGAGGAAAGTCAAGGACAACACATGAAAACATGTTTGCAACTGGGTACTCAACGCCTATTTTGGTTCAAATGCGAGGACCTGGGGTCAAATAGGTCGGTATGTACTACATACATCTAAGAAGAGCAGCTACATTGAATGGCTCTCTTAAATCGTGGAACGTCGCCACAATACTTCTTCTCAATTTCCTCATTCCAGCTCCATTCATCCTGGAACGGGTTCAGTGACATTTCCATCGCACCCTGAAGAATATCCCTCTCCTTCTTGTTCTGGACTCGGTCGATAATATCATCAAGCAACCATCCTCGGGGCACAAAGTTCGGGTTGACCGCTTTCATGGCCTTCTCTCGCGCCTCGTCGGCAGATGGCTCGGTGCCCCAATCCTCCACAATTCGTTCTCGCCATGAGTCGAGCCACTTTCCGACCCTCTCGCGACCACTTTCATTGGTCTCATTCAGCCCAGTAACTCCCTCCTGATGGAAGAATCTTTCCGCTGTTTGTACCCGGTTCTCTTTGGTGCTAACGTCCTCAAGCTTCACTGTAGACAAGCGACGGAAGAAGTGGTTAAAGTCCAATTCGAGAGCTTCCATCGTATCGAGGAGCTCTGAGAACAGCTTTTCAAAGTCGCCTTCTTTCTGGGTCTTCAGACCAAGTCGCAAAGTCATGAGGCGTCGGTATTCACTCAAAAACACCGCCTTGTATTCGTCGGCCGTCTGGTCAATGATGGTCTCGGCGCGCTTGATCAGAACAGGAGCAAAGTCTTCCTCGACACCCTTTTCCACAAACACTTCATCGTCGACGCGATCACCAGAACCAATCAGCTCGCCCAATGATTCCCCGAGACGGACAAGGTTCCACCAGATGATGGTCGGCTGGGCACGATAGCTATATCGAAGCATGTGGTCATCATGGTTAGGAGTATAAGTCGGGTCAAAATTGTCCATGAAGGCGAACGGGCCATAGTCCATCGAGAGACCAAATATCGAAGTATTGTCGGTGTTTAGAACGCCGTTCATGAAGCCGTAGGCCTGCCACATCCCAACGACTTTGGCATTTCGACGGACGATTTCGCGATAGAGCCTTGTGAAGCGGTTCTCCTCGGCACCCTCTTTACCCTGGAGTTCGTCCTTCGGCACCCCTCTAGGAGGATCGAGGTGGGCATCTTTTTTATCTGCATCTAGGGAAGCTGGCAATGTCTCCCATCCACCAAACACATCTTCTGCAACATAGGTAGCGACTTTGCGAACCAAGTTCCGGTCACCTCTGGATCGCATCAGGTCGAAAGTCCCAATACGGAGCCATGATTGGGCGAAGCGGCATACGATCGCTCCTGGCTCAAGCTGCTCGCGGATGACAGTTGACTTGGGGCAGAGCGTCAATGAAAGGGCTCGCGTTGTCGGGATCCCGAGCGCATTCAGGTACTCAGACACGATAAATTCTCGTATGCTGGATCTTAATACAGCCTTACCGTCCGCAAATCGCGAATAGGGAGTCTTGCCTGCGCCTTTCAGTTGTAGTTCATAGCGGACCTTGGTTTTTGGGTTGGTAGCCTCGAACAGCGAGATTGCTCGTCCATCACCTAGTTGACCCGCCCATTGACCGAACTGAAAGCCACCGTAGCATTGTGCCCAAGGATAAATGCCCCCCTTCTCCTCGTCCCAGTAGAATTTGTTGCCTGCAACAACCTGTTTGACCTCTTCCGAGTCGGCCTCACTGTCGGCAAGACCAATGTCGCGCAGGGCGGCTCGACTGACGGCAAGTAATTCGGGATCCTCTGTAGGCTCCGGTCGGACATATGTATATAGTGCTTCTCTGACCATGCGAGGGCCCAACTTTTGTCGAGGCGCTCGATGGGAGTCGAGGGGAGTGGGATACTGTGGATCTGGAGGTAGTTTCGAGGTGAATGTGTTTGACTTCGGTATGTCTGCTAGAGTGCAGTTGGCATCATTCTCCTTCTCTGACCTCGGGCCTTTGGTGAGGCCGTTGGATAAATGCGAAGACATCTGCGCGAGTCTGATACGAGCGGGGGAAGTCGACGGCCGATAAAAACGAGGAACCTGCTTGAAGAGCATGCGAAATGCAAAGAGGAACAAACAGGCGGCAAACGCGTTATATAGAAGCGAGGAAGATACTTGGTTGATGATGATATTAGACAATCCTTCCATCATTCATCCAGTTCAAAATTCCCCCTCAGCACGTCTATGCGGCGGATGCGATGGCGGAGCGCGACAATCGGAGGAGAAATCGGTGACCAAGGATGATGTCACCCGCACCTTGTTACGTCGGATCAAGAGTACAATGGTGCAATATCTAGGGTGACACATTATAACCACGGTGTGCTCTTGTCACGGGATCTGCACGGGTGAGTCTGCGCCCTGGGGTCTGCTGCCTGGTCTCGATGCAGCGAATGAATTGGTCATGACAATGCTGGACGGATGCCCAATCGACCATCTTGCGAATGAGAACCGCAATATCCTTCGCGACTGGGAGAGAAGAGAGAAAAGAGAAAAAGGACTTCGTGAGTACAAAGTATCGCTGGCGTGGGTGGGTTTACCGCTAGAGTCACTGACCACCTGCGGCTTCGGGATCATCCAGGATCCTCGCTCCCTCGTACTCGTACCTGAAGATCCCGCTGCGCCCCGTCAACAACCCATCCGGACATCTGTCTGTATCTGCGGTTACCTGTGTCACGATCAACATCCCCTTCTGGCGCTGCTCTCCTCCGACGGCGTTGATGCCTCGCTTGGATCCAGCAGACTCAGGGAGGTGCATGAACTGTCAACCCAACTCACACCATCTCGACTCTTTTCGACCATTCCTCGTGCGTTGTCGATGTGAAGCATCCTATCGGCGCCGTACGGCGGTAAGAAGCTGCTTAGCGAACCCTTGAAACTGCGCGACGTGTCTCTCGCTCGATTCTCCACCCGCCGTTGGCTTCATTTGTTGTTCGTTTGCTACCCAAAGCATCAATGCGTGCGTGACTGGAAAATTGCGAAGAGACTGCTGCCTTTCAGAGGCCGTCTGCTGCCATTTGCTCGTGGCAGACCTCAGTCATGAGATGAAGCTCTCAAAAAGGGCAGGGTATTCCGTTCTTATATCTTCTCTCACCGCAACTACTCCATACAAGTTTCAACTAAAGCGTTCACCGATATTTTGGCACCTGGCTACAATTTCTCATTGACCTTGTTCACGAAAAATTTCCCTTGCACGCCTGAAACCCTTGGTGCAGCACACCGCATTTACCCTTAGCAATTAAGCCTCGCTTATCACTCAAGATACCTCACAATCACAGTTCGCCAGAATGGCTTCTGAAAAGCGCTTGAGACGAATATCTCAGTCCAAACTCGGTCAACGTCCTCCGCCTAACATACCAAAGAGATCCACGAGTCTTCGCAGAGCGTACAATTACCTCTTCCACCCAGAGTCTCCTACAGCGCAACCCGATCCCATGCTGCGACGGAAGAGACAAATCGAGGCGCCGAAATCAGACCCTTCGACTCAGAATCAACTCGAGAGCGTCCGAGCAGAATTGCAACAATGTCGGCAAGACTTGGAGGAGGCCAGACAAATGGTCGTCACCCAAGAGAAAGAAATTTCCTACTATGAACAACATCAATCGAAACTAGAGGCACAATATAAAGACAAGGAAGCATCCCTCAAGAAACAAAAGGCCTCGCTTGAGGATAATATGGTGGCGGTGGTGGTCCAGCAAATCAAAGACGCACGAAAGGCAGAACGAGAAGCGGTCAGACAGGAGCTGAGCGCGGAGCATCAAACCGCTCTGGACAACGTCCACCACAAGTACAAATCAAGGGTGGCCATACTGACACAAGAACTCCAAGACTCGCGCGCTGCAACGGAACAGATCAAGGCCACCTATGATATTCAATTGACAACCTTACGCGGAGAGCTCGCGTCTCTCAACAATAAACTTGAGTCCGCCAAAACCGTGATCGCCGAGACAACTGCTACCCTGAAAGACGTCCAAGATGCATCCAAAACGGCTCTTGATGAGTCGCAGAAAGTGACGGCTGCTGTCAAGGCCGAACTGGAAACTCAAATCGCTACACTGTCTGAACAGTTGCAAGATGCTCAAGTCAATTCCCAAGAGCACAGCCAGCGATACGCAGACCTGCAAGAAAGCTCTTCTAAAGCACTTGAGTCGGCCAATGAGTCCTTGACCACAACACAAGCGCAGCTTCAGAGTCAAATCGATTCTCAGGCAACGGAGCTATCCACTCTACGTGAAGCATTAAAGTCAGCCAGTGCCAAGGACGAGACAGAGTCTTCTGCTCGTAGACTGATCGAGGAAGAATTGTCTGCCGCTCGACAGGAAGTCATAGACCTAACAGCCAAGTTGACCAGCTATGAGGAATCAAAGGAGGCATTGTCTATATCTGAAGCTCGCATTACGGAGTTGACGGAGAAACTTGAAGAATACGCCACAACCAAGGCTGCATTAGAGGCTTCTGAGGAGAAGGTCGCACAACTCATGGTTGACTTGGAGTCCTCCAATGCACTCAGGGACGAGCTCGTAAACTCTGAAGCCAAGATTGCTGACCTTACGGCGAAGCTCGAGGACTACGAAGATGTCAAAACAACTCTGGCTGAAGCCAAGACAAAAATTGCCGACCTATCAATTGACGTTGACGGATATGATGCCCTCAAGGCCGAGCTCGAAAGTGAGAGGGAACGCTCAGCCGGTTTCTCCAAAAACGTTGAGGACCATGCGGCGATCGTTGCTGAGCTACAAGCGAAACATGATGAAGCCGAAGCGCGAGCGCATGATGCTGATGAAAAGCACAGCGCAGTCCTGAGCAAGATCGAGTCACTGAAGGAACAGCTTGCGGCTGAGACATCCGATCATATTCTCGCGAAGGAGCAACATGAGCAGGTGACAAAGGAGCTTGCCGAGCTGTCGGCCTCTCACCAAGACGCGCAAGCTGCTTTGGAAAGTGCTCTGGCTAAAATGAAAGACCTTGAAGAGAATAATACCCAGCTCGAGTCCCGACTTGCCTCTGTGGCAGAGGAAAAGCAGACTGCTGAAGAGAGTCATGCTTTAGAGAAGGCTAAGATACTTGAAGAGACGGCCTTGGCGAACGAGGCCGCGGGTGCGGCCAAAGCTGAGGCTGACGCCCTTCAGGCAGACAAGGCCAGCGTCATGGAGGAGCTAGAAGCAGTAAAGGCTGCCAAAGACCCACTGGACGAGCAGATTTCCGCACTGCAGGAGTCGAACGACAAACTAACTGAAGAGCTGAAGGAAGTCAGAGAGTCAATGGACAAATCTAAAGAAGAGTTTGAGGCTGTCCTGGCTGCAAAAGAGGCTGATGCGCAGCGTATCAACGACCTGGAATCGGATAAGTCTAAGGTCGAGGAGGAGCTTGCTTCGCTAAAAGAAAACTCGACCGACTTCACCGCTCGCATTGAAGCGCTTGAATCCGAGAGGAACAATCTCCAGTCTTCGTTGGAAGCTGCTGAACAAGCCAAAGCCGTGTCCGAGGAGAATGTTAGCGGCTTAGAAGTGGAGAAATTGAGCTTGACTTCCAAAGTGGACGAGCTGCAAGCGGCTTTACAAGCTAAGGAACAAGAAGTCGAAGGAGCTGCTGCAGCCAAGGCCGAAGCAGAGCAGAAACTGGAAGCTGCACAGACACTTGCTGGTGAACGTGATGATTTCCAAGCTCGCAGCGACTCCTTGGAGGCATCGAATAAAGAGCTGCTGGAAAAGCTCATGAGTGCCGAGTCGGCGCTAGCCGACGCTCAAGGCCAAGTACAACAACTGCAGGATGGTCATGAGTCCGCCAAACAGAAGTTGGAAGAGGAATTAACTCTTGCCAAAGAGGCTTTAGCGAAGTCTGACGAAGACTCGACCATCGCAATGAGCGAGCTTCAGGGGAAAATGTCCACGCTGGAAAGCTCTCACGAGTTCTTGCAAGCCGAGCTGGACCAAGCTCGAAAAGAGGTGGAGGCTTCCAAGGCAGAAATGGAAGAAAAACTAGCGGCAGCGCAACAGGCGCACGCATCAGCGCAGGAAGCACTGGAGCACGCTCAAGCCAGTAGCGCCGATTCAAGTGCAGAATCAGAGCAAAAGCTTGCGGCAGCATTGGAGGCACAGAAAGCTGCTGAAGAAGCTCTTGCGAAGGCACAGGAAGAACTAAAGAGTTCTAGCAATTTGGCGGAGGAAGTCACAGCAGCTCAAACGGCGCAGAAGGCTGCGGAAGAAGCTCTAGAGCAGCTGCAGGAACGTGTAAAGGCAGCCGAAGACGAGCAGGGCAATCTCGAAGCCAAGCTTCGTCTCGCCGAAGGAATTCGGGCGGAGGCCGAGAAGACTGTCGGCGACGCTGAAGAAGCCAAGGCTGAGTTGGAAGGAAAACTGAATGGTGTCGTCGAGGAGAAAGCTGCGTCTGACGCCAAGTTGACGGAAGTGGAACAGAAGCTAGCCGGAGTTCTGGCCGACCTCGAGGAAGCCAAGCAAGCAAATGCCACTGTCGCTGATCAATCGACCAAAGATTTGGCTTTGAAGGAGGAAGAATTGAGTGCTTCTTTGACCGCAAGATCAGATGCGGAGAAACGACTCGAGGAACTTGAAGCAAAGCTTGAAAAGTCCACCGCCAACCACGAGTCGTTGCAGACCCGACTACATGAGCTTGAAAATGAATTGGAAGTCGCCCGTAACAAGGGTATCGAAGCTGAAAAGGTCCAACAAGAGGAGTTGGCGGTGAAGGCTCGCGAGGTCGAAGCGCTTGTTGAGAGCAAAAATGTGAGTGATGCTCACCTAAAAGACAAGGAGGCAGAACTTGAAGCTCTCCGCAGCGAGCTCGAAACCGCCAAGTCGACACATCAACAACCCGAAGAGAGCGGTAGCGGAAATGCGCTTGAGGCTAAAATTCAAGAGCTGGAACTCTTGTCGAAGAAACAGGCAGAGGATGGCGAGAAGCTTCAAGCCGAGCTGAAACAAAAAGACGACCAGATCGCTGAATTGAAGGCGTGGAAGCAGAGGATGGAGGATGATATTGATCATATTACTGGGGAAGGCAAGGCTACACTGGCAGATGACGACAAAACTTCAACTTTGGTTGTTGTGAATGGGAAGAGTGTCGATAAGGAGCAGGAGGAGAAAGAATAACGTGTTTGATGACCTTCCGCTTCTCGACCACTGGAGCCAAGATGATCATCAGGTCAGTTGGTGAGAGGCTGTTCAGTGGTCCCACGCAGTAATGATGGGAATGACATGAACCGGATGGACCTGGAGGATTTTTAGGGAGCGCTCGGGCGGGAACTATGTCTTTTTGCCTTTTTGTGGTCCGGGCGAGCTGTCACATATTGAGCATGATGGTTGTTGTTACTGCCAGCAAAGAGCGAGCAACTGAGCGTTAATTGTGGCTTGTGAATTGAGCATTTACACACTGGGTGTCCCTGATGCATCTGATCATCTGCTCGTCGTCCTCTGTAATGGTTATCTTCTCGTATGAGCACGAGTGTGCGCCTTGGGTAGTGGTTAGTCGAGCTTTTCTCCCCGGCAGCCACAGCAGAATGTGGAAAAGCTGTTATGGAGTAATTGACGCCACAACGGTCATTGCGCCTTTCTTCTTGGTGTTCTCCGTAAACTATGGCCTTCTGCTGGGCGACGTCGATGTGATTGGACCACGCCGACGCCTCCGTTGCCAGTGTGGCTTTGATGGCGACGTTGTAACTCGTTTAGTGGCACGTACAATGATATCATTCTTTATCGGATGTGAGATGCGGACACAAAGTTGGCATACAAACTACTTGGATGAGTACGACCTGTTTCTCTCTCTGTATCTGTATCTGTATCTATATATACGAGCTGCCAGAGGCGACACTCTGCTCAAGAATCACTGTCGCATCTTCCTTTATGGCTTTATGGAAACCTAAACATTTCTTTCTTCTTCCGTATAGCTAGAGTTCACCTGCCAGTCCCTTTATTATTATTAGTGTTGTTGTTGTTGTGGCACGTACACAATACACTATCATCACCGGTTGAATCGTTCCATCCTGAGACACTCGATATATATTCTTAGGGCTCGGAACCACACGATTCGTCGTCATGGGCGACGAAACACCGGAAAACTTCTGCCTTCTCCAGGGCTTCGAATGGAATGTCCCCGCCGACCAAAAACACTACATCCGCCTGAAGAAGGTGCTGGGGGACCTCAAGAACATCGGCATCGACAACGTCTGGCTCCCACCGGCGTGCAAGGGGCAAGGCGGGGCCAAGGCCAACGGCTACGACATTTATGACCTGTACGACGTGGGCGAGTTCGAGCAGAAGGGAAGCCGGTCGACGAAATGGGGTCCGCGCGAGGACCTCGACGCGCTGGCGTCGCACGCCCAGGAACTCGGCGTGGGGCTGTACTTTGACGCGGTGCTCAACCACAAGGCCGGGGCGGACCACCAGGAAAAGTGCCGGGTGGTCGAGGTCGACCAGAGCGACCGGACCAAGGAGATCGGCGAGCCGTTCGAGATCTCGGCGTGGCTGGGGTTCGACTTCCCCGGGCGCGGGGACAAGTACTCGTCGCAAAAGTACCACTGGGAGCACTTCTCGGGGACCGACTACGACGCCGGGACGGAGCGGACGGGCATCTTCCGCATCCTGGGGGACAACAAGCACTGGTCGCGGTCGGTGGGCGACGAGGCGGGCAACGCCGACTTCCTCATGTTCGCCGACGTCGACTACTCGCACCCGGAGGTCGAGGCGGACGTGACGCGCTGGGGCGAGTGGGTGGTGCGCGAGTTCAAGCTGAAAGGGTTCCGGTTCGACGCGTGCCAGCACTTCAGCGAGCGCTTCACCAACGAGTTCGTGGCCAACCTCGAGCGGCAGTTTGGTGAAAACGCGCTGTTCCTGGTCGGCGAGTTCTGGTCCGGCGACGTCGGCGAGATGCTGAGCTACCTCGACGCCATGCACCACCGCTTCTCCCTGTACGACTCGCCGCTCGTCAACACCTTCTCGCGGCTGTCGACGACCGAGGGCGCCGACCTCCGGCGGGTCTTCGACGGCAGCCTGGTCCAGGCCCGGCCCGAGAGCGCCGTCACCGTCGTCATGAACCACGACACCCAGCCCGGCCAGACGGTCGACACCCCGATCGAGGGCTTCTTCAAGCCCATCGCCTACGCCCTCGTCCTCTTGCGCGCCCAGGGCTACCCCAGCGTCTTCTACGGCGACCTCTACGGCATCAAGGGCGACCGCGAGGAGCCCCCCTCCTGCGGCGGCCAGCTGCCGCGCCTCGTCCTCGCGAGGAAGCTGTTCGCCTACGGCGAGCAGGACGACTACTTCGACGGCGACCCCGGCAACTGCCTCGGGTTCGTGCGCCGCGGCACCCCCGGCCGCCCCGCCGGGCTGGCGTGCGTGCTGTCCAACGCCGGCCCCGGCCAGAAGAGGATGTTCGTCGGCCAGGACCACAGGGGCGAGGTCTGGACGGACGTGCTGGCCTGGCAGACTGATGAGGTCACCATCGACGACGAGGGCTTCGGAGACTTCATGTGTCCCGGGACCAGCGTGAGTGTGTGGGTGAACAAGGACGCCCCAGGTCGAGACAAGATTGACAGTTTGGATTTCAATGCTGATATTTATAACATGGTATAATCAACGGACGTGGAGACTGTCCTGATTATTTACTGGTCGTGGCTTTCTTAGACAGGTATCCCTATGACTAGAACCCAACGTGAATCCTGCTGTCGGTGACGCGGGAACTGCAGATACCTCAAATACCTCAAATATAAATTACCTTACCGTAGGTACTTACCTACCTACTTGGTACGCTATGACATTTTCAACCATACAACACTTCACATACGCCGCCAATGGGAACATCCATCACGGCATCGGTGCCTTCATTCCAGGTCATTTTCCAATTAGGGTACCCTAAAGCCCCAAACTGGCCATGTCGGCCGTTTTCGACATGCATCGACCCATTGGCGAGATAGGGAAACATTGCTGTATTCTGATACGCCAGTTGATCATGGTACGAAGATGCACGAGCAGTTCCATTCGACATTTCCGTGCCCCCGTGAGAGAGACCGTGAACATCGTTCGCCCTTGCAGTCCCATTTGCACCGCCAAGTGATGGCCGTTTTCTCTGCTTTGCCTTATCTTTGTCTTTACTTTTGGAGAACTTCCTACCCTTCTTGCCACGGGCGCTTGCCTGTTCCATCGCCGCCCGTTGCTCCATTTCCTTGACCAGTCGCTTGCTACCGCCGTTCCTCACACGGCCGTTCTCGTCGAGTATCGCCACATTTGCCGCCTCGTCCACCATGCACTCCAGACTAGCCAAGGGGAGAGTCAAGTATTCGACATTGTAGCTGAGGAGCGCGACGTAGATGAAGATCAGGAGCATGACTATCCATGCGGGAATCGCTAGCGACCACCACCGATTGGGATAGTACGTCACTCCCATGGCATGCAGAAACGGGGAAGGGAGGTATGACCAGAGAATATACATCAGAAATGCAATCGTCGACGCCAGGTATAGGACAAAGCCATAGTATTCATAAGTCGGCACCTTGGGAGACGTCGGTGGTAAGGGGTGCGCACGCCGGGCGGATTGGGCAACCGCTGCTTCAGTGTCATTTGGTGTTTCGGCATCGGAATCTTCTGGGGTTGTTGGCCGAGTGGAAGTCGTAGAGCGATTCAGCAGGGACGGTGGACGCAGGAGTGATGTTAGACTCGGTGACGGTGGTAATGGCGTCGGCGGTCTATTGTAAAACGGTGGATAGAGCGGTGGAGGAGGTGCCGGCGGAAGAGAAGTAGTTGATTGGGAGATATGTAGGCCACCGCCAGAGACGTTGCTCTCAGGAGGGTGTGGTTGCGGATGCGGTCGCACCGGCAGAGAGTGAACGCGAGACAAAGATCGTGGTTCCTGGTTCGAGGAGTGGAATTGATCTCCCGCCGAGGTCGGCCCCTGCTGGTATTCATCCTCGACGTCCCCCTCCGTCTCATCCTCCTCACCGGAGACCTCCTCTTCTGACTCCGGCGACTCCTGACGTGAGTAGTGCGATTCGAAGTCATCGTCATCAAGCGTCACGCCAGCCACTTCGTCGTCTTCCGGGAAGTGCAAAGAGTCCCCATCTTCCGTTTCGTCTCTTTCGTCGCCGCCCAGTTGAAAAGCAGTGGCGGCGCGTGCCCTTACTGATCGAGGAGTTGGAGTTGGTGTCTGGGTGTCGCGGTCCGGTATGACCATACGAGATCCAGTCGGCGTCCGTTGGTCAGGGATCAGAAGAGTTGGAGAGGGCAGATTTTCGAGAAAAGGGCGGAGCGTGGGTGGGAGGGATTCAGATTTCGATACAGGGCGCCGCCGCCCGGGTTCAGGCGAAGCGCCCCGACTTTGGGGTGGCATCTTCAAGATGTTTCAAGATCATACCAAGTGGAAAGTCGCTGCACATGTAAATAGTCCAGAGAGTCGCGGAGGCTCAAATGCGGAGAAAATCGCTTGCTGCTTTTACAGACGACGAGGCTGAGCCTGACGAGGGAGGGAGTAGAGGAGGGAGGCTCTATTGTCGTTCTATCCTACATACATATAATCTATTTGAGTTTTCTATCTCATGTCTTAACGGCAAACTGCCACCCGGTCCGGTAGAGCCTCAAGCCCAACAAGAAACCCACGGTAGCTGTAAGAGCGAGCGCCGAGAAGAGCTGGACACCCAAGTAACTGCCCGTGTGCTTCAGAATTGCTCCTGCAATTGGACTGCCGCACAAGGATGCAATGCCGTTCAGTACAGACGACATGCCCATCCGTGTGCCGAATCTGCTCATATCTGTGGTGATCGACGCCAGGATAACGGCAGGCATCGATATGATCCCACCAGACGTATATCCCCAAGCGATTGCAAACGCAACATTCCCAGCAGCACCGTGCACAGCGATCCAGCAAAAGGTGACCAGGGCGCAGCTCGTTGTCGCTATCAACATGGTATTGACGGGCCCGATCTTCCCAGCAAAGTAAGACGGCGTTATTCGACCTGGGACCGAGGCCGCATTGAGGATGGCGGCAAGGTAGAGCGCCAGCGTGCCATGTTGAACCCCATGGCTCAACGCGTACGACTGGATGTAGAAGACCGGCTCGAAGTATCCGAAATAACTTGCCATGATGGCAGCACAATAAAGCACATACGGCATCTCAGTGAAAGCGTGAAGGTCGACCAGCGACCGCCTCGCCGTCGATCCACCTCGGGGACGCAACACACTGATTGCAAAGAGGCAAGTTCCAAGGCTGACGAATCCGATGACGCGCGTTGCCCATCCAAAACCTATCGTGGGCTGGAGCTGCTGGAAGATAATAGGATAGAGCGTTCCCCCGAGACTGCTGCCGGACGTCACGATGCCCGTTGCAAGAGCTCGTTTCTTGGAAAAGTATCTCGGCAATAGGGCCAGCGACGGAATGTACAGAAGCCCCGTCCCGACGCCTATCAGCACGGCTTGCGACAGCATGATTTGCCAGTACGCCGTACAGAGACTGGTGAACATCCAGCCGAGCACGATGGATATACTGCCAGTGATAACCAACGCCCTGAAGAGGCCCATGTCGTACAACGGGCCTGCGATGACGCCCACCAACAAAATCAGGAAGGACTGTGTTGAGCCGATCCACGAGATCGTGTCTGGCGAGAGGTTCGGGTACCCGATCGTTTCATAGTATGTCTGGTAGACTCCAAATGTATTGATGATGCCCCTTTTGGAATGCATGTGTCAGTGAGAGAAGCCTCCGTGAGTGAGTGGTCTTCTCGCCTTGGTACTCTCGTGATTGATTACTCAAGCACTCACCAGGAATTGAAGAATAATAGGTAGGCCCCTGCCACTTGCAGCCAGGCCAACGCACCTCCATCTGGAACATCGTCGGGTTTAGGTGGACTCGGTAAGGCGTCTACGCCCGTCACATCCACTGGAGCTTGTTCTTGACTACAATTCTCGCCTTTTTCCTGGGAGAGAACGTCGGTCTCATCTTGACCCCGCGGCTTCGCTATCATGGCGCTCTCTCGCGAATCTCATGGCACGCTCTCGAGACAGCAGAAGGAGAGAGACGGCGGGGACAAACACATCGTATAATATATAGCGCATCGCGACATGTCGTCCTGGAGAAGGGCGTGTTCCGTGACTCAAGGAATGGAACAATGCGATTGCGCTGGAGCCAGTTGCAGTTCACTCTGCGTACGTGATGTGGGGCGAGGATGAACAAGCAATGTACGAGCGTATTCGTACTGCGTACATTGCCAACGGCCCTTTTCCGTCCACTTGGGATCCCTGGATGAATTGGAATCTGGAGCATTGCGCCATACTGCGTGGTCGGGGAGCAGGAGTCGCAAGTTGATGCAAGATGCGTGTACAACTTGCACTAATACAAGACTGAGCCAAAGACAATGAAGGATTCCAATCAAAGGGCCTGGAAAACTCAGAGAAACATCGCCGCCAGATAAGTACTGTACTAGTATCCTCTCGCGGCTAAAGATTTGGATGTGATTTGGCAATGACCTTGGCCAGATCGTGCCAAAGCCATGCTTGAACGAGGTCGTGCAGGATGAAATACATGGTGAGTTCTGTCCAAGTTCAGGAGAAAATGTTCAAATATTGATGATGATATTACATGGAGTGCTGTCTTCATACACAGCGTGTTGTCGATTATCGCTTTCGCTTCGGTGTTTGTACATGGTATCTATCAATAACATAAAACGCTCACTGCCAACTCCAATGCTCACTGTCATCACGTCGTGGAGAGGGCGGCTGCCTCATGCTCTTCTGATGCGCTTTCTGGGGTCTTTAATGCTGTCTTCTTGCTGTACTCCCTCGATGCTGTCCTGCTCAACCTCAACAGCGGCCTTCTCCACCTCAACAACGGTTTCAGATGTTACGCAATCCCAGACCGACGATACCGCTGCCGTTGCTGCTCCTGGAGAATGTCGACATGAATGAGGGTGTGCGCACACTACCTTTTCCAGTCCGGGCCGACGGTAGAGGTGGTACAGGAGACCTCGAAGGGTCCTCGGGGTATGGAGTTGAGATGCTCGGCATCGCTGGGGTATCCTGCCTCGTGGTGATTTTGCCGAGTCCCTTGATGGCCTGGTGTATGCTTTCACTCCGCCGTCGCAGGTTTTGAAAAGACTTCTTTCGTTGCATAGATCGTGTGTTATCAGAATGACTGTCCTCGTCGGCCGATATCGGGACAGACGGTAACGCCGTTATGATTCCGTGGCTGTGACTGTCCGAACTCGACACGCTCATCGCTGTCGATGGACGCCGTAGCATGGCGGAAGCGCGCGATGCGGATGCGCTGTAGGAAGCCGGCTTCTTCGGAGCCGGAGTTGCCTCCACACCACCAGAGATGCTCGCCGTCGACGGCCGACTACGGTGGCTTGAAGCACCAGAAAATGTTCTCGCATGCGTCGCAAATGGAGGTGTTCTGACCAGGCTCTTGGTGCTACTCACGCGGCTATGATTGAGCGCTGAGGGTAACCGAGGCACGCTTGATTTCCTCAAAGTCGAAGCTCTCGCCTGGTTTGACGAAAATGAAGAAAGAAGCAACGAGTCTTGACTTGCCGAAGCGATCATCTCAATTGCGTTGGCTGGTAAATCTGGAACCTCAAACAACGTGGCTTCAGCGGCGGGGAATCCGGTCAGGGATGAACTGGATGATGGTCTTCTGGCAGCCCGTTTAGGTGGTTGGAACACTTCTTGGGATAGAGGACTATGTGCTGATGATGTATTTCGTCGCTTGCTCCGGTGGGGGCTGCTTACGATTGATATGAGCGACGGCCGTGCTCTTGGCTGTCGGAAAGACACCGGTGTTGCTGTCTCTATCGGTGAAAACGTTTCCTCATCCTCCAGGTCTGGAGTCTGGATCTCGGACGTCACCGGCGAGCTCAGCATCATCGAGTATCGATCGTACTGGAAGTCCGACCATGACGCCAGAGATGCTTGGAAAGCTGGTTGAGGGGAGGGAGGGATCAAAATCTGAGTTCCTTCCATAGCCACTTGCATGACGTCCTCATGGTCTGGTATTTCGAGCTTGAGAGGAGTGTCGGTGGAAGAGTCCAATATGCTGGGTTGACCAAAGGTTGCACTATCTTGTCGAGGCTCGCCTGGCGTCAAGACGCTGCATTCTGATGGCGTTTCGACCGAGGACTCGCGCTCAAAGCGGTCTTTGTCCGTGGCCATATAGTTTGCCAAAAAAGCTTCCGAATATTTTTCATCGCTCGTGGTGCTGTCATATGGTTTATTATGTCTCTTATTCTCCGCTCGATGCTCTTGTTCAAGGTTGTTCAATTGCCGTCGCTCTTGGAATGTCCTTCGTCGGACAGAAGCTGCGGTCATTCTTCTTGCTTCCAATTCTTGGTCCATAGTACCCCGAGTCTTGGTTCGTGAAGGAGGTGATTGCAGATGGCTGGAAGATGTCGATGCATCGTGCGAAAAAGCCATTATACGAGATACAAGAATCTTCAAGAAAGTCTGCAGAAGTCCAGAGAGGCTGGTTCCAGCTGTCACCTGGAACTCTAACAGTAACAGGGTCCGTCTCATGTGGCCAGAAGATGCTTCAAAAGGTCAGGATGGAACCGGGGACATCCTCACATAGTGGGTTCAGATCGAATTGTGGACATCATCCTCGGTTACCCAGAAGCACGAAGTGGGCGGAAGCAAGCCACAATACTACATCTTTGCTATAATTGTAGGTCACCGACCAGGGTGTTTGGCAGACCATGGAGGGGACCTTGCTGGATGGGGGACGACGAACGATTCAACGCGACACAACAGGAAAGGCGGAGAACAGAGCATAGCCGATCTCACATTCGAAGGCGAGATTGCAGGCAAACCAGGACACGAAGCGATGAGTAGCTCAGAGGACAATACTCCGTAGTAGTTCTTTATCTCTTTTTTCTGGATCCGAAAGTCCCACGAGTGGTGTAAGCGTGACCACGGTGTAGACCTCGTGTGCTGCAAGCTCCAGGGGTCGGTGGGGTCGGGGTGCAGCATTGACACAAGCTCCCGAAGTCCAGCGTTTCATCGTCGACATACGGTGAACTCGTTCTTTTGATCAGCGTCCACACATTGGAATGAGCGGTCAGGGTCAAGTCTTGTATGCTCTTTAGATCGTCATCCTATCCGCATGTAAAGCTTCTGCAGAGACCAAAACCTGTCACCTGCACACCCACAGTACGTACATATGGCGGCCACGGAGATGACTATTCGACTTAGACTGGGCCAATAGCAACAAGTGGAGAGTGCCCTGATTGCTGGCGGAGAATTGGATGGAGCTACAGTACAGTATAGCGTCAGGGCTCAACAGAGCAGACTCGCTTGCATTGCGTCTTCTGGGGAAGTCCCAGGTACATCGTGCAATGCATGTTCAGAGGCACCAACCAGTGTATCCCATGGCCGCATGGTATCCGGAGCGCTTATGAGTTGTGGTCGCACAACGCGGCTGCAGCGGACTAAGGTGGCAGCAAAGAGATTTCGCCGGTGTAAATCGATATATCGTACGGGGTGAGGGTAATTGGAACTGTGATAGAGGCTGAAGACCCGACCAACCATCCTGGTGTTTTACGCGAACCCGGACTATCGGGCAGACACATCGTGAGAGAAACCTTGCCAGGCTCATTTCAGCATTCGTCGTGCTGCGCCCAGTCAGGAGTCGGGATCCCACGGTAACAAGCCGCTAAAGCAGAAGGTCGCTTGCCGGCTTGATTGGGCGTCCGACTCGTAACGATAGTCGGTTCTTTCGGGGTTTCGTGCATGTTTTGGAGAGAGTCCAGTCCCTTGATCCCAGACACGTTTCCCTTTAAATACAGCCCTGCCCAGGGGTGTCTCTTCTGGCAAGCGAAGGCTCCCATGTCCAACAATGCCTGTGTCCCATAGATTCCCCTTCAAACTGCAGGAGTGTCCAGGGAGGTTTCTTCGGGCTACCTCTCCAATAGATGGATTGCTCATTCCTTCTAGTAATCCGCAGCTAGGCGTACAAACATCATTACTGAGTACTCCGCACTGTGATTGCTGTAGATAGGGAGGGCGACAGCCCACTAGCCTACGTTAGGTGGCGGGCGGAATCGTATGAAATCGGTGGGCTCATTCGTCATACGCATACTGTACGGATACTGCTTTGAAAATGTCGTGATATAGTCAATGTGAAAGCTCTTTTTCCCCCCGAGGGTCACCCGCTGCCCTTCTGAGTAGCCTAATTAAACAGGTTACTGTGTATGCGCTGTTTTTCGGGAGCTGCTGTTGATGCAATCTACAGTGGGCGTCTGGCAATGCTTCTTGAGCGATCCGTGTAGGCCGTCCCTACTCCAAGCAGTGTCCTCAAGAGAGGTAGCCTCGTGGCCCACCCCGCCGCGAGCGCAACGAGCGCCGGAATGCTACTATTGTTGCTACCAAGGTGAAAGTCGTTAGTGGTAGACCTATTTGAATCCACCTCCAGAAGGCGGCATAAGAAAATCGCGAGGACATCTCATCCGAATTTTCTTCGTAGCGTATGATTTCCCTGCTAAACAATGTCTGGCTATTGTCAGCTTTGTACAAAGGCTTTCCTCTCTGTTAGATATACTTACCGAAACGAACGTCGCCGGCAGGTATAATAATGTCACTACTGTCACGATGCGCATGAAGAACGACTCTCTGACACTTGTCTGCGACAACTGCATTGTGCGATCAGAAGTGTGAGCTTGCATCAGCTCTAGGATCTGAAAATATTATTAGTAGCTAGACGGCGAAAGGAGGTTCGGTGCTTACAAGCTCTTTCCGTGCCCTGACGAACGCCGTGAGATGCATACCTCTCGACACTTGGCCTTCAAAATCGCACTTTATATCCTGCAGCTGGTACGTAAAGTCCTCCGTCGCTTGCCGTACGTCTTGTGCCAGGGAGAATTGGTTATGGCCGAGCAGTTTGTTGTAGAACATCACCAGTGGCTGTAGGATGCGCAAATTTGTATGCAGAACAGCGACTGCCTCTGACGCTTTCTCCAGATACGCCTGGAGAAGTTTGAGATCGGCGGCTGTGTACGTTTCTTTCGAATCTGCCAGCACAGCAGGACCTGTCTAGGATAATGTTAGCGGACTAGGACTCGGAGCTTGGCTTTCTGGTGTCCATACTCTGTCTTCAATAAGCGTCTCCAAGTCCTGGAAATATGCCCACCATGACTCTCCGGCCCAGCGTGCGAGTGTGATGTGGACCTCAAGGCTCGAAATATAGCATTCAGCCGGAGTTGTGAACATCCGGGTATCATCGCCGCCGGAGCCTGATGCCTCTGCTCCAGTGTATCGACTGAGACCTCCTCCAGGTTTGGTGATGATCCAGATCGAGGTACCGTGTATAATGTCCAGCTTATGGTAGATTGCAACGTTGCAGATAGCCCCGTTGTGGGGGAATTCTGGAGTGAATGTTTTTGGGTCTGTGATATCGGAGCTAATTCCCTTGAGGTTGAAGGAGATCTCATAGTGCTTGCCAGATCTGCCCAGATCTGGTGCCTCAAGTCCCGGCATGGGTTGGCCAAAAGCGACCTGGCCCCAGAAGGAGTCGTACCGGCCACCGGTCATGCGGTTTTCCCGGCCAAACAAGAACAGTAAATTCATATGCTGCATGGGTACCTGATGGTGCGTGAAGATGCGAACTAGCATCCTCTTCGTGATCTGTAGGCTGCATGTTTGAGTAGACGCCATGAGGAAGCTGCAAAAAGGTCAGCCCATCCGCAGTTCACGTTATGCCCATCCATACATAAACCTGTTTCGAGGGTCGGGCTTAGAGATGACCTCTCCCGGTGGTAAAACAGCCGATTCGTCTCCAAGCTGCCGGGCCAAGTCAGCTTCGTTGGACACCTCCTGGTAACTATGGCCTGAAATTGTCAGTTGTGCTTAATCAACATAGATACTCCTTACGGTATGGGCCTGTGACGAGATCTGCAAATCCAATCTTCACAGAAAACGGATCGTCGGTGCAGAGCTGCGACATTGCATCTTGCAGCCGATCTCTGTGGATTGCAGGCTGTGCGAAGTTATTCTTCGAGTCCAAGAGATTTGATGGGTAAGAGTCCGATTTGTAGCGAGAAATCACCAATTCCGACGGCACGCGCAAGGTCAAGGTATGGGGGGCATGTGCTGGCCATTGGATAGCCATTTGTTGCTGTTGCCTGGCTCTTAGAGAGGTCGACTCCGACTTATGCTGATATTTGCGTTTGATAGTTTCTTGGAGCCTATAGAAAGCTTCGTGGCCTTCTCCGTATATCAATGGCATGTGCACGCCGAAAATACCAAGCAGGCAATATGCGGCATCTTCTGGCTTGGTGGTCTTACGAGATGATGCCCATGACAGCCTGTCACTGACTGAGCATGCTTCCAGTTGCTGTTCCCCCGTCAACACCGCGGCGGGGATTCGAGTGTGCTTTTCCAAGAGTCTCTTGTGATTTTGCTTGGTGCCTCTAGGGTGCCATTCCTGATCGTAGAATTCCACCTTACTAGGAGCGATCAACTCGGGAAGAGTCCACCCGCGTGTGTGCCATCTGCAGAATGCAAAACCCGTCTCGAAGTCTGCGACAGCTGGTAGATCTGACAGGTATACAAAACATATCGATGCATTCTGGTACCATCTGAACATGGAATTGATGGCCTCGCCGAGCTCGACACTGTCCGTTTTGTCGATGCAGCAGGTATCTATCCAGACATACCCTAGTTTGTAGGATTTCGCCAGCCGGCATGCGTGCGTGATCTTGTTGTCTCGTGTCCGCAACAGCCACTGCCACGGAGAAGACCAGGTCTGAAAGGAGATTTCTCCATTTTCCCAAGTATGAGAGAGAATTGCATACGGGGGCACCTTTCCAGAAGGGAAGTCTTCGAGCTGCAAGGTATTGGTATTGATGAGTCTCATTTTGTGTCGGTAGGGGGAAGCCTTTCCGGCGTAGCAAGCGATAGAGGGATTCCTGAAGCTTGGAACAGCCAATTCATGGGCGGCAGAAGGTTATTCTGTCGCCGCAGAGCGATAAAAGTGTCAAATTCTCACACCAGGCCAACTCCAAGCTGAGTCAATGTCGAAACGACCAAAAGAAGCTGTCGGCGCTCGGGGGAAATTATAGAGACAAGAACGCGTCCATCTCCATCCACGACAAGGGTAAGGGTTCACTCTCAATTTGAGGCGGAGCCAGTGCAGGGTGGGAGGCTCGCTGTCGTCCCTGAACACTGCCACTACTAGGAGCTGAGGCCGAGGACTTTGGTTGGCTCAGCTAGTCCTCGCAAAACGCCTCTCGCTTATGAGGAGTCAATTGAAATGCCAGGATTCATTCGCACCTGCATGATATCATGTACGGCGCTTCCGTCATCACCTGTACCGCAGCCTAGTGCCTCAAGAAGCTTAGCTGTCTGTGTCCAGGCTGTCCGGCCTTCAGGAAAGGACTCGCCTTGTGAGCTTGATTTTCGTGCAAAGGAGGCCATGTAGCGGGCAAAACTGTTGGGAGCCCCTCATTATCAGCCCTTCTGTCCAGAAGTACCTCGCAGGAGTTCGGACTCCTCCTCAGCCAAAATGGTCGCACAGACGGTGAACCTCTTCAACAACCGCGGTCATAATATGATGTGCGATTTTTGTGGTTAAGCTTTCTGTCTCCACCACGCGACGAGCCAGCAGAACGGGCTTGTGTCAGAATTGGGGGGCGTGCTGGGGTTCACCAGCCACCAGAAAGTCATTCCTTGGCCTCCAACTTGCTCCCTATTCATCTATGTGGTCCAGGCATGCCTAATCACGCTTTCATAGAGGACAAGGAACCTTTTCGACCTCTCTGAGTTTGCTAACTTTGGGACCTCCAAACGGACGAAACTCTTGGATCGCATTTTCGAGGGGTTGAAGCTTTTGGGCAAGCGGAGGAACAGCCTCACAGATTTATGAGCAAGAGAACTATCGTTGAAAGAGAAGACTGGCTTTGAACTAACTAGTATCTTTCATAATCGGCCAACGAAGTAACGGTGCCTCGTTGCACCAAGCAAGATGGGCGACCCACTTCATGCCTCAACTTCCTCTGTCACCGGTTTGCCTAGCCTGCGTCTCTATCAGTATTCGGCGCTATTCATTCTAGGGTCTGCGCCACCCAGGTGTGCACCCAGAATCAACCTCCTGGTCCAAAATTTACCTGGCTTGTTCTTCGTGTTAGGCCGCGGGCTAGAACCCTGTCGTCGTCGGAGAAGACCCTTACGTACTGCCAGAACGCTAGACTAACTAGTGATGATCTTCATCCAGGGGTTCACATGTTGTTTATCCTCCTTCTGACTCTCATCGGTAACTCTCCAGGATTGGAATTGAGGCGCTCAAAATTTTCCAGTTCAAAGTCGCTGGATAGCAGTTCGAAATCATAGTTCTTCACGAGATCCGCAATCACGATGAGCTGCTCAAAATAGGCAATGTTTCGTCCGATACAAGCCCGCGGCCCCACGCTGAAGGGCAGATGATACCGCGCCATTTTCTCTTTGTCGCCTGTCATCCAACGATCGGGATTGTAGGTTTCCGGCTCGTCAAACGCTCGAGGATCACGAAGCAGGGTGTATGTCGGAACAGACACGGTGACGCCTTCTTCAATGAAACGGCCAGCGATCGTACGACCGCCAGCGGGAACCGTACGTGGAAGACCAATAGACTGAGCTGGCCGAAGACGAAGTGACTCCTCAATGCATGCCCGGAGGTATGTCAAGTTGGCAACTGCTTCGTATGCAGGTATGGCGACGTCGCCAAGGTTAGCGTCGAGCTCTTTACGAAGCTTCGCCAGCACTTGAGGATGCTTGTACAGTAAAAAGACTGTGCTCGTAAGTGCAGAGGTCGTCGTGTCGCTTCCAGCATTCATGATGACACCACTTTCAGCCAGGATCTCGCCGAGTTCCAAGTTGAGCTCCTCCCCTTTGTTGTTGACTAGGAGCTTCGCAAAGAAGTCATCTTGGTCCTCGGTCTTGCGCAACCGCTTCATGGTGTTGTGATACACGATGTCTTCGAACCTGGCTCCTGCTCGCCTATAGGGGTGGAAGGCGAAGAGCCGCGTGGTGTACGGTAGTAGCGGCGCTTCCATGCCCAGAGGGGTGTTGATGCTCATGGATAGATGAAGCGCATCGATTAAGGTGGTCTCGTACACCTTGCCATCCTTCGTCTCGGCCGATACAGTGTCGTTACCTCGGGTCATGCACCCCAACGACTCCCCGAAGAGCAACTTGGAGATCAAGTCGATAGTGAAATAGTTGAGGTAGCGACGCACGTTGATGGTCTCACCAGATGCTGCTCTTTTATCGATTTCAGAGTTCAGAGTCTGCACCATGCTGTGGACTACTGGTTCCAGACCAACGATAGTTTTCTGCGCAAAGACGTGGGCGAATTTCTTCCTCTTGCTTTGGTGCTCAGCCTTGTCACGAGTATCTCCCATGTTACGGTAGACTCCCGCTCCGCCGTCATACCATCCCTCTTTCAGCATATTTGTCCCGTGCCCATAGATTTCAGTCATCGCGGCCGGGTCGCATATGGAGATGTGGTTGGGCGCAATGCGCACATGCGTGCCGAGTGCCTTGTGGGCATTGTGTACAGCAAGGTAATGTTTCTTTCGAATTGCGTGTCCAATGCGCCAGAGACTCGACAGCCCTGCGTACGAAGGAGCAGGGAACTGTCGCAGCCCACTCGCGTCTCGAAAGTAGGCGTAGATGGGCTGGAGAATGGGGTAAAGTAGTATACAGATGAGCAACATTGATAACATCATACTGCTTTCGTTGCCAAATTGTTCTTGGTGATGTTGCGGAGTGAGGAGAACTTTGTTACCTGAACTGATACCGCCATGATAGTTGATCACCCTCCATATATATACCTGCCAATGCCGATAGATTCCAGGAGAGCAGTTCATTCAGCAATGAAAATTCAAGCAAAGACTTATCCAATCTGTGTAGATCTAGAATCGCTAGGTGTAGCAACTCACGAGCATTGATGACAACCACCCAGCCTGGAAATCTTTGCCGAGTGCCGAGAAGTTAGAACCATAACTGTGCATCTTATTTCTTCAGACAGAGCACCGTATTATCTGAATCTGAACAACTCTTGTCAAGGATTCCGAAAAACGCCTGGAGGAGTGAGTGGCTCCCTACCATTCTAAGCTAGCTTCGTCCGTGACTTCCGTTTTGGGTAGCCGAAGCCGAAGCCGAAGTGGATCCCGAGAGAGCAACGCGTACCCTGTAGGCGACAACCCCCGAGATTCTCAGCAAATAGTAGCTCGATAGTTGCTTCCAGATGTGTGGGAGCATGGGGCAGAGGCGGGGTTGGAACGGAGACCCCGTGGTGTATCAGAGTCTCGTCTCACCCTCCGAACTTCTATATAAATGCGATACTGTTCGTGGCTATCCCAAGGTTTCCATTGCATATTCCCACAGTTTTTCCTACGCATTACGTCCAGCATCGAAAAAATGTGGACTCTGGGTCTAAAGCCCGCTGATGTACCGGGCTCTCCATTGCCTGCCATTCTTATTGGCCTCTTTGTATCGTTCGGGGGAGTGCTGTTTGGGTATGCAATCGACATACTTCTGGCTGATAGCAAAGACTGACAGATTGTACCTCAGATATGATACTGGCATTATTGGTGGTATCCTAGCAATGAAGAAATGGCGGGAGCTGTTCTCGACTGGCTACATCAACCCAACCGATCACCTACCTGATGTCAATACTGCCGAGCAATCTGAGATTGTATCGATCTTGTCAGCCGGCACATTCTTCGGGGCCATATTTTCTGCTCCGGCAGCCGACTACCTTGGACGGCGTTGGGCCATGATTTTGAACAGCTGCGTCTTTGCCTTCGGTGTTGTCCTGCAGGTGGCTTCGACTTCTATTCCCCTCTTCTCAGCCGGACGATTCTTCGCGGGTGGTGGTGTTGGCTTGCTTTCCGCCACCATCCCGCTGTATCAGTCTGAGACAGCCCCGAAATGGATCCGTGGCACCCTTGTTGGCTGCTACCAGCTGTCCATCACCGTCGGACTCTTCCTCGCTGCCATCGTGAATAACGCAACCAAAAATCGAGATGATACTGGATGCTATAGGATCCCCGTGGCCGTCCAGTTTCTCTTCGCCATTATTCTTATCGTCGGAATGCTTCTACTGCCCGAAACGCCACGGTACCTGATCAAGATCGGAAAGCCCAACGACGCAGCGAAGGCACTATCCCGCCTCCGAAGACTGCCAGAAGATCACCCTAGCATCCAGGAGGAAGTTGCCGAAATACGGGCAAACCACGAATTTGAGCTCTCGCTCGGACAGGCATCCTATTTATCTTGCATCAAGAAGCCTATCCGCAAGAGGCTGCTCACCGGCATCTTCCTCCAGGCTCTGCAGCAACTGACGGGTGTCAATTTTATATTCTACTATGGCACATCTTACTTTTCCAACTCTGGCCTGGAGAACCCGTTCACCGTGTCAGTAATCACCAGCGTGGTTAACATTTGCTCGACTCTACCTGGACTGTGGCTCGTGGAGAAATGGGGTCGTCGAAGGCTTCTCTTGTTCGGAGCAGTGGGCATGGCTACGAGTCAAATGATAGTCGCCAGTGTTGGGACAGCGTTGCCGGACAATCTCGCGGCCAACAAGGCTTTGATTGCATTTGTCTGCATCTACATTTTCTTCTTCGCTTGCTCTTGGGGTCCTTCTGCCTGGGTCATCACCGGCGAGATTGTAGGTATCCCCCAGCACCAACACAAGCTTCCCTCTCTCTAACTTGTTGAGCAGTTCCCTTTGAAAGCAAGGGCCAAGGGGTTGTCAATGACGACTGCCTCGAATTGGCTGCTCAATTGGGCCATTGCATACTCGACGCCTTTTCTCGTCAACAGTGGACCCGGAAATGCGTAGGAATTCAATTTTGACTTCTGGAATCAGATGTTGCGTCTGCTAACTGATTTTGCCTTTTACAGAGATCTCGGCTCCAAGGTTTTCTTCATCTGGGGCGGATTTTGCTGCCTCTGTGCGGTCTTTGTGTACTTTTCGGTCTATGAAACCAAGGTTTGCCATTTTCCTTTTCAGTCTATTTCGCTCTGCGCTGATAATTTTGTCTGTAGGGTCTCAGTTTGGAGGAGGTGGACGAGCTTTACACAGACGTCAAGTATGCCTGGCGATCACAGCATTATCAACCCTCCTCTACATTCGTTCAGATGCAAGAAGATGTTCAAAGAAAGGCTTCGGTCCTCATAACTGAAGGAGAAACGAAGAGTGTTGTCGATTCCAGTGTCCATATCGAAAGCCAGTAATTGGGTATTGGGTTGCCACCGTGTCTCAACTTGCTAGTGCCGCCAAATACGTATATAGCTCTTTTGGACAGTTAGAATTTGGGAGTGAGCACCAAAGGAATGTCAACGAAAGCATCGCTGCATGAGAAAATCAGAGTCAGTTCGCAATTGTACAGGAAGGGGTCTGGAGGAAAGCCACTGGCACCAGATAACAAGATCTACTTTTTCTTCCAGCCTGTGACAAGGATAGAGAAGTGTTACCATGGATATTCCCATTTGGTTCGAAATTGAAATCTTTGAACACTTACTTTTCTGGGAATAGATAGTATTCATGTGTTGCTCACTGCATACATAAACCGTACTCGCGGAAATCTATCGACCTTTTGAGAACTGCATGACAGCCCACGACCCATCCAAAGCCCATGCCCTCAGACCAGACTCGCCGCCACATCCGGGCAACGAGCGGAGTTCTTCATCTTTACCTGGAGGTAGCCCGACAACCACATCCGCTTTACAAGTGCGCAAGGAGAGGATGTTGAGCTTGGAAGATTTTCCGAGAGGACCTAAAGCCTCCTGAAACGGCGTGGTAGGATCCCAGCAAGCCTTGAGGTAGTCAGTCAACATAGAACATTATGGCCAGCACTGGGAAAATGACATACATCGCCAACGAGCTTTCTATAGTTGAGATCGCCCTTGAATACAACGAGGTGTGAGCTTCTGAGTTCGGCGAGAAGGCCAGGGTTAGATGTGGGAAGTCGCCAGAAACTTCCCGCTTGAGTCCAGAAATTGCTGGTCTGATACACTAAGCGTCCTTCTGCTTGAAAAGTACGGAGGTCGGAATGCAGGACTTCGAGATGTTGCCGCTGCTCATCAGTCATCTCGGCAAGACCCCCTTCTCCACTGCCACTCGAGTCTTTGAAGAAGTCCAGAGGCCGTCGAATGATGTCGAAAAGCTGCTCAATGTCTGTAGGAGTCGCGTCGCTGACGAACCACGGGATTTGTTTCGCATGCATCCTCACTTCTGTGGCAAGTTCGCTTTTTAAGAGATAGCATATCACCACAACATCCACAAAGAGCTCGAAGCCAGAGTTGTCCAACACAAACTCCACGGTCCTACGCTCTTCGCCCTGGTTTCCTGCCTGCCAGAGGAGATTGAAGGCTTGGTCCAAGTCATTCACCAACACCTTGTCGCGTCGACGTTTGAATACCTCACTGCCCTGAAGCTGCTGAATGTTCTCGTAGGTGAGAGTGGTGAGAAGACTGAGGTCCGTCGCATTTCCCCACAGGCATTGTTGCATCATTTCCGTGAAAACGGCCTGTTGCCTCTGAGTTGCGTCTGGAGATGCCAAAAACCCGCTGTTGCACCCAATGCAACCAATACCTTTTGTCACATTGACATAGTATGCAGCCATTTCCAGGACAGCATCCTTGGACTGTCTGAATGCGTCCCTCTTTTGCTCTTGAAAAACATCATATGTCTTCCACCACGTCCTTCGCGAGAACGATCCGAAGAGACGTCGATAGAGGTAGCACTCGCTGAACAACCACTCAACTTCATGCCATCGCACTACCAACTTTGCACTTTGCGCCTCTCGCTCTTGAAGCTCTTGGTTGTAAATGGCAACATCACCACGAAGCTCTCCTTCTTCATCTGGTAACAGAGATAGCGTGCAGTTTTGGAGCATTTCGTGCTTTAGACATTCCAGCTCAGCAATAATTTGCATGCCCTGTCTTACAATCTCTGGATTTCCGTGTTGAGGACAGTCAATTTGACGTTGGACATCTTTGATAGCATTCGCGACAATCGTTGGCCATCGTTCTCGTACAGATTTGTAGGCGAATGACGCGGGCGATGATGTGTTGCTTTTTGGAAGGCTGGGATCAAATTGCATGTTGAAAATGGCCGCAGTGCAAGAGTTCAAGAATAGCATAAGTTGACAAGTGAAAGACCACACCAGAATGTCTCCAGAGCGCTTTTGTAGAGGTGATTATCCGCGAGGGGGCATCTTGATGAGCAGATTTCAGCTTGAGAAGGTCAAGCTTGGTTTGGTTGCTATGCTACGATGTTGGTTGTGGTACTAGATATTACCGCCAGATACGCTCAACCGAGCATCGTGAAGCCGAGCGCGAGTAGCCATGATGTTACTCACCACACGCCTTCGAGGTACGACAGGCCCTCCGGTTTCGTGGCTTGATGTCAAGAAGGCGGCTAACCAGAACAAGAAGATCACCAGGGTTCATTCGCGAAGTCTCTCGGCAAACAGAGCCTTCCTGGGAAGCTTTTCCCGAGTCTCGGCAATATGTGTGAATTTGTGGACCAGGGGTGCGTTCCTAGGTATAAGACTAGGGCTGAGGTGGCTGCAGCGAGGTCTTTCCCTGAAAAGCTGTTACTCGTACTGTCCGTGAATGAGTATGTTGAGATCGTCTATCCGTCAATCTCTGGTGACCAAGGTTATACTGAGATCAATATCTACCACAAAACTCGGAGGCATGAACAGTGCTCCTGTGGTGGTTTCACCAAGCAAAGCTGAGGTACAGGCTGGCCGACTGCGCGAGCGAAACCTAGAACTTGCTGTAAGAAGTGTGCTCCAGGATGGTCTGGTCGTGATCAAGGACGCCATCAATCACGATGTACTCGACAAATTGAACGACAAGATGAAAGAAGATGCCGTCATACTTCGCAACGCAGGAGAGAACAGTCCGTTCAACTACAATAGAGGCAACTTACAGCAGGACGCACCTCCTGTCAGAGCTCACTTCGAGCCGACTATCTTTCTGAGTAAGTAGACTGGTTCAAGGCGTTATGCGCCTGCTGATTATCAACAGATCCGCTGGCTACCCAGGTCACCTCTTCGGTTTTGGGCCCGCGGCCGAAACTGACCTTTATGTCGGGAAACACTGCGATGCCGGCAGCCGAAGGCGTCGAACCCCAAAGACAGCCGGTTCATGCAGACGCAGACTTCAGACACCCTTCACATCCATTTGCATTGGTTATAAATGTTGGCCTCGTGGACATGAATCCAAACAATGGGTCCACAGAGCTATGGTTAGGAACACACGCCACAACCAGCATCGACGACCAGGAAGGGGCTCATGGGGAACGTGCAAGTGGCAGGATTAAAGAGGCTTCGCTTGAGAGACGACGTGCAGTTTCGCCTCCCATGCAACCCACTATTTCCAAGGGATCCCTCGTCATCCGTGATCTCAGGCTGTGGCACGCTGGTATGCCGAACTTGACCGCAGAGGTCCGCATCATGTTGGCAATGAGTAAGTCCGCGTCCCGACCAGTGTGACATTGTGCTGACGAGTCAAGTCCATTTTGCCCCGTGGTATCGAAACCAAATGCGCCTGGAGCTCGGCGAAGGGGTTAGGTCGTTGGTAGAGGCCGAGAAAGATCTCGACATCCGAGCAGATTTCATTCCAGAGCAGGAAGCAATGAAGCGGTACCTAAATCGGGGGTTTGGGAATAGCTATGATTTTAATCAGACCCCTTGAAAGTCTTCTTAGAAAGTTCAAGCATGGAGGACACCTGTCAAGGAGACTGGTACTATGATCCACGATATCGGTAGATGTACTGCGTTCATACAAAAGCAAGTAGCGAGCTGTCGACAATCAACAGCAAAGTTAGGCTCAAGTAAAAGTATGGCAAGGTCGGTGCCATTGAGGATGCCGGAAGTTGCAGCTAAGCTCGAATGCGCAAGCCGCACTTCCTCTGAAGAGCTCATAGGCTCTTAGGAGTATCGCACTGATGAACAGGGTGTGTATACTGCGCCTTAGTGTTCGAGATGATGCCTTGGATTATGTGCTCGAAGATCTGGGGAATTGAAAGAAGACCCATTATATGAGCGGTAATCGTTGCATACTTCGCCGTAGCGAGCAGTCTTCATGATGGCAACTAGAGCGAGGCTTGGCAAACGAGAGGGGAAGCTACTGTACATCTGGTTCGACTGATATACAACATGTAAGATCGGACGCAGCACTTGAATCAGGGCATCATCGACCATGTGCTAGCTGTTGACGAAGCTCAGCAAATACCCAGTTGTTATTCATGCCGAGGACTGCTCCACCAAACTGTGAGTTTACGCCTCGACTCGTCTATTGATTCGCTGACTTGTCTCCCTGCAAGCTTGGTTCGTAACCTGAACATATGGAAAGTGTCTGTAATTGACGTGGGCTCTTCGTAGTTCAACATGTCTCAAACGTAAGATCAAGTGTACGGCCTTGCTTGCCCTCCCTGTACCCTCATCCCTGTGGCTGATGTCAACGGAAGGCGATGGCGAACGTCCGATCTGTGGAAGATGCCGTGTTGGCAGTCGAGAATGCCGTCGACCGGACAAACAAATCCGCTTCATATTCGGCAACACGACCTTATCAGAGGGTCGCGGCATAACAAGCTCTACGACAGTGGATAGTCGTCTGAGAGCAATAGATCCGCTGTCAGTAGAAACTGAGACACAACGTCCAACTCTTGCAACGCCCCGGCTCCTCCTTTTAGCCTCGTCGGACCCTGCCAAAGCTCTCACGGAGCCTGAGATTGTCGAGGCCTTTGCACATTATATCTCGGTCCTCGCTCCGTGGTATGACTTGAACGATCCACAAAGGACCTTTGGCACCCTTGTGGTCGAAACAGCCTTGCAAGTGCCGATCTTGTTCAAAGCAATCGTAGCCTTCTCTGCCCGCCATTCGAGTAAGCTAAATGGATCGAACTCCGAGATTGCCAACATTTTCCACGACGCCTGTGTCGAGGACTTTCTGTCCTCCATGGAATCTCCAGATACAACGCTCAAGGGCAGTAAATTGGCTGCAACGTGCTTGCTCCGATCATACGAGATCATCAATGGTATGTATAGTAGCGCTGTGCTAGAGGATGCCCATCGCCCTGACTTATTTCCAGGAGGCTCTCGGGTGGAAAGCCATCTTCTTGGAGCCTACTCATATGCAGTGAGTGAGCCGATCGACTTCTCTGAGACAGGCATATCGCAAGCTGGCGCATGGAACTATCTTCGCGAAGAGATCACCGTTGGCCTTATGCGACGCCGTGGAGTCCGCATGGGTCAGATTTTCCACAATCATCTGGAAAATGATCCTTACGATGTTTCACTTCCCAACCGCATAACTTACCTCCTCGCCAAAGTTATCAATTTCTGTTTCATTGAGCCTCATCTCCAGGCTCTTCCTGCAAGCCGACAAGCCACATGGCGTACCCTCAACTCGGAATTTGTGGCTTGGAAGGCAGAACTCACAACGAGTTTTGTGCCGTATAGTTCTGCAGCCAAATCTGGTAATCCTTTTCCATCCCTCTGGATGCTCAGACCCTGGTATGGTAAGTTGGGGTCACAGTGATTTCCCTAGAAGACAGGTATTTTATGCTAACCAGCACCTCTGATGCCAGTGGCTGCCCAGCAATATCGATCTGTGGTTGAAATTCTCCTGACTTTACACGACCCTCTCCCTGTTGGTGGGCATATAAGCCGCCGGAGCTTCGCCTTCGCTGAGGAACAAGCTTTGGTCATATGTGGTTTGGCATGGACAAACGACGACGACTCTGCGCATGTCAATGCATATGGGCCTTTGGCCTTTTGTAGGTAGCTTCCCCTGAGTTACTGCACCGAAGCTAATCTGTCGGGCCAGGTGGAAGGTATTTGAGCCGGAGACACCATCAGGAAGGACTGGTGGCATTTCTACGCAAATCGAGCAATGACACAGGCTGGCCCGTCATTGATATTGTCAATGATCTTCAGCAACATTGGGAGTCTGAATATCACGCATCATAAAACACGGGCAGATCAATTCGGTCTTGTCCGGTTGCAGTTAATTGCACGACTTGCTCCACAATATGCCTCAAGTGGTCTGATTGTCCTACAAGTGAGGTCACAAGCAATGCAGCTGGTGAGATCCCAGGGCAGCTGCATTTCAGGAGACGGTCACTTTGCTATTGAATGTACCTCAATGAAGGACAAAGCGACGAAACTTTTGCGAAATGGAATTACGTGGAGACTATGAGTATCTTTCACCTGGTGTATCTCGCTGATACATATGGAGTGCATCAAGCTTCGTGGATTTGAGTTCATCAGTCATTCTGATCGTCCACTGGCTACACGAAAATCTCACTCTTTCGCCCGCCAGTCAAATCCGAATTATGGCAAGTTAAAGTCGACAACGATTCGTCTGCAGTGGTCAGCAATAATGTCCGTCACACGATAGATGTGGTCACAGCATTGACTTACCCGGCAACCTGGCCATTCTTGAGCTTCTGTACGGATTCATTCCACTGGCTCAATCCTACAACCGTAGGCTCGAGGCGTAGTTTACCTTGTTGGACAAAATTAGCCATGTACATTCACATCCACAACATTGTCCTTTTGACGGAGCAGATCGCTTACCACGTCTAGCGAAGTCCAATGCCTCATCAGTGTCTGCTAGAGAGCTCACTAATGTGCCTCTTACGGACTGTCCTCTGAAGACAATTTGGCCAGGGTTCAAGTCGATATGGTATTTGCCATCAGGGGGGAGACCGATGCTGTTATTTCGAGCGATTAGCGTGCACCTACTCATCTCGCGATTTGAGCGAACGGAGACTTGTCGCCTACTCACCACATAACTTTGGCCAGTGCCCGGTGGCCGATGTAGTTGAGAGCGATCGGGTATGATTGGACAGCTGAGTATCTTGTCAGTACCACCATGATCACATGCTCAATGGCGAGCGATTCGTGCGTGTTTCTTCCAGAAATGAGTTTGAGTTGACTCACCGGTCACAAACACGCCATGCGCGCCACCTTCGGTGATCTCGAGTACTTGCTTGACTGGGTCGCCTTCCTTGAAGTCGAAAAAGTGCTCCGCGCCCAGGCTCAGCGCCAGTTTACGGCGTTCGTCGCCGGTATCTACCACGATGGGCCGAAGACCCATGGCAGCAGCAAGCTGAACACCTTGGATCCCGACACCACCGCCACCTCCGGGAAAGACGGCCCATTGTCCCGGTCGGAGTCCGGATTCTTTAAGAGAAGTATAGATCGTCGAGGCCGAGCACATGACTGGACCCGCAACGTAGTCCGAAACACCCTGTAGATAGTAACCGTCAACTCTCATACATACGTATGCACCATCGAACAGATCAAACTCCTTCCAGGCTTCTGAAAACTGTTCCAGGCATCGGCGTAACTTACATCGGGTATCAGCTGCAGAGAAGAGTAAATGTCAGCACAGTCAGCATTCACTTGCACAAACTGTCGACGGGGAGAGAGAAAACTCACCGTAGTGTAGCTCTCGGGAGACACGACATATTGCTTGTACGAGCCTTGATAACGCAGACACTTTTCTCAGCACCATGCCACCATACTGCCCCAAAGCATACATAGAACAGCGAGCGATTCGGGCTCGAAATCTCAGTACATAGACACGTACATACCGTCGCAGTGAAGTCCAGTGAGAACGCCCTGGAGACAGTAGTTGTCCTTTCCGGTCTTGCAATACTCGCATCGATGGCAGACGTCCTGGAAGGGCTTGAAGCCGGCACGCTGCCCGACCTTCAAGCCGGTAACCTCGGCGCCAACCTTGACGATGACGCCGGCGCCTTCGTGACCCGCGCATTTGACGCCGAAGGAAGACATCGAAGGGACCGCCCAGTCGTTCAGCATGTAGTGGACATCGCTCAGACAGAGGCCGGTCGCGTTGAGCTTGATGAGGACATCTCGGGGACCTGAATACACACATAGAGAGTGAGTCAAGCGCCGTCTGGTTTTAGCTCGTGGTGTCACCGTGTATTACACCTCTCCGGAGTCGGACACAAAGGGTCTCTTGGGTAGGAATAAATAGTATTGAGAAAGGCCTACCGATCTCCGGCACCGGGACCTTCTCGACCTCAATGTAGAAATCGGGCCCCTCGTTTTTCTAAGGTCAAGAAACCAAGTCTTAGTATTGGAATATGTGTGTGCTGGAGGCTAGGGAGGTCTGCTGAGAGGACGTACCACCACACCGGCGACGCATTCCTTGGGGATATCGAACGATGGGGCTGACTCGGACATTGCTAGTCAGGCTCAGCTCTAAGATCTTGATCTCGGTATCAGTGGGGGAGCACAAAGATATAACGAGATTTTGTGTTCAAAAAGCGGTGCCTGAACAGTACAAAGAAGGATAACAACGAGATGTAGTATTCAGACAGCTGCGTAAGGCACAAGTCATCGAAGAAGTCAGAGCCATACAGAATGACGGGGAGATGCCGCCAAGGGTATATATAAGTTGAAATCATCATCCCGGCCCTTCCAGAAGCACAACCGCGGGTAATCATGAGGCTTTCGCTACCAGAGCGTGTTTACATGTCATTCGGGTATCCAGTGCGGGGGCTCGTCAGATGGACAAAAGAGGGGGTTTACATCTAGACCGGGGGATTGTACGACTGTGACTGGGGAAACGGGGCGAGACAGCGGCAGCAAGAAGGAAGAGGAGGAGTAAGAGGAGAGGAGGGCGTTTTCCACCGTGTCAGACTCTTGATTCATCAGGCTCCGCTAACCTCGTCGATCCCGGCCAAAGCGACTTTATGTGCACATCACACACACAGGTGACTGTCACATTTGAAGTACAGGATAGCCCAATACGAAAATCCTATACCACTGATTCTCAACTTCCCTCATACCGGGAGAATACACAGTCCTCTCGAGTCAACTCAACCTCTGGAGTTTGGTGATAGACTTGGGCGGTGTGAGGCTTTTCGACTGGACCAGTTGGTGCAACTCGGGCGCCGGATCTCATCAAAATTCATGCATAACACATGAATGGGTCTCATCGTGTACCATTTTGATTTGGCCAGTCTGAATGAGGAGAATGAGCACGAGAATCTGACTCTTACTGTGCTACTCCACACTGTTACACTACCTACGGAGGCAAAACATGATCAAACCATTCAAGATCTGGTCGAATTCCATTCCTTCAACCACCCCTGGACTATTTGGGCCAGCTCCGTTTGAGCTTCAGCTACTGGGTGTGGTGGTAGTTGAGGCGTGGTTTCGTTGGGGAACTGTTCGACCGGTATTAGCGGAGCTCTCAAGTTGTCTCAAGACACCGAGAACGATGACCTCGAGGATGACAACATTTCGACTTTCAATAGGCAGGGGCAACTTACCAGGCCGTTTTCTTCCCAGTGGTGGACAGCGCCAGCAATCAATATCACTGGCTCGCTGGCATTGCTCGTTCTGTTCAACTGGTCTGGGACTTCCAAAGTCGCAAGCGGAGTCGCTGGACGCCACGGGTCAGCTTCTCCGCCGACAAATGCGAGTCGAGGGTACGAAATGTTGAAGCCGCCGTATTTGTTCACCGTCGTGACATTTGGAGGCTGATGGATGTTGAAGGCCAATCGACAGACCAATGTTTCGTAATCTAGCGTCAACAAGCGAGAGATCAAAGGCAGCTTGTTCTTCGGCACTCCCGATCCAGTCTGGAAATATCCCCATTCAGTGCAGATTTGGTACGACCACGACAGGGACCCGTAGTTGTCAAGGCTCTTGTCCGTATACATGGGAGCTGAAGCGTTGTGGGTGTTGTAACATTCATCGAGAGTGCCGCCACACGTCGCAGCACCATAGCTGTCATTGGTCCATCCCATGTAATTCAACAAGCTCGTGGTCAGCGTCTTTGATTCGTTACCCCAGCCTCCGGCTTCCACCAGGGACGACGCAGTGGAAGCTTTGGTGTCAGATGGCCAGAGGACCTTGTTCGAAGTGATGTTCTCGCAGTAGTAGTGGAAGTCCAGAACGTTGACCGCTGGATCCCAGTTACGCTCTTGCCAACCCCCGATACCATATGACGCGACATTGGCAAAGTCATCATTATGGGTGAGTGTCTCCAGGCCGAATCCTGTCTTGAGTTGTGTGACAGTCTTGGTGTCGTTCTTTTTCAAAATGTTGTCCAGGATGTTGGTGAGCTTGACATGGGTCTCGATGCAATCCGACGGTCCGTATTCGCGGACGGGCTCATAGTACTGCCAGTAATCGTATATGGCTTCTGTCACTCCGGAAGATGAAATAGCTCCCCAATACAGGTCGGGATATAGCTTGCGAATAAATGCAGCAAAACCACCTGCATATGACCCTCCATATGTTATGTATGGTGTGTGGGGAGCAGTCAAGTTCACATGTTCAAATCCAGGAAAGACTACGTGACTGGCAAAATATGCCTGATCGGCTAGGGCTTGTTCTGTGGTCAGGAACCGAAAAGCCTCCTTAGTCAAATTCTCGGTTGGAAAGCTTGTGCCATAGTATCTGTGTTCGAGCACGACTCCAATGCCGTTGGTTGCGTTGGACAGCTGGGCGAGAATGCCCTTCTGGAGGTATGGCAATCTGGTCGAGGCGTCTGTTTCACCACTCTGCAAGACGATGACAGGACCACCGGGCTTATAGTATGTCGCATCAAAGAAGTATCGCAGATTGAACGAGGCGTTAGTGTGAGGTTCATATTTGGATTCGTTGTGGAAATGGTCTATGGGAACGGAGATGTTATGGGCAGGATATAGCTCGCTTGGATCGATATCATCGCGGCGGCGTAGCTTGATCGGTGCAGGCGCAATGATCCTACGTCCGAGGTCAGTATATCGGACATCTCTATCCTTTCGGCAGGCCACAACTTGCCTAGAAAGTGCAACACTGCAGAGAGTAGCTGCCGCCAGAAGAACGGATCCCTTCATCCTGTGTAGATCCTACCTGCGCCTGACTGCGAACAAACAGAGGACCATGAGGCATATACATATAGGACGCGCAAGCTGCTGGGGAGCCAGGCCCTCTGGCATGATCTCAAGCTTTATCATTGCGCGAGTCGATTCCTTGCTAGCTTCACCTTGAGAATGTCACCTTGAATGGACAACATAATGGCTATTAGGAAGGTCATGAAGCTATGACGGCATTGTACGTGGTGATGCAACGTAGACTAGCACTTTGTCCTTCTTATCACGGCATGGTGCCGAGATATTGTGACAGACTTGCAGTGCGGTCGGGGAACAGGTGCGTAGACAGCCTATCCCGTTGATCCTAGAGGGCGGGCTCACAGGCTATCGTTTGCAGGGGGCACCAGTGAGGGCGATCTATTGAACTCTGGGGCCATTGGGGCCACCAAAAGCTGCCGGTGATAGGCGACGTTGCGGGCGTCGTAGCAGCTGTGTCGTCGACTCCACCCCGCGGCCTTCCGTCTGCTGACTGGGGGCGCTTGGTGTGCTTGGGGAGCTGGCCGGGCGTCGTATGCGCCAGTCTAAAAGTTGGCAACGCTTGTTGGCTGCGGGGGCCAGGACGTGCAGGTGATCGAAGAGGTGCCTGAAAAGCTTCGTCTTTTGTGACGTTTGTCGAAATAATTGTGAGCCAGAGAGACAGACTCTCCCTATTACGGTATCTGTATAGATATAACTTCTGGCCTCTCGAACCAATATTCAGTCTGTTGATTATCCATGAGAATTCTGGACTTCCTCGGGTGCGTGGCCGTTTCGCCTCTCGTCGGGCAATGGCCAGTGTTGGCTGACTGTATCTCGTCAATCGCAACATACGAGGATAAGATGAACATAGATCTCGGATATCAAAAAGCTTGTTGCAAGATTCTTAGATCTGCGTCTACTCACCCCTTGCGTGGTGTGTCAGTAACAGGCGAATTCACGGCTAGAAGACGAAGCGACATGGGCTTCAATCCAACTCAGTGAATGGTCTGAATTTCTCTCTTTCCTAATTGAGCGATGCCTCCACCGCTATCCCTACTGGAGACCAAGTGCTCTATCACAGGGCGGGCAGAAGAGTGCGCTTCTATTTTTCTTCCAGTCTCTAACTAATCTCTTCCTTTTCTTGCTTGGATGTCCCTTTTCATCTCGATCGACTATCCATGAACTCGTAGATTACTGCCCGTTCGCCAACAGAACTCGGCCCCCATCGACGCAGAGGCATCGACCATCAACATACGCCTGTTTCACTAGTATTAGTATTGCAACACGGTTCACGGTGCATATGGTCATCGATCTCACCCCAGCTTGACTGCTCAAATATATAACTGCTCCAGCAATATCTTCCATCTTGCCTATGCGGCCAGCCGGCATGGCTTTGAAAAGATCCGCAAACTGGTTACCGCCCTCTTCCACCGGATTCATCTTACTTGGTACGACTGTGATCACATTAGACCGTTTCAGCAACGTTCCGGGCGTACTCACATCCAGGATTGATGGCGTTGACCCTGACATACCCTGCGACAAGATGACAGTTAGTGCCCGTTACAACGTACATTTGGCCCAGCCAACATATACAACTCACAATTTACATATTTGGAAGCCAGCAATGCCACCAAATGATCAATAGCAGCCTTGCTAGCGGCGTAACTGGTCAGATCAATATTCGTACAATTGTGCATGCTAGCACAACTGCTCGTTATGACCATGACACCTCGGCCTTCATCTCTCCCTCTACGACCATCTCCAAGATCAAGATTGCTCGCTGCAGCCAACAACTTCAACAAAGCGACAGAGAGGAAGTAGTGTGCTGTTACATTGACTCGGAACGTATCATCCCAATCAGAATGTCTGGAGGACCATAACGAGGCTTGCAGCTGGTCCAGGGATGCAGTCTTCACGTTGCACATCTGCGGAGGATCCCGTCGAATGCCTGCATTCGAGCACAGAATGTCCAGGTGAGTCTCGTTCTTCTCAATCTCACTGGCAATAGCAGCGATGCCTTCTTTTGAGGAAACGTCACCAGCAAACCTGGCAGTTCTTCGTCAGCGGATCATAACCGTGGCCACTCGAGAATGTTTTACCCTATAGCCGTACCGCCGGACGCTTGTCCTAGTTGCGACAACTCTGCCACTGCTCCTTGGATGTCGTCTGTTGGCAAAGCAGTAACATAGACCTTTGCACCATTCGACACGAGGCCCTTGGACAGTGTCAGACTGAACAGTAAGGACTCATCGTTTTCAGGTCTTTTTTACCTTTGCGATCATCAATCCAACTCCGCTGCATCCTCCGGTCACCAGAGCTATTCGCCCCTTGACCCCAAAGAGGTCCGCCACCGAAAGAGTCGACATGGTATCCGGGTTTCTTCAACGGTGAGAGTTACGAGACCCGGAATCTTCTTAACGCCATGCAGCGTGGAGAACGTGATCAGCCATCGCCCCAGGCCCCGAGAGACATCGTATTCGAATCGTGCTTCTCCGTACGGTGGAGCGACACCCTCCCGCACAAGTCCGTGGTCGCAATGTCGCAACGTCTCACATGTACGAGTGCACAAGCTGGCACAAAGTGCGGAAATAAGAAATATAAACTAATTAACTTTGCTCTGGGATCTGTGGTCTCTGGTCCAAGACTGTTCGACCATCAGAGCAACTGAGCAGGATTTTCCCAGCTCCTTCTCCTCAGACACATTCATTCATTCCTCGCCTCATGGCACCCACAGTTAGCGGCCTCCTACAGGTCGTCAATCACGACTACACGATATGGATTTCTGGAACGATCCTCATCATCTTTGGCCTCTACTGGGTCAGTATTATCCTGGAGGAATCACATCGAGAGAGATGGACAGACAGACGGTGCTGACGACGGAAACAGTGGTCGACGTTGACCGACATCCCGAAGATCAAAGGCATCCCCGAGATCCCCGGAGCGTTGCCAGTATTCGGACATCTGCTCCAGTTAGGACCTGATCACGCTACAGTATGTGAAGGGTGGTGGCGGAAGTACCGTCAATCAGTATTCCAGATCCGGCTGGGAAACACGCGGGCGGTGGTGGTCAACTCATTCGAAGACGCAAAGCAAATGCTCATCGGGCACCAGACGGCCGTCATTGACCGGCCGACGCTGTACACGTTCCACGGGGTCATCTCGTCGACGCAAGGGTTCACCATCGGGTCCAGCCCGTGGGATAACTCGTGCAAGAACAAGCGCAAGGCGGCAGGCCAAGCGCTCGGACGGCCGGCCATGCGAGGCTACTTTGACATGTTCGACCTGGAATCGTACTGCATCGTGCGTGACCTCTTCCGCGACAGCCACAACGGAGCAACGGAGATCGGGGTGCGGCCGTACATCCAGCGGTACGCGCTCAACACGACGCTGACGCTCTGCTACGGCATCCGTATGGACAACGTGTACGACGACATGCTCCGCGAGATCCTGCACGTCGGGTCGGCGATCTCGCTGCTGCGTTCGGCGTCGGAGAACTTCCAGGATTACGTGCCGGTGCTGCGGTACTTCCCTAACAATGAGAAGAACCGGCGAAGCAAGGAACTCCGCGACCGGCGCGACGCCTACCTCAACTTCCTGCTTGACAAAGTACGCGACATGATCGCCAAGGGCACCGACAAGCCGTGCATCAGCGCCGCGATCCTCAAGGACGAGGAGACCAAGCTGACGGGTGTCGAGGTCTCGAGCATCTGCCTCTCGCTGGTGTCGGGCGGCTTCGAGACCATCCCGGGCACGCTAACATCTTGTATTGGGAGTCTCTCGACAAAGGAGGGCCAAGTTTTCCAGGACCGAGCCTACGCCGACATCCTGCGCCACTATCCCTCGGGCCCCAAGGCAGTGTGGGAGCACAGCTTCCAAGAGGAAAAGGTACCATACGTCAACGCCATCATCAAGGAGGCCGCGCGCTACTACACGGTCAGCGCCATGAGCCTGCCGCGGAAGACCGTCACCGAGGTCGACTGGAACGGGGCCAAGATCCCGGCGAAGACCATGATCCTGATCAACGCCCAGGCCGCCAACCACGACGTCGACCACTTTGGGCCCGACGGCGCCGTCTTCAACCCTGAGAGATGGCTGAACGACGACTTTGTCATGAACCCGGCCGTCGGTGCGCCGGAGGAGAAACCCGCGCAGGGCATCCAGCACTTCAGCTTCGGCGCCGGATCGAGAGCCTGCAGCGGCCAGTTCATCGCGAGCAGGCTGCTCTACACCGCCCTGATCCGCCTATTGACATGCTACAAGATCGTCGCCAGTGACGAAGAGCCCCCGAACACCGACTACGTCGACTACAACCAGTTCAAGAGCGCCCTGGTCGCCATCCCCAGGGACTTTAAGGTCAAGTTGGTCCCGAGACACGATGAGTCCGTCATCAAGGAGCTCATGGCTGATACCGCTGAGAGGACCAAGGATTATTATGCTGAGGAGTGAAATCACTACGATACCTCGAGAAGTGTACTCCGTCCCTACCTACCTACCCGAACGAACCCACCGACCCACCCACCCACCTACCTGCCTACCTACCTACGTGGAATGAATAGTAGTTTGGTCCAAATACCATTCATGGCCACAGTCATCGCACCTACAGACCAGAGATTATACGTCTTGAGTCTCACAATCATCAGATGTTGCAACATATGGACAATTGGGAATTGACGATGAGGGCTCCCCCATTGGGAGCATTTCAGAGCTCTAGCTATTATTAATGGGGATAATGAAATCGAACTGTTACGGGCATCCATTGCAGACCCGGCCTGGCTGAAGCCCAAAGGTAGATAGACAGGAAATGGGATAACCGTGACAAGACAATTTAGAAAATGTTCAATTTTAGCACTGACCGGGAAACATGGAGACAAAAATCTTTCGTTACAAATATGCTGGCGGAGAAACAACGACCACTTGACTCGATCGAATCTTCTATTTGCTTGTCGGAGGACGCACACTTAGCAGAAACTTGCCCATAGCCAAAGCCTCTACCTTCGCTCCATGAGCATGATGTTTCCTCCATTGCAGCAAAATGATGTGTCGACAAAACTCCACATCTCAAATATCCGCAGCAAAGGTCGCATGTTTCTTTCTTGCCATCCACAATTAGTCGGTGAACTCCAGCAACGGACATCGGAGTAAGTTAAGCCATTCGTATGTGTAACATCTCCTGTCTGGCTCGGATCCTAAAGCACTGGCGTCCAATGTCCTCAAAATATAAATGATGGCAGTATGATATACCCGTGCTACTGTACCGTGGGACCTGTCTGCGCCTGACGGACATATCCGTGAGCTCGCATGTTCGCGATCTCTGTTCTCCGGGGGCGGATCTCTGACTAGTCTGTTCGGCTCGCCGTGGCGCTTTCCATCGCTGAAGAGCGTTGGTGGAGTGAAGAGGTGACGAGAACAAACGATCCAGGTACCGGAGAACAGCACGTCTCATGAGAAAGCGCCAGGCTTCCCCCTCGAGGTTGTTCGCTGGGGTCCGGACGCTCTTTAGAGTACTCGTAATGGAGACTGACGGAAAGCTTATCGTGAGGTTTTGCCGCAATGCGGGCGATAAGGCACTGCAGTACTCTAGTCGGAAACGTCTTCTGGACCAGTAATCGGGGTTTGCGGCGGTGCGACGGATATAGTCGCTCGTGGGAATCTCGTCTGGGTTGTTCAACTTGGGTAGCGAATTTCTTGCTTGAGAGGCTGCTGCTCATCGTCTGGTAACCTATTGTTTTTTCGTTTCTGCACATCCTAGGAGGTATTGTTCCTGGCCATCGACACCCTTACCTAATCAAAGATTCTAAACGTAGATCGGCTTGCTAGGAAAGCGCTGGAAAAGAAAGACCACAGATCGTTCTCAGTCAGACAGTTCTCTCACAAGCAAACATAATGGCGCCTCCTGGGTCAACGCCAGCAGACGTCGACGTCGACGTCTTGATTGTCGGGGCAGGTCCTGTCGGACTAAATCTTGCATATCAGCTTCAACGTTTCTCATCGCCACCTTTGTCCTCTCAGAACAAGCCCATCTCTGTGCATATCATTGAGAAACATCCGAAACCAAAGCAAGAGGCATTTGGGCGGGCTGTGACCTTCTGGCCGCGGTCAATGGAGATTCTGTCGCAGATGGGGTTGGGTGACCAGATTACACAACAGTGCGTCGCCGTGCGGACATCAGCAGCATATGATGCGACCGGCACAGAGGTATTTGGCAGAGGCTGGAGCTTTCTGGAAGGTATTACGGATACCAGATTCAAGTTTGCCAGCGTCCTCCGCCAGAAGTTTGTGGAAGATATCTTCCGCGCAGAGTTGAAGAAATATGGTGTTCAGGTTAGTGAGATGAAAAGCTTTGTCAGCTTGGAAATCGATGAGTCGATAGCACCAGGAGAGAAGGGCAGGGTGAAGGCCACCATCCTCGACACCAGTGGAGGTGAGGGCCAGGAGAAAGAGTATACTGTTCGCTGCCGCTATCTCATCGGCTGTGACGGGTCCCGAACAGTCGTGCGAGGCGCTGCGGGCATCGAGTCGGACGGTGACAGGACAGAAGACAAATGGGTGAGAATTGATGGAGTCTTGAAGAGCACAACGATGCCAAAGCCAAGGTCATACGGCGCTATTGAGAGTCCGATATACGGAAACGTGCTTTGGATCCCCCTAGACCACGGAGCCACGAGACTGGGGTTTGCTATGAACGAGGAACGACGGAAGGTGTACAAAGAACTGAACCAGGAGACATTCCTCCAGGAAGCAAAGCTGTCAGTCAAACCGTTCGAGATCGAGTACGAACGCGTGGACTGGGCCAGCGTGTACAGCGTTGGGCAGCGGGTAGCGAGAACATTTTGGGCAAAAGAATCTGTGTTTCTTGCTGGCGATGCTGCTCACAGCCACAGCTCCGGGGCAGGCCAGGGTATGAACGCCGGCATGCACGATGCAGTCAACCTGGGCTGGAAGCTGGCATTAGTACTCACTGGTACGCTCAAACGGGAGGTCTTGGAGACTTATAGTCTGGAGCGACAGCCTAACTCTGCGAAACTCATCAAGTACGATGAAGATATCAGTGTATTGGTGTCAGGACGATTACCGAAAGATTATACGGGAGACAGGACTGAGGATCCAAACGTCGTCCTAGGGAAGATCCTGCAGGAAGCCAAAGGATTCAACACTGGCCTGACTATCGGCTTCGAGCCAAACCTCGCAGTCCTGCGTGATGACAGCAGCGTCGAGGATCTCTCAGCTGTTGCAGCAAAGAGATCTATTATCCCAGCTCCAGCAATCCCTGGTTTCCGAGCACCGGACGTGCAAGTATTGACACCGGCATTATGGGAGCCGGTGTGGCTGCAAACTCTGCTGGCGAACGTGGCCAGATTCTACATTGTGGTATTTGTGGGCAAGACTTCGCATGCAAAGGAGCTGTTCATGGATCTCAAAGTCGAGCTTCAGAAGAACCAGCGCCTTTCCCCCAGTAAAGCTCCCATCACCGAAGCAAAGTCGAATGGAGTGCATCTCAACGGAGACTCATCTCTAGCACAGGAATGGCCTGTAGACTTTGTGACAATTCTTCCCGAGAAGGTCGGCAATGCATGGTTTGAGCTGGGGACAGATCCATTGGGCCGGGTATACTATGATGGAGATGGAAACGCCAACCAGAGGTATGCCGTCGATTCAGATTCTGGAGCGGCGTTAGTGCTGAGGCCAGATGGTTGGATCGGGGCAAGATTTGAGCTGGGAGCGAAGACGGTGGTTGCCGACATAGACTCGTACCTGAGTAGACTTCTTTGCTAGGTGTATACAAAGCATTTTGGTGCACTGGCACGTTCTCGATCGGTGCTGCTGAAGCACAGGTCCATACTGAACAGCCCCAGCCTAGTGGGCCTTTAGAGCCACAGTCTGCTCGCGGACATCTACGCCCGACCACTCGAGGGATCCTTGGGCGCTTGGGCAAAGGCTTATCAATTCCATGGTGTCGTCGTCCTCCGTGGGCTTCTAGTTAGAACAGCTTTTCAATGGTCCCGCCGTTGTTGGCACGGGCGATAGGGAACTCTCCACAAGTCAACACGGGCAACAGATCTTTAGCCGCATTTTCGACGAACTTGCTGCACGATGAGGATCAATTCTGTTTCGACCGTCTGCTGGGCTGGTCGCGGTGACAGTGCAGGTGCTTCTTCGCCATGGACAGCTTCGATTTGCTCGTCATCAATGGCCTCGTCGTGACCGCTTCTGACACGGCCAATTATGACATCGCCATAAAAGATGGAAAGATTGCATTGCTTGCCCCTCCTGGGGTGCTTGCGACAAGTAGCGCAAAAAAGGTGATTGATGCCGAAGGTGGCTATGTAATGGTAAGGGTGTCAACACCGTTGTGGTAGTCTCGGACTGACGAACCTCTCAGCCTGGCGGTATCGACTGCCATGTGCATCTCGAGGAACCTGCGCTGTTTGGAGGCAAGGGACGAAGCTCGGACGACTTCGAATCTGGTACAGAGTCACTCTCTCCCGGGCGAGTCGAGCGCAGTCGCTAAGACGGGGAAATAGGCACAAGAAGCAGCATCTGCGGAGGAACAACCACCATCGTGTACGTCCGTCTCTTTTCTGTGCGGTCGTTCCCTCTAATGGTCATTCCAGAGCGTTTGCGCCTCAGCCCAAGACTGTTCCTTCTCTCCTCCAAGTCCTCGAAGACACCCACGCCCGAGCCAAAGACAAATGCTACACCGACTACTCGTTCCATCTACTCGTTGGCCACCCCGGCGAGCAAGCCTTGTCGGAGTTCCCCAAGCTGCGCGAACTGGGCATATCCTCGTTGAAGATCTACATGACCTATGCCGCTCTGCAGCTTCGAGACGATGAGATCCTCGACGTGCTGCTGTCTTCTAGGAAAGAAGGCATTACAACCATGATCCACGCCGAGAATGGCGATGTGCTGAACTGGATGACCAAGAAACTGGAAGAGAGGAAGTTGTATGCGCCGAAGTACCACGCCACATCAAGGCCGCAGATCGTGGAGACTGAGGCCACCAACCGAGCCATTGCGCTGGCCGAGCTGATGGATGCGCCCATGTGAGTAGTATATTGTCTATCTACGGAGCATGTTTCAGCTGCTAACCATGCACTCTCTGCCAGTCTGGTTGTCCATGTCTCATCACCGAGTGCTGCCGCCCATCTTCGCAATGCTCAGACTCGAGGGCTCCCCGTGTACGCCGAGACATGCCCTCAGTATCTCTTCCTGACTCGAGATGACCTGGACAAACCAAACTTTGAAGGCGCCAAGTGTGTGTGCTCTCCGCCGCCACGAGAATCGGCAAATGACCACGAAGCCATCTGGCTGGGCCTGGCCAATGGCACCTTCACCGTTCTCTCCTCCGACCATTGCCCCTTCATGTACGAGGACTACGAGAAGGGCAAGAAGTCCATCATCAGCGAGGAGTACCCCGAAGGACGGTTCAGCGGGATTCCCAACGGGTGCCCGGGTGTCGAAACTCGCTTGGCTTTGACCTTGAGTGCCAACCGACTTCCTCTGCAGAAATTCGTCGAAGTCACCAGCACCAACGCGGCCAGGCTGTACGGGCTGTATCCTAAGAAGGGGACAATTCTTCCGGGAGTCAGTGATGCCGATCTGACCATCTGGTATCCTCCCGGCAAGCTGGGAACTTTCAAGCTCACCAACTCGATGCTGCATCACAATGTGGACTATACGCCTTTTGAAGGCATGGACCTAAACCAGTGGCCTCGATACACTATTCTCCGGGGCGAGGTGGTATGGGATAGGGACAATGGCGGGCTCTTGGGCAAGAAGGGATATGGGCAATTTGTGCCCAGAGGCAAGAGTACTTTGCCCGGTCCTCGAAAGGAGGGAGAGTGGGATGTGAGCGCCTTTTAGTCCACAATCAAACCACCTGATGCCAAATGAGTACCCAAGACAATGCGTGTTTGAAGTTTTCATCGTATACACCGGCATTTGGCCGTGCTTCCTTAGCCCCCCCATCGACTCGCAAGCCCAATAACAACCTTCAAAGTAAATATAACCATGATTTATTTGGGGAGGGGCTTACGGAATACCTTGTTCAAGCAACGTGCGACACTGATCTGACTGAAGCCGAGGCAATTTGAATCCTCCTCTACTGGACGTACCCATCAAGCGGGGAAGATGATGGGCGGTGGGATGAGTGTGTCCGGAGACACGAGCTGACTGTGCGCCAGCTGGAGAAGTGATGTACAGTATTATATTAGCCGTGATCAAGCAGAGACGCCAGAGCATGGAAACTGGATATTAGAATATATTCGGTGATCTCTCTCAATCAAGTTTGACATTCACCACACGGGCACAATGTCTCTTGACACTTTCAATTTCTATTCTAGGGCTACAGCAAGAAAACCACTGCCAGAGGACGCTGGGACTCGGGCAGACATTGAACATGTTCTGAAGCACGGATACGTCGTTCTGCCTGATTGTTTCACCGAGGCGGAAGCCCGAGAAGCACGCGGCGAGATCGTGCGCTTGTTGGGCAAAGATCCGTTGCATGGCCGCAACAGTTTCGAGGGTCTCAATACCAACCGCATATACTCCCTGCTCAACAAGAGTAGGGTGTTTGACAAGTTCCTGGTATTGCCTCGGGTGCTGGCGTTGAACGACTACTTCCTCGACCCAGGATACCTGCTTTCGGCGTTTCACACCATCTCCATCAACCCAGGCGAAAAGGCCCAGGCGCTGCATCATGACGACGGCTACATCCAGGTTCCTAGGCCCAGGCTACCGTTCGGTGCGGCCATCATGGTTGCATTCGACGAGTACACTGCTAGCAATGGTGAGCTTATGATGACATGCATGAAGCATTCGACCTGTTCAGGCGTGACGGTGTTTTGATGACGGCATCGGCTCTGGTTGCATGGACTTTTCTTTGTTGACTGACGGGATTGACAGGCGCCACAAGGATAATACCTGGCTCTCATCTCTGGGACAGTTCGCGCCGCGGCACTCCTGAAGAAACCATACCTGCCCTGTGCCCGGAGGGAGGAGTCGTGTATTTCATCAGTACCCTGTGGCACGGGGGAGGCGCCAACGTATCCGACCGTCCTCGACAGAGTGCCACAGTCCAGTACTGCAACCCGTACATTCGGCCGATCGAGAACCAGATATTGGCGGTAGATCCGCGGAAGCTTGATCAGATTGATCCTCGGATCGTGGAGATGATGGGCTACAAGGTAAGTGAGCGCCTCACAAGGTGTTGTTGTTGTCCTCGTATGGTACGCACATCGGGACATCCACACCTACCTAGGTACATGCCTCGGTACGGAGTACACGTACGAGGCTGCGGCGATCGAGCTTCAGAGTATGACTCGGGCTGACAACGTTACGGCACAGCACATGGAGCCCTTCATGGGTTATGCAGATGGTCTCGGCCCTCGTCGGGCCGCTCGGAGGATGGTGAGATGGCTGCAGCGTGAGGTGGACGACAACCCTCCCACTTTTGCTCACGAGGCTCCGGAAGCCAAGTTGTAAGAGGGACTCAAGCAGTGCAAGGTACTCGTAGTGCGTGCCTCGTCAAGAAGAGGAATTCGCCACGAGAGAGAGAGCCAGCTCCTAAGGTTGACATGGCGTAACGTGTGATGGAATCAGCAGGCTTGTGAGGCGTTTTTTACGCCCGCGCATCAACTAGCACAATTATGCCCATCCTTCTCCTCATGAGCAATTCGAATCCAGTGACGGATGAGACGGCATGGATGTCTCGTACTCGTAATATGTCCTTGATCATGGACATGTCACCCGAGGCCCTAGCTCATTGGCGACTGTGCAATTTCGCGGTAGACAGAAGCAGGTATTGGAGACGATGAGATCGTTTGTCATCATGCTAGGCTGAGTCATTGTCTGGATCTGGTTGAGCGATGGTGGGGGGTGTGAGAGGAACTTGGGATCAAGCCATCGGTTAGGTACAGTAGAGGAAGACTAACTGAGTAGGGGGGCTCGTCGCATCCGTCCTCGATGGGCTTCGGGCATTTGTACATAGGTGGACGATCAGTTGGAGCTGACAGCGATCTGATTTCCGGATACTGTGAGGCTTTGGTTGGTGATGCTGTGCGTGGAGTTGTGTGTAGCAGGTGAAAAGCTGCGTCTCTCGCCCGCTCACTGTCCTTTTCTCCCTGTGACTTCTGCGACGGGCAGAGAGCAACCCGTGTCAGCAACGTCGATCTCCCTGGGACTCACTGGCTACGGGCACCTATAGGCTAGACGCTACAGGCTACGGGTTACCTAAGACTACAGGCTCCGGGCCCCTAGTGGCTCCCTAGGTGCCTACCGAACTGAAGCTAAGCCTGGCGGCAATGGGTGGCTGACAGTCAATGCGCTACGCCCGTTTCAGAAAACAACATGCGCAGCAACCATCTCGCTTCCGACCACCCAAGCTTGCTTACTCTGATCATATTTCCCTCCGCTTTTTTACATACTCAGCACAAGAGTGCTGATTTAATCAGACGCCGCCAGCGGCCACCTCGTACGCCGTCGCCATGGCCTCCTCACGCCCAAATTCAAGTCGCTATGGCGGAGAGGATAACAGTACTGACTCTGAGCCTTTTCCTGCAATGCCCGGATCGCCCGCCGGACCCAGTTACTCGACTCCTACCACGACCACGACCACCACTACAACCACAACCACCGCCTATACTTCTCGCGGCAGACCCTACACCATTACTTCCACCCAGTCCCCGACTCACCAAGGCTCTGCAACGGTCGTCTCTTCATCCTCCGGTCTTTCGCCCACCCGGGGACCAAGCACGCGAACGACCGTCACCACGCCTCCGCAACGCACCATCATGGTGACTTCCTCTCCCCAATCCGCATCCCCCCAGATTCCTCGAAGGCGGCCGATTGGTATTAGAAGGCTACCGTCGTCCAGTCTCATACGGGAGGAGGCTGCAGAAGAAAATGGCGGTGCAAGTGGAAATGTCAGCAGAGCCTCGTCCGGACGCGGGCGCAGTAGCTCAGCGCCGCAGCATCTCGCAGTTCCCCAACAACAAGGCGGGCATACTTTGACGAGGCAGCCGACGAGGCAGTCTCTGCTGCCGACCGTCGATGAACACTATACCGCCAACGCGACGACCGATCGCGAAACTATGAATGAGATGACCGGCGTTCCAGGTCGCAGGAGGAGTCTCAGCAACACTGCTCGATCTGTCATAAGTCGGCTAAGTGATCATTCGCGCGAGACTCAGGAGCCAGAGTATGACTCCGAAGTGGTTGATTTATTAGATGTTATCGGTACGTGGCACTGGAGATGCTGGAGCTAAGTGTGATACTGACCATCTGCAGATCCCGAGGTGTCAACCCTGACAACTCTCACAAACGTCCAGAATTCCTTGTTCGTGCCAGATCTTGGTCGGTGGGTGAACCGAAGACCGACCTACACCCTTAGCAGTCGTCGCTCGTCGATGAGAAGCCGTCCAGCATCGACGATAGAAGAACACCTACCCGTTGGCATGACCCCGATTGAGAGCGTGGGCACGGAAACCCCGGTTGAAGGAGTGCCAGCGGAAGTGCCAGCCGATGCTGATAGTGTCGCCGGCACTCCGGCAATTCAGCGGTCCTGGTCATGGCAGCGGAGACCCGAAATTGAACGAACGCACAGTATCTCCTCAGTCGTTACCGATTCTCATTTTGCGGTCTTGCCTCATGGAATATCGCTTGCAGGATGGTCCGAGGAAGACAAGGAAGCCTTGGATGACCATGTACGACACATGATGCACTCGAAACGTTCGAAGTTCAAGCACAGCATGATCGCTTTTGGGAAATATGTCCGACAACGTAAGTCAAAGGGCAAGCCATCCATGAGCAACGCATACTGACCTTTCGTCCACAGCTCTGGGGTTTTTCGTTACACTCTATGCGACTTTGATCACCTTGTTCGGTCTTGCTTGGGTGCTGTTCTTGATAGGTAGGCGAAAGTGTTCCCTTCAGCGTCGAGCGTCTGCTGATTAGACGAATTCTAGGTTGGATTTCTGTTGGAGACCGACAGTCCTACCTCGTCAATGTCATTGATAATGTCTTAGTCGCGCTCTTCGCGCTGATGGGTGATGGCCTTGCTCCCTTCCGGATAGTCGACACCTACCACATGATTTTTATTGCCCACTATCATCACCTCACATGGCGCCTTCGGCGCGAGAAGCAGCTGCCGGAGCTTCGGGACCATAATGACTTACCGGCACGCAGCGAGAAAGATATGGATCCTGAATCCGCAACCTCTGGGAAGGCCGAATTCTCTGTCCTGAACGCAAAACAACAACAGCGCTTGATCCATCACCAAGCCAAGTTTTCAAAGTCCCATTCATTTTATAAGCCTCATGAGACTGCAACCCATCACGCGTTTCCCTTGCGACTTCTCGTCGCTATCGTTGTACTGCTCGACTGTCATTCCCTGTTCCAGATCGCGCTGGGAACATGCACCTGGGCTATTGATTACCACACCCGACCCCAAGCATTGACGGCAACCATTCTTTCGTGTTCCATCACTGTGAACATCACGGCGGGTATACTGATCAGCATTGGGGATCGGAGAACACGAAAGAAGGACGTAGTCACGAAGATGGAGAGGCAGCAATTGACAGCTGAAGCCATCAGAAAGGTTGAGAATCACAAGAAAGAGAGAATGGAGAATCTCCGTGAAGCAGGGTCCCGAGAGAACTTCGAAGTCATTGACGAGGAGACGGCAGAACAGGTCAGGTCCGCGAGATAGCGTGCACCATCTCCTGGAACGACGTAATCCGGACAATGATTATCATCAGACATATTAATGGAAGAATCCGGAGATATGTCGAAGTCCGATCCTGTTACCGGCTAAAGTGGCATCGACTGTGTGCCAGTATTGTTTCTGTTTGGACGATACCCCCTGCTTGTGTTCTGGCGCATGTGGCTTGACCGGCGATGATGGCTGCAATAATCGGTATTTCTGTGGCAAGTTGAGATGAAACCTATGTTCAAATACCTCGCAATACTATTCTAATTTGGATCTCGAGCTGCCCAGTTTTCTGCTGATCTTCTCAAGAAACCCGCTGGAGTTTTGTGCCTGCTTCAACCCTCAAAAAGGAGGTGACCCCTTCCTGAAAGCTCCCTCCCAGTCTCTCGTCACTATTCTTCGGCTATGCCGACACCCTGTTCAGGCCATGCAGGGAATATGGTGGCTGGGTTTACTCGAAGCACATCACTGATGCGTGAGTCAACACGACCACATTGCGCCCTGTCGCAAATGACTAAGGGCTGGCCCCTTGTTTAGTCAATTGTCCGTCCTTGTTCCCCTAAGCTATCATTGCCGTTAGTCGTACTGGAAGCCAATCTCTCTTTCCTCCCAGTGCACACATACTGATAATACAGGCAGGGATCAACAAGCGACTGTCGGTTCCGAGGGATCTGGCAGCCTAGTTGGCCGTCGGACTCTTAGGTCGCTCTCGTTACCGCTATCATCTGCAATTGACAACGGTAAATTCCAGCAATACCGGAGATCGGCTAAGGTCGTTATTGATCTTTATCGCGAGCGAGGGTAATGGCGCCTCACCTGAGCCCTCCACGCAACCCAGGCTGGATGCTCTTAGAGAATCAACGTTCAAGACAAAAGTGGCGAGGCCATCCACCCCATGGGAATACTGCAGATCGTCCAATGACAAAGGATTGTGTACTGCACACTCCTTGTTTGGACTAGTCTCATATGGGGACGGGGTTGAGGTTGCTTGCTTTGCTTCGACCTCGCCAAAGTGTCTCTCCATCGAATTGGTTTCCGAAGCCTCGCATATGGGTCAATACTACCTGTCTATACGTTAACGATTAGACACGATTACACAGCACCATCGCCGCCACCTTTCATTTTAGTTGAAGGTGGACCCGGCGTAGCCAATATCATATGGAAGTCAATATCCTGTCTACGCATGGTGCTTGGCCAAGGCGCCAATACTCTCCCTCCGACTCTAGCGAAGGACCATCAAGCGTCTGTCATCACCTGCGGAGGAAGGTGGCCTGATCAATTGATTCGGTACTGCTCTGGAACATGGAACTCAGATAAGCTATATCAGTAGGCCGGTATGAAAGGCTGGATCAATCATTCCAGGACTTGTTGCTGGTCTGGAACTTGAGAGACTTAGGCGAGCCATATTCGCTCTCTCTCTCCCCCTCTCCGCTGATTGGTATAAGAGGTTGGACTATTCACCCAGGACTCAGACGCAAGTGGTATATCTGCTGCTCTGCAACATTATCCGGTGGCGACGCGACAGGCGGAGTGACTTCTTCTTCAAGCCATTCAGGCGCTGTGTACTTCGAGTTATGCGTGGCAAACACCAAAGGCTCTATATATCGAGTGGACACCTTTATCGAGCGCTATGGCTTCCGGGGCATGAACCTCGACTCTACCATCTGAAGACAAACATGCAAACTCAGGCTCAGCCCCAGAGAGTAACAGCGATGGGAACCAAAGACAACACAAACTTGCTGGAGCAACCTTATTCATCACAGCCTGTGCGACAAAGCTGGGGCGCATCAGCGTCTGCCGCATTCTGGTCCAATTTTGATCATTCCACATCTGCACTGGTCGAGTGGGAGCATTCGACCCATTCAGGCCAAGCATCGACATCTTCCTCGTCTTCAAGCACACACAAGGACGTTCCTACCTCTGACTCGTTTCACCGGACATGTCAAAGCCCACATGATGACGGGATGGCCTCTCCGGCCATAGATTTACAGCTTCGTGGCCTCGACCAAACATACGAGGCCAATAGTGGCGAGTTTGATATGTTTATGATAGACGAAATGTATCCGGATAAGCCGAACGCCTCCAGCTCTGTCTGGCCGATCAGTACCATTGCAAGCAAGAATGAGGTTGGTACCCAGCGCGATCCTGTTGCAATCAACTGCTAAGTGAAACGCTGCGTAGAGGCGTAAAGCGCAGAACCGTGCCGCACAGAGAGCATTCCGGTTTCGACAGCAGCAGGCCCTCCACGATGCGACTGCAAGATTGCACGCGTTGGAAGCAGAGCTCAAAGAAGTTCATGGCAAGAAGCAACATTACCAGCAGCTTTTTGAGAGTCTCACTGTCGAATATGAGAAGCTACTCGACAGGTTCGAACACAGCGTGGGATCTACCAAATCATCCAAGAGGTCGTGATCCTTTCCCTGAGGGCACAACACGCATGGTAGCTGCTGAAAGAGGCATGGACCACAACTAGGACGATGTCGGCGGTTTGAAGGCAGTCCATTTCTGGAAGCATTGCACGAGGCGAGAGCTCTGGTAGGGAGACTGTTTATTTAGTCAGCCTAAATTGCGCAAGAATCGACCAGTTCCGCGCACCCACCAAATGCTTGTATCTTCGGGCCACAACTTCCGGCATCCCAAAACAGTAAAAGGGTTAGCAGCGCCCACGAGTCGTGTTCGCGCGTAAGAAGTCGAGGGCTTCGCCTCGGACGCTAGGCTGAAGACGAGGCGGTGTCATGCCACTTGGTTGGCCTATCGATTCGTCCGTTTGCTGACCAGAAAGTCTTCATCCTCTTCACAAATCGCCCGAGCATCCGACACGGCCACTTAATAATCCTTCGGGAGATGCTACTTGTGACATCTTGAGTCTAGGCGGGCGCCAGTGGAAGGACAGTCAACGCTTTTCAACCAAGTTTCGATGAAGGTGCCGCTCCCACCTAAGCAACGTCTAAGCATTCTTGGACTGTGGGACAAGCTCTCCTCCGGAACATTCAGGGTCGAGAGATCTACATGACCAAATCTTGACAATTTCGACGGGCTTGATCAAAGGGTATTTACTGCGGCCTTCTGTGCGCCTTACCGCGTATGGAGCATGCACCGGCATGGACAGCACTGGCAGCCTAGTTGCCACAATGACTGCGAGACGCAAAGGCTCAGCCATCTCCAGCACTTGCACGAATGAAACCGAGACTGCGGAGCAGAGTATCTCAAATTCGACGTTCGAGTTTGTTCTCATGGCTCCAAATGGAGGCTTCAACAAATACGGGATCAGTCAAATTCGAGCACACACGACGAGAGAACTGCATAAAGCTAGACGTCAAGCTGGACAGGTATGTGGCATGTCCATGTTGCTTCTAGCGACAGATTCAGTGGTCTCGCATCGTTCTCTGCCAATACACTTGATGACCATACGATGTCGAGACTGGATGGCCAGACTGACTGAGTATATGAATTGTGCCCAAGACGTTCCTGCGTCGTCACCGGAACCGCCTGGGAAATGTTTATTTCGGCTCGCAGTTCGATTCTTTCAAGGCCCTACCGCAACTCCGCATGGAGGAGAAGCGACCTGGGATTCTCAACGAGGTCAAGTACAACGGTTCGTATTTCAACTGCTCCCCTTCCCAGTGGGAATCCTTTGATGTCTTCCGGCCAAGGTATTGCAGTGCAAGAACTCATTGTTCTTGCAGTATTTCACGTATACAACCAGACTGCTATGAAGCAGGTTATCTGGCCTCGAGGAACAAAGGACGATACATTTGTAAGTGACTTTGAAAGCCGTAGAGCAGCTCATGTTGGTTTGTTAGACTCTCGGTCTCGCTGTTAACGAACTGCAGTTCACAGGAATGCTGCTTATGTGCTCTGTTCATCTCGACAGTCTTCACACTCGGTCAAACGTCTTGTCGCCAGTCTCGACTGCTCTCAAACTCGAAGCCATGAGGAAAGTGCGCGAGAGGATCCAAACTCGGTCGGCGGATGACATTATTAGCAGCATCTCAGCCATCGCCTGCTTAGCTGCTTGTGCATTGGTAAGTGAGATTGACGGAGAGGGCAGTCTGGAGGCAGCCTACCCTCTTGCCAGAGCGACTGCAGCCTGTTTCGGATATCAAGTAGAGGTACCGACACTGAGGGCTTTCTTGTTTCGTGTAGGATCACTGACGCTGCCCTGTCGAGGACTATTTAGGTTCGCGATGAAATCGAGGGTGCCGACGAGTATCAGCTACATCGAAAGGCATATGCCGTTCTTATCAAGGAAGCATTTGAGCAACGGATGTTTGAACGCTCGAGGTTTTGCAAGGATGTCTTGCGAATCATTACCGTCATTGCGTGTGTATCTTGCCTTCGTTGTTTCTGCTATTATTGAATCGCCGGAGAACAAGCCTTTTGATTACTGACTCAACCCGCCCTCAATGATAGGATCGGCCGAAGATGTCGCATGCCAACGCCTGGTTTGGCGCCGGTGATCGACTCTGCAATAGCACTCAAGGAGTACGAATACGTCTTTGAGGACGAGTGGCAGAGCCGAACACACGCTCAGCCAGAGCTCTTTTCTCCAGTCTACGATGGTCGAGAGAAGCCAGACGAGGATGCTTTTCCATACGTGCACACCGACCATCTCCGGCACTTGCTCCAAATGATGCAGAGCGTCATTGAGATCTGGACAAGACAAACCAGGACGCCTCTTGAGGTAGGGGACAAGGAGGTCGCTGTGCTGGATTTGTTATGCCCACAGATACTCAGCCTACCGAGCGCAACGTTGCCCGGACTGGCCTGCACTGGAGACTACGTATACGAGGCATGTCGTGTCACGTCAGTGTTGATGATTCAGAGCGTCGAACGCAGTCAATCCTGGAAAAAGGTTGCACAAGGGTCAAAGCTGATGGGAGAATTACGAGCCGCATTGGAAAGGACAGAATTGGGGCCGACGCTTGAGCGAGGTGTCTCGGGTGGACACTGGCGTAAGAATCTCGGTCTCTTGTACTGGATTGTGTTGGTGTTTCATTGCGCAGCGTTTGGGTCGGCGGATTATGCGTTCGCACATGCTTTGCAGACGAGTTTGTCGTTTGAGTTGACGTACAATTATCATGACTGGCATGGCGCATTGGTTCCGGTAAGTCTGGCCGTGCTGTCGAGGATGAGAGAAATGCTTAGTTCAACTATGCTGACATGATGTGGCTTGATTTGCAGATGTTGATGTTGAAAGATGTCATGCCTGATCTCTACGATTGAGTTGAACTGACCTGTTCAATTTGACGAGTGCTACCAAGTAGTTAGGATGAAGTTGACTGCTGGTTTTATCGTTTGGGTTGTCGCAGTAGGAAGAGGTCCGTGGTCTGTGAATGCTTAAGTGGTCAGCCTTGTCGTGGGCCCCATTTTTCCTGCTTAGCGGGGCCATTTTCATCAGCCCCGGCCACTCTAGAATCGACGCTTGGTCGTTAGAAGATGAATAAATTAATCTCCATCTCGGGTCTCGGTCTCGGGCTCCATCTCCGCCACTTGGGCCCGAATCGACTGGCGCTAGAATGAGGAGAAAACTGGTATTTGACAGTGAGAATCCCGGCAGTTGATGATGGGAACAGACAACCGAGTGGAAAAAAAATTCATCGTAGTCGTTATCTGTTTCGCTCTGTATGCCACTAGTTGATGCCAGACTGACTCTCTCTTCTTCCTTTCCGCTGCTCACGTATCTGAGGTATCAAGGAGCTGTTTGCATAAATCTTGGGCTTTTGCATACTACATCGTGTCTCCCTCGCCTTTGATTTGCCACTTTTGATTATTAACCGATTCTCTTCAAGAGCCTTGCACCGCGTACCTTTGACAAAGTCGCATTTATCAGAACATCACCATCCGAAACATCTAAACAGCTACAGAATGCCTCTTCCAACAGGAGTCTACCGCGCCGACCAAGTCGGGTCACTCCTCCGACCGAAAGAGATCCTCGCAGTTCGTGAAAAAGTCGCCGCTGGAACTCTGACCACCACGGACCTCCGTCAGGTCGAAGACAAGTACATCTCCGAGGTCGTGCGACAACAGCTCCAAGCGGGTCTCCGATCCATCACCGATGGCGAATTCCGCCGCGCCTACTTCCACCTCGACTTCCTCCAGCACCTCGACGGCGTCGAGGTCCAGGGCAGCCTGATGTCAACGAACAAGTCCAAGAACGGGTGGATGCCTCCCCGGCTCGTGGTCACGGGCAAACTCGGACACAGCAAGCCCATTCAGGTCGACGACTTTCTGTACCTTGAACGCCAGATCGCCGAGGCGGGCGGCGAGGCGACCTTCGGCAAGGTCACGACCAAAGTGGCCATCCCCAGCCCGACCATGGTGCACTTCCGCGGCGGGCGCGACACGATTGACGCCGCCGCGTACCCTTCGCTCGACGGGTTCTTCGACGACCTCGCCCGTGTGTACCAGGAGGAATTGCAGGACCTGTACGACGCGGGCTGCCGGTTCGTGCAGCTCGACGACACCAACCTCGCGTACCTGTGCGACCCGAAGATGCGCTCCGAGGCCGAGACGCGCCACGGAAGCGACGCCACGCAGATCGCGACCCAGTACGCCAACCTCATCAACCGCGCCATCGAGAAGAGGCCGAGCGATATGACCATCGGCATCCACCTGTGCCGCGGGAACCACCGCAGCCAGTGGTTCGCGCAGGGCGGCTACGAGCCCGTCGCCGAGGTCCTGTTCAGGGATTTGAACGTCGACGTGTACTTTTTGGAGTACGACGACGCGAGGAGCGGTGACTTCAGCCCGCTGAGGCACTTGCCCGAGCACAAAGTCGTCGTTCTGGGCGTCATGACGAGCAAGAAGGGCGACCTGGACGACAAAGACGCCATGGTGCAGCGCCTGACCGAGGCCAGCAAGTACTGCAAGCGCGGCCTGGACCAGTTGTGTCTGAGTCACCAGTGCGGGTTCAGCAGTACAATGGAAGGGAATGAGTTGACAGAGGACCAGCAATGGGAGAAGATCAGATTGGAGGTGGAGATCGCGAAGAAGGTGTGGGGCGATGACATTTCAAAGTGAGTTTTTCTGATGGGAGGAGAGAAGTGAAAATCAAATCAAGACGTATTTCAACTTTTGGAGCAGCGGCGGCAGAAGAATATAAAAGGTAAAGAAAAGAAAGACCACGTGTAGTGAGTAGAGAGGAGAGAAGAAGACAATACACTTCAACAGTGTGCAGTGTCAATCACTGATGGGATACTTCATCCCTGGGGTGTTTTAAGTACACTGGGACGGGGGATTACCTCGTGTACATAACCTGGAATCCATATCATACCGCCTGCAATGACCAAGACTCTTCACACTCCACCGGGTGGATGACAGACTCCGATACGCAGACGACAGGAAACCATCCATGACCATGATGTGAATGCAATACTGTGCACACAGAATATTAAGCCTTGTAAGAATCGAGACCTGTCTTGTATCATTACTGTAGGGCGTACAAACGGGTATGAGAGTATTTACTTACCATCGGCTATCCAGCAGATGTGGTGCGGAACGCAGTGACTACGAGGTAATTAATATGCCCTTGACTCGTACACCGACACTGGAGTATGCAATATGGAGCATAGAATCTGGGGGCATGGGGTATCGGGTTATCGTTCTCAATACCCGAGCCTTCACAATCTACGATATGGATGTATCAAATCCATCTTTGAATCAATGATCAATGATCAGTGGCCAACAACACCAGCTTCAAATACCGACGTGGAGTCATTTACCGTCGGCAGCACAAAGAGCATAGTGGGGCAGGCTTCCGTCGGCTCGGGTGATTCAATACTTTGTATTATTGCGACTGTTTTCCTCTACATGTTAAGCATATATGAAGACCAAATATTCCTACACGGCTCCTTGTTTTGATGTACAGACTTCATCTTATCAGTCGGCTGTTGACGGTGAGAGAGGCAGTCTTAACACGGGTCAGAACAATTTCAAGTCAATGACTATGGCCACCACCACGGCGACGGTGACACAATTGGCGGAGTCTGCGTCGACCATACCAAGTTCAACATTGTCCACTACAAACAGAAGTACCGCCGCTGCTGGCAGAGTGAGTGGTACTGGTTCTGGTTCTGGTACTACAGCACAACCCTCTAGTACTACAACTACAACACAAACCTCCCCCGGAGCATCCAGGCCTCCACCATCCACGTACTGGACAATAGACGGGTTACTACGTAGCCATGCATCCGACAGCGAGGACGGGGATAGACCCATGTTTGCTTACCCTGCGTCAGGCGCATCGGATTACGAGGTCCACACAGTTAAGGCGGTTGATCGATACGTCGACGCTGCGTGCTGGTGGTATCAGAAACAAGGTCTCGAAGCAGCAGTAAGTTTATTCCCAATCTCTCCGTGCCATCTCTCATTAGAGCGTAACGTGTTATATGCAGAAGAGCATAAGAACATCCAGCCGTCGGCAGTTATACGCGCGTCCATTAACTCTCTATGAACTAGGACCCGTCACTCGACAAAGCACCAGTCGTCGCTCTCCTCACTCCTTCATGTCTGGATGCCATCATATCATTCTTTGCACTGAACAGACTGGGTTGGGCGGTCCTGTTTCTTTCCACACGACTCACTGCCCCTGCGTACGTAAGTCTCATGGATCTGGCCGAATGCACGACGATAGTGGCTCCGCCCATGTACGACGCCGTCATTCAACAGATGCGTTCCGAGATGCAGCAGCAGCACCACCAACTTACGGCTCTACCGAGAATCACCGACTCGAAAGACAACTACAGATCCGCTGCTTCCAATGTCGACGGTGTCCCCAGCTTCTTCCGCGCTGGTTGTGACTTGGAGAAAGAATCCAAGAAGGTCGCCTGGATAATCCACTCTTCCGGCTCGACTGGGTTTCCCAAACCCATCTTCATAACGAATTACGGATGTCTCGCGAACTTCCAAAAGGGGCTCGGGTTCCGCTCGTTCACCGTCTCTCCGCTCTTCCACTCCCACGCGCTCATGGAGTTCGGGAGGGCCATCTACGCAAAGCGGCCCATGTACTTTGGAAACCACCAGTTGCCCGTGACGCGGCAGAACCTGCTTGCGGCGCTGAAGGTTGCGAGACCCGAAATCATCTGCGCGGTTCCGTACGTGCTCAAACTCCTCGCGGAGAGGGAGGAAGGGATCGCCGAACTCGCGAAGGCCAAAGTGGTCATGTACGGAGGAAGCCCGTGTCCGGACCCGTTGGGCGACGAACTGGTTTCCAAGGGCGTAAATCTCGCGGGCAACTACGGCGCCACAGAGACGGGATTCATCATGAATTCGTTCCGGCCCCCCGGTGACACCGAGTGGAGCTACATGCGTCTGCACAGACCTGTGGCCGACCACGTTCTCATGGACGAGATTTCCCCGGGCATATTCGAGTGTGTGGCACTCGAAGGTCTCCCGTCCAAGGTCGCGACGAATACGTCGGACCCCCCTGGGGCGTTCCGAACGAAGGATCTGTTCAAGAGGCACCCCGATCCGCGGAAGTCGAACTACTGGAAATACGTTAGTCGGCTGGACGACCGCCTGACACTGGTCAATGGCGAAAAAGTCCTCCCGATCCCGATCGAGGGCCACATCAGGAAGAGCGAGTTGGTCACCGAGGTTGCCGTGTTCGGATACCAGAGAACAGTGCCCGGCGCGATCGTATTCCGCAGCGAACGTGCAGCGGCGATGAGTGACAACGAGTTCGTCGAAAGCATCTGGCCGCGCGTCGAAGAGGCAAATAGCAAAGCAGAGACGTTTTCACGTATCCCTCGAGACCTGGTCATTCCGAGACCGTTCGCCGAGGCGTATCCGCGCACGGACAAGGGAACCATCATCCGCGCACAGCTGTACGAGCAGTACAAGGACGTTATCGAACGGGCGTACCGACACTTCGAAGGAGGAGCGTCGCCGACGTCGAGTAAAGAGAACCTACACCTGACGCTCGATGAACCTGCACTGCAAGAGTTTTTGTTGGCAAAGTTCCGCAGCGACTTGGGTGTGCCCCTTGAATCACCCGACACGGACATCTTCTCGGCTGGCGTGGACAGCCTGCAGACGACGCGCATCTGCAACATCATCAAGAAGGAGCTCGATCTAGGCGAAGAGCGTAATCGCGACAAGCTGTCGCAGAATGTGGTGTATGAGCGTGGAAATGTCCGGGCCCTCGCTCAACATCTGTACAATCTACGACTGGGCGTCGACGATTCAGAATCCGAATCCGACTCGGACCGCGCAGAGATCCAAATCATGCACGATCTCATTGAGAAGTACTCGCATTTCACGCCTCGCGCGGTGGTTCCAGCGGGCGGTGCGGGCAAACCGGAGGTGCTCACGAACAAGACGGTGCTCCTCACTGGCGTCACTGGGGGGTTAGGGTCGATCCTCCTTGCGAACCTGCTCAAGCGCGACGACGTGGAGAGGGTGTATTGTCTCGTGCGAGCGTCGGATACCGTTTCGGCGAGGTCGCGTGTGATGAAAGCTCTACAAGACCGAGAATTGACGCACGATCTGCCTACACCGTTCGAGGGAAAGATACATGCGTACCCCGGTGATCTGAGCATCCCGTCACTGGGACTCGACGCTGCAGTTCTGGCCGAAATGCTGAGTGGTCTGACACACATCATCCACAGCGCGTGGGCAGTCAACTTCAATTTGCCCTTGTTGTCATTCGAGCCGCAGCATATCCGCGGCGTTTACAATCTACTCGAGCACGTCGCGTTGCGAACTTCACATTCCAGGCCTGCCGAGTTTTACTTCTGCTCCAGCGTCTCGGCGGCGAGTGGCACGCCCAAACCAGCCGTTGTCCGCGAGGTGCAGGTCGCGGATCTCTCGCACGCACAGCGCATGGGGTATGGGCGGAGCAAGCTTGTTGCGGAGAGGATCACGGACGCCGCGGCGAAGAGTGCAGGTTGTGTCGCCAGAGTCTTGAGGATAGGTCAGTTGGCAGGGGACACGATGCGAGCCGTGTGGAATGACACAGAGGCCATCGCGTTGATGATCCGGTCCGCGTTACCTTCGAGTGCGGGATGTTTGCCTAGGTTAAAGGAACGACCGAGTTGGTTGCCAGTGGACAAGGCTGCCGAGGTGATCGAACAGTTGGCGTTGAGGTCGTCTTCGGCTTCATTTTCTTCTAATCACACTGTTCATGGTGTTGGTGTTGGTGGCCGTGATGGTGGTAGTGACTCGGTCTCTGATGATGAAGCAGATGTCGATGTTGTCTACCACATCGTCAACCCATGCACATTCAGCTTCGAGGAGGATTTACTGCCCATGCTACAGGCTAGCGGGGCGATGCCAGAGTTTGAAATTGTCGATCCTCAAACATGGCTCGACAGGCTCAGGGAGAGTGATGGCGACGTGGAACGGAACCCGAGTCGGAAACTTATTGGGTATTGGGAAGGGAAGTATGGAGGGGATGCGAGGAGTTCGAAGTCAATGAAGACGACGATGACAACAATGACCACAGATGAAACTATGTCGAGGACAGAGACAAGCAATGCCGACTCAAGGGCAGACGAGAACTCCGGGTTGACATTTGACACAACCAGGACAGTGCAGCGGAGTAGCGTGCTACAGGGGGTAAAGGATCCGGTCAGTGATGGGTTGATGAAGAGGATCGTCGAGGTTTGGATGAAGAAGTGGAAGGACTCACGAGCCGGTGGAGATCGAGCAGAAGTGAGAGCATGATATATGATTTACGAGAACAAGCAAGCAAGCGAGTATATGTAGAAGAGAAAAAACATCGGAAAGCCGAAGGATAGTTAAAAAATATGTCACATACAGTGCCTAAGTCTGTATCATAGAACATACATTATGAAGCTATTATACTCCCGCGCTCCCCAAAACCACAAGATCGTGTACCCGGGTCCAGTAGATCTGGTCATCTGTTGTAGATATAATGCTTTCACTGTCCAGGTACAGGCAGCCAACACCCATCGTATCCTCTCGTCCAGTGGACTTGCTCGAGTCCTCTGTGCATGCCTCTGTAAAGATGAGATGTAGAGACTATCGAAACTGAAAACCTGAGATAGGTAGATACCTCAACGAGTAACCAAACCACCGTACACACGCCTCATATGTTCACAAAGACAGACCATCACAACTTCGACTCTTTCACGTTATCTTTTCTAACAGCCTCCCGCTGTGAATCACGCGAGAACTCAAACCCCGGAAAGCCACCCGTCAGTTCCTTCTCACACTCCTCGAAGTACGGCGCCACACCACCGAACCAGAACAAAGGCTCGACGCGCTTCCCTTCCACATTGGCCCCGATGTACCATGACTTCGTCTCCTTCGCGCCAGGAGGCAAGACGGTGGCGTTGAACGCTGCGTGGACCTTGTCTCTCCACTCCCGCCCGACCTCCTTCTTCGTGGATATCTTGGTGTACCCTCGGTCGCGCATGTGGGAGATGGTCCTCCCGATCCAGTCTGCCGTGTTGTCTATGATGACAGGGATGTTGGCGAACGGTGCCTGAGGGCCTGAAATCATGAACAGGTTGGGAAAGTTCTCGACCATGATGCCGTATGCGGTTGCCATGTGCTCGTCGAGCTGCATAGAGAGGTCCTGCCCTTCGCTTCCGCGGAGGTCTATCTGCGCCAGCGTGCCGGTGACAGCGTCGAAGCCGATGGCAAAGATGATCAGGTCGAAGTCGTATTCAGTCGTCGATGTTTTCAGGCCGGTTGGGGTGATTTCGGTGATCGGGTTGTTCTTGACGTCGACTAGCTTGACGTTGTCCCGGTTGAAAGCTTCGTAGTAGTAATGTCCCAGCGGAGGCCGTTTGGAGAGGATCGGGTAGTTCGGGCACAGTAGATCGGCGGTGTCTTTGTCCCTGACGATGGAGCGGATCTTGTTTCGGACAAACTCACCGGCTAAATCGTTGCAGTCCTGGTTGGTTAACATGTCGGCGAACGTCTGGAAGATGAAGCGAAACCCGCCGATTTCCCACCCGTACTCGAGAACACGGAGTGCTTCGGCCTCAGTCGTGTCGGTGAGACGAAGTGAAGAGTCGGGTATGTCCATTCCGAAACTGGAGGTTCTGGCTCGATGAATCACCGTCTTACCGTCCCGCTGGAGTTCGGCCACCTGGTCGTCGGTGAGAGGATGGTTTCTTGCCGGCAGAACATAGTTGGGTGTCCGTTGGAACACGGTCAGACTCTTTGCCGTGTGAGCAACTATCGGAATGACTTGGACTGCCGTTGCCCCTGTCCCAACCACCGCAACTCTCTTCCCGGCAAAATCGACCTTGTGCTTGGGCCAGAGTCCAGTCTGGTACCATTCCCCCTTGAACAAGTCGAGGCCGGGGAAAGGCGGCTTGAGAGGTGTTGCCAGAGGCCCTGTAGCGGTGACCAGAAATGTGCAAGTGTAAGTAGAACCATTCGAAGTCGTCACTTTCCAGACGTTGTTCGTCTCATCACGATGAGCAGCTATGATGCGAGTGTTGAAACTCATATGCTTCCTGAGATCAAGTTCATCGACAAGGCGATTGACATATCTCTCCACTTCGGGCTGTGTTGGAAACCGTTCGTTCCATCTCCACTGGACACCGAGCTCTTCGAGGAATGTGAGGACATAGACCCAACTTTCACTATCGGTCCGGGCTCCGGGCTGGATAGGTAGAGAGTCAGTCAGTCAACACCACGATCGTAGGAAGTGCTTGGAAGACTTGAGGGTGCTGGGGTGTCAAGGACGCACGTAGCGATTCCAGTACCAGGTGCCGCCGACGTTTGAGCCTGCTTCGAATACTCTGGCTGAAATTCCTCGTTTCTGAAGGTCATAGATCATGCGCACTCCCCCAAACCCTGCGCCGATGATGATGACTTCGTAGTCGATGGAATTCTTGCCGTCCACCACTTGGTTGTTGATCGATGTATTAACGGCCATGCTGAGCTATCTATCCCGGAGCTGTCAAAAGCCTTGAGAAGGGAACTTCTACGAGACGGCAAGAAATCCAACAGAATAAATGTCTTGTATTCTTACGTGTGATCAGATATGATGACATTGTCTTCAGAGTCCAGACATGTTACACGGGTATACAACCGAGGTGATATCGATGTCAGTAACAGGAGGATGCGGAGTAAGGATGTCCTGGTCCAGTCGGATGTAGTAATATTGTATTCCTAACACCAATAGGTGTGCTCGATATACATTTCCCCGCAGGACTAATCAGTCACTCGAGATGGCCGTCCCAGAAGCTGCGGGGGTTTTAGTGTGTAAGCTGAGTCGATAGACCCTCTACCGTCGAATTAGGGATTTGTAGTTGCGGCTGTAGGCCGCACAGAGGGCGTGTAAGCTGTAAGCTGCGTTGACGCTATGACTGATCCTGCGAGAATAAGAAAGTAAGACTTGCTTGACCCACCGTTTGTTCGTCCAGTTTAAAGGGCCCAGCTGATAATTGATACACCTCTGGACACTACCGCTGAAAGGAAAGCATAGTGTACGTTGGAGATATGATATGTACTCAGAGAGGAATTGATGGTATATCGAGAGCTGGTCGATAACAGATTCAGATCTGGGCCGAGAGTCTCTCACATAGCTTGGTGATATCCGTCTCTCACACTCAGGAGTACAATGTCATCCAGACATGGCGAGAAAACGAATAGAGAAGCGTGATATATACACAATGAACGATCAAATGCCGTCACATCCAGGCCGACCCGCTTCTGCAACTTCAACGCGCACTACTCCGCATACTTATCATTGAAGATGGAAGGAATCTCATCAACTTGGGTGATAACCCTTGATGCAAGTGTTCTTCATCCACACTGTTGACTCCTCGGATTTTTTGTGTGTGCTCTATTGATCTGACCTCTCGTAGGCAAATATGATCGCCAAAAACCCCATTCCACGCCGAGTGGCGATCACACGAAACTATAAACTCGACGGAGCATGGGGTCAGGAGATGCTCGATTCGTTCACTGATCTAATTCACGCGGCTGATAAGGACGCTCTCGTCCAGCATTTCCAGCCCATCGACGGCGGCGAATTACCTGACGCCTCCAACTTTGACTTGGTGATATTGACCGGTGGCACATACGATCTTACACAGCCAGACTTCGAGGCCTGGGTGGCACATCTTCTTGACTGGGTGAGAGATGTGGTCTCAAGCCACCCGAAGACGAAACTTCTGGGGATATGCTGGGGTCACCAAGCTATATCGTACGCCCTTGGAGGCAAAATAGCCTACAGGGGAGGCGGAACACTGGTATGTAACGACAGCCCGCGTGATGAACATAAGGCATACACCTATTCTAATCCTCACTCATAGGTGGACGTGGTCGAAATTCCTCTGACCGAGACTGGTCGCAAGTTCTTCACGGATTTCAGCTCATTGGTACGTAAAACTGGACATTGCTGCACCATATGGAATATCCCCCCCTCCCCCCTACAAAGTCTGACATGAAAGCGCAGCGACTTCACAAATTCCACAAACGTATTGTGGTCGAACCACCTCGAGGGTTCAGATATCTAGCGGAGGATCATGAGATATCCATGTCTGATTCTGATCAGGTCATGACATTCCAAGGTCACCCTGAGATGACTGCAAAGATCGCACAAGGCATCATCGGCGGTCAAGATACGTCGTACCTTGCAGATCCAACACCAGAAGGCATCGCGCAGCTCAATCGGAACCTGGAAAAGGACGAGGATGGAAAGGAGGCGTTTTCGAGAGTCATGTCGTGGGCTTTTGAGAATTGAGCTGACACGTTTTGTTCAATTGAGGTCGAGATGTCTCCGAAGGTTGTTTGAGTTGTGTGCCTGTCTTAGACCTTCTCAATATATCGCTTGAATTCCCTGGGACAACCAATGAGTTAGCGAGATGTATAATGTTATGACGAGCAATGACTATCGTCGAATGAGGAGGCAGGCAAAAAGCTTACCAATCGGTGACCGCCTCCTTGTACAGTCGAATCTCATGTTCTCGCGAGGAAGAGAAGAGATCCACAAACTCATTCGAAAAGATCTCGCGTGCAATGCTCCCTGGCGCTTTGAATCGGGCCACTGCTGCGTCTAAGCTGGTTGCTAACGACTCTGGTTTATCCTTTCGGAGCAGTGTTGGTGGGACCGGGATTTCGAGCTTCTTCTGAACGCCGCGCCATCCTGCACCGAGAAGCGCAGCAAGTGCATAGTGAGGATGCAGATCTGCCCCTGGTATCCTGATCTCGAACCTTGTGGCACCTGGCTTGGATACGGGCGGCGCGATTAGGCGAATCGCAGAATTGCGGTCTTCCAGCCCCCAGCCTAGTATCGTAGGGGCCCAGTAGTTCTCGATGAGGCGTTTGTAGGAATTTATGGTCGGCGCAAGTAGTGGCATCAGATCCGGGATTGCAGTCAGAAGGCCCGCCAGGAAATGCCGTCCGACATCCGAAACCCCTTCAATGTCCTTCCATTTGGCATCTTTGTCCGGGGTTGTTCGGGCGAACGCATTCTTTCCCGTTGAGTCGGTTAGTGATATGTGGATGTGGCCAGAGTTACCACATTGGCCATAGACAGGCTTCGCCATGAAGCATGGTGTGACGTGATGTTCGATGCCTAATGATTTTACCAAGAACCTACAAAGGGTCAGCTTGGCGCTTTTGGGGGGAGTGATAGCTGTGTATACTTGAAGAGCGTGACTCTGTCAGCCATCTCGTCGATCTCGTTCAGCTTCAGTGCCTAGGCATGGTTAGCAACCAAGTCGCCAGTCAAATGGACACGACACACAGCCTCAAAGACTCCTGGAGCCGCCTCTGTGTGCCAGCTCTCCAGATTCGTCCGAAACTCAACGCATCTGTCGAATATCTGGTGAAAGTAGTCTTTGGTCGCTAGCGGTCGTATCGAACTATATGTAAAGATGCCCGAGGTCAGGTATCGCAGACTGCTGGGAGCATTCTTGTCGAGGTAAGACGTCAGATCTCTAGGATCTCCGTTGTTGGTGGTGGTATATCCATTCTCGGTCGGCGTTTGGAAGTTCATGAATTCCAGTTCAACTGCAGATCCTCATTCAGCTTCTGTGGCCCGCGGAAAAGCGACCACTCACCTCCAGCCATTGACTTCAAACCATGCTTGCCGAGATCCTGACATAACGATCGGAGAATCGTTCGTCCATCAGCGGGGACTGGGCGAGCCTCCCACTCAAACCGGAGCAGGAAAAATGGGATATTATCTTCCCAAGGGATTCTTCGAAAGGATGAAACGTCCGGTATGGCGGTAAAGTCACCGTAGCCGTCCAACACTGAGGTCGAGCCATTTTCGGTCTTGAACAGTACATCGTGCATGTCCCAACCGAAAAGGACCGAGCTGAACCCAAAGCCATGGTCGAGGCTTGATAGGAATTTGTCCTTGTCCATTACCTTGCCCCTCAAGATGCCATCGCAATCGACACCAGCCACCTTCACTTTGTGATCGGCAGCCAATATTCTGGAAATATTGTCCTTTGTTGGGATCTCGGCAGTTAGTTCCCCCATGGCGAACAACACGCTATTCTCTGTACAAGATCCTCAGCACTGAATCCAAAACCAGAGGTATCGATAACTTGTCGAGTGGTTGGCAATCTCTTGTGAAGAGTGTTGCCGCTCTCGTCAAGCGAAACTTCCGTCAGGGCCCTTGATCAGGATATTTCACAAGCAAGGGCTGGGGTCGGGCCGCCAAACATCATCGACAAAATACCTATCCGTGTCTGATTTTTGTAATGTTCAATTTCACGCATTGTTGTGAGGTTGAAATAGTCCGGAGATCGGCGTGGAAAGCAGCATTTGCAACTCCATAGACCAGAGATAAGAATGGCACCCAACTCTCCTACCCATTCGGGAGATCCTGATCAAACCCCCACCAAGATTGGACAGCTTCAAAACATGGCTAGCTGGGCAGTCTTCGCTTCGCACAATGTATAACAAAGAAAGCGAAGATATTGATAATGTTGGAAGCCTTGGTGATCGATGGTCTTGCTTGTCCGACCTTCTTTGGGGTTGTTGCTGGGTATGATCTCGGGCATATTGACGCTGCACATTCAGGACGCCTGGCTAGACAGGTAGTGTCTACGAGTATTGGCTAGCAGTAACCATCTTTGCAGGATGCGATGAGATGATGCGAGAGGGTCACGGAAATAAGGCTCCGACGTTGTAGGCGCTCTGGGTGTGTCCAGCTATTTAGCCATCTACGCTGACAATCACAAAGGAAAAGATTCGACCATACGTCCCAAACACTGGGTCGAGTGTCCACGTATAGCCGGAGATTGCGAGTCTTTAGAGCAAGGGAGATGGTGAGTAATAAGGTGCAGAAACCACGCAGGGTTCTCAACGCTGTTCCAAATTCTGCATACGTGAATGTCAAATGAGCATGGACAATCGCCGCGATCAAATGTGCTTAATCATCAGCAGAGTTACCAGGCACGAGCAGATTATGACGCAGGATAGTGGAATAGAGAAGAAACAGGTTTGTTCTAGGTGTTGATCGGGGCGTGAACAGTGGGGACTCTCTGCTCACTGTAGTTACCAACTGTGGGTACCAGAGCCCCTGTCCCTCCTGTGTTCTGGCGACATCGTGAGCCCTCTTCACTTCGATGTCTTGCGGACAAACTAACGATTTCTTCCCATCCATTGACTTGTCCGGGCAATGAGTACCTAATATTCGTAGCTACAGTAGCATAGATTCGTCGCATAGATTCTTCAGCTCCGAGATCCTTGCGCACCAGTGAGTATGCCTGGGCGCCCCCCGACAAATCCTGAAGTTCTCAATAGTAATCAGCATGTGGATGTCGCCTGGGTAAATTAAGATCCCACCATCTAGAGCAACCGGCACTGACTAATCTGCTGCATTTGCATGTGCTCCACCGCATCGAGCCCCATAATGGCCCAATCGTCAGCGGGCGAGATGAAGGCGTTATTCAAATACTTGGACCCAACTGGCTAATACTTTTCATGGCGCCGGGGATGCTTTGCTTACAGATGCTGTTTGGAGAAAAGTATTTGACATTGCCCTTGCTTGGATGCTTCTCATGGCACGAGCGTTCGAGCATGATGGAGGGGTGAGAAGTGGACATGGATCGTAGGTATAAGTAGGTTGTTGAAGAAGGCGGTGCTGGAGAATTACTTTTTCATCGTTCATCAGCTTCATCTCAGTCTTCGATCTCACAGAGACAGCAACAGCGGTGACACAATTCCCATCCCTTGACAGAGAGATACATCTAAAGCATCTCGAAAACAACCCCCTCCTTACCCCCGTAACCAGAACACCGGTGCCCAACATGCCTCTATCCACCAACGAAAAGACCAACGAGACGGCGGCCACCTTGGTCAAGACTCTCCAAGGAGCATTTCATACTCCTCCAGGCTACAGACCAGGTTCGTATTCGATTCCCATTCCATCTTGTTCTGTATACAGACATACGCTCGTATACGTTTTATCTACTTGTCACATGCACATGTAACTAACCGCTCATCGACGTCTCTCAGCCCATGCCCGAGGCATCCTCCTTACCGGCACATTTACTCCCACGCCCGAAGCCGGCAGCCTCAGCAAAGCAGTACATTTCACCCAGCCATCGACGCCGGTTCTGGTGCGCTTCTCCAACTCGACCGGCCTTCCTCAGATCCCGGACAATGCCAACGACGCCAATCCTCGCGGCATGGCCGTGCGATTCACGCTGCCCGAGGTCAACGGGCGCCGACAACACACCGACATCATCACGCACTCGACTCCTTTCTTCCCCGTGCGCACGGGTGAAGGCTTCCTCGAGCTCCTCGGCGCCATCGGAGCGTCATCTGCCCCCGACGCGCCCAAGTCGCCGTCGCCCATCGAGGCGTTTCTAGCCAAGACGCCGTCGGCAAAGGCGTTCGTCGAGGCGCCCAAGCCCACGCCCGCCAGCTTCGCGACGGAAAACTACTTCGGCGTCAACGCGTTCAAGCTGGTCTCGGCCGACGGCAAGGCCACATTCGTACGGTACCGCATCACGGCCGACGCCGGCGCGGCACACCTGTCCGACGACGAGGCGAAGGCCAAGGACCCGGCGTTCCTGCACAACGAGATCCAGACGCGCATCATCGACGGCGGCGCCAGCTTCACCTTGTCCGCCCAGGTTGCGAACGAAGGCGACACCACGGACGACGCGACGGTGCGGTGGCCCGAGGAGGGCCACGAGCTCGTCAAACTCGGCTCGATCAAGCTCGAGGCCATCGCCGACGACAATGACGAGAAACAGCGAACCATCATCTACGACCCCGTGCCGAGGGTCGAGGGCGTCGAGGCCAGCGACGACCCTTTGATCGACATGAGAGCTAGCATTTATTTGGTTTCGGGACGGGAGAGGAGAGCTGCTGGGCCCCATCACTAATGACCTGATTAATCCCCAGCCTACCTACGTAGCTACGTAGCTACCTCTACGAAGAGATCTTCGTAGGTACGTATCGCGGTACATTTCGTTGATACATATCATGAGAAGCGTTTTGGACGCGCGATTTGACTACATGCTACTTCCTACTGGCGATCAGGAGATGTCAGGACTAAGCAGCAGAGTTGTCAGGACTAAGCAGCAGAGTTGTCACCCGTCAGTCAGCCACAGGCTTGGATTAATAGTCCGTAGTAACCCCTCATGGTGAATGACACATATGTTGATGAACATGCTGCAAAGTGGATTGATCATTCAGAGATTCTCGTTTCAAGTGATGTGGGATATTTCAATGTCATCAATATACTGTACTACCTGATACCCCCTTTTTTAACCTTTGGAAAAGAAAGAAAATCATGTCCAAAACTCGTTTCGACCGGCGGGCGTTGAAACCCAGGTATGTAGGGTATCCCTGAAACACCACACAAACGCCACCCATCACATGTCACGTACCGCACCGCAGCGCGCACAAAAGACAGAGGGACAGAGACAAGTAAAAGTGTTCAGTCAGTAGGAACCCCTTTCACTCGTTCTCAATCGCCAGAGCAGACGTGAAAAGGTCAATACCGTACCCATACGATACCACCGGCTCATGTCACATAACCTACTACTGGACGACACAGCCGTCATCCAGAAACAAAAAGTCGAGATCACAACCAGTTTTGACCTCTTGTTCTCCTCCCTTCCTTTTCACCTTTGTACACGCCCTTCTTGCTCGTCGGGATGCCCATGCCCACCAGACTGGTCATGATGAGCAGGCCGGCCTCCACGGAATCGATGACGTTGACGGTCCTCCTGCCGTCCTCGTCGCGCACGGCGTCCTTGGCGGCTCGCACCAGGTCCGTCATGCCCGCGCAGCCGAGCAGGATGGTGTCGGCGCCCTTTGCGACGAGGGTGCGGGCGGCGTGGGCCATGCGCTTCGCGACCTCCTCGCGCGGGCGGCCCTCGAGCTCCAGCACGCCCAGGTGCGTCGCCTCGCTGCCGACGTAGAAGTGCGAGAGGCCGTACGCGGCGACAGCGTCGTCCTGCTGGATGCGCGAGCGAGCGGCCGTCGCGATGATGCCGAACCGCCCGCCGATCATGCGCGCCGTGTACAGGCTCGCCTCCATGATGCCAATCACCGGCACGTCGTAGGACTCCCGCAGCGCGTCGATCAGCGGGTGCTTGGAGAAGCACGCCACGATCATGCCGTCGTAGTTTTGCACCGTCTCGCCGTTGCTCGCCGCGTACTTAGCCAGGTCGCGCAGCACCGCCTCGGTCGACATTATGGCGTCGGTCGTGCTCTCGATCGCTGTCGGCGCAGGGTACGGCGCCGTGTACCCTGTCACCTCGACCCCCGCGGGGATAATCGGCCGGAGGGAGCTGAGGCACGCTTCCGTCATCGACCGCGTCGAGTTGGGGTTGATGAGCAGGATCTGGGACGGCCGCTGCCGGGGCGGCGACGTGATGGGTGTCGAAAACGGCGACCTGGTCGTTGTCGTTGTGGCCGCGCTGGAGCTCGTCGGTCGCGTACTGGGCCCGCTCGAGCTGTTCATGTTGGCGCCGGCGGCCCGCGACACCGGTCGCGACGATTGAGATTGCGCTCCGCTGTGCTGCGCAAAAAGGGGCTGCACGCTCTGCTGCGGCGGCGAGATGGGCATCGGCGGCGCTCCTCCGCCGACGACGATCGGGTAGTTCTGTCCGATTGTGCTGCTGCGTGAACGTGACCCGTCGGCGAATGGGTTCCCGGCGGCTACACCAACTTCGTTGGTGGGTGATTGTGGTGTAGGATAAGTTTGGCTGGGAAAACGGTTACCTCTGCCGCCGCCGTAGCCATTTTGTTGCGCCGGGGGTGATTGTGATGATGGCCGGCCGCTGCCGTACTGTTGTTGGCCGTTGGCAGGTCCTGGGCCGCCGGACACGTGGCGGGGCTGTTGCTGATAAGCAGAGGAAGAAGGCGAAGAATTCTGCATGTCGTCAATATACGAGGAAGAGGGTTCGTTGAGGTTGAGAAATGGGTGTTGTTGAGGTTGCTGAGGTTGAGGGGAAGAAGAGCGTGAAGAAGACGCGCCTGGTCGAAGAGACAAGGGATGCTCTTGTGGTGGTGATTGTTGCTGCTGCAACTCGGCCATTGGAGCAATAAAGAAAAATACAACCGGCCGGGGGGAAGCTCTGTGGCTTGTTTTGGATCACAGTAGACAGAGACAGGGAGCGAGGACTGGACGAATAAACGGAGCCGGCGAGAGTTAAGCGAGGGTTGTTCCCTGTCCTCTGATTCCGTAATGTAGGGCTATGGAGCACCCGGGATACTCAGGACTCCGGAGAGCGAGCAGCAGTTGCGGCAAGGAGCCCAGCAAGGGAGCAGAGCAACTCGGCAGACCAGTATCCGTGGGTGTCTTGGTACTCCGTACGAAAGATGGACAATGGACAAAATTCTCTCGACTCTCTGTCTCTCCAGATGGGAAGAAAAGTGGGGAGTCAGGTTTGACGCAATAATGGGAAGTGATGGCCTGGCCGGGTGTGGTACAGAGGGACGATGCTGATGTTCTGTTTATAAAAAGCCTGTTTGATTCTCCGACACTGTTTCTTTTCAAACTGGAACTGAAACCGAACCTTGTGGCTGTCCAGGTGAAGGGCGACAAGGGTACCTGGCGGTTGGGGAGATAAGGACCTGGAAGACTGTTTCTCTGAGTGGAAGACAAGAAGAGTAATAAAGGGCACCGCGAAATGTATCCGAGGCAGATATCCGTACGAAGAACTCCGTGCTGAGTATCTTATCTTATTAGGTAGGGATATGCTAGATAGTTATGGAGTCCAGGTGGTGGAAATCGAGATTGAAAAGAGTATCTATAGCTATTGCGTCGGTTGTATCTCACCGCCCGGTCACCATACCTACGCGCAATCTAAGTAAGCATCCTCAGCCTCAGGCGTCCCGAACACTGACAGGACGGACTTCTGCAAGTATGATCCAAGCTACGGGAAGAGGGAAGATGGTTTTGTTGACGGAGATTCGGTGGGCTGGAATCCCGGGCGTTTGCTATATTTATCACACCCTGGTGAACCCTCCCTGAAGAGTCAAGACATGGGGGCCCATCGCCGTCCCCCAGCCCCATGCTCGTTCACGGCCTGAGCTGGTTGAGCCTCCCAGGCCCAAACTCAAAGCTTTCGCGAGCCTTATTAATCTACGAAATCCTTCCATTCATCATCCAGAGCAAAAAAGAAACCTTTTGTACGGAGTACTCGCATCCAACTTGTACGAGATGATATCAAAGCATACAATGTCTAAACGTCGCATGCTCTACAGGAATTCAGGTTCCCGCACACCCGTCTGTTCAGCGATCAGACCATAGTGTTCGATACGCCTGTGCTTCTCAAATGCAAACACCTTTTCCTTGCCTCGTCGGCACATGCCCAAGTCGATTTCCGCGACAATCAATTCGTCATCCTCGGTCGACGCTTCGACGACGACCTCTCCGTCACAGTCCACGATACAACTGCCCCCTATCAATGGATACTTGCCGTCTTCCAATCCACACTTGGCCACGTTGATGCTAAAGCAGCTGTTCGCGTAGCTGTTGTAGGTCAGACTGAGTTGATTGTGGAAAAGTGCCTCAGTCTTTGCTTTTTCCTTGGTCGAGATCTTCTTGTTCGTCCCTAGCAATTCCGGGGCCCAGGCCGTCGTGTTGTACCCGCAAAGCATCAATTCGACACCCTGGAGGCCGTATGTTCTCCAGGCTTCTGGCCAGCGTCGGTCGTTGCAGATGATCATGCCCACGATGGGATCTCCCTTGCCGAGAGTGTCTGGCTCGTTGGGTTTCGCACCCAATGTCTTGGTCAACGCGTCAGGGACGAGTTCAGGTGCACGGAATGCCTCGAATCCCAGATCGCCAGGCTTGAAATATCTCTTCTCAAGCTGGTTCGTGGCGTCTTTGCGCTCGTACGGTTCAAATGTCCCCGGTAGGTGCACTTTGCGGTACTTGGAAACCACCTTGTCCACTTGTCCAGAGTAGTATATGCACGTATTGTAATGGGTGTGATCGGCTCCTGTGCATTCGGCATACCCGATACAAACGTCCATCTTGTACTCGCGAGCCTTGTCAAACAGAGGCTTCAAGTTGGGCGACTTGGTGATGTCGCCGTCGACTTCTTGCTCGAAGTACTTTTCCAGTTCTTCTCCTTCAAGAATGTGTCGAGGGAAGAATGTAACCGGTGCGATCTCTGGATACACAATGAGTTTGGCATTGGCTTTGTGTGCGTCGTCCATCAACTTTAGCATTCGCTGGATACCTTCAGATCGAGGAGTATCAACGTTGATAGGTCCCAGTTGAGCTCCTGCCACAATCACCTTTCGTGTCGACTCAGCTGTGTGGCCAGCTTCGTTAGTCTGGATTGAACCCATTGCTTGTTGAGAAGAGAATGTCCAGACAGACAAGTTGTTAGGTGTTACTGTTGCTTCGTACTCGTCGTACCCAAATTCTGCGTCTGGCTGCGAGTCAATACTGCTGGCGCCTTCGAATGCAATTGTGGCTGATCCGGGGACGAGATTCTTCACCATAAGGTTCAACTGATCAACAACTTCCCAATCTCCATCATCTCCTCCGGTGGTCCTTGCACGTAGACCCTCCCGTACCCGGCTGACGACGCTCAGTTCCCACCGTGAAACGGGCGAACTGATATGGGCGGCGCCTTTGTCCGTTATGCGGACTTGTGAGGAGTGTACGATGTGGACATCGCCGTCGCGGGACGATGGCATGTCGGCCAAGTATGCAAGATTTGATCAATCTCTAATAAGAGTCATCGCCAATGCCAACCCCCACCGATTGATAAAGAGATATGAGAGTCGCGTAAAAGGCCGGCCTGGGGCGACTCATTCTGATATGCGTCTACTCACTCCTCTTCTTCTCTAGGGCTTTTTTGAGTGAGGCTCTCTTTCGGGGGGACTTTTTTCGGACCATGGCGATCTACAGCCTGGTCCTCGCGCCGTTCTTCTCTTTCCCGCTTTTGTCCCTGCTCGTCCTCCCAATAATTGTCCTGGTCATTCGTTCCTCATATCGACTGTCTCCCTTCCACCCACTCTCTCACGTACCCGGCCCCGTTATACCTCGGTTATCATCGTTATGGTTGACGTGGCACGCATGGATCGGAGATGAAGCCACCATCACCGACGCCTTGCACAAGAAATATGGACCCATCGTGCGAACAGGACCGAACAGTGTGGACATTGCCGACGGAGCCGCCCTCGCGACCATATACACTGAGAAAGGTGGGTTCGGCAAGACGGACTTCTATGCAAACTTCGATATCGATGGGCACCCATCCATCTTTTCCGAGACGGACCCAGCTCGACGCGCTCCCCGCGCAAAAGCGGTGGCTGCGTTGTTCTCGACGACGAACCTCCGACAAGGACAAGATATCATATACGAAGTCGTCGGCAGATTCGTGGATAGGCTCAAGGAAGGCAAGAAGCCAGAGAAATTGGGCAAGCCGGTGAACGTCTTGAACTTCACTCGAGGTTTGGCTGTCGATGCCGTGTCGTCGTACCTGCTATGCACCTCGTATGGCGCACTCGAGGAGTTCGGAGCACGCGAAGAGAAAAGAGCGGTTAGGAAGGAGATGTCGGGAACTCCAGACTCGGAAAATCACGAACAACATATGAGTGCCAGTGGCATGGTCGACTGTTTTGTGGCAGTTGGTAGATTCTGGTACCTCCCGACGTGGGCGTTCAAGTGGATTGAGTCGTTCGATGCGTGGTGGAACGCGGAAGCCGAAGTGTCGACAAGCCTTTCTCTGGTTGATGAGTACGTCAACGGCGTGGTTGCTCAGGCCGAGGCGGCAATTGCTGCGTCCGAGTCGAGCGAGAAGACGTCTCATCCAGTGACCTCGTACCCTGCCCGACTGCTTCAAGCGGGTTTCACGGTCTCAGAGACACGCGCACAGTGCAAAGATCTCATCTTCGCCGGAACAGACAGCACAGGCATGAACATGGCCACGATCTTATTCCATCTTACTCGCCAGCCAGAATGCTACAAGAAGCTCCGCGAGGAGATCTTGTCGGCGGACCCGGGCTTTGACGACCTCCAGTCTCTCCCGTACTTACGCGGTGTCGTCAAAGAGGGTCTTCGTCTTGCAATGGCGAATCCCTCCCGTCTGCCTCGAGTGGTGCCCGCGGCGGGATGGACGTTCAAGGACACATACTTCCCTCCCGGCACGACCGTGAGCTGTCAGCCGTACACGCTTCACTTCAACCCCGACGTGTTCCCGGAGCCTCACAAATTCAAGCCGGAGAGATGGGCAGAACCGACCGAGGAAATGCTTCGTGATGCTATTCCGTTTGGGTTGGGTAGTCGTCAATGCATCGCTAGGAACTTGGCGACGGTCGAACTGTACTGTGCCACGGAGAGACTGGCGAGAGCAGATGCCCTGGCCGGCGCCCACACTCTCAAGGACAAGATTCAAATTCTAGAGTGGTTTAACAGCAAAGTCGTTGGAGAAAGGATTGATTTGGTCTGGGAATAAAAGGACCGTTTTACCTTTCTGCGGTATGTCTCAACTTAGATAGCCTATATAGTACACACCGTGCGAAAGATTTGAATCTGTGGTACATATTTATCATTAGTACTTTTCCTTTCGCAATCGACCATAGGTTGTGTAATACAGGGCTTCCCGTCCGCTCAGCCATACTTAAGCCACAAGCCGATCAGTTAGTACTACCGTGGGTGACCAGGTGGGAATCCTGATTGTTGATTGTTTTTGCCTTTTTTTCTTGTTATTTTTTTTGTTTCGTACGAGAAACCTGTTCAGAGAGCCATTTACCCTTCGAGCATTCGACCACGACTGTTCCTGTGCGACCACTCGGAGCGGTGTGCATGCCTTCTGCCGGTGTTTTGATAACCCCCGATCTTGGGAGCGCCTATATCAACACGGCTAGTGAGGCTTTGGTACCCCTAATTATTCTTTTCGATGCCTAGTCCGTACCTTTATGACTACGTAGAGATGTCACGTTATTTGAAAGCTTCAGAGCTCTAAATAAACAACCAGCAGGGTGATGCTTGGGCTAGGGTTGCTGATGGTCAGGGTTTGACTTATTTTTCCGTGCCGCTCTCTCATTACTGAACGCACTCATTGTGCTTATTATGGATATGCTCCGGCCCAATAAAAACTGTCCTGGATGACACCCAACAACATTAATATTGTTCGATATCTGTATTCAAATTTGCTAGACCTTTTCTCCCAGTGTGCTAGATACTCGTCGATCTGACTCTGTCTAGATGGACAGATTGGCACAGCTGAAAGCCGGCGTCGTACTTCCAGAGTAATCCGCAATGATGGCCTTGACTGCAGCGTAAAGACCGGGGCCGAGCAAGAAGAGACCCACAACCATCACAAAAGCGTGGATCGCAGTCATGATCGACCTGAAGGGACCGGCAAACAGTTTGCCCTTGTACAACAGCCAATACGCGATGGCGAAGTAGATGAATCCGAAGAACGAGTCAAAGGCGGCACCCAACAGAGACAAAAAGTCACCCATGCTAGGGACGACCTCGGCAAAGATGAAGCCGAGAAACCAGATGCCGGCCATGACCAAGATCCATACACTCCATCCAATCACGGTGTTGCTGTGCGCGTGTCGTGACGTTCCCAAGATATGAGTATAGATGAATTTGGCCGTGACATTGGCGTAGATGACCCCGATCACGAGCGTCGGAACAATCACGAAGGCGAAGCTGCCCTTCCTGTACGTGAGAGGTCCGAGGGATCCAAACGCCGGTGCGGTCGAGTATTGACCCAAGTAGTGAAACCCGATCGCCGGAGGGCAGATGAAGAGGAAGGCAGAGATGGCTGTGAGGACGGCGAGAGACTTTGGGAAATCCTGTGGTCGTTCCATCTCAGCGATGAACGTCGGGAAGAGGATTTGTGGAACCCATAAGAATGTGATGTTGAGCACGGCATTGAGACAGTTGATCCAAGTCGTCCCGGACAGGGGAAATGCGTAAGTTCTCACAGGTCCGTCGGTGGGGTAGCTGCCGTTGTAGCCATACCCGGGGGCGTCCTCGATACCGGCAAAGATGAGGAAAAGAAGAATGGCGATGCCCATGCAGAAAGCCGAGAACATGGACATGAACGACACGTGGCGAAGAGTACGGGGCGCCGACATGACGACGCCCATCAGCGTGACGATGACAGAGAAGACCACGGTGCACTGCGAGTGGTCCGACAGGGTGTTGATGATTTTGGCGCCAGTGAGGATGTGGAAGCCGATCAGGATGATGTTGTTGGCAAGCAGCATGAAGCCACTGAAGGCATAGGCGGCTCGGGACTTGCCGAAGATGTAGTATCCAAAGTCACAGATGTTCATGATTTCAGGGTACTTCATGATGTACTTGTGCATGGTGATCGAAGTAATCCAGAAAAGGACTCCCGAGGCGACCATGGTGATGATGCCAGGAACCCAACCGAGGACGGACAGGGACCATGTTTGGGCCATGATGGCGAGGCAGACCTGATCGCCAGCGAGCAGCCAGGCGGCCTTTTGCCAGGACATGGTCCGCAGTTTGATTTCGTGAGCGTGATCTTCGACCACCAGCGCGTGAATGATATCGATCGAGCGTCTACGCCTGGGTTCGACAGCCGAGACATCGTCGCTGCCGTTCTTTTCTTCGTCCTTGTAATTCGGATCCGCCATGGTGGAGGGGGGATGATGACGGTTGGAAAGTGGAAGTGGATGGTGATCTGGCTGAGAGAGATCGACAGAAGCGAGGATCGATCTGACCAAACTGTCGGGGCAACCTCTAGTTATATAGCTGATTGAAGACTGCAGCTTGGACTTGTCCAAGGTAAGCTGCGTGCGATCTCTGCGCAAGCCTTGCACAAGCTTGCACAAGCCTGATCAAGCACCCATGGCAAGATGATGTGACAACGCTTACGGCTGGTGCTGAAAATCCCTGTATGGCGTGATAAGCCATAATATGTTGCAATACCTATCAGTGGAGCTTCGAGGGTCACCGTGAGTGGCTGATGCAACGTCTTCAGGCGACCCAGAGGTTTTTTAGGCGACGCGCCGGAAGATCGAGGCGTGAACCAGGCCAGAACGGGCCTCGAAGAGAGCTTCTTAGCTTCTTAGCAGTGCTCTCATAAGTACTTACTCTTGCGATTACGGTAGGCTCCGAACTGCCTCATGGGCCGAAGCGGATAGTCAAAATTGAAAAGCACAACTGGGCGAGTAGAACACATACGAGAGCGAGTATAAAACCCACACCCCTAATCGGTTGAGAGATAACCTAAAGTGTGTCCCGTTTACTGATTATCGAGGCGGATTTGTGATATTTCGGATTGAGGGGATTTTTTTGTTTTCGTCGTAGGCTCCGAAAGGCCAAGTCATAACAAATCTCATCGCATATCTTGCGATAGCATGGTCTTGTTCGTCGCTTGGCACGTCGCTTACGAGTTTCGCCATTTGTTTCCTTGATCTTGTTTGGCGACGGACCTGCTTTTCTCACGGGGAATGGAGTGGGAGGTCGAAAGCGTGGGGGGTTGTTCTCCCAGCCCGGCGTACGGCCGTCGGTGAACCTACCTTTCCAGAGAGAGCCTGGTATCGGGACATACTGACGGAGCACTAGACGGCCAATGATAGACATGTCGCTGCTGTGATGGTGGACGTCTGCCGGTAAGGAAAAGGCCGCAGGGCCCCAATCTCTGCCTGCAAAGTGCCATGAGGCAGTGGATGGTGCAAGAGTGCCAAGATTCGGCTAGCAAGTGACTTCTGCAGGCTGCTTACCTTTCAGTATGGAGCAGATATCGGTATACGATTCCCTGGTATTGATATCTCATAGGAACATGAAGTTCAATACACGTGGGTGGTGTTGCTCCGGTGCTTCCGCCAGACACGGTGGTCATGCGAAGGTTGACAATCAAACATTTTGACCAATGTCCAAGATTTTGCTAAGCTTGTCCGGTGGCGGCGAGATCGTTCCGGTTGATCGTTCCGGTCAGTGTCTAGCGCACCGGCTTAGGCGCACTGGCTTAGGCGCACTAAGTAAGAGTCTCGGACTCCCCGACCTCTCTCTGGTACAAGGACTCTAAAGCACAATCAGATCGGATATTCTTTCTTTACAATCTTGTGTAAGGAGTAAGAAGAAGTCGAAGGTGTGTGAACAGCCCTTGATCGGCTTTTCTCTCTGAATGGGAAGCTCAGTTTCACGTGATATAGTCGACTGACTGCTCCTCTTCCTTCCCGTCCAATTGGAAGCAGTGCAAATTTACATACGCCAGGACCGCTACTGTACAATCCTGTCTTCACATGATGCGCAATCCACAAAGTCGGTCTGTGGAGATTATCCTTAGAATGTGACGTGCCCACTCGCACTCTGTGTGAAACTCGTTGCCGCCTCGCCGATCCAGCGTCTCCAGGACCATCATTACTGGTGCAACGGCGATTACTGGACCTAGACCGAGCATGTCTCGTTGTAGACAGTATTCGACGGATTGTAGAACATTCCGAGCAGGCGTCCTCACGTCGACTGTCGCGTGACTCCCATGTTCCCGACCTACGAGTACGTCCAGATCCCGCCGCGGTGGGTCAGGGGTAGTAATAGTAATAGTAGTAGTAGCAGTAGTCCTTCTTGAGCGTTCCACAATATCATCATCTCTTTCCAGGTCGAAAGACGTGCGCCGTTGCCGATGTCGATGTGGATGCCGATCTGGATTTGGATTTGGATCTTGTATTTGATTGCCCTCAGCACCACCACGGACATCAACAACAACGCCCGCTCCTCCTCCTCTACTCACACTCCGAAGCATGTCGCCGAGGGAAGATATTCCGGACCTAAGCATCGTCAATGTTGCCCAGTAAAACATCAAGATCTTCGCAGTTGTCAGGTCTGAAAACTCGTAGCATACGGACGATGCATCAGGAATCTTCAACCTAGACAACATGGGCCAATAGAACGGTCTCGTCTTGCCGTTGGAAAAGCCCTTGAAAAATTCGTCCATTCTCCTCTCTAGCTCGAGACATTGGCGAAGGACACGACGCGCGGTCGGTACGAGGTCGCCTACTTGTGACATGTTCTGCTGAAAGGTTTGAACCTGTCGAAAAATCGCTGGCGCCGACCCGAGTAGATCCATAACTCGATCAAGCCAGAGCTTAGGAGACCCTGACCAAGGAATAGAGAGCCAGTCGCGTTCAAGTAGGAAAGTATCGTGGGGCGGCTGCAGAGCGGCCAGAAGCTGTGTCCGTGTCCGTGAGTCACAATCGTCGAACACTACCACATAAAAGAACAAGAAACCATATATATATAGGGGGGAGGGGAAGGGGGCCACATCACTTACCCCTTCTATTCGGTACGTACGGAATATCGCATGGCCTGTTCCTGATGAATGTGCTTCGGGACCTCGGAATTTGATCAATCGCCCACAGCCTTGGTGGTGATAGATGTATGCCACTCGGGACGACGGTTCTGGACCTTCAACAATTTCGTAACTTGCCAAGAGCATACCAGCAGCAAGTACTCCGTCCTGCGCTGCCAATTCTGGCCTCGTGAGTGCCATTCGAAGTCCTCTTAAGCCATGGACGTAGTATCTGGTCGATGAAGAGACCATGGAAGAGTCTCCTGCTTTCCTGCCAAGCGCAGCCAGGCCTACTGCCAAAACCGCGTACTCGAGGCATACAGGCCAATTTTCGATGTGATAAAATAGTCTCAGCCATGGCAGATCGTGGGGTTGGAGAAAGTCGAAAGGAACCGTCGCATTGATATACGTCGCCAGTATCTGACGCCGATACACCGTGGCAGGTGACATTTGCACGGTGTTGAGAACTCGTTCTTCGTGGGTGGCGGCGGGCGACCGAGAAGATTCATAATGGAGTCTCTGATCATTCCGTACAACACCGTAGAACACATCATTGTCGATAGAGAGACGCTCTGATGTTGTTAGCGTTGTATCGGCGAGGCGGTGCCCTGCTGCTGCGTATGCAACGAAAACCACCTCTCGGTCGTACCCGAGGCACAGCCGCCGTGACTTTGAACATTGGCCGCAGACGGGTTTCTGACGATCACACTGTCGACATTGCACCATATGTCAGTCATCATCTGCAGCTTCGTACGTAAAAGTCGACAACGGCCCAGGGCTGGGCGACATACCGCAATCTTTCTCTTTCTACAAGTACGACATCCTTGCGAGCGTCCTGCGACATTGACCATGAAGTGCAATTACCTTTGAAAGTGGCGCGGCGGAATAGAGTTCTATTCAATGCCAGGCAGCAGAGAATTAAGAGGAGAGGAAGAAATCGTTTCAGAGTCGATATGGTAAGTATTAAGCTTGGGCCCGCCATTGGAGTTCGGCACTAAGCCAGATCCGGGGGCAATGGGCGAAGCGCTAAGCCACTTGTGGACAAATACTTCGTGCTTGTACATAATACTCCAAGAAGTCCAGGGATCAAAAGGTATATAAAGTCGCTCCTCTGAGCTCGTTTTTGTAGGGATGGCCATTGCAATATACATTGTGAAACAAAGCACTTCCTTAATTTACTGCTCTTTGACAAGACTCAGCATGGGCTCGAGATTTCAGCGCTTCGGCATTGCCCAGGCCGTCTTGTACGGCCTGATCATCTTTTTTCCAGGCTTCCTCTTGTTGAGAAACCGAGGGAAATTGAGAGCTGCATGGATTCTTCTCTCATCATTCTGCTCCAGTAAGTACAGGACCAATCGGTTGAATCAGCCAGATCTGGCTTCGAAGTAAGGGAGTGAAAGCTAATTGTTTAACCTAACTCTACTCTACTCTGCAGTCAGGCTATCTATGAGCATCTTAGAGATTCTATACGACAATTCTGATTCCAAAACGGGTCTACTGGTGGGAATCTCGGTGTTGTCAGCACTCGGATTGGGACCGCTATTGATTGCAATAACTTTCATACTGTGGCATATGTACGTACGGCCTGACCTGATCGAACCTCTCCGGGTAGTCTAGTCCATCACCCACTCGCAGAGAACGATAGACTGACGATTGGTGAATCTCTCGCTAGGATGTCCGAGTTGGTATCGTACCATTCACCCTGGAGTCGGTTGTTTCTGGCTGCTCGGCTCCTATTGGTTGTCGAAGTTGTCCTCCTCTGTGCTGGCGGAATCGTGAAAGGTTCCAGTACAGCCCACGCCAAAGTGGGAGAAGACCTGATTAAAGCGGGTTACGTGGTACTTGCTTGCAGTCTATCAACTCTTGTCTTCTTGGGATACATTGTATGGCGAGAGGGGCCCGCCCGAATGGTGGGAGGAAGAAAGGTGCGATGAACTGCGTGTTTAACGGATCGACCGGTCTCTGACTCTGTTGTATCTTATAGTACATGGTGGCGGTGACCATTGCAACTCCCCTCTTGACGATTCGTCTGGTCTACGGTTTCCTAGCCGTCTTTAACCCTACCTCGTCCACGTGGGCCGGCGTCGAAGGCAGCCTTGCCGCCTACACTCTCATGTCGCTCTTACCCGAATACATCTCAGCTGTTCTGCTGATTGGGGCGGGGCGGCTTGCCTTACGGGATGTCAGGGCCGAAAAAAGATCGGGTCGATCTGTGCGTCTCCATGAGAGGGCGCCTGCCGGACCTTAAAGGATCCACTGATGCAGGAGCTTACTCTTCTCGTTGTCAGAGGACGATCCTTTCGCAGGCAATGAAAGGAATGCGCGGAGATGTATTGTAGGTCAATGTTTGAAGGACGACAAACGATTCCTGATAGCTGAGGCAATTGCAGGTTATTCCTTGTTGGCATTACATCTGGGTCGACTACGCATCTCACACGACTCGGAATGAGCACTCCGAGAGATCCCCTCGGATCCTAATCTCTGGCATGGTGCGAGCAGAGATCAATCTGAAGCTGCTGACCGAGATTTACCGCTTTGAGTTTGAAATATCAGAGAATAATCTCAAGCAACTAGAAGCAAAGGAGCGATCTGCCGCTATATGTACATAACAGCATTCAAGCCAACGTAGCAGCCGGAAACAAGTATTACCGAACCCGCCGCTAGAAGCACACCTCGATTCACCCATATAACTAAATTAAAGCGATGTGCTACAGAATCCGCTTTCGACGATTCGGGCGATTCACAATCAAAACATTTTAACGAATGTCAAGATTTTGCTAAGCTTTTCCAGTGGCGGCGACACCATTCCAGTTACAGTCTAGCGCACCGACTTAGGCGCACTAAGGAAGAGTCTTGGGCTCCCCCGACATCTCTCTAGGCCTCGAATTGACGTTTCCAAGCGCCACCTCGACCCAGTTCTTCCTCGGATACCACCTCAAAATTGCATGCCGGTGACACTCTTCTCTTGAAGACTACTGAGGTCGGGGCCACTTGAGATGGGTCGACACGTTGTAACTGGAGGGGCCGCCGGGTCGAGAAGCCCTGATATGTGCGTTCAGTGCTCCATCAAGGGCCGCCAACCAAGGGATGCCATCTCCCATTAGAGAAGTTCTCCATTCACAGTCGAAAGAATTACGTGTACCGTTGCACTGGGTCTTCAGTCTCACGCGACAGCAACTCTCTTATCTTCGATGCTCCCTCGCCGAGTGCTTTCAGACCTTCTCACGGCTCTCGACGCCGCACCTCACCTACGTACCACTCGTAGCTCGTCTTCAAGATGGCTATCGACGAGGAAAAGGGCCAATTCCATGCTGCACCGCCCAAAAGTTCTGACGAGACGAGCGATGAATTCGCCGCCGAGTCCCCCGCGCCGGCGGAATTCTACGACAACACCGTCGTGCACCAGGACCGTGGCATCTTGGCTAGGCTTCGACAGCTCGAAGCTCGCATGGACGCAAAACTTGGCATTGAATCTGAAGCCATAGTCCGCAAGAGGCCCGAGGACAAGAGACCTGTCCCGTGGCACGAAGAGCTCACCATGGCCCTCCTCTGGGCCAGCGGGACCATGAACACGTCGTGCTTCGCAACGGGGTTCCTCGGCTGGGAATTCGGCCTGAGTCTGAAACAGTCTCTCTTGATCACCATCTTTGCCTCGATCCTCGGCGGTGCCGTCACTGGCTACTGCGCGACGTTTGGCGCAGCGACCGGCCTCCGCCAGATCTCAGTGAGCCGCTACAGCTTCGGATGGTGGCCGAACAAGCTCGTGGCGGCACTCAACGCGATCCAACAGCTTGGCTGGGCCGCCGTGGCATGCATCACGGGAGGCCTCGCCCTGACGGCCGTCGCCGACGGACACGTCTCGCTGGTGGTGGGGATCGTCATCATCGCTATCGTGTCGCTGGTCATCTCGTTTCTCGGGCTGAACGCGATCCTCGTCTATGAGCGCTACGCATGGCTGATCTACTTTGTCATCTTCATGATAATCTTCGGCGAGACGGGTCGGTACGCGGACAACACGACCCCATCGTCCTTGAAGGGCGCCACACTCTCCGGTACCGTCTTGTCGCTGCTCGCCATCGTCTACGGCTCCAGCTCGTCGTGGTGCACCATGGCGAGCGACTACTACGTGCACTACCCGGCCAAGGTGTCGCGGGTCAAGGTGTTCTTGATGACGACGTTTGGCATCGCCATCCCGACCTCCATAGGGATGATGGCCGGCTGTGTGGTGGCCAGCGCGCTGAACAACAAACCGCACTGGGCCGACGCGTACGGCAACCAAGGCCTCGGTTTCTTGATCCAGGACATGCTGTATCCTCGCGGCTTTGCAAAGTTCCTGCTCACCCTGCTCGTCTTGTCGGGCATCAACACCAACGTCATCAGCATCTACAGCGCCGCCATCTCGTGGCAACAGTTCTCGCGCCCCTTCGCGCGCCTCCCGCGCTTCGTCTGGACGTTTGTGTGTTTCGCCGCAATCATTGCCCTGGCCTTGGGCGGCCGGAAGAAGCTGAATACCTACCTGAGCGACTTCCTCAGTCTCTTGGGGTACTGGTGCACCAGTTACTTTGTCATCTTGCTGGAGGAGCATGTCATTTTCCGCAAGGGCGATTTTGCCAATTACGACCTCGAAGGGTGGAACGATCCCAGACGGCTTCCGCATGGGATCGCCGCCGCGGTCGCTTTCTGTCTGGGAGTTGTCGCCTGGTGCATGGGTATGAGCGAGACGTGGTTCGTTGGACCCCTGGCCAAGATCATTGGGGATTACGGCGGTGATGTCGCGAATGAATTCACCTTGGTCGTCACCGCGCTGAGCTATGCGCCTGCTCGCTATGCCGAGTTGAAGTACTTTGGAAAATGAGTGGTTGAGAAAAATCAAATGCCGACTTATCCGCCGTCAACATCCGCTATTCGTGCTCTGGTACTTGCGGAGGGTAGCACATGTTTTGTCACGGATTAAATCTACATGATTGAAAGGTGAAAACAAAGTCTTCGCGTAAGTAGGCTATATTTCACCGCTGCGAGGGATGTTCAGGATTGCAACTACGTATTGTGATGAGATAGTAAATTCAGCTCCGTCAAACTTTTCACTATCGTTTCATGAATTACTGCCCTCGGAACCACCATGATGATCATATCACCCTGGCTGTACTTTTAACCTCTCACGCAGTTCCATATTTGGTGAGTTGAGGTGCTCCAGGGGACGGCGGGAAGCTGAACTTGGTCTGAACAAACACCTTCTGCATACCCTTTTCACGGGCATCATACCGCTTATACACTTCCTCCAACTCGGCAAGGTCGACACGGTGACTCACCATGTGAAGAGGCTCGATTGTCCCATCTTGAATCTTCTTCAGCAGGTCTTCCCAGTAGCGGTGGACGGGAGCTTGGCCGTTGCCGATCAGGCGGATGCCTCGCTCCATCAAGGACCCGATGTTGAAGTGGTTCGTGAATCCAACATACACTCCCGTGATGCCGCAGCGACCAAAGTTCTTGACACTGGTAATCATCTCATTCACGATCTCAGACGTGTCGGTCTCCATACCAAGGAGGATTTCGAAATAGTGAGCCCAGCCCTTGGCATATTCGCCTGCCACACACTCCAACGCCACATCAGGGCCGCCGTGTTCCATCTTTTTCAATGTAGACACAATGGTTTCGCCCTTGGGTAGCTTGGTGAAGTCGATCGTTTCTACCTTTGGTACCTTGGACTTGACATATTCAAGACGCCATGCTCCGGCGCCTCCATCGATGAGGATGACGCGCCTCGCACCATTGATAAAGGACATTTCGGCGCACATTTGACCGATTGGGCCCGCACCCCAAATCGCGACGACATCTCCATCCTTGACACCGGTATCGACGACGCAATTCCAGGATGTGCTGAGCACGTCGGAGAGGTACAGGCCTTTCTCGTCCGGAACATCGTCGGGCAGTTTCAGGAGGTTGACGTCGCCATATGCAACTCGCACATACTCTGCTTGTCCACCGGCATAGCCGCCCGTAAAATGGGAGTATCCAAGAAAACCAGCGGTGCGACCGCCGTACATGATGTTCTCGATTGTGTTGTCGTTCGTCTTTTCACACATACTGCTGAGCTTCTGCTGGCAATACATGCAGCTGCCGCAGGCAATTTGGAAACTGCACACCACACGGTCGCCGGGCTTGACTTTCTTGATGCCAGGACCAACGCTGTCTACCACGCCGCAGAATTCGTGACCTAGGATGTCCCCCTTTTGCATCTCGATGATTGCGCCATGGAGCAGATGCAGATCTGATCCGCAAACAGTCGAGCCGGTAACTTTGACAATGACATCAGTGTTTTCGATTTTGGCGGGTTTGAACGTCTCGACTACTTTAACATCGTATTTGCCATTCCAAACGAGCGCCTTCATCTTCTCGCCAGAGGGATCGGCATATTTGGAGGGATCTTTCGCCGGATTGCTCAGATTTTGTTCTGTCGTGGCCTCACCGCCATGGCCAATGATCTTCTCCACTACAGCTGCTGCTTGGGAAAGAGCCATTGTGAAGTTGGAGGTTTAGAGCGAGGGCTATGAGGTTATGATGCTTTGATGCTAGAAAGGTTGTTTCGATTTCAAGGACCGAGGGGAGGGATAATTCGCGAGGACAACGGAATGGAAGTTTCTCCTGCCTGAATATATGCCCACCTTTGTTTTCCTTGCGGATTCCATCTCCCGAACGGCACTCCCTGCGAGACTAGCACTTGAGGTTACGACCGATTCATCATGACATCATGTGAAAAAGAGGCGATGGAAGTGCGCCATGACGGACATTCGTCGTCGTGCATCTCGCGTATCATGTCGTGAGGTCACATCTTTGGAGATTAATTCCGGCCTCTGAAAGGCTTCAAGTGTCATTATTGCAGAAGATGCGGCAGAGAATTTCAACATCCTTGGAGTTTAGCATTTGAGCTGTATGTGGTTAGTCTGTGCTTCGTCGTGCATTGAGAAGGCATCCAAAGGAGCGGCTGTCCCTACGAGTCCTCGTGAACTCGTAAACCAAGCCGTAGCGACATCGAGGCGGATAAGCCCTTGGTTGTTCACTTGAAACGGTGTGAATAAGATAAGGGAACAGATACAACTTCCTTCATTGTGATGTTGTGGTGTTTAAAGCCAACCGAGGCACAAGATATACTAATACGAATGCGAATACGAATGCGAATACGAATGCACGTGACCTAGCCTTGTTTAGCTCAGCCTTGTGCCGACCCGCCCCAAATGTTTCAGGCTTGCGACGCCTCGCTCTCCGCATCAACAAAGCCCACCGCAGTTTGATCGAGCATACGTAGACTCCCGCACCCATTTAATACCTCGATATTCTTACCAGGACGATCTTGACAACTACATCATTCAGCCAACCCTACCTTCTTCGCTTCACAGTACACCCGGAAGCTATCCGCCCCGTTTGTCCCTTCTGTCCCTTTCCTTCACCGTCAGATATCGACCCTAGATCTCGCCGCAGTCATCAAGAAGCAAATACCCGGTCAACCCGCGACACTACCGTTGTACACATCATCCATCGTCAGAGAAAAAAAGACACAGCCCGCCGAACGACTCGCTCCAGCCATGTCGTGTTCGCAGTGATACCAAGTATTCGATGGTGCCTGGAAGCCTGCTGCTTGATGCTGCCACTCCCCACCTTGAGAGACTATGACCGACAACCATGGCCGAACCAACATACAAAGGCACAGATGCCGCCCCTATAAAGCCGGTATCATCACTACGGTCGCATTTTGAGGGCCTCAAGGTCAACCTAGCTCCACATGATGACCGGGGCAGTACCCCTTCCTCTCCGCAGCCGTTGCGGCCGGTCGATGGGCAGTCACCAGTCCCAATGATTAGGAAATCCTTTGACATGGTGCGGCCAACGTCGCCATGGGCGACTGGAGCAAACATCGACCGTCAAGGCTCGGCCACTCCTTCCAGAGGAGATGAGTCTCCCCCCAGGCCTGTCTATAAACGGCCCATGTCAATGTTGGTCCAGTCTTCTCCCCAGCTCACACCGTCTGTTAAAGTCGACTCTCCCCGATCACCCCCTCGCACCTTCTTCGAGAGAAGCGTTTCACGGTCTCCGGAGCGAGTTGACAACACGCCCTTTGGCAAAGTTCGGGAACTCATATCCCAGCACTCGAGCCGAAATTCTTCTCGGCCTCCTTCACCTCGAGCATCGAGTCCTGAGCATCAGGAAGTTTTGAATGCCGGTAGCAGGGAGCAAAAGGGGGCTGACAGACCATTGTCGAAGTCTCCAGGCAGGGCACCGCCGGTGAACAGAGCCGATAAACCCAAAGTGCCGGCCAAGCCAAACATCATACCAGTCCCAGTCGAACCACCTCCCGGAAATGCATTGAACCCCGAGGCGCGTAAGCCGTCCTTCGAGGCACGTGTATCACCATTCAGCACACCTCCCAGCAGTGATGAAAGCTCCCCTTCAAGGACTCCTGACCTGAATATTCCCACCGCAGCCTTTAGACCTGTGGCCGCCGCATCTACGGCGGGTAGGAACGCAGGTCCGCCGCTCCCTGAACCCGTCGAGCGACCTAGGGATGCACGAATCATGGGGTTTGCTTCGAAAACACCAGCCGCTGATAGGAAGGATCCTCGGACTCTTGGATTTGGATATTCAGAATCACAATCGCATCCTGTCCAGGCACCCACTGGCTTGCCTTCTCGAGCAAATACAGTCTCGGAAAAACCTTCACGAGACCCACGGGACTTTGGCTTCGTTGCGAAGCCAGCCCCCCGACATGTGTCTGAAACAATAAGAGCTAGCCCTTCTCCTCCAGTTCACTCCCTGCCACCTGTCCGCGCTCCGCCTTCAAGGGATGCTAGGCAATTTGGATTCTCTAGTCGCCCTCAATCTGAAGTCGACACCATTGAGGAAGAGCAACGGCCAGGACTTCCCCCTAGGCGAAATATTGAACCTCCTCCTCGGCCATCAAATGAGTCCAAAAACCCACCAAGATCGACAGCTACTCCGAGTCAGACAACGACACCAGATAGATTTAAGAAACCATTTCCAACACAGCAACTGTCGAGAGCTCCCACAGCTCCAGTAGACATGCGCTTTCCGCCTCCTCCGAAACGTGGCAGCGTTGATAGCGTTGAACCTTCTATTTCAGCTTCGCCATTAAGATCGCAGATGCTTAATGGGACGTCTCCTAGCCGACCCGGCGGACGGGTTTATGGCAGTGACTCAGATGAAGCGGAAGGACATGTCGAAGAACCTTTAACCATCAGATCAGAATATCCTGATGCCACTCACACCAACCGTCGACCTCCCTACTGTAAAGGAGCAGTGTGGGAAATCGCCACGAAGTCTGATGCGCGAACAATGGAGGTCTGTGGCCAACACCTTTGCACGACTGGTTACACAACTCGTGTCTTTGACATGACTTCTGGGGAACAGATAATGAGCATTAGTCATGGCGAGACGGTCAAGGTAACTGCGCTCGCATTTAAGCCCGCCACGGACTTGTCTGGTGAGGGAGCCAAAATATGGTTGGGAACGATTACGGGGGAATTGATGGAGGTGGAAATCGCCACTTATACCATCAAAATCACCAACTCCGACCATAACCGTCGAGAAATTGTTCGCATTCTACGAAGTCGGGGAGACTTGTGGACTCTTGACGACGATGGCAAGCTCTTCGTTTGGAAAGCAGATGAGACAGGTATCCCGAATATGAAGTACAGCCATATATCTCATAAGGTTCAGAAGGGCCATACATTTTCTATGGCTATTGATGGTTTGCTATGGCTTGCCACGGGCAAAGAAATTCGCGTCTACGAGCCTGGGGATGAAATGACATTTACTGCATTGACAAAGCCTCTGTCACAACATGGCACAGGAGATGTAACTTGCGGAACTCATTCAACAGAGGCTGGTGGTAGAGCATATTTTGGTCACAACGATGGACGAGTGACCATTTACTCTACCAGAGACTTTTCGTTTATTGGAAATGTCAAAGCCAGTGACTACAAGATCAATAGCATGTCCTTTGTGGGAGACAAGCTGTGGGCGGCGTTCAAGACTGGCATGGTCTATGTATACGATACTTCGACGTCACCTTGGAAGGTGAACAAGGACTGGCGAGCGCACAACGGCCCCGCACATGAGCTTCTGCTCGATCCACGTAGCGTATGGACTCTACAACGACTTCAAGTCGTCACAATCGGTCACGACAACTTTGTCCGACTTTGGGACGCTGCGCTCGAAGAAGACTGGATAGAGTCCGAGATGCAAAAGCGCGACGTCGAATACTGCACCTTCCGAGAAATTCGAGCTGCGGTGGTGACATGGAATGTGGGTGCCTCCTCTCCATACTACCTGAAGAAAGATTTCATCGCGGATGCCATACATGCAGAGGACCCACCTGAGATTCTAGTATTTGGCTTTCAAGAAGTGGTAGACTTGGAAGATCGTGCTGTGACAGCCAAAAGCATTCTAGGCTTTGGAAAGAAGAAGGATACTGTCAAGAACGAACAGTATCAGAGTCGCGTCTACCGCGAATGGCGTGACCACCTGACCTCTGCCATTAGTCGGTATACCGGCGCACATTACGCTTACTCAGAACTGCACACCTCGAGCTTGATTGGGCTGTTCCAATGCGTCTTCATCCGGCAAGAGGAACGTAAGAACGTTCGAAACCTGCAAGCTGCCAGCGTCAAGCTCGGCTTGAAAGGTCGTTACGGCAACAAAGGAGCATTAATCACACGCTTCACGATGGACGATAGCTCTGTATGCTTCATCAACTGCCATCTTGCGGCCGGCCAGACTCACACTTCGCATCGCAACAATGACGTGGCGACAATTCTCGAGGCCGAGGCGCTGGATCCCGAAGCGGATCCCGATTGCCGCAGCTCCTTGTACGTTGGCGGTGGTGACGGCAGTCAGATCCTCGACCACGAGATCTGCATCCTCAATGGGGATTTGAACTACCGCATCGACACGATCCCCCGCGATACGGTAATCAGCATGGTCAAACGCAACGAACTCGCCAAACTTCTCGAACGGGATCAAATCATGGTGTCGCGCCGTCGCGTGTCTGGGTTCAGATTGTCACAATTCACAGAGCTCCCCATCACGTTTGCACCGACGTACAAATACGACGTGGGGACCGACAACTACGACACGTCGGAGAAGAAGCGCGCTCCCGCGTGGTGCGATCGACTCCTGTACCGCGGCCCCGGGCGGGTGAAGCAGATCGAGTACCGTCGCCATGAGGTGCATGCGAGCGACCACCGACCTGTCAGCGGGGTGTTCAAGTTGCGACTCAAGACGATCGACGCGCGCAAACGGGCGAGGGTCAAGGAGGACTGTTTGAACAAGTTTGTCGATATCCGGCGTCGCATGGCCGAGAAGGAGAGTATCGAGTACCTCGTTTCGACCCTGGGGGTGGCCGAGGCCGAGGCAAAGAGGTTAATTACTGCGAAATAGGTAGTCGCATGAATATTCCCTAGGTAGCTGAGGTAGATAGGTACCTCCCTACCTGCGGAAGTAGAGATGATCTAGTCTGGTCCTACCTAAAGTACCTTGGCGCATTTGTCCTCAAAAGGTTCCATAATGGTTTCGGGGATGATGAGAAAATGACATTGGAGCGAATAGAACAAGGTACTTTTGTCTCGTTTGTTGTTCCTCTTCAAATGTGATGGTCATTCTCATTTCATAGGCCCTGCCATGCCGTGTGAAGTGATGGCGAGGGGGTAGACATGCTGTCGAGCGCAGCACCAAGGATCCCCAAGTAACTAAAGAAAACATGGGATGCATCCGCATCGTCAGGCCCAGGTGGACCCGTTCTTAGAAGTCGCCGCCGCCACCATCGTCGCCACCATAGTCACCGCCGTCGTCACCGCCACCGCCATCGCCACCGTCGATGGCCTCGCCGAGAAGCATACCACCCAGCAGACCGCCGCCGAGACCGAGCGCCGCTGCACCGCCGGCACCAATGCCGCCGCTGCGCCGAGGAGGGGCTTGCTGCACGTACTGTGGCTGCCCGTAGCCGTATCCTCCTCCTGGTGGTCCGTAGCCGCCGCCCCCATACCCTCCGTACCCTCCTGGGGCTCCGTAGCCTCCTCCTGGAGGACCGCCGCCGTAACCTCCTGGCCCGCCATAGCCGGGTCCTTGAGGCGGGTATCCCTGCTGATAGCCCGCGGGTTGGGGCGGGTAACCGCTTCCAGGCGGTGCATGCTGGGGGTAAGGCGAATTCGAGCCAGAGCCTCCCCCCGGTTTACCCATCAGCTTGGAAAAGAAGCCTCTCTTGCCGCCAGCACCAGCGCCTCCCGCTCCTGGCGACGTGGGACTCGGACCGCCGGGGTACCCGCCCTGTAGACCTGGAGGGTTCGGGCTGTGTCCGCCGCCGCTGCCGCCCTGGTTGTAGTAGCTGTCGGACTGTCCGCGAGTGTTCTCCTCGGCCTGCAGACGCCGCGCGTACTCTTCGTCCGTCTCATGGCCTTGTTTGTAGGGGTTGTTGGACTCGAACGAGCGGCGCTTGACGTCGGACACGTTGTGGCTGCCTGGGCCGGCCGAGTAGGATGGAGGAGGAGCCCCGGGTGGTGCGTCGTCGTCCACCGGAGGTCGTGCAGGCTCGGTAGGCTTGTCCCATGTTGATTTCTTGGTGTAAGTGTTGACGTAGAACCTGAGCCATTGGACGGAAGTATGTCAGCAATGGGGATTTCCAGGTGCCCTGCTATGAGATGGACGGCAGAGAAAAGAGGATGGAAAGGAAAGAAACGTACCATGTCTGATACTGGTCGTTGAAGACGGCTTTCCAGCCTTCAGGGACCTTTGGGGGAGGTGGTCCAGGAGGCGGTGCGAAGTCTGCCATCAGAGTGCAACGGAGGTTGCTCTTTGAGATCGACGAAGATCAGTAGTGGAGTTCGTCGAGTGAAGCAAAGCAAGACAGCACGCCAGACAAAAAGGAAAAGGAAAACAAAGAATAGAGACACCGATACGGAGGGATGCGTTGGACGAGAATAAGATCTCGGGTGGTAGTGAAAGACGAAACAGGCGCCCCTTGTATCGTGTGTCGGGCGTTGAGGCAGCCTGGGCAACAAATGGCTGACGAAATCGCTACAAAGCGCTCCGGGCTTAGTTTAGTGAGGCTATGGCGAGATGCGCATGGAGATGGCGATTGCGATAACGGATGGATGATGCGAGGTGGCGGCGGAGGAGGAGGAGGAGGATTGATGACAGTGGCGAGGATGGAGGGGTACATACGAGTACACAAGGAACATTGAGCCAGGCTTCTAACTACCGGAACTAGGCTGATAGGCTTGTCGGGGTGCGGGTTTAACTGGCTTATAGGTGATTCCGGTTATTGCATCGGTACCCCGCTATCCCTGGCAGGTCCCTAGCAGGTGCCTAGCCGATGCCCACTGGCTTGTTCCACACCCTAACGGGCGCCTAAGAAGCCTTAGAACGGCAAAGATTGAGGCTGTGCAGTTCGACTCCGGCCCTCTTTTTCTCTGGGCGCCAATGTCAGTTGCGTTGACGAAGGCTTTTCTTCATCATTTGCCAACCATTCTCCCTCGCTTCGACGATGGTATGAATTTATTTTATAACTCTATTGTGTGTCTCGTTGGCGTGGGTCATGCTAAGACGAACCTATGGAGCACCCGATTCCAAGGGTCATTCTTGAATATCACCACCATGATACCACAACAACCACCACACATACATACGACGGGGTAGCTATCATCGTGGCTATAAGAAGACCACACCGTTGGCTTTCTAAGAAAGTCTGCTCTGCATTTGTCACACGTCGCAGCCCATGGCCTGCGTATCGGCATATACTTGTCGTCCAACTCAATCACTGACCTCGGCGTAGTTTCAGCCTCGTTGGGTTCGGTTCTGTACAACGACTGAACATTTCTTTACGGTAGAGTTCAATATCAGCATCGCTTCTACATGAGATTCCATCGCCGCCGACCAGGCTGTATGTATCTAGCCTACTCTCCCCTGGCTTAAGTCCATCGCGCAGACTCAATACAACGGCATTGTTCCTTCAGTCGTACGGAAAGCGTTCTCCATGATCTCCAGGCCCTCATCCAGTTGCTTTTCAGTGAGTACGATCGGTGGCGCTATTCTGAAAACGCCGCCGAAGCTGGAATGGCTGCTCAAATTCGCCCAGAGTCCCAGCTGGTACATCTTGTCAGCAATCCTGCTCGCGAGCTCAAGGGCCGGCGCCTTGGTCTCGCGGTCTCCCACAATTTCCAACCCGGCCATCAACCCTCTCCCTCGGACGTCGCCCACGCACCCGTAGCGGTCCTTGAGCTTCTGCAACCCGGCCTGTAACCTCAGCCCCAGAGTGCGGGAATGCTCCACGAGACCGTCCCTGACCACGATCTCCAAGATCTTGTCTCCCACGGCTGCGGGCAAGGGATCATTCACGTGGGTGGTGTAGAAGCAGTAGTCTCTCTCTGTACAAACACGTTCAATCTCAGAGCTAGTGACGACTGCGCTCAAAGGTAAGCCATTGCCCAGGGTCTTACTGAGGGTCAGGATGTCGGGGACGACGCCTTCATGGTCGATCGCAAAGAGGTCTCCGCAGCGCCCGACACCAGTCTGTGCCTCGTCGACGATGAGCAGCATGCCTCGCTTCTCGCAGTGCTTCTTCAAGGCTTTCAAGTACCCCGGCGGGAGCACGTGCATACCAGCCGAGGACTGAATGCACTCGACAATGCATGCAGCCAGCGATCCGCAAGACGCACGATCAATCAGATCCCAGCCATAGTTGAGTTCAGTCTCCCAGTCATACGAGCCGTCGGGGTTGCGGAAAATGGATCGGTAGGCATTTGGCGGGGGTAGCATGTGCATCCCCGGCATCATAGGACCTTGTCCTTTGCGTCCATAATGGTATTGTGTCCCCAAGGCCTGAGCGGTAACACCGTGCCAGCTTGCACCCAAGCCGACTATTTCGAATTTGCCAGTGTAGACCTTGGCCATCTTGATGGCGGCTTCGTTGGACTCACCCCCTGTCGACAGGAAGAAGGCCTTGTCGAGACCGTGAGGCAGGACGGACGTCAGCCTCTTGGCCAGATTTATCACGGGTGGCGACAGCATTCCCGAGAAGAGATGGTCGAGACTCTCGGCATGGTCGTGGATCGTAGACACAATTTCCGGGTGTCCATGTCCGATCAAGCATGACATCTGACCCGAGGTCCAGTCAAGGACCTTGTGGCCGTTGGCAGTGTAGACGTACAACCCCCTGCTACCGACCACGATGTCTTTCTCAAACTTGGTCCCGTAGTTGGCTAGACAATTGGACGCCGCGGCCTGAAGTCCCTCTTCATCTACATTGGAGTACAGCGTGGGTTTGCCGACGGGGTTGCTGCTGGCTGTGGTGGTGCCGTGAGAGACACTGTCCTCAATCATAGGCGCCATGGTAGTACGTATATTAGATATATGACCTGCGTGCCTTTGACAAGAATGCTTAGTCGACGGACACGCAGAACTACAAGCATGACGAGTCCCTTGGCCGGGGACTCGACCTGGAAAGATATAGATAACCATTTCGGATTGACCGTCGGGAAATTCGGCATCTGATAGGACAGGGCTTAGCTTTCGGAGTATCCCTTATATCCAACGTCAAGCAAGGAGAGCTTCACATTCGTGAGAGCATTGTGCTTTATCATGAAGGTCGAAATGTGATTAGATACTTTCTATGAGCCGATGGAGATCATGTAACCTTGAGCTTTGTGCTTTTATATCCAGCTGCAAAGCCACACTTGAATGTATATCTATTGTGATGCTTATCAGTCAGTCGGCGTGGACTGTAGACTTACATATATCGTCCTTGAATTAACCGGCCACACAATACTCACGAATATTGATGCCAAAATTAGGATTCAAAGTACTGTAGAGAGAATGATCGTTATAGGACTCGAACCTATTCCTCCATTGGGGGCGCCAGGTGCTTGGATATCACACACACGATCTGGAAAAAAAGCTATTCGCAAGCCTGAAGGCGCACAGCTATTCGCAAGCCCTAGATAGAGCGCAAAGCTATTCGCAAGCCCGAAGGCGTAAAGCTATTCGCAAGCCCGAAGGCGGAAAAGTCTGACGATGCCTTGCGGCGGCCAGTGCCCGAAGGCAAATTGCTATTCGCAAGCCCGGAGGCGTAAAGCTGTTCGCAAGCCCGAAGGCGGAAAAGACTGATGATGCCTTGCGGCTGTCAACAGACAAAGAGGTAGCAAAAGAGGAAGGCCGTTCTTTCACTTTTTTTGTTGTTTTCCTGGGTTGCTAGGAGATGAAATTTTGGTAGACTAGCAGATGATGGCTGCCCGTTTCATTCGTCTATTTGGAAACTGGAGTGGGTGTCCGCAGAGGTTGTCGTTCAATAGTCAGTCCCTACATCGCCACCCCAATCAAGATCATCGTCATTCTGTGTGTGATCGTCGTCCGCCATAGCAGCAGTAGGAGCAGCGGAAGCCGGAACCATCGAGGCTGCAGGATTCGGTGGTGTCGCAGTCGTGGCAAGCGGACCAGAGACGGTTGGAGTAGCCACAGCGGGGGTTTGAGCTGTAAAGGCTGATGTATTAGATGTCGTGGGAGCCATGGCGGTGGGAGCAGGACGGTAGCCCTGTTCTTCTTGTCAGCGACGTACGACAGGCAGACATCCTCACGAGTGAATGCTTACACGATCGGCCTGATGAGCTTTGACGACCCGGCCAAAGATCTTCTTTTTGTTCCAGGCTGCCACAGCACGCGAGAGGTCAGGCCGAGTGGCGAACATGACGAAGCACCAGCCCCGATGTGGTCTATTTCCAGGATTTGCAGGAGGATAAGGTGCCCAGTGAAATGAGGTAGGTGTGATGTCGGCAGGAAGCAGTCTTTTCAAAGCCTCCTCGATTTGAGCCGGTGAATGTCGGAAGCTGAGGTCACCAAGATGGGCGAGTCGGCGGTTTCTTCTGGCGGCATCAACACTTGGACCGAAGTCGTAGTGCCCGGCAGATCTTCCGTTGGGAGGAGGCATTCTACTCAACCTGTTAGATTCTGTATCGGTCACCACGAGGAGAGCTCTAAGACATAGCTGAGAGCAATAGCATACTTGGAGGTGAGATTGTTGTTGTTGTTCTTGTTGCTGATCTTTCTGGGTGTTGGTGTTGTTGTTGTTGTTGTTGTTGTTGTGGCTGTTTTGAACGCGGTGTTTGACTGTTGGGTGAGAGAAGGAAATATTTGACCGCGAAGCACGAAACTGAGTGTGAAATAGAAATGCCACACGCGTGGAACTCACCGCCCTACAGAGTCCGGTGACTGTGTCCTCCTTTGAGCTCGCCAAGCCTTGGACTTTCCCTTCTGTTGTCACTCCTGTACCAGCAACGATCTATTGCGTGGATGGCATCACGGCGAGAGCCCGTAGCTTCATCCTGCGTCTACTAATCTATCTGGAGGATTGCCAATTTGGCTTTAGGGCTCTGCTGGCATCCTAGCAATGATGGCCCCAGGGCGTATCAAGATCTCACAACAACATGGATCATACCTGTAGTTGAGTACTAAAACTGAAGTCAAAACTTGCAATTAGTTACAGAGAGGTGCGCCAGTGAATACGCGAGTGAGCCCAGGCAGCGGGGAGTGATAGACACTAGTCCCAATTGGGTTGTTAGAGATCAAATGCGTGACAGGATGAATAGTAGGTACCTGGCGCAGGCGAAGATCGAGCGGTTTGATGTTGAATCTTGATGCTCGGACCCAGTTGCTGGAGCGAAGTCTTCGTCCCGAGCGTAAATGAAGATAACTTCCTAGGATCTTAGATTAGGTGATTGTCACTCTTGAAGACTAGAGACATAGTCGGAAAGCTGGAGACTTCAAAAGTGGCTTCTGGTCTGTGTCTCTCGCATCCCCATCATAAATGATGGACGATCGTTTCGAAAAAGGCTAGAACGGAAAAGGTAAGATTCAGAGCCTTGTGGCCCAGTTCTATCAAATAACGTGCTGGTGTTTCACGGCACGGCCCGACCCGACCATGCAACACAAACGCATCATACGCTCTGGTTACCATCCGTATCCTTACTACGCTTTTTGGGACCTTTCGAGTAGACTAGTAGTACTTTGCATAGCTAGGTAGGTACCAATGTAATAGATAGACCAGCGAAGAACATTCCAGCCAGACTCGTGACACACGCGGCATACGGCTGGTAGGTGGACTGCTAGGAAAGCATTGGTCCAGCACCCGTCCCCACCTCTGGTGGACTAGAGAGTCGTACGAATGACAGCTTATCGAGTTGATTCGGATTCGAGTACTTGCTGGCTTTAATGCTTTGATTAGTGATCAAGGGCTCTAGCCATAGGCTGAATGTCTTGAGTATCAAGGGCGGTGACCATAGCCTTGCGAGATGTGAGCGCTTGGTCGACCTTGCGCCAAGCGGTGTAGGTGAATGAAGGCACAAACAAGAGTGGTGACCAGGAATTTCGCAAGTGAGATTTCAAATTTTCATCCATCTGAGATCCCTTGATAGACTATTCCAAAGCCCTCTCAGCCTCTACACTCTTTCAATACCCCAACCCACTCTCACCATTGATCCGAACAACAAGGACTCAATGGATTCGATCGCACGCAATCAGCTTACCGCGGCCGACATTCGGCGTCTGGAGGATGGGCCCCAGAATCCTCTTACAGACAAGCCCTGGCCTTCAAACCACCAGGAAATTCTCAATACGCGCCGCAGGTTGCCAGTCTATGGCAAATACGAAGAAATCCTGGGCGTCTACCATCAATCCCAGGTGATGATCCTGTCGAGCGACACGGGATCCGGCAAGTCCACGCAGGTCCCGCAGTTGCTCGTTTATGACGAGTGGGCCAGCGGTCTCCAAGTCGCCTGTACACAGCCACGTCGCCTAGCTGCCAGAGAGCTAGCCGATCGTGTTGCTGATGAGATGGGCGTGATCTATGGCGAAGAAGTGGGCTCGCATGTGCGCTTCGAGCCTAAGACTGGAAAGAAGACGCGGTTGGTCTACATGACCGAAGGAATTCTCCTTCGCAAGGCAATTGGCACCGACAAAAATCTAAAGGATTTTGCGTGTGTGATAATCGATGAGGCGCATGAGCGGACGGCCAATACCGACTTGCTCCTTGCCTTGCTCAAGGGTATCGTGGCCCGTCGTCAAGACTTCCGGGTACGCAAACAGCTGCTAAGTTTTGTATCTGCTCGTACTAATCCTTCTCACCGTCAGGTCATTATCATGTCAGCCACAATCGACGCCGACGAATTCAAGCGGTACTTTAACGACTGCCCTCTCCTCCATGTCCCTGGCCGAAGCTACGACGTCGAGCAACATTATCTGGAGCTTGGGAATGAGCAACCAGACTGCATAGTCTCGTGCGCGCGGTCGGCCGCGCAGATACATCACGAAGACGGTCCAGGTGACATTCTCATCTTCATGCCCGGCGAGGACGAAATCGCAGGCGTATGTGAAATTCTTCGCCTGAACACCACCAACCTCACTGTGTTCCCTCTTCACTCTAGCCTCCCCCAAGCAATGCAGAAGCAAGCGCTGGAGGAATGTCAAACTCGGAAGTGTATAGTCGCCACCAACATCGCCGAGACAAGCCTAACAATTGACGGCATTGTCTATGTTATCGACTCTGGCCTCTCTAGACAGGAAGTGTATAATCCGCGTCTGCAAATGCATATGCTTCAAGTTCGGACTATCTCACAAGCATCTGCACGGCAGCGGGCCGGCCGCGCCGGCCGAACGCAGAAAGGCGTCTGCTTCAGAGTTTACACCCAGGCCGCGTTCGATAACTTTATACCGTCCACACGACCCGGGATTCTTTGCCAACAACTGGAATCGACTATCCTGACTCTCGCAGCTGCTGGTCACAGCAAGGTCATGGACTTTGACTGGATCTCCCCGCCTCATCCCGAGTCGGTCTCTCGTGCTGCCTATAACCTCCACAAATGGTATGTTGATACAAACCAAGTCCTGTGCGCGCACTGAACTCACACAAGTCATTATAGGGAATTTTTAAGTGTTGATGGTGCTCTCACTCCTTCTGGTATCCACGCTGCGAAGTGTCCACTGGACCCAATGTGGTACCGCGCCCTCGTAGTTGCTACTGCTCATGGCTGCACCATGGATATCTTGGATCTTGCGTCCATCTCCTCTGTACAGGGCTCAATTTTCACACGTCCGAAGAAGTTCCAGCAGGTCGCAGACATAAGGAAAAACAAATGGGCCCATCCATCCTCCGACCATCTAGCTTTACTGAATGCTTTCCATGCTTTTGAGAATGCATGGGAAGAGAGAAACAACCCTGGAGTGGACCTTGACAAATGGTGTTTCGACAATTTCCTGAATCGCCGTGTCCTCGAAGAAGTTGCGCAGATTCGTAAGGACCTCATCGGATTTCTTCGGCTAGTCAAAATGAAGCCAACACGAGCAAGCATAACGAACTCAGTCAGTATCCGCAAGACACTAGCCATTGCATTTTGCACGCATCTCGCCATCCTATTCAAAAACGACGAATATCGGACCGTCCCTGGCAACTCCCCCGGACTTCTTGAGCCTACCAGCGGTCTCAACGGCAGAGGATCGCAGTGGATCGTCTTCAGCACGTACCGTCTTTCTGGCGTCAAACCGTATTTTCAACCTGCAACCGCAATTGATCCAGAATGGCTCGTGGTAAGTTTTCTCTGCATTTCCTCGTTCATAATTAATAATCGGCTAGGAACAGCACATATTCAAAACTGAGGACCTTCCTAAGAAAGGGGATGGTACATTTAGACAACAGTGGGCCAAGGAGTCTCTGGACAAGGCAGGCGCACGCGCGCAAGCAGATTAGATGCACTTCCGTGTCCTTCGACTTCAATGAAGCAACCCGATGTTCAGATACCTGACAACTTCAGGTTGGCATATCTCCCATCCCTACTTTGACAGCCGCAAGGCATCGTCAGACTTTTCCGCCTTCGGGCTTGCGAACAGCTTTACGCCTCCGGGCTTGCGAATAGCATTTGCCTTCGGGCACTGGCCGCCGCAAGGCATCGTCAGAACTTTCCGCCTTCGGGCTTGCGAATAGCTTTGCGCTCTATCTAGGGCTTGCGAATAGCTGTGCGCCTTCAGGCTTGCGAATAGCTTTGCGCCTTCGGGCTTGCGAATAGCTGTGCGCTCTATCTAGGGCTTGCGAATAGCTTTGCGCTCTATCTAGGGCTTGCGAATAGCCTTGCGCCTCCGGGCTTGCGAATAGCTTTTTTTTCCAGATCGTGTGTGCGATATCCAAGCACCTGGCGCCCCCAATGGAGGAATAGGTTCGAGTCCTATAACGATCATTCTCTCTACACTACTCCTGATGAATCAGGATAGATCTTCAGAATCCTCTTACCAACTGCCCCTAACAATATAGCCACCAAGAGATCCTCAACGCCCGTCGCACGCTGCCAGTCCATGGCAAGTATGACTAGATCCTAGACACTTATAGCCAATCACAGCTAATGATCCTGTTGAGCGACACTGGATCTGGAAAGCCGACACAAGTCTCGCAGCTACTTGTTTATGATGAGTGGTACTCGGGTAGCAATCTCCAAGTCGCGTGTACATGGGCACATCGCCTGGTAGCCAACAAGCTAGGGGAGAGTGTTGCTAATGAGATGGACGGTGTCCATTGGTGAAGAAGTGGGATCACATGTCTACTTCGAGCCCATGGCTGGGAAGAAGCAAGCTCGTCTGGTGTATACGACCGAAGGGACTCCGATGAAGAAGATACTGGTGGTATCATTAGGGCCACTAGTATTGCTGAGAACTCAAAGATTCAAATAGAACAAAGCGAAGAATAAAGATTCTGCTATTGAAGGGGAAGCTCATGACGACAAAACTAAGATGCACTCAGTGGGTCAGCAACACATCACCAGCTTATGTAGGTACCGAGACTTGAGTAACTCAAACCCCTATAAAGTTTTGAATACATTCAAAATTTGATGATAACTCAACGAGTTCAAGCTCTATAATACCTATTAATAGTAGTGAATAGTCCTCGCGGAGATTACTCAACATACCTAGATATTCCATCTTTGATTTTAGTCTTTTTCGAAAGTAATAATCGTGGAAGGATTCGAACCAACTTCCCAAAGGACACCAGGTGCTTTCAATCCGCACCACACGATTTGAAAAGGGATGCTATTCGCAAGCCCGAAGGCGCAAGGCTATTCGCAAGCCCTAGATAGAGCGCAAAGCTATTCGCAAGCCCTAGATAGAGCGCAAAGCTATTCGCAAGCCCGAAGGCGGAAAGTTCTGACGATGCCTTGCGGCGGCCAGTGCCCGAAGGCAAACTGCTATTCGCAAGCCCGAAGGCGGAAAAGTCTGACGAGGCCTTGCGGCTGCCAGTGCCCGAAGGCGAAGAGAGGTGACCAAGCCTTGCGGCTGTCAGTGCCCGAAGGCATTCTCATGCTGTATCGTTTGCATCGACGAGTGTATATCCTCGATTGATGAGCTCATCCGCAGCAACTCCATTGCACCAATTTACCATGGCTCCATTCAGTGGTGCGTATTTAAAAAATCCCAAAACATTTCCGTCTTCATCCCAAATAGCACTGCCACACATTCCTGCAGGAAGGTTGGTTCCTGAGTCCTCGCCCATGTAGTACCAAGTTGTGGAGACCCACTTGAGCTTTGGTAAACCTTCGTCTACAGGGATTGCCTTGTATGATGGAGCCATGTATTGGCCGTCAATGAAGCCGGTATCAGGTGAATCAAGGTGTATGATACTCTGCCGTTGGTATTCTTCACATCGAACAAATTTCTTAAGCTGAACAGGCTCCGGTGTCAAGTCGTTTTGGAACGTGGTGTTAGAGAATGTTTCTTCGTCTTGCAACTTAACAAGTGCAATGTCCGTGTGCGTAACTTCCATAATGAGCTCACCAATGTCGCGACCGGTGCTGGGGAGAGCGTGATAGACTGACGTGCCACATTCGGGTGGGAATCCATGTGCAGCCACAGTCATGAACTTGTTGCCGACTTGATCCTTTACAAGCACACCAGTTGTTGTTCCGAGAAATTTGTCAGGTTTGTCTGGTAGGTAGGCAGAGGACACACGCAGGCCTGGCTGTAGAGCATCATACTTGCTGACATCCGGATCCCCTGGAGCAGGGTCATGAAGGCGGCGAGCTTGTGGTGTCGACGGTCTTCCCATCTGATCTTCGAACATGTAGAAACACATAATCCCTCCAGCCAACCGCGGCAAAATTTTGTAATCCGTATCACGGTGCTCCAACACGATGTAGACAGAGTCGGGAAAATAAATAACCTCTGTAATCGAGACACCAATGTCTCGACAATGGTCCTTGATGATGTTGAAGAGCGGTGTCCAATCCTTCATGTTTCGGCCGTTTTGGTCTTGACCAATACGGACTTTGCTTTCCCAAGCCGGCCTAGCTTCTGGCATGGGAATTCGGCCCCGCTCTTGATAGAGGTAGAGCGGAACGCCAGCAACTGATAAGGGCCAGGGTTTTGGCGGTAGTGTATCCACATGAATGGCGATGAAGTTCCCGTCAAATGTGAGAGTAGTCGTGTGTGGGAAGATACTAGATAGCAGAGCTCGCTTGTCGGGGTCAGAGAGGGCCTTTTCATCAACCCGCAGGTCGAACGGCAGGACTATGTGCCTTGGCGGTGGTGAGGCTTGTTCAGGCTTGTAGAGCGGGTTCGGGATGGCTTCTCCAAGAGAAGACCGGTACTCTAAGAACTCTGTTATTATTACCATTCTCAAGTAGAACATGAAGTACTTACCTATGGAGGCACGTTCGGACTGAATGGGCCACGCCAACGGATTGGGAGAGGGGCGCTCCATGGTGTTAACAGCAGGGCTCACTGCTCCCGGACTGGTGATGACAGCGATCCTTTTTGGCGAAGCTCTTTCGGCCACGGGCGTGATCTTGCGTTTTCTCCCAGAAACGCCGCCCGAGCCAACCACCGACATTGGAGACACGAGAAACAACTCGCCGACCATCTTATGGGAGGGCGTAGCTGGAGTTGACATTGACATTGACATTTTGATGGTATTTGTTGGTAACGGTGTGTGACGAGAACGTAACGAGGGCGATAGTATCTGTGATCTGTGATCGGTGATCGGTGTGTGTGTGTGTGAGGATGGAAGGGAGATCGCAGGTGCAAAGAGAAAATTTATATCTTGCAAAGCCTTGGCGGCAGGCAGTGGCTGCCTGTACATACCTCTAACACATGACTACAAAGGCGGTGACTACACAGGCAGCAGGCAGGCAGTTGAAGCAGTTGTGCTTGACGTCCTCCCTGTTCTCAACTTTCTGGGGATTTGAGTTACTCAAGTCTCGGTACTTACATAAGCTGGTGGTGTGTTGCTGACTCACTCATCTCAGTTTGGTTAGCACACAATATTCATCCTCTCCGCTCTCTCTCTCTCTCTCGGGCGGATTCAACAACTTCGCAATCGCCAGTCGACAGCTCAGCCAACGAACTACGCTGGGACCATGAAGACTGCTCGCCCTTATCGGTCTCACAAGTATCCCGCGTGCACGCGCTGTCACAAGCGCCGCTCACGATGTACCATCGAAGTCCCCGGTCAGGCTTGCTTACTCTGCCGCATGCATGGCGTGCCATGTTCTTCTGCCACGGCCAAAAAGGACGAACGGGTTAGTCCCAAGATTGGATTCGTTCATAGATCGCTCCTTGCCGACGACAAACACCTGGAGGGCGTTTCGCACATCGTAGGCCCAGTCGTCGCCCGCGACACGCAGATCCTGGACCGATATCTGCCCCAGGCAAACGGCGGTGCTGGACACGTCCCCATACAACCGAATATCGGGCGCCGAGAGTCCACCAAGCCCATCTATCATATCCCTGTTCCTCCTCGAAGGCCTAGTCCAACCGACTGCAATTGCAGCAGGAACCTCCCAGACGAACTCGTAGACCAGGTTGAGCCTTTTGTCGAGAAATTGCTCGCCAACTATTACGAGAATGTCCATCCTTGCTACCCCATTACCGACGAGGAGTGCGTCATGTCAAAGCTTAAAGACCGGGACACCATATCCTCGACCTTCTCTATCAACCTAATCGCGTATGCACTGTCTTACTGGGACTTGTCGCCGTCACTTGGAGCGTATGCCAGACCCGACCAGGATTTTGCATGGCAGACTTCAGTGGCAGCGAATATAGCCGATATGCAAAAGGGTGATTTGGCCACTATCACGTCTCTTTGCCTAGATGTCGCAGGCCGGCCATCCCGATGTCTGCTCCACAACGTCAGCAATGTCGCTCGAGCAGTCGCCTTGTCGCACGCAATAGGGCTGAACCATGACTGCGGGGAATGGAAGCTGGCCGACACGGAAAAGAGGCTTCGCTGGAAAGCGTGGTGGGGGGTAGTGATACAGGATAGATGGTTCAATTTCGCCCAGGGCACGCCTCCGTACATTTCAAAAGGCCATTACGATGTTCCACTACCGACCATGGACCTCCTCACCTACGGGAGAAGCGCTTCGTCGAGGCACGCTCGTGGAGCAGAGGTCTTCATCCACTTGTGTCGCCTTACGGAGATTGTCGGCGATGTCCTCCCGCTCATCTACCATATTCGCTCAGGCAACGACAGCATAGCCGCCGAGCAGACGTCGAGGTCAGAGATCGAGCTCAACCGATGGGTCGAAGGGCGTCCGCAGTGGCTGAGCCTAACCGAATTCCACACTCGTCCTCCCGTACCTGGCCTTCTCAACCTACAGCTCTCCTACCTCTCAGTCCGCATGCTACTTCGTCGCATAGCGTGGCACGAAATCAGCCAACGAGAAAGCGACCCTTCTTCGTCCTGGTTGCTCGGATGCCAGACGGCGGCGGAGGACATTGTGCGCTTCGTGAGCACGCTGAAAAAGCAGGACCTGATGGAATTCTGGATGCCATATAATGCGCACCACTTCACATCCGCTGTGACTCTCCTTCTCCGTTGCGCACTGCAGACAAGCTACTCGAATGTGCGGGTTCAATGTATGGCCAGCGCGAGGACGCTCGTCGACTGCTTGAAACGCTTTCACGAAGAGGACAAATGGGATCTTGCAGAGACGGCCCTGTCGCAGAGCGAGTCCATCTTGAAAAGGATTGAAGACGCTTTGCCCAGGACGCCCATGGCAAGTACGCCGATCATGCCCTCTCCCGTGCAGAATGATCACATGGACACTCGAATCTACATGGGCAACGATGACATGCTGGAGGAACCTCTTCCGGAAGAGTCGTATCTTTTGCCCCAGGGTCAAGGGTCAATTGAAGATTTGTTTCCCGAGATCTTTTCGGATTTCACGGATACTGCTCTTTTCACGGGATCAGCTCTTTTCAAGGAAACATGAAGCATGAATGAGCGTACAGGTGGAAAAATTTGCGTCAGTGGTGGATTCTGGCCTGGTCTCTCTGCTGAAGATTCCGTGTATAAGACATACCATATATCGACCTTGTCCACATTGAAGAGAAACATTTCATGCTAAAGTTCCGAAGAAGAGGAAAAGTATGTGTATTGGTGACTACACCTATCTGACAACAGTAAGGCACATGCATACCTATTCCATCTCAACACCGCCCTCGATGATCGATCCCAGCACTACTTATCCCATATCCCGACCATCTTTGGATCGAAGCGTTGATTCTCTTCTACACTTCAAGTCGCGCACGTTGGACCGGTTTTCCAAGTGATGTAAACATTGGAGCCGCCTTATTGCCCCCTCAGGGCTTGCCACCACCCAGGGTCATATTCTGGCTTCTCTTCGGTGGCAGTTTTGGCTGTCTCGCATGGCCGACATCACGTCTCTGGGTATCGTCGAAGCCGACCATGCTGTCATAGACACGACCAACGGCCAATATGCCACATCTCGGGAGGGTAGCCGGGTTAGGTTAGTAGCGAATCATTTGGACGACTCGCGTCTTGTTCCCCTAGAGTATGAAACGTCGAAGGAATTTACTTGCGCTGGTGGATCCGTTGAGGGTTTGGAAAATTGACCAATACATCGATCCTTCGATATCTTGGGGTTCTCTCACACGTTTAAGAGAGGAATCCTCTGGTGACGGTCAGGCAGAGTATACGTGAGCCTTACGCAAAATCCGAGGTGACCTTGGGGGCACATGGTTTCCGATCTGAATACGAGTTTACTGGGGAAGAGTTTCCATCTTGATGCCAGCAAGGGATACGATGATGTTTGTGTGAATCTAGCAGGCACCTACCTGTAGGCAGTACGGTAAAGTACCTTAACTTGTTTGGAATTACCCATTAACCCTCATAAGACGTAAATGTGAGCGTCATTTCAAGCGAACTTTGCAGGCAGCAAGGTCTTTTTAACAATCTTGGCGTACGTGAGACAACAGCCGCGTACCACAGGTCAATACCAACTAGACCCAATTCGGACCTCCAAGTGGGATGGAGAGCGCAGACAGTTCTACGGACAAGGCTCACTTTCATATTACATGCGACAACAAGATGACATGCTGAACCCATAGATATCTTGACAGTTCGGACACCACTGCTCTTTCACCTTTCGAACCGCCATCACAACATCATGCCCGTGAGTACCGTGAGCGCCGCCGCTGACATCCAACCATCTAACGTCGCCTGCGCAGGCTTACCACTCCATCTTCCTGGGCGACCAGGGCGTTCAGACGATAGGTATGTACTTACGGGTCTTTGGATTTCCCCTTTTCTTTTGAAAGATTCTCCGCGTGTCTGACAACAAGGGTGTCTGGCCAGGCAACTTTCCCCTGCTTCCTCTCCGGACGAAAACCCGCGGTCCCGCGTACACACTCCCCCAACTGCCTCCCAGCGTCAACCCGCTCGACGTCGACCCGGACTCGGAGTCGTACGACTGCCTGGACGAGGTGCTGTCGCTGTTCCGCGCCAACACGTTCTTCCGCAACTTCGAGATCAAGGGCCCCGCGGACCGCATGCTGATCTACGGCATCCTCTTCGTCTCGGACTGCCTCACCAAGATCAAGCCCGCCATGGACCCGCGCAGCGCCGAAAAGGCCCTCATCAACGGCGCCCTGGAACAGTTCAGCATCCCGGGCGAGCCGGGGTTCCCGCTGAACCAGGCCTTCGAGCCCCCGAGGGATCGGAACGAGGCCGAAGTGCTCCGCAGCTACCTCAGCCAGGTCCGGCAGGAGCTGGCCGTCAGACTGCACGCGAGAATGTACGAGGGCGGGGCGGCGACCCCCAGTAAATGGTGGTTGAGCTTCACGAAAAGGAAATTCATGGGGAAGAGCTTATAGTGATCGATACACGAGTCGCGCGTGGAGTGGACCAAGGTAGAGCAGCTGGCCTGGCCCGTCCAGCCAACAGCGAATGAAGTCATGAAAATGCGGATTGTATCACCCTCCCACGGGCCTGTGGCAATCAATGTCCAGCGACGAGTCCCTCGGGATCAATCACAAGCTAAAAATTTTGTGTTGGAATGGGCGTCTCGTGAATAGTCTTATCTACGTTTCTACGTCTGCCCCTGGCTGCAAGGGTTCAGCAGGTGCTTGGACCGTCTCGTCAAGATTATTTCCAATTTCCGTTTTCTGCTTCTTCAGCGGTGACTGGGGCGGGTCATCAACAGTTGAGTTTGGGGTGTCGGCCGTATCGGGCTTGACTTTCTTTCCTCGTGGCGGCCGTCCTCTGGCTTCGACTTTACCCTGGGCGGGCAAAACTCTCGTAGCCGTGAATATGTATCCCTCTGCTCCACCACGGCTTGTCATCAGCGGGTGCGTTCGACCTGGCAAGACCTGCCAATTTCTGACTCGTGCCGTCTGCACCATCGGAGCCAACAGGAGCGTTGGGTCGACGGGGAAATCCTCGGAAGGCACCTGCCGCTCGTCCTCCGGTAATCCTAGATAAGCCGTCCTTCTCGCTGTCGAGTAGTAGTCGGCTAGACTGACTAGCGGCTCGACGTTGGGCGAGTATACCACGACTTGGGCACCGCCTCCCAGGAGAGGGACGAGATGTCGAAGAATGGACGTGGGGTCCGTGTGGCTCGCCACTACGAGACCGTTGAAGCCGCCCTCTCGGGTCTCGTCTATGACCTTTTTGACCCTCTGCCAGCGCCGGCGTTTGCGGTAGTAGGCACTCCGCTTGTTCGACTTTGCCTTTGCAAGCTCTTCGGCGGGCACGACCTCGGGCTCTTGGTAGGTGGTGTCGGAATCTGGATCTATGAGTTGGAGCCAGGAGAGGGTCTTGAGATTAGTGTACAGAGGGTGGGAGGAGGTGGGGTTGTTGAAGTCGAAATTAAAATATCGGAGAAGCGCCAGGTTGGGTTGCTGATTGGCATGCACCACGGTGATGTGGTTGGAGGTGGCGCTCATGGCGTCGAGTCGATATTGCTGCCTCCTGGGCTTGTGCGGGAGTGTAGTTTGAGTTTGGGTCTGTTTATGAGACTCCGGTTGTTGGTGGGGGTGTGGGTGCTCAGCAGGATGATGATTGTCGTCACCATCACCATCAACATCGCCGTCCGTATCAGTAGTAACTTCTACTCCTTCGTAGTTAGTCTGGTGCAGAATGCCCATCCTCTCGGCCATAGCCGCAACCAGTAACCCGCCCGAGTCGTCGACCATCAGGTAGCGCGATGCGGGGGGGACCTCAGGAAAGAACTGTTCTTCCTGTCCGCTGGCGTGGACATTGGCCCAGCAACCCACGAGCCCTATTGCCTCATTCCTCATCTCCATAACTCGCGCGAAATCTCGATCGGCCATCATCCAGTCCACCATCCTGGAGACGTCCAAGGGTAGCACGCAGAACCGTTTCAGGTACTTCTTGTGCTTGCGCAACGTGTACTTGGCGAGAGAAAACGCCGTCTTCTGATCGAGCGTAGAGTGGGACTGCATGATCTTCTCGATCAACTCCTTGCCACTGCCCATGTCGCTCTGCTTGAGTGCTTCGATCTCGGCCATGGTCAGTTTCTGATTGGTCGGGTCATCGTGCGTGTTGACATTGGATTTTGGCGTTCCTTGTGCTGGCGTCTCGTCGCCAGGCGTTGATACGTCCTCTGTTTCCGCCTGCTCCACGAGGGCAAGGGCGTGCAGTTCCGCGGCTGGGACGATCCGTAGTTCCCTGCCGTCTTTTGCCTCGGAGCGGTCGACAATCTCAAAAGTCAAGTGGTAAGGACGGCCAATGATCTGGTTCGAATGGAACGATCCATATTTGCCGAGATTTATGAGGCTGGAACAGAGTCAGCGGCAGCTCTCAAGGCCGTTGGCTGATATCTGTCTTGCTCACAGATGGTGTTTTGCGAGGACCTACGTGTTGGGGAGTATTTGTTCGACTCTGATCTGATCAGAGGGTAGCCGGAGAGCCACATACTGAAAAGGCTCGATACTGCAAAATGCCATGTTAGAGTGTCATAAGTCGGGGTTCGTCATCGGGTCATTCTGTGCGTATATGCTTTGTGATGGTTCGACGTCCAAATTTCTCCAGGAAATTTTTGGACTAAAATTGTCTATCAATCTGCACTTAGAGGAAGTATTGGTGCGCAGTATAGTCTGTTACGGTGGAACATATTAACCATTCAAGCGGGGCCTCTAATATGACTGACTTTCTTGGTTGCCTCTTCACTCTCGATCTTCGGGTGTAATGTACTCATTATTACATACACCTTTGCGACACTCTTTACATCAAGCTAGCTATGTTCTCTGTCTATGCCCAGGTGCTGAGAATCCGGTGGCTGATACAATGCTTCTAACACTTCTAGATCCAGAGTCCTTGCTTTTATCGCACCGCTTCCGTCCTCGATTATTGTCCTCGATGGGCTCCTTCGAAATCTGTTGGGAGAACGTCGAGATGATCGTCCTAGAGGAACCGGAACCCTTCAATGGTCACCTTCAGATTGGGCCTGTCATGTCGTATGAGTTATGCTCCAATACCGATCAGCCTAGTGCCGGTCGGATACACTCACCGTGCGCTGTTGGGTGACAATACTCGTATTTCCAGTTCGAGCGGCCTTTTGATTTCAGGGTATTTCGCAGCAGCATCTCATTTGCTGCCTTACACACCGACCGTGTTCACACTGACGACACAAGCCACAAGGAAGCCTGTTCCTCGCTGGCCTCGTGACGAGTCGCTGGACGATTTCCAGCCACATAAACAGGGACAAAGCGCCTCGTCGGAGCGTGACGTCACAGGCAAACAATGGTTCACCAGGTACGGGTGGGCGAAGAGACGGTTTGCCTCCGTGTGCGGGAGGATGATACCAATGGTGGGAGTTGTGACGCAGAAGAAGGGCAAGAATGAAATATATATCTCCAGGTGCCACTGATCGTCTTGACCCTCTCGAATCCCTGACCCTAGTCCCTCCAGAACCTGTCAACCTATTCCCACGGCTACAACTATTATACCAATCCAAGAACCACCAAGATGTCGGATATCGCGAAAGGGGTCGGCAACTTGTTTGCTGCTGTCTTCGATATCATCAAAGGCATTTTCACCACCATCTTGAACGTGATCACAGGCTCCATCAACGCAGCCGTCGGTCTTCTCAAGAATGTATTCAACATGGCGGAAGGTGTCGTCGGCTTCATAATCGGTAAGTCTACGACCTTCGCATGGCCTCAAAGAGTGCTCTGACTGACATTGCTAGGCAACATATTCGTCATTGGCACCTTGTGTGCAGTGTATTTCGGCTATCAATTGTACCAACAGCGCCAGGGCAAGAATCCGGCTCCGATTTCACGTGTTGCGACAAAGAAAACAAACTAAGAAGGGATGCTGGGGGAGCAGTCGGAAACTAGGTGTCCTCAGTATAGGAGCTTGTATATTCCACCGCGTGCGACATACCACATGGCAGGACATGGCACTGGGCGCGCATCGTTAGCGTTGTCCTAGGAATCGGGATGCGGGAAGGCAGCGTCACGGATAAAGTCGGTAATGAACTGTGTCAAGAATTCATAGTTTAGAAGAACAGTCTACTTCATAGCCAATTAGGATACCCGAGGAGGTTCTCCTACGAGCTTTGCAGTGTGTTGAGATGGCTCTCTCTCATGTAATGCCGACGCCTGCGTCCACCGGGCCAAAAACAGACACGAGGAGCCTCGGATGTGCCAAGGCGAGAATGCCGAGGTCCAAGATCGAACTGAGACTCAGACTTCGCGGTCGTCGCGATGTGACAGCATCGAGACCAACAACATCTCACTCTCGCATGCTTCCGAATTCTCCCTTGTCTTCTCCATCGCCAATCGGCACATGAGTCAGTCCCTGACAGAATACAAGGGCGGGCAACCTCGTTTCAGGTGACAGCTTTTCAATTCCTCCTTCTCGTGTCTATCTTTCCTTGCATCCCAATATCCCAACTTTCCACATTCGACACCTCCTCGTCCCTCACGCGAGAAACCCGTCCCCGTTGACCTATCATAAAAATGTCACAAAGCAAGAACATTGCCCCAACGCCGACCGAGGGTGACCTCGACCGCGCGTCGTCCTCCTCCGCGCCTGCGAATTCTCCATCCGCAGTCTCCGCTGCGCAACAGAGCGACAATATCGCCCATGCATTGGCTGGCGCAGGAGGAGGCCTACTCGCCATGACCTTGACATACCCTTTGATCACGCTCTCCACCCGCGCTCAAGTCGAGTCGAAACGCGCAGATACTTCCACACTGGCGGCTGTGCGACACATCATCAACCGCGAAGGCGTCAGCGGACTCTACGCCGGCCTTGATAGCGCGCTGTTCGGTATCTCGGTCACCAACTTCGTTTATTACTATTGGTACGAGTGGACCAGGTCGAGCTTTGAGAAGGCCGCTTTGAAAGCCGGACGGGCCAGCAAAAAGCTCACGACTGTGGAAAGCATGATCGCAGGAGCAATCGCGGGCTCGGCGACTGTATTGCTCACAAACCCCATTTGGGTCATCAACACAAGGATGACGGCTCGCAAGAACGAAGATGGTGAAGGCGAATTGCCAGGTGGTGAGAAGAAACCCACAAAGGCGCCCAGTACCATTGGTACGCTTTTGAAGTTGCTGAAAGAGGAGGGCCCTCGTGCTCTCTTCGCTGGGGTCCTACCAGCATTGGTACTGGTCATCAACCCAATCCTCCAATACACCATCTATGAGCAATTGAAGAATGTGCTCGAAAAGAAGAGGAAGGTGGGCCCCCGGGATGCCTTTTATCTCGGAGCCTTGGGAAAGCTGCTTGCCACCACTATTACATATCCATACATCACTGTCAAGTCGAGAGCGCATGTCGCTACAAAGGATCAACCCCACGAGGGAATGTGGAAGAGCTTGAATAAGATCGTGAAGGATGAGGGTTGGGGTGGACTTTACAAAGGTAGGATCTGGATCACTCGTCGTTGCTCGCCCTGCTAATCGCGCTATCAGGAATTGCGCCCAAGGTCAGCCAGAGTGTCTTGACGGCTGCCTTCCTCTTTGCCTTTAAGGATGTCCTGTATGACATGACCGTGGCAGCAAGGCGGAAAGCAAGAGCCGTCAAGGCATAAGCTCTCAATGACTACGAGTTCACAATGTGGATTGCACCATGGACACAACCTGGTGCCAACAAGCATCTTGAATCTTGGTCGCCGTACGCCGCGATACGGCCACAGACGAGTTTGACTAGAGATCAAGAGTGTGGGATCGAATAGGGCATCTCGGACGACTTGTAGTCCGAGATTATGATGTTATTTTGGTATGTATTGGAGGCCATTTGACGCAATGTAAAGCAATATGCAAAGATCAGCACCAACGTGGTGCGATTCATGGTGCCAGTATAGTATACTTTAGATGGTCATATTTCGTGGCAGGTTGTTGAGTGATGTAAGATACAGAAGGGCTTTGCGATAAGGAGTATCAGAATAAGTAGACTCTTGTCGCACTGGCCGTGCTCTAGCATTGTCCGAAGCATATCGCCAGGGCATCGAGGTATCGCAAAACACATGTTCGATCAATCTCCATCTTTCTTCACATTGCCCGTGTTGTGCTTGGCTGTGAGAGCCTCTATGCTCATAGGACACTTGTGCCTGAGCTTGTGCCGTTTGTGGCGCGGCGTACAGTATATGCGCGTTTGGAGCCATTGAACGCCTCGTCAAGCCACGTCCGGCGCCACGTTCTGTAGTGTAATTGCTTACACTCACAGACTTCAAGGCCTTGATGTTTCCCTTTGAACACTCAACTTGACATTGCGATTTTCGATCTAGAAACTGTGACTTGGCCGACGAAGCTACATACAGGTATGACAATCACCACAAGAAATCATGAAAGCACTGGTCATATACGGCAGGTAAGAGTCTTCTGCAATAGCAGTGGCCGACATGTGAGACGAGTTCCATTCTACAGCCAGCCCAGAACGCGCCTCCTGAGCGCCACGGGGAGGGTGGGCTCTCATCCCTTATCAGAAGTGACCATGGGCAGCTTCTCGTAAATATTTCGAATTCGTCGTTGGCGATGGATCAAGCCAATACACCGTACACCTTTGCCAACTCAACATGTCGGTTCCCATGAAGACGCTTGCCTCGTCCCAGACCTCCTTGGTCTCTGTGAGAAGGGAAGGCGTGGCCCTTGACGCGAACGAAGAAGTGCGGCAGGATGAACCCAAAGGCTTTGCCTGCTCTGAACATAAACATGTACGGCACGACTTCTTCCCACCAACACAATATCCACATGAAAAAATCGCCATCGACAAAGCTTCTTTCCCAATCAAGGGCTTTGCTGGCTTGATTGGAGCCGCCCTCGCTGTCATCTGTAGCTGGGCACTGTTGGTCGCCAGCAACAACACGCAGCAATGGCAGGAACGTTTTCCCACTGTGGCCAAGGTCTTACAGCCGTCCTCTATACTGTCGGCCATCATTTCGGCGAACGGCATACTTCTGCACCTGGCTTTCACCGAGGGCATGACAATCGCGTGGTGGCTGCGAGCGACCAAGACAGGTGCAACCCCCAGTGAACTGCATGAGGCGTGGGTTACGAGTACGAGTGCGTTGGGCGCTGTTCAGTCTGGAAGACGCTTCAACTACATGGCGCTGGCGACAATTGTCGTGGCCATCATCCCCATCAATGGCCTTGTGCTGCAGGGCGCGCTCTCCGTCCGGCCAGTTTTTCTGAACACGGCCTCTGTCAACGTTAGCGTCCCTTTCGTCAACGACTTTGATCCTTCTTTCTCTGGTTCGTTGACAGCGACCGGCGCCCTGGACGTCATCAGCACCACCTTCAGTGGGGAAGTTTACAACTACTTCGCAGGCGACAATAAAGGCTATATCGTGTTATATTCCAATGGTACTACTGACGAGAACGTCGACTACGACGCCGATGCATCTCCGACAAACTGCAAAGAAACATGCATCTTTGACGCCCCGGGCGTTGGCCTGTACCTGAGCTGCGACGAAATCGAAGATCATCCCTTCAACTTCACCGTCGATACCTCGCAGCCTGGTTGGGAAGAACTGCCTATCGTCAAACAGGGTCTCCCCATCTACAGCACCGCCTTCGGCTGGTCCGCTTCGAACCCCAACACCATCCAATTCAACCTGACCTCCAAAGACACGTATGGCTGTAGTGGCCAGTATTACCAACTTGCGTGTAGCCTCGATGCACGCCATACCACCTACAACACAACACTGCACCTCAACAACTCCGGCCTCAGTGGCGCCACTACGCTTTCCCTGGATCCAGATTCTGACTACAGTGACGACTTGTACGGCACCCCCATTGCCGCGAACGATGAGCTCTCCAGCCGTAAAACCAAATTCGGTTTCCTCGCAAAAGCCTTCAATGACTATTTCGGTTCCAGCATTGTCGTGCAATACTCTAACGCGAGCGGCGAGCCCGAGTACGTGCTTGGACAGAACGGCACTTACGCGAATGCGCCGTGGATCATATACGGCCAGGATGGCCGCGAGACCAGCGGCGACACCGTCAACCTCACTGCTCACGGCGCGCAGGGCTGCGAGGTGTGGATCGATTGGGAGCGCGACCCGTTATCCAACGACCGGGATGTCATCATGGCCGAGATCCGCCGCTTCATGTTCCGCCTGTCCTACGAGTACTCCAACTCGGCGTCGTTGACGACGTACCCACCGCTACTGGCCCGCGCGTTCGTGACTCAGAATCTGTACCAGGTGTCGTGGTGGCACTGGGTCGCTTCGCTCGCCGTCACTCTGGTCATCGTCGCTTGCGTCTCCCTCACCTTCTGGGGCTTCTGGGCCCTGACCCGCCTGCCGACCATGAGCCCGCTGGAGACCGCCCAGGCGTTTCAGGCTGCCGCTGGTTCGTCGCCTGATCTCGCGTGGGACCAGGCAACTATGAGTCCCCCACCGGGTACGCATTTAGCGGCAGACGGGCGCTCTATGCTTTCCAGTAGCGGCATGAGCAGGCCTATGTCCTGATCGTGATCGCGACGGCACCAAATAGGTCTTGCCCATGCTATCTTGAATTACGTGGGTGTTAAAGCGGTTGGTCTTGATGAACGTAGTTATGGCAGATATTGGCGTTGTGTATAATCTACTATTTTGACTTTTAGAATAGCTATTCCACGAGCTATAGTGACGTGTTTTGACTTGACTAGTATCCAGGAGATCTTATTTGCTCAGCCTTTGGTGCTATCAGAGCGGTTTGAGCAATATCTTCGCGCGACTGTCATCTATACGTCGAGCAAGGCGGTGGGTCTACGCTTGCCTCCTTTCCTACCTCGCCCCATCTTCGCCCACTCGCTTCTTTCGATCTCATATTCTTCGTTCATTCTCCACCTGCCTCGCTATTGCGCTTCTTCTTCTTTTTCTTCTTCTGCCTTCTGCTTGGCCTCCTCAGCCACCTTCGCAGCCTTCTTCTGCCGTTCCAACTCAGACAGCCTCGCGTCCTCGGTCGTCTCCAGTTCCGTCCAGCCCCGGGTGCCGAAGACGGCTCCTTCTGGATCGTAGAGCGTGACCAGCCGGTCGTAGAGGGACTGCGAGGTGTTGACGAACGCCTTGGTCTCGCTTTTGTCGTAGGGAGGCTTCACCGTGATCGATTGGGGATTCCCGTCTCCCCAGACGCCCGACCACTTGAAGCTGTATCCCGGTAGGTCGCTGTCTTGGTCCGGGAACCGTATGTCGACGTCAACTCCGGCCGTCATCTCTTTGGGTCCTTGGTACCCCGGGATGTTGATGTCCATGAACCAGACGCCCGTGTCGATCAGCGCGGCGCCGCTGTGCCAGTCGTCGGCGATGCCTTTGATCCGGATCGCGCAGCTAGGTCTGTTGCAGAACCATTCGGGTTTCCTGGTGGCGTCGTTTGGCAGGGATCTCGTCAGTGCCATGTATTTGAAGTCCTTGGTATTTTCTGCGGTGAGTCCGATCTCAACGCTCCGCTTGTGCAGGATGTAACCGCGCCGGAAGGTCCGGGTATCGATGGGCTCGCCGTTGTATTGCTTCACCGCGAGCATGGGGTTGTTTCCGGGATCGTTGTGTACTTCGACCTCGTTGTATATCCCAAACCCAATACCCATGTAGTGGGTGTTCTGATAGCTTTCGTCGGTGACGACCAGGGCCTCAATTTCCGATACTATCTGGACTTTGTTTTCCCCCTCAAACGAGATTCTGAGTGGGAACCATTTCCCCTTCCACACAGTGTCAGACGTGTAGGCGACCTTGCCGTCTGGAAGTTGGTCGAGTTCTGGCCCCGTCGGAAAATCAGGAACAAATCTCTTGCTGAGGGCGAAGATCGCGGAGCCCGTGTCTAGACACACATTGTCAACATCAGAACTCTGGTTTGTGGACTTGTTCGTGACGGTGACCGTAATGGCCATGTTGTGGTCTGGACTCCATGCTGTGAAGGGGACGTTGATGCTTTGCGAGAAGCGGGAATAGTCTGGGCTCTTTGTACCCATGTCTGCACAGAAAGAGCCTTGGAAAAACCAGTGCTGTTGTCTACTGAGAACTTGGTCTTTGTTTTGGTGACCAGAGGCAAGATCTAGTTATTTTCAATATTTATATGGCAGGTACCTGAGCTCATAATGTCAGTTGGGACCTCGTAAAAAGGACCTGGCGCCCCGATCGAGCGCATATTTAAACCAGGCGCCATGTCGGAACAAGTTGACGAAAAAGTCCTGGGCGCAAAATGTTGCAGAAATGGGGAAGCATTCGAGGTTTGGGCTGGCTGAGACCGCGCAACATTATCAACAGCAACGCATCCATTATTGTACCTTGGTACTGAGGGTAACCTTGTGAGGAGCGCGCCGTGCTGTGCTGTGCTGCGAATGTGATGACTTATACCATGGCTTGCAGCTTGCAGCTTTGCAGCTTTGCACACCGCTTATCGCCCCGTCGCATGCAGGCGCCGGGGCAAGTCACCCACGCTCGAGACGTTGTTAGGCAGGGTCTTGACGCGGCCACGACGCGGCGACGGCGATGACGGGCCACGGTCTGCGAGGGTGGTGTGGGGGCAGACGCGCTCAGCTAAGCAGCGGCCAGGTCTACGCCTGACACCGGAGGGACGGGCGAACGTCGCTTTCAATTGAATTTGTATTTGGGGGGGGGGGGGGGGGGGGGGGGGGGTGGATATAGGTATTATTATTATTTTTCGCGTGCGCTGAAGAGCCCCATGTACAGTTGTATACCTATCAATGGTGGAAGAATGGAGAGTACAATTGTAATGTGTTTCTGGGACCAAAAAACAGACTGGAACCTTTTGCTCAAAATATTCGTTTGTGTGCGTGAACTGAGATAAATGTCAACTAGATAAATCGATACAAACCTCGAATCAAACCAGCTTGACATCTCTCCCTAGCTGACACCCCGGCCTGCCAATACCAGAAACAAATCACTTTCCGCTCTCGTCGGATAAATTTAGACTGCGTGCGAACAAGACACATCGACCTGCGGCCTCGGTCCACCGCTTTGTACTCGTGGTGCTCTCGGGTCTCACGTCGTTCACTGGAGATTCTGATACAGCCCGGCTTCGATCTGAGCCCACAGACCCAAGATTTTGGGGTCGCCGAAGGGAAGAATCTGACTAGCGATAATGCCGCCGAGACCCTGTGGTTGGAAGGAAGGACATCCAAGCGGTTAGCCAGGCTCACGACTACAACTACAATGCGCCATGCGTGTTCCTGAATAACCAACAAGGCAGCGGCTTGCAGTTTTGTGTGTACGCACAGTACCTTCTTCCGATCGCACCACCAGAATAGATCTGGCAGGCCCGCCCACCAGCCGGTGCCCTCGCTGTGCACAGCCGAGTCGCGCAGGTGCAGGAAGAACGTCAGGCCCCAACCTTGTGGGATGTCGTGAGGTTCGGGGTACAACTCGGGCAAGGCGTTGCTGTATGCCGGCTTCGGGGGTGTGATGGCCTAAGATTCCCGTGAATAAGATGGGTGAGACGTGTTCCTAGGTAGTATACCAGAAGATGTCTCGAGAAATTCGTTCATGAGGGTGTCATTCGCTGAATATTCTGCCGCGTTCAGACGGTCAATGCAATCACGTATGGACTATGGAGAACCTACAAGTAGGTCTCCTCGGTTAACCGCATATTGCCCAATACGCTACCACAAGTAGTGTACAGTATGTAGACATCGCCCGTGCACGATACTTGTAGTCCATGCATACACAGGACCCAGGACGTGAACTATGACTACGGAGTGCAACACTATTGGATCCTGTTTTACGAAGCGAGATGACGGGTATTGTACCGAGGAATGAATCGTATATCGTCCAATGCAACATGTGGGTAATCGTCCTCGCACTCTGAGATAACCCTAGGGAGACGCCCATTCTGTACCTATTCATAAGTATTAGCGGTGTCTCCGGCTAAATGATGAATCAGGCAACCTGTACTCCGTACACAATCTACAGTATACCCAGGGATCTTTTTGTATGGAGCAATATCACGCGCCTCCGCGTCGGAGGCCTCCGAACTCACACTCAAGTTCTGGGCAGTTCCCATGGCTCGTTCCAACCTCTAGGTCTTTAAACTGTCAGCCTGTGTTACACTCGGGGATATGATACCTTGCATGGCAGGGGGCTGCGGGATTTGCTAGGTTTCAAATCGCCTCTTCGTACTCGGCCCAAAAGCGAGGAAATCTTCTAGAAGGAAGTCTCGTTCAGACAGCAGCGGATTATCCGGCCATCACCACCTACTACTGCATGTCGACATTGGCACAGCATATCATCCTGCCGGGGCCTCGTACAGAAGCGGGTAAGCACCAGTTGCTGCACAATCCCTACTTGTCGCTATCCGGCGCCGCCAAGACGCCACCCACGGAGCTGGCGGTGCCAAGGCCATGCCAAGCCTTCCACTGCCGCCACGTCCCAGTCGAATGAGGCCGGGAGATTCAGAAGCTTTTCATGGTTATCATTTGGAAATGCTTGTCACCTTCCGCACCGAGACTAACGCCGTCTTGGCACTGGTGGCGCGTCTGGGGTTTAATCAAGCCATAACGCACTATGGTGCAGATCCCTCACATGCCACTCAATCACTCTCGGTTTCTTTGCTACGGAGCGTCCAGTCCCATTCTCGAAGCGATGGAACGTTGCATCTTCCTTTCGTACGCTTTGCCATCTTTGCCCGTCAGAATCACGATCGTGAAGCCTCGACCACTTCATGCATGGGGCCCCAATGGACCTGGGTTGCTTCTCTGCCAATCGCAGCCGGTGTTATGGTCACCCCTGTCACACCCAACCAGGCCTCATCTGCGCCAAAAGTACTACCCAAGCATGCTTCGCCTTATCAAGCGTTGCCACTATTCGAGGCTTCATGTTGATAAGAGACAACACGAGATAGCAATCTCCAACAGCTGCCAATAGTGGCCCCTCAACCGCGACTATCCGAACCCTCGCGACCTGGTCCAATGTTACATCGTGGGCGACGACAGACGGATGACATGAGGGATGCGATTAGGACAGGTAGAGGGGGAATGATTGTATCACCACCTCAGACCTGCCTTGTATACCGGACTGGCACACGACTATTAGTAGGCCATGGGTCCCTCCGATAACCAGCCTGCTCTTCTCTCGCAGCGGCAGCGGCAGCACCACTTTCGTTACATTCACTTCATCCCATTTGTCAGACTGCAGCCATGGAGCATATCGCCCCAGTAACACACCCATCCGCCGAGCAGGATGTGGTGACCGAGGCGCAGATGCGCAAGTCATCGGTCGCGCCAGTCGAGAAGCCCGAGGTCATGGAGCGGACTTGGGGGTTCGCCGCTCGCACCGACCATACCGTGACCTACGAGGAATACTCGTACTGGGCCAAGATCGAGCGTGAGATGGAAATCGAAGAGAACAAAGTGTTCCAGGCCGAACACGGCTCTCCCCTTCTCGAATCGATCAAGAACTCCTTGACCAAAGGCGGTCGAGAGAAGAACAAGGTAGTCAAGGAAGCCAGACTTCAGACCCTCGCCACGCTCGAAGAGAAGAAGCAACCGTCTGGTGTCGTCACTGACGTTGGCCACGACCATTCGGTCGAGTCTGCATTGAAAGTTACAGACGCGGAATGGCGCAATGCTGCACGTGCATTGCGAACTGCTAGCTGGGGTCAAATGTTCTTCCTCATCACGACCGATATTCTCGGTTGGTCAGGAGCACCGTGAGTGCCTGTCTCTGTCTCTGTTCTCCCTGCCCCGCGAACCGTCCACGAATCATAGAGTGTGACTGACAGTTTGCCGTCCAGATTTGTCTTCGCCAGCGTCGGCTATGGCACCGGTGTGGCGCTTTACCTCATCTTTGGCATCTTCGCTGCATGGGGCGGCTGGGTCATTTGGAAGACGTTTCTCGAGCTTGATTCTTCTCGTTACCCAATGCAGAGCTTTGGCGATCCGTTCTTGCGCATGTTCGGTGTGAAAGCGCGCCATTTCATCAACATCGCGCAGTCGCTCCAGCAGTTCCTCACCGTGGCCATTCTCATCTTCAGCAAGGCTTTGAACATTGAACAGATTGCCCATTCGAGTGTGTGCTTCGTGGCCATGATGGTTGTCATTATGGCTGTCGGAATGCTCGGTGGGCTCATTCGAAGCTTGAAGAAAATTGGATGGATCTCCAATGCCGCTGTGTGGTTCAACATTGTGAACTTCATCATCTGGTCAGTGGACTCCCTAGTTTGACATGAGAGATGGGCCCTTTTTTTACTGACTTGTGATTTCTACAGTATGGTGGCTGCTGTGCACTTTGCACCTTACTATCCGGCAATCACAAGGTCGACGCTCATCAAGACCATCGAGCCCGTCAAGGTTTTTGCCGGAATCCCACCGGATGCGTACCAACAGCAGTCCCCGGGTTTCGCGGCCACGTTTAACGCGGTCAACACCATGGTCTACGCCTACGCCGGGGCTCTGCTCTTCGTCGCCTTCCTTTCGGAAATGAGACACCCTCTCGACTTCTGGAAGGGCATGTTGCTGGCCCAGGCGTTCATCTGCATCGTCTACATGTTCTTCGGCGTCTTCGTCTACTCGTACTACGGGCAGTACTCGGCCAACAACATCGTGAACGTGGTCACCCCCTACGGCCTACAGACAACTGGCAACGTGCTCAGACTGCTCTCCGGCTGGATCGCCATCATCATGTACTTCAACATCGGCATGAAGACGGTGTACCTCGAGGTTTTCGAGGCCATCTTCAAGTTCCCCTCGATCGTCGAGAAGAAGGGCAAGTACCTCTGGTACCTGTTGGGCCCCTGCTACTGGATCCTCGCCTTCATCGTCGCCGGCGCCGTGCCCAACCTCAACGGCATCGTCAGCTTGGTCGGCGCCGTCTTCATGATGAACTTCACCTACACCTTCCCCGGCATGATGTACATGAGCAGCATCATCCACAAGGCCGCCGAACTCCCCGGCGAAGGCTTCAACCCTGCCACCCGCGTGACCGTCAGACACGACGACGGCCTGAAGCGCTGGATCAGAGGCTACAAGAAGACCTGGGTCCGAAGCACCATTGCCTTCATCTACGTCCTCCTCGGCCTCGCCTGCTGTGGAATGGGTACCTGGGCAGCCATCGAGGGTTTGAAGGACGTTTTCGGTCCTGGTGGAACCGTCGCCACCAGCTTTGGATGTCCTGTGCCTGTGTAGTTGGTTGATAAATAGTATGGGGGGGTGGGGGGCGTGGTTGCTGAGACCCCGATGGAGAGAGTGATAAGAGAGGAACGGAAGGACGACAGCACAGCAGAGAAAGCAATCAATACCCATGTGCAGCAGAACAGAAATAAAGCCCCTAGCTAGCTAGCTAGCTTTTCCGTTTGTGGAGGAGCATGTTGCCACCAGGGTTTTTAGATGGTTTTCATCTTCATCCATCGACACTCTTGTTCACCTTGTTCACACAGACGTAACATTTCAATTTGACCATATTAGTCGGCCAGCCATTAAATCTTTGAATCTACGATCTTCGCGGTTGAAGTTCGGGGTTCAAAGTCCGCGAAGAGTTAAGACCATGTCCCGTCCTAAGGATGACAGCTATGTTCTATATGGGGGTACTCGGGTACTCGGGTACTCGGGCATCCGATCTATTATTGCTTGTGAGGAGTAAGTTTCTTTACTGACCTCTCTCTCAAGTCCTTGTATCCGTAATACTTCTGTGCGTACTATATCCTAGTACGCTGGCATACTATTGCTACGAGTACTAAAATGAAATGCCTTGCCAGGCTACTTATATTGATTGATTCCATGTCTGTACTCCCGTATGTCAAGCGGGTAAAATAGGCTGTGGACCCTTGACGAAATCCAAATGGTTCATTCTCCTGGTGAACACAATGTCCTCGGGACCCCTCGGGCCCTTTGGATTCGCCGCGACGAAGTTCATGGGAAACCCCACGTCAAAGGGATACGCGGACTCGATGGCGTCGATCTCGGCGTCCGTCAGACGGATACTGAGCGCCTCGATGTTGGATTTCAGGTGGTCGAGCTTCCTCCCGCCGATGATGGGCGTCACATACGGCGCCTTGTGCATGACGTACGCGAGCGCGACGGACGTCAGGGGAACGGGCGGCGTGCGGGCGTTGGCGACCTTTTCCAGAACCAGGCCGACTTGTGACTCTTTTCCGGTGAGCGTGCTGGGGAGGTTCCGTCCCTTTCCCTCTTCATCATCCTCCTTGTTCGATCGAGGAGTTTGCGAGACTGACGGCTTGAAATATCCACCACCCAACGACCCCCACGGCGCCAAACCCATGCCCTCGTCGCGGCACATGGGGATAATGTCCCGTTCAAAGTCTCGCTCCGCGGCGGACCAGCGGCCCTGGTACACGCTGAAGGGGCGGAGGCCGTGGCGGCGCGCGTACGCGTTTGCCTTGACGACGACCCACGCCGGCGTGTCGCTGACGCCGAGGTACAGCACCTTCCCGGCGGCGACGAGGTGGTTGAGGCTCTGCATGACCTCCTCGACGCCCGTCGTGAAGTCCCAGTAGTGCACGTACAGGACGTCGAGGTAGCTTGTCTGCAGCTTCTCGAGGGACGCCTCGACGCTGAGGGCGAGGGATTTGGCGTTGTTCGAGCCAAAGTTGGACTGTTGCAGCTGTGGCTCCGACACGATCTTGTACGCCGACGTGTATTTGGTGGCGATGACCATCTCGTCCCGGCGAAACGGGTACTGAGCCATCCATTCACCTATCCACGTCTCGGACTGTTCGCCTTGATAGTTGTTGGCACTGTTGCGTTTATCCAGAGCGAAGGTATATTGTCAGCTAATGTCACTTGCATCGCCAGACGACCGTGATGTACAATGTTCACTCTTCCTCTCCTCTCTTCTACCCCCTCCCCCTCCACCCAAAGATGAAAAGAAAACGAAACTACCACTCACGTATCGATAAAGTTACCACCCATTTCGTAGAAATAGTCAAGCAGGGCAAACGCGTTCTCCTTACTGCATTCTCCCATGATGCTGGTCCATGCAGTCCCGAAGTTCATGCCTCCGAGACACAGTGGACTGACGTGCACTCCGGCACTGGGCGAGAGCAGCCGGTGTCGGCCCAGGGGGGATTTTGGAAGATGAAGTGCTGGGGCAGTCATTGTAGCGGAGGAATCATGAGACACGTACACACACACAGAATGGTTGAAGGAGAGAAGAAGACTCCTCAGAGGAGGAAAGAGATTCTTATAAGTCCCTGAGTCTTGAACATTGCTCGGCGATTGGGAGAACCTTTCTCCCTCTATCACCGGCCTGGAGCATCGCTCGGATCGCTCCTCAGCCTCGTGATGCTAGAGAGGATGCATTATCACCACAAGAGACAACATTTTCCCGCAGCTCTATTGCCCACTGTGTGGAAATGTCAGGGTGCGGTGGATAGTGGCACTTCTGAATGGTCGAATGGCTGAGGGTGGTGAGTACCAACAAGTAGTAATAATTGAGTTTCTGAGTTTCGACACTGCGGAGATTCGGACTTCAGCCTTTAACACCACCGAGGCTGATGCGGCCGCACAGAATCTGATCAAAACAGGTACCAGGTACGGCGAGAAAAGAAAAGACAATGATCGCCTTTGGCCGGGCTGGGCTGCTCACTGCATCCCATGTGTGGCTGGCCCCGAGATCTAACTGTGGACTTCGCTCGAAATTCCTGCAAGGCCAACCACTACTGACGCTCTAGGCATATCATGCTGCAGCCACTGTCCATCCACCGGCTATATAGCCTATATATACTAACTGAATCAATCCGCACTGCCGCGTGTTCATGCAGGACTAACTAACTAACTAGTTAACATCTGAACGGTACATCGCACCAAAAGTCGACCACGACCACACAACCCTCGCCAAATGGCTCTTCAGCCGCACCGTACTTATCTCGCCGTAACCTTGTTACGTACTTAGCTGCTGCTGGCCAGCTTCGCTTGCTTGCTAAGCTTGTCGATTCTTCAGCCTCATCGCAATGACTTATTTCACACTGAAGAACTTTGTGCTTTCTGCTTCATCCTTGATCATCATGACCCTTCACGTCCAACGCGACCTGGCATGTTTTCCACCGGTCGGAGAAATTACTGGGTCGAGCGCGGACCTGATGGGCGCCTCCGAGAGGCGCGCGACCTGCCGGAGGAGCCTCTCCCGCGGGAGCGCGCCGGTGAGAAACGGTCCGGAGCTGACGAGGTGGTGATTGAAGTACCCGATGCGTCTCCGATCGTTGAAACTCAAGAAGTACGGTTGCTGAGGCGCAATCTGCCCTCGTTCGGAGAGGTTGAACGTCTCCTGGATCTATACGTCGCTACTGGCGAAGGACGCGGTGCCTATACGAAGGCAGTGAAGACCGTAGAGCAGGAACACCGCAGGCGGTTCGTTGAGCACTACTATGGAGACGACGACGACAGATTCGATGACTTTATCAACTATGGAGGACCGGGTCCGGGAGGAGGTGGGCCGCCAAGGTCCATGCCTATTTTTGCGCGAGGGTCTTATGACTACGACCTTGATGAGTATTCCGAGCGTGGTGAGCGCAGCCGACACCCTACTGAGTCCATATACGTGACTCGAGCACCTCGTGAGAGGAGGAGGACGCAGGAGGGTTCGGACGACAGTGACGACGACGATGACCGTCCCACCGCTGGACAACCACCACTACCAAGGCCTTCTGGCGGAGGACCGTCCTCTGGCCCTCGAGGAAGCTATGTGATCAATCTAGAAAACCCCCGCAATGCCCGCCCAGGAGCACTGGACCTCGAGGAAACAACCAGGGTGACATCAAGACCTCCGCAGGAGGGTGCTCGTCGTGAGAATGTCTTCGTCCGCACTATTAGTCCACGCCGGGTGGTCATTCACCAGGATAATCGGGAAATTGTTGATGAAGAACATATTCGTCCCCCGGTGAGAATAGCGGAGCGGTATAGATCCACTCGTCGCCGAATGCAGCCAACGGTGCAAGAAGTCTCGGACGAGGACGGCGAAGTGAGCCTTCGTTCCATACCTTCCGAAGAAGATGATCTGCGCCTGTCAACGACCCGCGAGCTTGAAGTTGTCCGTGGACCTCGACCGCGAAGCCGCCGTGTGCAGAGTATATTTCAGTCCTCCCCGGGGGTGCGTCTGAGTCAGCGTAGATCGATGAGAGGCGGTGGTCTCCCGGAGCACATCGTGGAGGAGATGTGGGGTCAGAACTTCAGGCGCAGGTTGCATCTTAGAGGAGGCGGCCCTGTCGTCGCTCCTCCAACGAAGACGGCCGCTGTAGGAGGAGGTGTCGTTGACGATTTTTCGACTGCTTCAAAGACCATTGCGTGAGCCTACCAGAGCCCCTTGTCTTAGTCTGCATAGACCCATTCAACGCAACGCTGACATCAAACGCAGTCTTTATTTTTTCTCCGTGAGCAAAGGGAGGATCATCTCAAGCCGGAAAAGGGAGCTCTACCGTACGTTCCGAGAACTCTACCCGCATGAGTATTCTTCGGATGTCGCCCACAGCTCCGACGTGTGGCTGGTGAACAGGCTGAAGGAGCATTACTGGACGATATGCCGTCGCGGACAACGCTCAATCTGGGATCTGACGTCGATGAGAACGATCGGATTTGCCATATTCATTCGCGTATGTTCGAAGGTTTTTTTATTTCATGACTCCATCAAACTGTGGAAAGAAAAAAAGGAGCCTGGGATATCATGGGAGTCCGGAACGTGGAGCTTGGAACTTTTTTTGCAGGGAGTGTGTGTTTGCTAATCGGTGATGATGCCTTTTGAACCAGTTCGAACGCACCGTCAAGAGAGGACACGATCCCGGAAACTACTTCGTCACTGCTAGGGCTCCTGCCATTTCGGCCGAAGGACAAGAAGCCGTTTCTCACTTTGTCTACATGATGAGATATCCTCTCCAAAAGTCCAAGATGATGTTGTTTCTCTTGGACAGGATGGCTGGCTCGACCAAGAGAGGAAACGACCACAATACGTTTTACGCCGTGGAGATCAAAGAAACGTTTGATACCAGGTAAGATTTATAATACGCGACATGTCTTGTTCTTGTTACCTTCCCACCCCAGCTTTCGATTTTGTGAGGGGGTGTTTTCTTTGGTTTTCAGAGAATCTCTGTCAAGTCTCCCCTTTTCATTTGTTTCAGCGCCGTACTTTGGAGGCGGGCAAGATCAAGCTTTCCCTTCCATTTTTCTAGAGGCACCGGGGCCTCCAGGAGGGGGTTGAGGGAGGAGAACAAATTTTTGTTGTGAGACTAGACTAACACCATTCTCTTCTACGGAGCAGCAAAATCTACTTCCTTCTCGCCATCCTCATCCTCGTCAGCACGGCCGCTGGAGTCGTCTATTCGGTGGTCAAGTCCGACCCCGGCACCGGTCTCTCGATTGCAAGCTACATTCTGGCCTGTCTGTCACTCATACTTGCAGTGGTGGTTGCAGGTGAGTGGCTTGGCCTGAGGAAGCCCGACGCGTTCTCGTTCGCGTACGACTGGGTTGAGAATCGTGTCGTGGGCAAGGACGATCTCGATAGGATTGCTGGTGGCCGGCTCAGCACCTATCAAGTACCCTAAACAACTTGGATGACGGGCAGTGGAATTGTTGTCAAGGGAGTAGGCATGTATTCAGCAGTTGATGGACAATCAGACCACAGAAGAATACAGACATATACACACGCACATATACATATACATGTACATATATATGCATGGATTTGTTCATTTACGTAAACTCCTGACAGGGCTCTCTTCACCGTCAAGCCCCTTTACTGCGGGTAGCAGTACCTCAAGCCGACAGAATAACAAGTCCATAACTATTACCGGGTGACTAACTGGTTAAATGCCTTAGGCGCTCTTCTCCAACTCCCGCACGAGATCCTCCCTGGTCCGCATCTCCTCCACGAGGCCAGTGAAGTCTGGATCTCCCGTGGCAGCCAGTTTCTCAAAGTCGGCTCGGTGGGTTTTCAGCCAGGCGGCATCTTCCCCAGCCTAGCAGTACCCCCGACGCAGGAGGGATTAGCGAAAACCCGCAGAAAAGATTCGACAGATGCATATGAGATGAACGGTACGGGGGTCATACGTACCGGAGGAAGAAGGAACCCGTTCTCTATGCCTGCAGCGAGGGACCCGACGATAGCGACCACTTTCAATTCTCGAGGCGCGTCATGTCCTGCTTTCTTCTTTTCACCGTTGTTGATGATTCGATCCCACGCATCTTGTATCTGCTGCGCCAGCTCTCCCAGATGAGTCGGCGTGCGAGGTCCTCCGCCTCGAACAAAGCCTAGGATTCGATTGACGGATCGCTGAACAAGCACGACTTAGCATGAGTTTCTCTGTGTGAGAGAGAGAGAGAGAGTGAGAGTGAGTGAGAGAGAACCTCTCAAATCAATGCACTTCTCCTCATCTTCCGTTGGTGACTGCTAAAGGGAAAAAGAGGTTTGGGCATCTACACGCACCTCTTTCCCGGCGATATATAAATGCACACGACGCTTCTCCTCGTCATCCTCCGCAACCTCGGTGCTCGTGAATTTGATATTGACAAAGAGACTCGGCGTCGAGAATTTCCGCGTGTGTACCTCCGTGATGGCCCGCGCCAGCTCATCCCGCTCGGCCCTGCTGAGAGGAACGCAGTGCTCGATCTCGTACAACGGCATCTTTTTTTCTTTTTCTGTTCAGCTCACGAACTGCGAATATCACACACTTGTCAATTTGGGAACGGGCCGGGGTGTACAGGTGTATCAACACAGAACTTCAAGACAAGACCAGACTACCCGAGACGAGGGCAAAGGCGAGGACAACATTAAAAAAAGGCAAACCAACGGTGAGAAAGGATGCTTCTTCTTTGGATGGGTCTTGCGATGGGGGGACGAGTTACGGATACTCCGCGTCTCGGCCTTCCCGCGTCATGAGGTGTACCCCAGTCCCCTCCCCCCCCCCTTTTTTTTTCTCTGCGTTTTCCTCTTCCCGTTCCCTTTAACCGGCCCGGATAGACCGTGAATCGGCATCCCTACGTACGTACGTGTACGTACGTACGCGCGTAGTACCGACCTGCGAACACGGTTGCAGACCTTCAACTCTACGATGGCATACCAATATCCTAGTCTCGAGGCGCGCTCTGTTCTATTGAAAAACATCAAGTGGCCCGGTGTATGTACATATACACATTTGGTCGACACTTCGTCGTAGCGTCAAGCTTGACGTTCCATTAGATTATATGGTTCGGTACTACGCATCGATCGAGTACTATTGGGGGTCATATCTATGAACATACCAGAAAGTGCGGAAATCATATTTGTATCACCTTTCCCAAACACCTTCAGATCGCACGTAGATGCCACATTTATCTTCTCGACTTATTAGAGACCTCGACGATAATCACGGAGTCCGTCTTCAAAGAAACCTCTCAGAACCTCGTCTGTGCTCGGGTAGCCCTCTCCGTACATCTCAACGTCGGTCGGGTTCACGTTTCCTTCGGAACTCATAAAGTAGGATAGTACGTCGGCACTAGTAAAAGAGTCTGCGGGTTCAGAGAGGAAAGGAGAAAATGTGTCACCATAGCCGGTATTTCCGTCGTCCTCTAACGAGAATCCTGGCAGATCATGCGGCGCATGAGACAAATCGAGTGGGTCAGGCTGTTCTCGGCCCAAGGCTGAAGAGGTGCTCGCCAATGACTGTACTCCAAGCAGCCCTCTGTGGCTATTGGGAGACTTGTTGAACTCTCTGGTGAACCGGTGCATGGTGGTTGTCGAGATGCGATCCAAAACGTCGCGGCTCCTCTTCGCCTCAGGCCAATATTCTCCGGTGGCGCTGAGAACGTCGGACGCGGCCCTCAGTGCTCGCGTGAGGGCATCGAGATCCACTTCGTCGGCGACACCGTCGGGAGTCCATACACAATAAAACATAGTAATGACACACAAGAAAAGAGACTGGACGCTAATCCAGCTATACTGGAGTGAGCCTGTTGTGTAAAGATTGTGATAGAGCAGGCAGCACGTCGTAGCACTCGAGAAGCACTCCCGTATTGATGCCTTGGAGGGATGCTGGAAAAGCGGACTAGGTCGGAGGACAAGCATAACAAGCTCGTGATACTTGATCTCGCACAAAATATCAGCGCGGCATAGTTGGCTGCTGCCATCCGGATCATGCCGTGGAATCTCCTAGTTCCATTGCCGCATCCGATTGAGTATGTCGTCTCTCCATCCTACGACGTTGGTGATGGCCGGTGTCGTGTAAGGCGGATACAGTCGATCCACGCAATACAGCACACATTTGATTTCAGAATTGAATCTGGCCAGCCTGAAGAGATGGACTGCACTAGACATCTTGGTGAGTGGTTCCCCTGCCAGCCTTGACTTGGGATGGTCTGATTCGAGGTCGATGTCATCGACATCCAACGGTAACTGCGCAATTCTAGTTTAACTCGCACCGGCATCGAAAGATGACATTACTCACCCTCAGCTCGCACTGTTCATCCATTAAGCCGACTGGTCTCCCCATTAGAGTGCTCAGGGTGCGGTCGACGGTATAGGTACACCAGAAAATTCGGGTTCGCATCTGTTGCTCAAAAAAGGAAAAGACGCTCCCTTGAACATCGCGCTGCATTCCGAGCTCTATAACAGTAGCGAGACAATGGTGATGAAGAGTCCACAAGCTCAGGCCAGAAGACGCATTGTGGATGGTATACATTTCCAAGAGCAGAATGCACTGAGCCCCTTGAAGAGACGCTCTCTGGAGGATACTGTCGAGACGGCTCATTGCTGATGCACAGTAGCCTTCCGCAGACAGCTGCACTTTTGCTCGGCGTGAGAGGAGTGTGGCGCCGATTGCAAGGACCATGAAAACTTGAAATTCGGAGACGGATCCAACATCACTGCCATCGTACATGCTCTGGATCGTCTTGAGATGAGTGGGCTCGTGCAAGAAGGGAAACTGCAGGTGAACAGTCCTAAAATACGCATCCGACAACCATCTAGCGTGCTTGTAGTCCGAGGGGAGGCCGCGTGGTTCGACAACGAGAAGATCTGTAGGGACTGGGGGTTCGTCGCCGCCATCATCCATTGAATGTGAAAGCGGCAGCTCTTCAGCCGGAATTCTTCGTCCCAATCCTGCCAATACGAACTTGGTAAAGAAGATTCCGCTGGAGGGACCCAAGTAACGAAGGTCTGCTCCTGTGGATACAGACACAAGGCCCACCTGGTCGACGATTTCGCGGAGAGCGTCATCTTCCCTTGGAGAGTCGCTATGAACATCGTTCTCTTGTCGCGAGTGAGGCCAGTCGGCCTCCCTGGATGCTTCGTTCTTGGTTCCAACCGATCGATCGTTCGGGACACGGTTCAGATCGATGCTTGGGAGGTTCTTGCGAATAATGGACTCCAGCCATTCCACCCGTGTCTCCAGGTCGTTGACGAAGCTAACAAGCCACCCATCATCTTCACGCCCAAGTTAAATAAAGGGGAGGGAATGATGAGTTACCTGCGAGGGACTTCGCGCAACGCTCCTCCACCGGTACACTTCGCCCCTGCTTTCTGGCAGGCGCTGCAGGCAGGCAACGCTGCATCGCACTGATGAACCGTCACTTAAGCCGCGCGCAGGCAGGGCCAGTCTGGCGGATGCATGCAGGTCTGGGACAAGGGATGCGAGTACTCACTCGGATTTTCCGTCTCTGGCATCGAAGACAAGCGGCACTGATCCGTGAGCGGGTTTTGGGAGGCCGCTGAGAAGCATGGCCCGCGGTTGTAGAAGGTTTATTACCCGTGCCAGTCTCCATAGTAAAACACTTAGGTGGTGAGGAAAATTCGACGGAAGCAGGGTGATTTACGCACTACAATTGTGGCATGGAATGATCAGAGTCTGCGTAATCCGAGGAAAAGCAACGGCTAAGTGTCTTTGCTGTAGACGGAAACATCCGTCAGTATCTGATTCGCCCAGTGTCGTCCACCCAGCCCCGAGCACTACCTAGTATGCTCTGTATTGCCTCAATCATCCCTGAGGAACCACGGCGTACATGCTTCGAAAAGCCCAGAGAGTGCCGTGTCTACTGCGACCATCCCGTCATAAATGTCCTGGTCAACCCTTCGAATGTAGTACAAGAAACTCGCAATCACAAAGTCGCCATACGATGCTACAAACCTGATATCAGCTTCTGTCTCACTTGTGCCTTCATGTCCCTCTAAATCACTTTCCCGGAACGACGAGAGCAACTTACGAGTTGTACCCATCACAAACGGACCTCCTCTCTCCTTGACCAGCGCCGCCAAATCCTCGAGTGGACCCTGTGCCCTCGTGAGAGCCAGCTGTTCAGCGTCTCCTCGCGCATACTCCTCGAGTGCCATCTTGAGTGGCTCAGCTCTCGTACGGGCGATGTACTCGGCACTTCTCTCAGTGAGAAGATTGGGAATAACCTTGCACATCAAGACGGGACGGTAGACCACCAATACAGCGGTAACGGCGGCGTATGCCCGGGGCAGAGTAGGCGAGTCTAGGTACAGCGAAGGGGTAGGGAACCGCTTCTCTAGCTCTACCGCAATCGTGGCCGAATCCTGGATGTAAGTCGAAGAATCGAGCTTCACTGCGGGGGATGTATATGGCCGGCCTTGTTCGTTAGGGGTCATTGCGCTGTTTCTTCGTTAACCCTTGGCGTCCAGTATAGTTTTCTGACAGATTGGGACGGAAAAACAGCGTCAAGGGCAGCATGACTGGGGAAAATTACAATGCCTGGTATTTTGGTGCAAGATCTGGAAACTCTGTCCACTCCGTCTTGTACGGGATCCTCTTATAATTGAGTGCCATGCGTGTTTTCCATGGATTGAGCGACCAGCCATGGCATCGTGGTTTACTCGGGATATCATACAGGATCACTTCGTCTGCCATAGCGAAAGATTGTTGCCGACTCAACTCGTCTGTTGGAAGTAAACGTCTGAGAAATCGAAGGCATCCGTTGATTGAAACGCGATCTGGTAGGATTTGATTTATGCTCTTGACCCGGACTGATCAGGCAACATGGATGTCAACGACACTGTTGCCTGTCTCGTATCGTAAGAATCCATGTACCACCCCTTTGGCTTGAAAGCTCAGAGGCTCCTGGTATCCTACTCAAGGGCTTGTTGCGAGCCACAGTGGGCCAGATTATGCACCTGGCTGACAGTTGACTGTGAGTCTGGCTGAATGTGGAGCCGTCTTTCCACATTTTCAAGCTGGTCTCCAGGTGTCAAAGATGGGCTTGAATCTAAAAGATCACGAACTGAGGGTGATAGCTTCAGATTGGATGCTAGGGGACGATCCCCGGTCATATTGCCCTCCAGAGCATCGAAAACCCTCAGGGAGTTTGGCCGTGAGCTTACTACTTTATTCGCAAGGGGGGATCCTGATTCGCTCGACACGGACGATAAACGCATGCGACTGACGAGTTCGGACGCTGGAGGTTGCAATGACTGGAGAGGAGACGTTTCTCTCTCCCTTCGTGTGCTTCGTAATGCCGTGACGGGTAGCATCCGTAACCAGACTCACGGAAACTCCCGCTCTCAGTCTGTGTCTTCTGCACAAAAGCCTTCAGTCGGAGTAAAGTTTTGTATTTCAAATACAATGCTTTGGCCATCGTCGGTTTCAATAGAAGATGTTAGAAATGTTCGGGGGGTGCGCAAGGTTTTGTCAGTCTCGCGATACGCCCGAACCGTGAGTGGAGCTATCCGACAACGACGTCAAGGAACGACGACGGCATCCCCTAGAGAAATGCTTCATGAATAAGCACGGCAGATGCTTGGTAATAAACAAAAGCCAAAGAGTCAGTGTCATCTTGGGAGAAATGGGTGCCGGCTTCAAGGATAAAAGCAGACATGTTCGCATCGACAGAGTGCAGCTCCGAAGCATCACTCACAGTCCACTCTCATGTTCAGAAGAATCTTTCATCCAACTAGAAAACTCTCTGCAGCAAAAATGTCTTCATCCAAGCCCCGTGTGCTCTTCGTCCTGACATCTCACAGCGAGATGGGGACGTCAGGCAAGACTACCGGCTGGTATCTGGTACGCTTACCCAGACTATGGAGTTTTGGACTTGGACTCACAAACACTTCCACAGCCCGAATTCGCACATCCATACAACAAACTAAAGGCGGTTGCCGATATCACCGTTGCGTCCCCAGCTGGGGGCGCAGCTCCCGTTGACCAAGGCTCAGTTGATAACTGGATCAAAGACGAAGAATGCCGACAATTCTGGGAGAACGAATCAGCCCTCTGGAAGAACACACAGGTCCTGTCGACTTTGGTGGGAAAAGCTAAGGATTTTGCCGCCATCTTTTATGTCGGCGGCCACGGCCGTGAGTTTGCTCTGTATCAGTGGCACTTCCCTCCCTAACAGTTGGATAGCAATGTATGACCTCGCTACCAATGCCGACTCGATTCAGCTCATCAAGGAGTTCTTTGAGAGCGGCAAAATCGTCAGCGCAATCTGCCATGGCTCAGCCGCCCTCGTCAACGTCAAACTCTCCGACGGCAGCTACCTCGTCGCCGATACCGAGGTGACGGGTTTCTCCAACGACGAAGAAGATCAGATCAAGTTGTCAGAATTCATGCCATTCATGCTCGAGACCGAACTTAATAAAAGAACTGGCGGAAAATATGTCAAGGCTGACAAGCCGTGGGGAGAATGTGTCGTTGTCTCGAAGGGAGGCCGCTTGATCACCGGACAGAATCCTTTCAGCGCTGAAGCTACTGGGAAAGCACTTGTCGAGGCAATCAGCAAGTGAGGTTTTGTGTTGATTAGACAGACTGCCATTCATTAATATAGTCACTCGTTTCTAGCATTGCCATTCTTTTCACTGTCGAGTAAGACCATCATAACCGCCGCTCCGACCATTTCTGCATCAGGGTGAAACGAACCGACTTCACATATCGAGTCCTCGGATTGAAGTCAGAATAGCTTGGTCATCGCCCCCGAGTGACAGGACGCTCAACTCTGGGGACAGAAAAGGGGATTTCTGCGCCTGGACTGACTGGCTTCTGCTGATGCCAGTGGTGCCAGCGGGTGTCAAACAGCTTACCGGCTCGTGCGAGTCTTAGATTGAAGTAATCGTGAAGAGTCTCATTGATACATATGAAGCTCCGTGGCTCATGCTGTTGCCATTTGAATGATATCTAAGCACCAGCTTTCTCGGCCTCCATTCTCTCTTTCCTTCTCTTCTTCGCGGCAAGTTCTCTGCGTCGAGCTTCCTTTCTAAACCACTCACTCTCTGGACCTTGGTTCTTCTTGTTCTTCCGCTCCTGCTCCCGATACATCGGAGCCATGGTACCACCGCCACTGGCATCTGCCATAGATACAGCTTGTCTTCTGACTTGGAGCTTCCTTGCGGCGGCCGAACGGTTGCCAGCACTGAGATGACTCCACATGTTGTCCTCGACTTTTTCGACGTCCGCCTCTGACTCCTGCTGAAGCATGACATGCGCGAGCAATTCATTCCGCTCACGGGATGTCGTGTATGCAAGCCCGGGCATGTCACTCATGCCAGCGAGATGCGTAATTGTCTTGAAAGCGTAGCCTTGATCAACAAGGAAAGCTTGCCGTTTAGCACTGTAGGCCATTTCTGTAGTGTCCTTTGAAACGAGCGAGTAGAAGAACGCGTTAAAGCCTTCATCGTTACGTCTTTTAGCTCGTAGGATACGCCCGAGGCGTTGAGCTTCTTGACGTCGCGAACCATAGTGGGAGGAGATCTGGATGAGGCATGTGGCTTCGGGCAGATCAAGCGATGTGTCACCGATTTTGGACAGGAAAATGGTGTTGATAAGCTCATTGTGCTGGAAGTTCTCGAGAATGTTGATTCGTTCCTGGTTGCTTGTGTCGCCATAAATAAAAGGCTTTTTCATCGAGATGGCGTAGTGTTTCAATGCGAAAAGATTGTCGCTGAAGACAATGATCTTGTCGCCTCGCTTTTCATGATAGTCGATTAAATACTGGCACACTTGGTATTTGACGGGGTTCATGATATAATATAAAGCCTGCTTCCGAGTTGTTTCTTTTTGATACTCCTGGTAGAATTCCATGGACATAGGACACCAGACTTCAGCACATTGCACTTTCGCAATATGGCCTTGATCTGCCAACTCCATCCAGTTTGCTTCGTAGAGCTTTGGTCCGATGATGAAATTAAGATCGGTGATTTTGTCGTCTTCCCGGAGCAATGTTGCTGTCAATCCAAGTTTGCAATGGGCGCGAACGTTTTCACCGACTTTGCGGAACATCTTCGCAGGGACAACATGGACTTCGTCTAGAATCATCAGACCCCATTCCTTGCCGTACACCCAGTCCATCATTTGCTGGGTATCGTAGGCTCGTTTGCCACCGGCCGTGATCATGGAATAAGTTGTAACCAGGACACCAGATTCTCCATTAAAACGCCTCTTTTCCGAGGCAGAGAAGACTGCTATATCTTCCTCCTTCACATCCGACCACTTTTTGAATTCGTTGGCCCATTGATAACTGGACATCGCGCTGGTGCATAATACAATAATACTTTTCTTGATGTGACAGCCAGCCGTGATTCCGACCAACGTCTTGCCGGCACCGCACGGGAGGACGATGATGCCACTCTTGCCACGTCCATTTCCGAACATCTTACTCAGTGCCTTTTCCTGATATGGTCGAATCTGCGTCGACGGTCTCAAATCAATCGGGAGAGTGGGGTTTTCGAAGTCCCCAGCGAAGTCATATTCCGAGATAGCCGGATATCCAATATCCAAACATTGCTTGGCCACTACATCACGCTTGTTCGGTGCTATTTCGAAGTTTGGGGCTTCTTTGTAAGTGTCTTCCTCGTCTTCCTCATCTCGCAGTGCAGCTATCATAGCCTCGTTTTCTTTCAGAGGATCGTCGCGAGGGATTTCCGCATTTCCTTGGTCAGCCTGTTTCATGCCCTTGGCATTACTCGTCCCTTGAATGACGGTTGCCTTGGTTTGGATTCTGCCGACTTGCACATCGGTGCCTGCAGCTTTGCAAGGGCCGATGACCGGATCTCTGAGCAGCATATCAATGATGTGTCGTTCGTCGGATTCAACATAGAACTTGTTATTGCGTAAGACGAGGCGGACTTTGCCGTAAGTCTTTGTATGCTTATCAATGAATTCAATCACCGACTCAGGTACGGGAGTTTTGGAAAGTTTTTCCAACGCACGTATAATGTCTTCACCACGGAGACCTACCGACAATGCCGCGTACAGACTATGCTCCGTAAATCTGTACTCGTGGAGATAAGAGGGTCTTGACTGCGGTTCAGCAATGGTTGTAAGAAGATCAGTTGCCTGCGCCGCCAGAGGAGAGAAGGCCTCCAGAGTAATCTTCGGTCCCTTCTTCGAACCGGACGACACGCTGGGGTCAATCCAGAGCGGACGATTCTCATGGTCGGTCTTCAAGGACAGCCACGAGAAGTCTTTCTCGCCAAATATGGACTGTGTTTGTTTTCTCCTATGTGGCGTTTGAAAAGAACTGAAATCCAGTTTTGCCCTCGCCTTTCGAATGTGTTCCTTCTCGCTGTCGCTTGCATCATCTTGAGATCTGACATCAGATCCCGCGTAATCTTCATCGCTTTCTAGACTGACAGGAGTCGCAGGAGCAGGTGTAGAGCGTTTTGAAGATCTAGCACTAACGTCTTCGAGGGCTTTCCGCTTGAGCGACATAGCGGCGAGAAAGATCTCTGGTAGAGGCTCAAGTGGATAGGATGACGGAGTGATGCGAAAGGTACGAAAGCGAGGGACAGCGAGAGGGTTTCAGGTAGGGAGGGAAGCAGGATGGAGACTAGATAGAAGAACTGATGGCAATGAATGAAATGGAATAAGTTCCTGTATTTGAATGGGCTAGTGGCGGGTGCCTAGTGAGTGGGCAGTGATCACAGATGTTTACTCAGCCTGGGTCTCAAGCCACCAGACAGTCGCAGGCCTATAGTTCTCCGTACTCACTGCCATAATGGCCACAATACTCCGTACTAGGCACTATGCTCATCGGTTGGACTTCCGCAGGCAAGCGCAGGCGATGTCGTAGCTCACGGCGCCACTACGTAAGGCTTCTCCCTCCCCGAGAGACCCCGAGCTATAAGCGACCAAGCAACTTCCATAACTCTAACATTCAGAACACAATAAAAACTTCTTCTCAAGCTGCTTCGTTCTGTAATGGGACAAAGATTTTCCGAAAATGAACACAGTATGTTATTGTTTGCGCGCATGACCCTGATCTCACGCTGATTCTGTCTCTAGATTAGATCGACTTGGTAAGTCTGCGATGATGTGCCCCTGCCTCCACCACCGTGCCAGAGCTTGCGAAGTCATGATCACAGGTGTCTGGGGGATGTTGCTATGTGCGGCCTTTGTGCGAGTTTATAGGCGCTAACTGTCTCGACGCTAGGTATGGCTGGGGTGTCCTCTGCGTTGCTGGTGGAGGTGCCTACTACTTCGCAAAGAAGTCGATCAATGCCGACCGGGCAGCACGCTTCGAAGCCGAACAGAAACAAAAGGCCTACCAGCGACGGATAGAAGACTCTTCCTACGCCCCACCGCGTAAAACAAGGACAAGGACACAAGCAGACCCTTCGAGTGGCACGCACAATGCCAAAGGACTTGATCATGCAGGAAGCCCAAGCAGTGAGATCTCTGAGGATGTTGCTCCAGTAGGACATGCGCCGGTTGACAGTGAGCAGAGGATACGTGAAAAGAGCAAGTACGAAGCCGCTGTACCATACAGAAGCAAGAAAGGCGACCGGTTCAGTTGAAGAAGCCGAGAACAGACGACGCGGATTTGGCAACACCGTCCCAGAGACTGGCCAAGGACATTATTGAAAATGTTGTGTACATGTATTGCTTATGACGCTCCAATATTGAGCGCGATGTCCCATAAATCTCAAACTCCATTTGACCCATGCTCGCTGTTCGGGAAGTATAATGCTGATGCTCCAACCAATATCTGTGTCATTATCCTCAATGCCCTCAAATGCTAACAAAATAAAAATGTCGTTCAGATGTGTTTGCTCATGTTATACGTGGCAGCATAAAGGCGCGTAATGTTTTTTGGAGGCATTTGGATGTCCAGACTCTCGTTCACGTTTAGACTCGATTGCCGGCGGGACAAATGGTAGTACAACAGCCGATGTGATCAGGGTGCCCGCTATCGCCGATTGCAATTTGGTCGCTGGCCTCGGTGCTTGTGCAGAGAAATGGCGGATGGCAGACTGAGACAGGCTGTGTGAGATGGGGCCTGCGAGATTCATGGTGGCAGATGTTGGGTTCTCTGTCTTTGGAAGGGTAAGGACTGGTAACTGTAGTAGAGCTGGTCAATGTGCAAGGGTCTATTGTATAGGAGGACTAAGAGACACGAAAAAGCGAGGAGGAGATGGCGCAAAGAAGTATTTGGGCATTTGGGCGACTTGATATCGAATAAGCGGATTTACAAGCAAGGAGATTGGACAAAGGGATCAGGAGAAATCAGCTTAACAACAATCTGGTGGAATTACCGTATGGGAGACCAGGATTTTCACTCATCTGACAAACGCAATCCAAGAGGCGTGGGATTTGGGCGGAATTGCGTGCTAGGAGCAGCGCGCTCTCCCATGCCTTGTGTGTAGTGGCCTGAGATGCCGGTTACCCAGGGCGGGAAACGAGAAAAGAGGACAACACAAGGCACGCCACCCAAGGACACCGAACTCTGATTATTGGGAACGATCAACTGCGAGTAGCAGCGACAACAGTCCGTTACGCGCAGTCATGCCACCCAGAGCAAGACTTCAGAGCCCAAGAGAAGAACGCGGAGGAAGGCGCCCGATGCTCCCGACATGAACCGAGCCCGGGTCGAAAGAAGTAAGTCTAAGAGTTGATATCGATAAGGAAAGAGAAGGAGAGCCTCGCAGAGACAGGATGACTCATTTATTAAGTAATTCCATCAGATAAGATTAGATCTCATGCTGCGCATGTTCAGAACCCCTCGTTGTCGCGCCCACTCGGGAGAGAGAGCTCCGAAGTGTCGGTGTCGAAAAAGTTTCCCCTGCTTTCAGGTCTCCCTGCGATTGACATCCGTTGGCACTGCACTACCACTCTCATCCCGCCATTCCCCAGACTTCAAAATGGCACAGAAGACAGTGCGCAAAGACTTCGAGGAGGTTTTTCCTTCGCTCGTCCAGGACTTGCTCGGAGAAGCCAAAAAGTACAATCTGCCAGACAATGCGCTGCAATGGTTCGAAAGAGTAGGCTGCGACACCACTGGTTCATCTCTGTACCTGTCTAACTTGCAACCAGTCTCTCAATGCAAATACGCCTGGGGGCAAGCTGAACAGAGGCATGTCGGTGCCCGACACTGGCTCTCAGTTGCTTGGTCGGGCCCTCTCCCCCAAGGAGTTCAAGGACCTCGCAACACTAGGATGGCTCACTGAGCTTCTGCAAGCCTTCTTCCTGGTCAGCGACGACATCATGGATTCAAGCATCACCCGTCGAGGAGAGCCATGTTGGTATCGCCAGCCTGGCGTGGGTATGATCGCCATCAACGACTCTTTCATGCTCGAATCCTCTATATACCTCACGTTGAAGAAACATTTCCGATCTCATCCTGCATACCTCGACCTGATTGAGCTATTCCACGAAGTTACGTGGCAGACAGAACTCGGACAGCTGTGTGACCTCATCACGGCGCCCGAAGATAACGTCGACTTGAACAACTTCAGCATGCAAAAGTACACATTCATCGTCATCTACAAGACAGCATACTACTCCTTCTACCTCCCTGTCGCTCTCGCCTTGCACTACCTGCAGCTGGCTACGCCGCAGAATCTCAAGCAGGCACGCGACATTCTCATACCACTTGGAGAGTATTTCCAGATACAAGATGACTACCTCGATGCGTTTGGCGACCCTTCGGTGATTGGGAAGATCGGGACAGACATCAAGGACAACAAGTGCGGTTGGCTCATCAACCAGGCTCTCCAGATATGCAGCCCGGCCCAGCGAGAGCTTCTGGACCAGAACTATGGGCAGAAGGACGACGAGAAGGAGGCCAAAGTCAAGCAGCTGTACAATGAACTGCAGCTGGAGAAGAGATACCAGGACTACGAAGAGAAGCGCGTCGGTGAGATTCGCCAGCTGATCGCGGCGGTTGATGAAAGCGAAGGGCTGAAGAAGGGCGTGTTTGAGGAATTTTTGGCCAAAATCTACAAGCGGTGCAAGTGAAGAGGTTTCAACGCTGACCTGGATAGAGTTTCGGTTGCACTAACTTCTAATACAATCACAAACGAAAAGGAGCACATGGCTCGATCTGAGAGATGACACACTGCTCGAGAAGGAAAAACCTAATTGCCATGTACGGTTTACACCTAGTGGGTAGGTGAAGGCCGCTTTAACCTGGCCAGCTTTACCTGAGCCTTTGGCTGAGCATCACCGAGCACTACACTTGAGTGTTGGTTTCGACCCATGGTGATGGGTCAAGGTTCAGTCTCGGTGGCTTCAGAGAGAAAAGCAAGTTGCAATCAAATGTATCTGGCTCCCTTCAGACTAGAAGAAATTGCGAGTCCGCTATCCGCTATCCGCTAGCAAACTCTCCTCCACCCTGTCCCCGTAACAATATTTGCACCCGTTTGTTCGTTACAATGATCAAAGTCCAAACAACTCTCAGACCTCAACGTGTCTGAACGACTTTACACAGTACATTTTGTATTCAGTTACAAGCACGTTGATATCTTCCAAAGTCACCGTCCTCGTTTCCACCTGCCTCGTTATCGCCATAACGACTCTACTTTGGATTGGTGAGCTCCTCTCGCGTCACAGCACGGCAACTTAGCTCATCCATGGATACTTCCTCTATGATCCTATAGTTCTAGGGAGAAATATTCGCTACCAGCTTTCCTGTTGGATGTGGCGCAGACTGGATCACCCTCCATCAAGCTTCATATCGTAACTTGAAACGAACACCATCAGCGACGACAGAGCGGTTTTATGGATGGAGCAGTCCACTCCTGGCTTTCCAGGCTAACCACCACTTCTCTCACCTTTTTCCGATGCCTACTTACCTGTACAAAGGTAGGTACAGTAGATCAGGGGGGTTTTGCCGATTTCTGGGGCGCTAGATTAGGCACTCGGTGAGTATTTAGGGAAATGCTGTGTAATGGCTTAGATAAAGCTCGGTTTAAAGCGGCCTTCTCTCACCCTCTAGGATCAGACTATATGTACATGGCAGTCGGGAATTTCATTCCAGAGTAATAGAAGTACAGAGTACATTACAGGTACATGTGTAGGCAAAGATCGAGCGCCGAGAAATCATGCAAAGAATGCGGGACCCCGAATGGGGTGCATGGCGACGAGTACGGAGAAACTCTCCTCTCCTCTTACCCACGTATCAGACAGAAGTTGCTCTGAAAAGGCTGTTGCGGGCGTTGGACATTGCATCAATCACAACCGCAGTCTGGCATCATGCGCATGTGAGAGTGGGACGCCCCTCGAATGCAAGGACAGATGAAAATGCCTAAATCGTCATATGACGTTAATCGTGGCGATGCGCTGCGGAGTGGTGCAAGTAGACCGAGCCTAGGAGCCTTTGTGATAGGTGCTGGGATTAGGCGCTTACCTCCCTGCGTTAGCTATCCGTAGCTCCTCTAACTTAGCTCCCATCAAACGTGCTAGTAGGTCGCCTAGGGAGCCCCCGCGGGCGTTGTACTTGGACGCAGTGGGCAGCTCCCAGTTAAAGCTCCACTGCCCGTGGCACTCTACACTGTCTCTAAGCAGCCTATTCTCCCGCCTAGAACTCGGGCGGGTAAAAAGATCATGACAGCAGCAGACCACCCGTGCATGGAATGTGAGATGTCATGCTTCTACCCAGCGCCACGGATCCCTCCGATTCTCTCACACAGTGCTGTGCATGCACAGGATGTCCTCAGTATCTGCACAGACCGTTGCATTCCGCATCTGTAGAAAAGACAACACTGGTGACTGAGAATAGCCTCCGAGTATACGGTACGCGTGCTGGGATGCTGGAGGCTGTAGCAGGATGAAAACTCCATCCCACATCTCCAAAGCCCACAAAAGTTTGGCATGGCCGGGGGGATCCCCTCGTAGCATGCTAGCATCTTCCTCGTGTAGTCGAGCCAACGAGCGCCTCACACAAGCTCGGTGAATTTATGGTGCTGTAAGAATAATTGCCCTTGTTCGAGGGCGGTGGATCCAATTCTTCGACTCCTCTTCTTCTACTGAATCCACCTACACTCGCTGCATCGTTTCGGCCCAGCCTGCCTCGATTCCCCCAAGCTGCCACCACTCTCTTCAACTTCTTGTTTTACGCGCATTTTCTCACTTGGGTTCTTCTTGTCTACACAGCTGCAGCAGAGGCCTTGCAGTGTTCTTTCTCCTAGCTTGTCTTCACTCCCAGACCATCCCGGACACTCCAAAAAGCTTCCGCTCAGACCTTCACCTTTTGCGGGGAAAGCTATCCATCCTCGAGTCCTCGAGAGTACGAGGACATCCTAGGGCTACGTAGCTCCCTCTCCTCCTCTCTGTCCCCGGCCAGCATTCGAACCCTTCACATCCGCCAAAATGAACGGACACTCGACCAAGAGAGACATCAAGAACCATCTCCTGTTCGAGATTGCTACCGAGGTTGCTAATCGAGGTCTGTTGCTTCACATGCGCTTCGGCGAGTTCTATGGGCTGATCTTCTCTAGTGGGGGGTATCTATTCGGTGCTCAAGTCGAAAGCTCCCGTCACAACCGCCGAGTATGGGGACAAGTATACGCTGATAGGACCATGGAACAAGAACTCGGTATGCGCATCATCGCCGCAAGGTGCGAACACCGGCTAACTGGCCCAGGCTGCGGTGGAAGTAGAGGCACTCGAGCCCCCGGCCGGTCCTCTGCGAGAGACGATAGCATCGATGCAAGAACGAGGGATCGAGCTGTTGTACGGAAGGTGGCTGATCGAAGGCGCTCCGCGAGTTCTCCTTATAAACACCGGGACCGGCTATCGCTGGCTGGATGAATGGAAAGGGGATCTTTGGTCTATAGCTGGGATCCCCTCTCCTGCTGGAGACAACGAAACAAACGAGGCTATCGTATTTGGCTACCTTGTGGCTTGGTTCTTGGGAGAAGTAAGATGTTGAAACATTCTCGTGGCACCGCCCAAGACTAACGTGGCCCAGTTCATCTCGCGCGAAAGGGATCGTGCAGTCATTGCCCACTTCCACGAATGGCTTGCTGGAGTAGCTCTCCCTCTAACGAAGAAACGACAGATGGATCTCACCACCATTTTCACCACACATGCCACTCTCCTAGGCCGATATCTCTGCGCTGGTTCGGTCGATTTCTACAACAACCTGCAATGGTTCGATGTCGACGCAGAAGCCGGCAAACGAGGCATCTACCACAGATACTGCATCGAAAGAGGCGCTGCTCATTCCGCCGATGTCTTCACCACCGTCTCCCACATTACAGCCTTCGAGAGCGAGCATTTGCTGAAGCGCAAGCCCGACGGCGTCCTTCCCAACGGCTTGAACGTGAAGAAATTTTCCGCTGTGCATGAATTCCAAAATCTCCACTCGATACAGAAGGAAAAGATACATGAGTTTGTGCGCGGCCACTTCTATGGTCACCTTGATTTCGACTTGGAGAATACTCTATACTTCTTCACCGCCGGAAGATACGAGTATCGAAACAAAGGAGTCGACATGTTCATCGAGTCTTTGGCACGGCTGAACCATAGACTAAAGGTCACCGGCTCAAAACTCACCGTGGTTGCCTTCCTCATCATGCCCGCGCAGACAACATCCTTGTCGGTTGATTCTCTCAAGGGCCAGGCCGTCACCAAGGCGTTGTCCGACACCGTTTCCAACATCGAGCGTGGCATCGGGCGCCGACTGTTCGAGCGCTCTGTTCACTGGAAGGAGGGAGATCCCATGCCCGATGACAAAGAACTCATCACCCCAGCTGATCGGGTGATGCTCCGACGTCGTCTCTTTGCCATGAAACGACACCATCTGCCGGCTATTGTGACGCACAACATGGTGAACGACTCGGAAGACCCTGTCCTCAATCAACTACGCCGGGTCCAGCTCTTCAACTCGCCCTCTGATCGTGTCAAAGTGGTGTTCCACCCCGAATTCTTGAACTCGTCAAATCCCGTCTTGTCGCTGGACTACGACGATTTTGTCCGCGGCACTCACCTTGGCGTCTTTGCCTCGTACTATGAGCCTTGGGGGTACACTCCTGCCGAATGCACGGTGATGGGTGTACCGTCCATCACCACGAACCTGTCTGGTTTTGGTTGTTACATGGAGGAACTCATTGAGAATTCAGCAGACTATGGCATTTACATCGTCGACAGACGTCTCAAGGGCGTCGACGACTCGGTCAACCAGCTGACAGATTACATGTTCGAGTTTGCCAACAAGAGTCGGAGACAGCGCATCAACCAGCGGAATCGGACTGAGCGGCTCAGTGATCTTCTTGACTGGAAACGAATGGGCATGGAGTATGTGAAGGCTCGACAACTTGCACTGCGACGCGCGTATCCTGCGTCGTTTGAAGACGCCGACGAGTTTGACGATATCATTGGTGGCACTGAGCAGAAGATCTCGAGACCATTGTCGGTGCCCGGCTCACCCAGAGACAGATCTGGAATGATGACCCCAGGGGATTTTGCTTCTTTGCAAGAAGGTAAAGAAGGGCTGAGCACGGAAGACTACATCGCATGGCGATTGCCGTAAGTTAGCCTCCCTAAGACACAGTTATCATGCTGACATTTTGCCCAGTGAGGAAGAGGAGCCGGATGACTACCCGTTCCCGCTTACGCTCAAGACAAGAAAGGCCCCGGGCGAATTGGACTCTCCAGCACCCCTGGTCGGAGGTATGAATGGTTCGTGAACTACGACGAACCATTTGGAAGGACATGCGGCGAGCCTGGATAAGCTATTGGACTGCGGATGAGATCTCCAGCCTCACAAGGAACGCACAGTCACAGCCGTTGCTGCAGCCCAGGGTCCCCACCGTCCAAGAATTGTCACTGGACCAAGGTGGTCGGTCAATCACGAAGGCCAAAGGACGATCTTGGTGTTGAAGATGCTCGGTATAATCCCCCTTTAGGCTCTTCTCATGTATGAATAATTTCTGCATTGGGATCTTGTTGGAATTGACAACGATGTGTTTTTGCACCCCGACTTCGGTTCGCTAATAGTATCAGATGCGTGATGTAGCAAGTAAAAGAAATGTTAAGAACTATTATATCTATTCTGTCTGAAGACTGGAGACGTAGTATGCGTCCCGCGTGCGCATGGTGAAGACCCGACTGGCCCCTTGAGCGGGGAAGCAAGCGAGGTTCCGCCGCGTCTTTCAACTTTGACGCTTGGGAAATTTTTTGTTGCCGACCAAATCCACTAGCCATTTCAGGCGCTGCAAGTCGACAATTTTTTGGACATTCGCAAGAACCGGCGCCATAGCCTCTGTCATCTTTATTTTGTAACATCCTGAAGGCTGCAATGGGTGTCGGACGTCGCTTTAAGAAACAGGGACCTCCTGCAACGCTCGAGGAACTGGGTATAAACCTGAAGCGCAAACCCAACAGCGAGTCCTCTCAGGAACCGGTGAAGAAGAGACGCAGATCCGGAGAGACAGATGTAAAGAAATTGGTCAATCTCGACCGAGCCCTCAGAAGCGACCAAGAACCTAGCGACAGACAATCGAGCAAAAAATCTGGCGGGAAAAAACAAAATCAAAAGCAAAAGCTGGTCAACAAAGATGCGCAGATCACTGTTCCTCCCAAATTCCCCTTCCCAGCGGGCGGGACTGACGATGGCGATATCGACGGGGTAGAAGAGTCGGATGAGAATGATGAAAATGCAGCTGCCGGGATCCCACTGGACGAGGCTTCCTTTTCTGAGTTGGACGACGATGAAATTGCGCAGGAAGAACTCGAAGTATCAGATGACTCGGTTTTCGATTCGGATCCAGACGAGCAACCACGACGCATGTTCTCCGAAGACGAAGACGAATCCGACGCCGAGGCGCAGCTCACAGCTGCAAACATCGAGGGACTCTCCCGGAAACTAGACCAAGAGCAGGCTCAAGTTGAGGCAGAAGCACAGCAAGAGTTGGAAGACGGAGCTTTACAGACCAATATTGCTAAAGATGAAGGAGTCTTGGATTCGGCTGCGGCGGCGGCCCAAGGCCTGGCACCAGACCTGGCTGTGGTCCGCTCTCGTATGACTGAAACCATTCGAGTTCTGGGGAATTTTTCGGCGCTCGCAGACAAGACAAAGTCTAGAACGGACTATACCGACCAGCTGCTCGCCGATATCTGCACGTACTATGGCTACACTCCGTACCTCGCCGAGAAGCTGTTTGCGCTGTTCACCCCGGCCGAGGCCTTTGCATTCTTCGAGGCCAACGAGACACCACGTCCCGTCGTGCTGAGGACAAACACCCTGCGCACCAACCGCCGAACCCTCGCCCAGGCTCTGATCAACAGAGGCGTTGTGCTGGAGCCTGTGGGTAAATGGTCCAAGGTGGGCTTACAGGTTTTCGAGTCTCCTGTTCCGCTGGGTGCCACTCCAGAGTATCTGGCCGGCCACTACATCCTCCAAGCCGCCTCTTCCTTCCTGCCAGTCATGGCACTCGCCCCGCAGCCGAACGAGCGCGTCCTCGACATGGCGGCAGCACCTGGCGGCAAGACCACATACATTTCGGCGCTGATGCGAAACACGGGAGCCGTCTTCGCCAACGACGCCAATCGACAACGTGCAAAGGGTCTCATCGGCAACGTTCACCGTCTTGGATGCAAAAACGTCGTGGTGTGTAACTACGATGCGCAGAAAGCGTTTCCAAAGATTCTGGGCGGGTTTGATCGGATCCTGCTCGACGCGCCATGCTCTGGCACGGGGGTTATCGGCAAAGATCCCAGTGTCAAGACGTCGAAGAACGAGCGGGACTTCCTGGCACTACCTCACATGCAGAAGCAACTGCTTCTTGCCGCTGTCGACTCGATCGATCACAAGAGCAAGACCGGCGGGTACATCGTGTACTCGACCTGCTCGGTGACCGTCGAGGAGAATGAAAGCGTCGTTCAGTACGTGCTACGGAAGAGACCCAATGTCAAGATTGTCGACACCGGGCTGGGCAATTTCGGCTCTGAAGGGTTCAAGACGTACATGAACAAGAAGTTCGACGATAAGATGCCATTGACGAGAAGGTATTTCCCCCATCGCGAAAACGTTGATGGCTTCTTTGTTTGCAAGCTGAAAAAGACGGGTCCAACCCCCAAGAGTGCTGGTCAAGTGAATGGATCAGGGGAAGTCGAGGCGAACACCTCGGCTGTCAACGGCCACAAGGCCAAGACAACCAGCGACGGAGAGACGACGGAGGATGCCGTGGATGCAGCGGACGACGGCTTCGGCGGCTTCGACGAAGAGGAAGATCAGAAGTACATTGCGCAGGCCGAGAAGAAGTGGCTCAAAGCCCGTGGTCTTGACCCCAAGGCGGCGGATCGAAAGAGTCAAAGCAAGACGAAAGACGTAGATCGGCAGCAGAGTAAAAAGCCTGGGTCGGGATCAAAGAAGCAAGCCGGAAGGGCCAAGGAGAATGGGAAATAGAACAGCAACAATAAGAATGCATAATTTGTTACGAAGCGTCAGTCAGCGTAGTAACGGTAGTATATCTTTTAAGGGTTTCTCGTTGCTAGAGTGGACTCTTATTAATGTTTCGATTTCTTTTTTTTTTTTATCTTTTATTGCACTGTGCACCCCCGACCACCACCGTACGTACATATATACATGTCAGACAGGGTCATCAACAGGTGTATGAAAGGCAAAGCAGAGGAAGAGGAGAAGAGTGAAAGGTGAAAAGGCGGTGGAAAAAGCTGCTTACGTCGACTCAACCTCCATATGATCCCACTTACGACACCCGCCGCAGTCAACATGATGATGCTGAATACAGCCACCATCCACAGTGCCCGCCGGCGTCTGTGATCTGCGTGCCTTTCTCGCGTCGGTTTCAGTGGTGGTCGGTGCCGCCGCTGATGAGTCGAGTCTCGATCGATGATGGAAGGGGTTCCTGGTCCTGTTCCTGGTCCTAGACCTAGAGTTATGTCGCATTTTTCAATGTCTGACATATGGCCATGGCTGGAGCTGAGAGGCGGTGACACCGGCGATGCCTCGTCAGGACGCAGCTCGTTTGGTGAAATTTGCGACGACGACGACGACGACGACGACGACGTCTGAGAAGGTGGCGGCGGGTGTGACCCTGTCTGACAAGGAACATGGTGTTGATGATGATAGAGGTCCGGAAACAGGGCGACGCGAGGGTATAGGATGATGGTGGGACGCAGATTCGGCAACGAGGTGCTCGGTCGAGGCGGTCGTCGAGGTGGTGATCGTGTTGGTGACGTGAGAGGAGAAACTGGACCGGAACTTGGAGCGGGCGACGAAGGGGTCGGTGACACTGGTGATGATGAGGTCTTTACCGGCGTTTTGAGCCATGGAGGGAATAAGGGGGGAATCGGCATCCGATGACTGACCGGCTGGCTGACTGGCTTTTGTGGTCCAAATAGGTAGGTAGGTAGGTAGGTAAGTGTTCAGAGCACCTAGTACTGCTACCTCTAGGTAGGTACTAACGAAAGGGGTTTCTGGGAAATATGTACCCGGCCATGAACTTGAGTCTTTGGTAGGAGACTCGGGTCGCGCGTGTGCCACTATAGATGTATGAGGAGTGGTGGGCTGAAATGACAGAAAGTGTGCTGCGTTGTCGTACACATTCAATTTTTTATGCAGAGAGGACAGTGCTGCGTGTTGAGCATCAGATCGCGCGCGCAAGAGTCGAGCGATGCAATGCAACAGAGAGACACAAACACACAGGGAGAGAGAGAGACAGAGAGAGACAGAGAGCGAGAGAGGGTGTGTGTGTGAGTGTGCGTGTGCATGTCCGTGTGGGTGCGTAATGGTTGATGGTTGATGATGGAGTAACAAACAACGACATGTCTTGGAACACCCGCGTAACCACTTGATATGCATGTCACGCAGGGCTTCAGCGACTCAATGGCTTCAACGAAGTACAAGTGCCTCAGGTACGACACACCCGCGGATAGATGCATGTGTGGTCGTCGAACCCCCTACGAGGTGGCCATTGTTCTGGAGTTGTACAAGATTGACTTGCGGGCCACGCTGTGAAATGCGAATTGAAGTTGAAGTGTGCCAATAGCAAAGCTGCGGCAATCCTGTTGGTCGTTGAGCCGTTGGAAGCTGTGTACTTCCTATAGATTAATCTGGGATCAAGGATCATCAAGGTGGAACTGGTGAGGGCGAGGGAGGCAATTTCTCGCAACCTGGGGTGTAGCGTCCCATCAGACGCCTGGCAACCACCAGCATGCGTATTGTTCCAGTCATCCTCAATCTTCTGAAAGTCCACACAGTAGGGCTACCTCAGAACCCTACCTGGATACCTACATATCTATCTCTCTATCCCCATGCGGAACGTGGCAGCAATAGCGGCGATAGCATCAGTAGTAGTAGTCGTCTCTCCCGCCTCCCGGGTTGCGGGCCGACCACCATGAAACCTACAGTGCCAACTGATCATCAGGTGCGGCTTTCACCCGGGGCGTCCGGGGGATTCTGGAGAGCGAGAGAGAGAGAGAGAGAGAGAGGTGTGTATATTTGTGTCAGACCACCATATGACATACGGCAGACGACATGTGTGTTCTCGGTTTCCATTGTCCAGCAATGGGCTGCGTAAAAACTAGGAGGCAAAAAAGGTGATGTTCCGGTCAAGGATCAGATGAGGATGGGCTACGGGAGTAATATATCCCTCTTCCAGGTGTTTCCCGATGGTGGATGCCGATGGTTTCCCTGGAGGCTGTTCTGTTTCTTTTAGTTCACTGACGGTCAGTCTGTTATGGACAGGCACAATTTTTGTCGTCGTGAGGTCGTGAGCTGTGACGAATCCCACCCACAGCATTCCGCATTACTTCGTGGGTTCCGAAGACCAGGTCGCCCACGTGATCGGACTAGCCTGATCTGGTGTATTATTGTGGGTCTGGGCGGCCTCGATCCGATGCAGGGCGTTCGGGGCGGGGTAAGAAAAAGGCACATTACTGTACGAACGAGTATTGTCCTCTGTGGCTGGATGAACCAGGAATTGTACAGAGGTAAGATCGGGGTCGGTGGTCCGCATCCCGCACAGTTATTGTTTAGACCACTTGTCCCCAATCTGATAAATAGCGGGAGACTCTCGGGGGCTGAGCTGGAGCGGATAGATACACATATATATAGCAAGGCTTGCCATCCACCCCAGTTGGAACCAAGCCTCGTGCGTTTGTTCTTGTTGATTTTGCCATTCCCCATCACCAATACATAATCGAGGTATTTGTCAGTCTCTGTGGGTTCATTGTTGAACACTCCGGACACCAAAGCAACAAGGAGGAGCACTATTGTCCATTTGACAACAGCAACCAACACATTCAGGATGAACGGAGAAACCAAGTCAGGCGCAGCGTCGCGCTTCGACCCCAACTTTACGCAACATGTCATCGACGCCATGGGGCCCAAGACCTCCCCGCGCATGCGCGAGGTCATGACTAGCCTGACGCGACATCTGCACGACTTTGCCCGCGAGGTCGAGTTGACGGTGGACGAATGGATGGAGGGCGTGCAACTACTCAACTGGGCAGGGCAGATGAGCAATGAGAAACGAAACGAGGGCCAGCTGGTGTGCGACGTCGTGGGTCTAGAATCGTACGCTGCAATTTCGAATGGATAGAAAGTCTGGGAAGGTTCATGAATTGCTAACTCTGTGACGCACACAGCCTCGTGGACGAAATCACGTACAAAAAGGCCTCCGAAGCCACCGACGTGGCCACCCAGAGTGCCATCCTCGGACCCTTCTTCAGACACGACCATCCGATCCGAGAGAAGGGCGCCACGATCTCGTTCAACACCCCCGACGACGCCACCGTCGTGTACATGTATGGTCGGGTGATGGATGCAACGACGAAGAAACCGTTGGCCAACGCCACGATTGACGTCTGGGAAGCTTCCACAAATGGTATGTGTGAATTGAACCTTGGAGATGGCACCACATCACTGCATTCTCTCGTTGCACGTGCAGTGTTTTCTGACTCTTCGTTTTCGGGGACGGCTGTAGGTTTGTACGAACAACAAGACGATAACCAAGTGGACTGCAACCTCCGCGGGAAGTTCATTACCGATGAGAACGGCGAATACGCCTTTTATTGCCTGCGGCCGACGCCGTATCCTATTCCCTACGACGGACCTGCTGGCAAGTTGTTGCAGCTGCTGGATAGACACCCGTATCGTCCGGCGCATATTCATCTGATTGTGAGTGATGGACCGCAACCGTGCAACAAGACCCCCCTCGAGAAAAAGCAAGCCGCTTACCGTTGTCTGCTCGTCTAGGTTCTCATCGAGGGCTACAAGCCTATCACGACGCAAATCTTCGACAAGGACAGTAAATACCTCGACGACGACTCCGTGTTTGCCGTCAAGGACTCTTTGGTGGTGGAATTCGTGCCCCGAAAAGGTGACCCTCAGGCAAACTTTGAGTTGAACTATGACATTATGATGGCGCCCATCAGTTCCAAGGGCGAATCGGGCCCGGAGAATGGACTGTCGACCGTCGGACAACCACAGTATTGAGACGGTGAGTTTGAGGGTCGTAAAGGGCTGATGATGTATGTAATAGTGTTCTCCTGTCCATATGTATTGTTTCAGCGAATCGATGTCCTTGTGATCTTGACGGCGAAGTGACTTTGCTCGTGCGAATGATTAATCAACTGTTTCTATCGGCTGTGCACCTCGGCTCTGGCATGTGGCTGCAGTCTCTAGCGGTGTCAGCACAGCCCCCATTGGTGCGTGAGGGGGTTCTAGCCGGGGCATGTGACTCGGCGCACTTGCTTGACTGGGGAAACTTCTCCCGCTAACCTTCAGCTCTGGCTAATAGCGAGTCCCTTGCTCTTTCGCAATCGTGCTCGTATTCGTATTCGTACTCCGGCCCGTGTGTACGTGTATGTGTGTGTGACTGTCCATCCATGGCCCGGAAAACCCTCCACGTCTCGTTTCCCCAGAAGTTGAGATCCTTTTAATTTGCCCACTTCCGACGACTCTCCAGCTTTTCCAAAAACTTCCACAACTCCACGCACGAATCTGCCCACCGTGGTGCCATATCCGACTCGAGGCTCCGAACACGTCCATTGGGTTCCCGGCTAAGGTGGCCTGGGACTCGCGTGCTGCCGTTCGCCCACGTCACAGATTACGAAAAGTTATCTGGAGCCGAATCAGATGCCTCGACCCCGGGTTAAGGACGAGGATCGGAAAAGAGTCGCGCGCGCGTGCGACACGTGCAAACGACGCAAGGAGAAATGCGATGGCCAGTTTCCGTGTCTGTTGTGCAAGCGACGTGGTCGTGAGCCAGAATGTGTCTTTACAGAGGCCTATTCCAAACGGGGGTCTACTGCGCCGCGCAAAGAAAAGCCCGCCGCCCAACAGCCGCCCTCGCAACCCATGACTCTAAAAGACGCCCTGAGTGACTCCAACGATGCCGAAATCGCCATCGAATCGCTGTTGACGCTCTCCGGGTCCAGGAGCGCTCCCAAGTCGCCACAGTACGACCGGGAGCAGGATGGATTGATCTCGAGGGCACCGGTGCCCAAACTCGCAAGACTTCTCCGCGACGGCAGGGGCAAGTTCATCTTTGTCGGAGACTCGAGCAATTTGGCCTTCGTCCAAAACATCCGCAGGCTCGTCAAGGCGGAAATCGGTGAATGCGGCCTCACGTCCGACCCTCTTCGTCATGCCATGTGCGAGGTGATACCCCCACACCAGATCCCTTCGCCGCTGCAGACCCAACACCCTAAGCCGACTGAGGCGGAGGCGAGGGATCTGCTCAAACACTACCTGTTGGCCTCGAGCGGTGTGATCGACCTGTTTGACCCGGACGAGATTACGGAGCACCTGTGCGTCTGGACGCAGGACTCGACGTCCGACACCGACTTCAACAGCGCCATCTACTATCTGATCATGGCCATTGGAGCCATTTGCCGCAACGCCGGCGACCTAGACCAGGCCGAGTTCTACTTCACGCGAGGCCGAGAGATCGGTGTGCCCAGCTTCCTCGAGGACCCGAGCGTGCTGACCATCCAGGCCTACGCCCTCATCACGTTCTACATGCTCTCGGCCACGCGCCGCAACGGCGCCTTTATGTTGCTGGGCATCGCCGTGAGGGCGGCGTATGCGCTAGGCCTGCACAGAAGCGACATCTCCAACCTGTTCGAACCTCGCGAGAGGCTCGCGCGAGAAAGGGTGTGGAAGAGTCTACGCGTGCTTGACCTCTACATGAGCGGCTCGCTCGGTCGGCCACCCGCCACGTCCGAAGTCGACGGCGGAAGCGTGTCTTGGAACAAGTCTACGCGAGACTACGAGGGGATACAGATGAATGGTCGGAACACGTCGGCGACGCTAAGAATTTGCTTCATTTTTGAAAGAATACTAAATGAGGTCTACTGCCGCCGCGAGGTCTCGGTGCAGCTCGTGGAAAGCATATCGAGGCAATATCGGGATTGGACCATGCAATTACCTGCAGGCTTACAGGCCGACAGCCTGGACCAGAAGGCAGGCACCACGGCACCGACATTGCGGCAAACAATAGGTATTGCCCATCTCAAGTGCCAGTACTATTGGTCCATCATCTTGTTGACCAGGCCTTTCTTAATCTTCAAGGTGTCGTCCAAGATCAAAGGACGGCAAGACGAGGACAACACTGCCGGCAGCTCTGTGACCATGACCCTCAGTGAGGCGTGCATCGACGCTGCGTTGAGAAGTGTTGAGATTGCCACTGACCTGGTCCACATCCCTGGCGTGCCCAAAAGACTGTTCATGGTCGCCAACAGCGTCTTCATCTCAGCTATGGTCATCGGCTTCGCCATCTTTGGCGACTTTGACAAGTCCTTTCCCCTGCTGAGCAGCATTGTTCAAGCAGAGTCCATCCTTGCCATGATGGCCAAGGATGATCTCTCCACTCGGCGACACGCCGAGATCACCAAAAATCTTCATCTTGCTGCCTTGGAACATATCAAGAGGCGTGACCAGATTCAAATGCAGAAGCGACGACAAGATATCCTCAACATCTTTGGCGATCCTATCAACAAAGGTAACGGGGTAAGATCCACAGGAACCACGACCGGAGACCAAACTCCAGTCGACACCGGAAAGGCGCCACTGACAGACCAGACCAACGGTCTGGGGGATTTCGACACCACCGAGCAGCTTGAAGATGCGCCGCCGCCATGGCAATTGCGCTTCGACATGCCGCCCGAAAGCCGTGGACCGGTGCTCACCACGTCTGGAGCGTTGGCTTATAACGGTGAGGACGGAGGGGACCAACTGCAGATGCTTCCGCGACAGGATTTCAGCCAAATGCACGACGCAGATGGTCTCTCACCGGACGGGTCGGGGGTGCCGAGTCTGCCATCCTATGCCGAGGAGTTCCCGCTTTTCTCGTTAATGACGGACTTTGATCAACTGCAGGACCCGTTTCCACTGCCAGGACCTTGACTGGGATGCCAAGCCAGAAAAACCATCTTTCACCATGCCAGGTGCACCTATTCAGATTTCTTCGCCGCAGAAAGCTGAATGAAGGGAGCGGTGCAAGCTTTGGCCATCCATCCCGAGAAAAGCCATGCAAAGGCTGCTATCAAAACCAGGTACAGAGCTGTCGGTATAAGAGACTCAGGGAAGACGTTCCAGATGTATCGGTCCAAAATAATGTCGACGATCACTGGTGGTGGTGCCGTCATCAATGTATCATTCAGACTGAAATAGTCCGCAGCGGCAAGAATCTGAAGAAACAGAATCGTCGTGTCTGGACGAACAGCCGTCTTGCGCTGTTGCAGTGACTCCATGTCTCCGGCGCTGAGCTTTTCATGCCGCCCATAGGCGTAATCGCTCACTGATAAGAGGAGGCTACTGTCCGAAAGCACGGCGTCTACTGGGAAGGTCGCAAGTGAGAACGCTGTCGGTTGGGTGGCCGGCCAGCATATGCGAACTTCGTAACGCTGTTGCGGCCGAAGGCCTTCCAAGAAGAACCAGTGCACCTGTCCATCTCGGGCCGAACTGTTTGGAAAGCTTACATCGAGCTCAGTTCTAACCGTTGGGCGTTCTTCGGAGAGGGGTACCAGGAGGAGATTGGCGAAACTGGCGTCCGTCGGGTATGGCTCGGCCAGAGAGGATGTGAATATGACCTTCTCGACATTTGAATAGGCAGTTTGACTGTATGTGAGCACTACAAGGAATATGAAAGACGCTGAAATCATATCGCCTGCTGCTCACTTCGACGTTATGCTTGTCGAAAAGGACATGTACGGTTCGTGTTTGGAGGGTGAGGCGAATAAGTGTCATTTCTTTGTCCTCTGCAGCTGTGTGCTCCGCTGTAGCGCTCCGCCGTAGAAAGTAGCGACGGAAGGCCAGGGAATGCACGTGATTGGTCTGACACGTCTTTTCACGGGAAAATCGCTTATTGGCCCCGGCACCAGGGGACAAAGGCGGTGAGCGAACGACGGCGCGCGCACTTGTCAACAATTAACGATCGACCACCAAAGGCGGCGCCAAAACCACAAACCCCCCCACAACCGCAGCCAGCAATCAACAACCATCCCATCCTTCGTTCATCCCCTGTCCTGCTGTTGCTGGTCTGTAAATTGTTCGTTTTTGCATTCCATCCTCCTCTTGTATTTGTGCAAAGTCTCACGTCCCCTCCCCGCCATCATGAGAGAAGTTATCAGCTTGAACGGTACGTCGTGACACGCGTCGAGATGATTGATCCCTCGAGAGCCCCCTCCCCCTGATCACCGCTTCTGCAGGAAAACTGAGCTAACTTTTGTGTCTGCGCAGTCGGCCAGGCTGGCTGTCAGATCGCCAACTCGTGCTGGGAGGTATGAATGCACCTGTCCTCTACCACTGTTCTGTTGTCGACGACTGACGGATCCCGGTGACTGCAGCTTTACTGCCTCGAACACGGCATTCAGGTGAGCCCTTGATGTTGATTGACGTCTTCATTCACGGACTGACTCGTAACCTCCCAGCCCGATGGATACCTCACTGAAGAACGAAAAGCAGCCGACCCCGACCAGGGATTCAGCACATTCTTCTCCGAGACAGGTACGAACTTGGCTGAACGACAGGCCTCGGTACGGTCCTTGAATGCTGATTCCTTTACGCAGGTAACGGCAAATACGTCCCCCGCACCATCTACTGCGATCTCGAGCCCAATGTCGTGGACGAAGTCCGCACTGGCGCGTACCGAAGCCTTTTCCACCCGGAGCAGATGATCACAGGAAAAGAGGATGCGTCCAACAACTATGCTCGTGGCCACTACACCGTCGGCAAGGAGCTCATTGATCAGGTTCTCGACAAGGTCCGCCGCGTGGCAGACAACTGCAGTGGTCTTCAGGGTTTCCTAGTCTTCCACTCCTTCGGCGGCGGTACCGGTTCTGGCTTTGGTGCCTTGCTCATGGAGCGCCTCTCGGTCGACTATGGCAAAAAGTGCAAACTCGAGTTCTGCGTCTACCCGGCGCCCCAGGTGGCTACCTCTGTCGTCGAGCCTTACAATTCCATTTTGACCACCCACACCACCTTGGAGCACTCGGACTGCAGTTTCATGGTCGACAATGAGGCCATCTACGACATCTGCCGACGAAACCTCGGAATTGAACGCCCGAATCTGGAGAATTTGAACAGATTGATTGCCCAAGGTTGGAAAGTTCAGAATCAAGGTGTATTTCTCTAGCTAACCCAGGTTGTACAGTCGTTTCTTCCATCACTGCCTCGCTTCGATTCGATGGTTCCCTCAACGTCGATTTGGCCGAGTTCCAGACCAATCTCGTCCCTTACCCACGCATCCACTTCCCACTGGTTGCCTATGCACCAGTCATTTCTGCCGCAAAGGCTCAGCACGAGGCTAACTCGGTTCAAGAGATCTCCATGTCTTGCTTCGAGCCCAACAACCAGATGGTCAAGTGTGATCCACGCAACGGCAAATACATGGCAACTTGCCTGCTGTACCGAGGCGATGTTGTTCCAAACGACGTTCATCAAGCTGTCGCTACCCTGAAGACAAAGCGAACCATTCAGTTTGTGGATTGGTGCCCTACCGGATTCAAGATCGGAATCTGCTACCAGCCGCCTCAGATGGTTCCCAATGGAGACCTCGCCAAAGTCAATCGTGCAGTGTAAGTCAAGGTCATTTATCTCCCCCACCGAACCAGGACTGATATATCTAGGTGCATGCTGTCCAACACGACGGCCATTGCTGAAGCCTGGTCCGCGCTGTCGCACAAGTTCGACTTGATGTACTCCAAACGCGCGTTTGTGCACTGGTATGTTGGTGAGGGTATGGAGGAAGGTGAATTCTCCGAAGCTCGTGAGGATCTTGCTGCACTTGAGAGAGACTACGAAGAGGTTGCCAGCGACTCGATCGAAGAAGGAGAAGGCTCAGAGCTGCTTGAACACTAGTTCGGCCATGGATTGTCTCTTCGTACTGTTTAGTCACATTACCAAGCTCTCGGTTGAGCATTGCAAGGAGTGCAGGAGCCGTGATTATTTTCTTAGTACTGTTTGATCGCGCTGCAGGGTGCGCAGACCCTTGAAGAAAGAAAGTCTCTGCGAGACGAACATAATTGGACCTTGACCACCTACCCAGATCGTTCCTAGATGGCTAGGAGCACGAGGCGAATTGATCTGTTACACAGTGTATGATTGATTTGTATGAGTGAGTTCATGCGGTTCATCGCCGAGTCCTGTACGGGTATTTATCCAGACGCCATCGTACCTTCATATTGTACAGAGCCGAGTGGTAATACATCGGGGGCTTGTAGGCGGTGGCTGGTCAGCAAACATGGGCGAGGGCTCATTACCAGGGTCCCTTACCTGGTCCGTAGTACCTGGTCCGTAGTACCTGGTCTCTACTAGGTAAACTCGGAGATACAGGCACCGGGACCTTGAGCTGGAGACTCCACTGGAGCTTCTGGTTCTTGGCACCGGCAAGCAACAGCAACAGCAGCAACAGCAATAGCGGCAAGTCGTCGCTCGGGTTCGTCATCGCGCTCCCTCCTACTCAGTGCCTACACTTCCTGTACACTGCACCTAATTCTCCAGCCATTTCTTGATGCGCGAGTACCACCAAGAGCCGACAGGCTTCCTTCTCTGACCTCCTTTGATTCCTGCGTGCGATTCTTGTCAACTTCGTACAGCCCCCAGCAAGTCTTTCTTACTTCCATGCCGTCTTACGTTGCCCGCATCTCCTAGTCTTACCCGCTTAATCCGTCGCAACCGCGACTTTTCACACCTGCATCGGCCATGGCGGAGAGCATAGGATCGTCTGCTTCAGGTTCGTCCTTTCTGTCGCTTGACTCATGTTGCTGCGGTCGCGCTGTGTTGACAAATATTCTCTAGGCCACCCGAACCTGAACCTCTCTGCCGAAGAGAAACGAGTCTACGGACAACTGCTGAAAGACGCCGACCCAGATGGCTTTGGAGCTGTTTCTGGGGACGTGGCTGTCAAATTCTTTGAGCGCACAAAGCTCCCTCCCGATGTTCTTGGACAGGTCAGGATGAGTTGCTCATATGAGGACGAGAGCTGCCGCTGACGACAGGCAGATCTGGCAGATTGCCGACACAGAAAATCGAGGCTTCTTGACACCGGCTGGCTTTGGAGTTGCATTGCGATTGATCGGACATGCACAAGCCGGCAGAGTCCCCTCTGCACAGTTGGCACCGCAACGTATGGACACTGCGTACTGAAACCTGCTGGCGTGGGCTAACATTTTCCAGCGGCTCCTCTGCCTCGATTCGATAACGCTGCAGGTGAACAGCCACAACCTGCACCACCGCAACCGCAACCGCAACCTCAATCCATTCCTCAGCAGTTAACCGGAACACCGACAAGCCCTGCTGCCGCGGCTCATCCAATTCGCGTCCCAGCCTTGGGCCCCGACAAGGTTGCGGAGTATTCGTCGTTATTTGAAAAGTCAGGTGCAGAGAATGGCTTTCTCTCAGGCGTGGTTGCCAAGCAGATATTTGAGAGAGCGAGGCTACCAAATGATGTTCTTGGGAGGATCTGGGCATTGTCCGATACCCAGGGACGAGGTAGCCTGGATGTCACAGAGTTTGTCATCGCAATGCATCTCCTGACATCCTACAAGTCTGGGCAGATGCGAGGCGTTCCCAGCGCCTTACCACCCGGCCTGTACGAAGCCGCCAGCCGCCGAACACCTGTGCGGATGGGCAGCGGTTCACGGCCAGGTTCCAGTGCACTCCATGGTGTACCTCCCCAGCTCCCTGCCTTCAATGCAAGGCCACAAAGCCCCATTACCCGTCAACAGGTCAGCACACCACTGTCTGCGCAATCCACCGGTGAAGCCTGGGCGATCACTCCTGCCGATAAAGCCCGCTTTGATACCATTTTTGCGAGCATTGACCGTCAAGGGTCGGGTTATATTGATGGCGAACAAGCCGTTGAGTTCTTCGGCAATGCTCGGCTCCCGGAAGAGGTTCTCGCACAAATCTGGGACCTGGCAGACATCAACTCGGAGGGTCGATTAAACAAAGATGAGTTCGCTGTTGCCATGTACTTGATACGGCAACAGAGGGCTACGAGAGATGGACGGGGCAATTTACCCCCAACTCTGCCTCCCGCCCTGGTTCCCCCGAGTATGCGGAAGCAGCAAGCACCTCCGCCTCAGCCTACCGCGCCATCTTTTGAGAATGCGCCTGTCACCAAGCCTCGATCTGCCGCTGACGATCTCTTCGGCCTCGATGCTTTTGGACCTACGCCCTCTGTTCCAACACCTGCCATACCTCAAGTTGCACAATCTACAGGTGGCACTGACGCCGGTCCTTTCGCCAACCCTCCAAGCTTTGCTGCAAGCCTTTCTCCTCAGCATACATCAACAACCTTTAAACCCTTCATTCCTTCGAGCTCTTTTGGACAAAGTATTATCCCCCAGTCGACTGGCTCTCCTGCTCCGCAAGCAAAATCACCTCCTATGCCAAGTGACGATCTTCTCGGAGACGCAGATCCAGAGATCAGTTCGAAACTCACAAGTGAGACAAGCGAGCTAGGGAACCTGTCAAATCAAGTCAGCACTTTGTCCAAACAGATGACTGAGGTCCAGGGAACCAGGAAGCAAACGGAGCAAGAGATTTCGACCACTTCGGCGCAGAAAAGAGCCTTTGAAGGTCGACTGGCTCAGTTAAGGTCACTGTACGAGAAGGAAGTTCAAGAGGTCAAGGCGCTTCAAGAACAATTGACTGTAAACAAGACTGAGATTAAAAGACTGCAACAAGATATGGCGATGATAGATGGTACGCACCAGGATCTTTCCACTCAACACCAACAACTACGTACGCAACTGGAGTCTGATCAACGCGAGAATCTGGCTCTGAAAGAAAGAATTCGGCAAACCAATCAGGAAGTAGACCAATTGAAACCCCAGCTTGACAAGCTCAAGTCAGAAGCACGTCAAACAAAAGGGTTGGTGGCCATCAATAAAAAACAGCTGGCGACTAATGAGACAGAACGAGACCGAATCAAGGCTGAAATTGCAGCTGCCCAACAAGAACTTGAGGATGCGAAGAGAGAGGCCGAAGAATCTGCCCGACAGGTCGAAGCTTCGAAGAGGGAAGTAGAGGACGCCCAGAGAGAGGCTGAAGAATCTGCACGACAAGTTGAGGCTTCGAAGAAGGAGTTAGAAGAGGCACGTAGCGTCCCCACTCCTTCTGTCAAAAGTCCTCCGCCTGTGGCGAGTCCGGCCCCTTCGACGAACTCCAATCCGTTCTTCAGACGCACCACCGAGACCAGTTTCTCTCCGCCAATCTCTGAAGAACAACCGAAAGACCACAGCCAGAATGCTTTTGATAGTATTTTCGGTCCATCATTCGCTTCGGCTGCTTCCCCTGCGCCTGCCGTCTCCTTTTCGAGTTCCTCGCCTCCGGCGGGCTCGACAAGTGCTCAACCGAGCGAGACGGGTGAATCCACGCCATACCGTGCCCCAGGGGAAGCGCCACCTCCGCCTGAGTCGCGGCAGCTGACCTCTGCTTCTCTCCCATTCCGAAGACCGCTGGAAAGAGAAGACTCTATTAGCTCTTCAGTCAAGGTAGCAGTACCAACGAGCCGACTTAGTCCTTCCGACACGCCTCGCGCGCTGACGCCGACGACCTCTACGTCGAGCCCGTCAGGGGCCCCGCAATCGCACGACGATCCGTTCACCACCTCAGCACCGGATGAAGAACAAGAATCTGTGCGACAAACACTTCCTCAGCCCTCCTCGGGTGACACGGCAGAAGATGCTTTTGGGAAGCCGTCGTTAGGCTCATTCGGCATTCCAGGCGCGTTCCCTTCCAATTCTCGATCAGCTACTCCTGCTGAAGGCACAAGCTCACGTACCGCGACTGCCGGAGCTGAAATTCCTGCCGCTGCTACTGCCGCGATTGCTGCAAGCGTCTCAAGCGAGGATACAGCAGCTCGAGACGGGACGACAGGGCCCGCACTTCCATCCACGGAACGGAATTTCGATGATTACTTCGGCGGACCTGTCCATCAGCGAACAGCGTCGCAGAAGGCTGCCGATTTCGATTCAGCATTTGCTAGTATACAGCAGCCTCAGGCAACGAATGGCGCCGGTGACAGCGCGGGCAAAGAATTTCCCGACATACAAGAGCTGGATGGAGACGACGACAGCAGCGACTACAGTGACGAGACACCCATGAAATTTGATGATGACTTCACCGCCAAATCTCCTCCCAAGGACACTTCGAACGGCGGCGACATCAAAGCGGGAAAACAGCGCGAATTTGAACCTGGCGCCGACGCCCATCGGCCCTCCTTGCCACAGGCAGCATCTACTGCAAGCTCGCTCCCACCCCCGGACGCTCAAACATCACCTCCAACATACGGCGATGTCGTTCCTCATGATGACCCTGCGCATTTTCCTCCGGAGTTCAAGGGCTTGTTGCCGGAGAGGCAGGATCCTACTTTGTCACCACCAACTGAGGGAGGCTCCAGTAATCCCGGTCCACTCCCATCTGGCGAGCCACCTGCCTACGGTCCTGAAGCTCATGCCAGAAGTCCCAAAGAGTCGAAAGCGTCTGCACCTCCGCCGACCGTAGCTGCGCCTTTCGACTTTGACAGTGCCTTCACTGGCGTAGGCGCAGCACCGGTAGAGGACGACAACGACGAGGACGAGGACGCTGGTTCTTTCACTGCCTCCAAGACCGCAGCCGATTTCGACCCCACGTTTGACTCGCCACCACAAGCACGGTCCTCGGCTGCTCCTCATCCGACGACATATGGCGCCGGGACGACGAATGGAGCTCATCAGGGAGGGGGTGAGAACTTCTCATTCTCGAATGGGTCGCCCGGTGGGCCTGGAACTGGTCCCAATGTAGCAAGCTCACATGATTGGGATGCTCTTTTCGCGCCGTTAAACACCAATACAGCCTTTCCCGCGACAGAGCCAGCAGGACAAGAAGCTGCGCCTCCTGCTGTGCAGCCTGCAGAAGCGACGTCTGCCTCGGCCACCCCAGCCTCAGCCAGTTTGGCAGCCCCGGCTTCTAAACCACAGCGCCCGCAGCCTGGTCGTGCTTTAAGTACCGGCACTGAGCATGACGATCCAATTCTCAAAAGGTTAACGGCAATGGGATGGTCGCGCGAGGAAAGCTTGGCTGCGCTCGAGCAATTTGATTATAACATTGACAAGGTGAGATCTCCATGGCTTGTACAACCACATCGTTGCGACTATTGCTGACAGATGACTAGGCTGCTGATTTCTTAACATTCCGTTCCTGACGTTGAGCTCCGACTGTGGTGTGTTTATGGAGGAGACTTGAGAGCGGCAAAAGACCCATTGCTAGCGTTTCAAAGAAAGTTGAGCCTTCGTAAAGCAAGCTACCAAGGTAGATGTGGCCTTGACTCGCTATTTCCAAGCCAAGGAAAGAGAAAATAGTTTTTTGTGTGATCATATTGAGCGTATAATGGGATTTATCAAGACTTTTGTCGCAAATGTGATGCAACTTCCGAATTAATATGTCAGGTATATATATATTTATATACTTCTTATTACATATCCCGACCCGTGCTTCCTTTGTTCCTTTGGCCGACGAATGAGCACACCCTAAGCACATACACTGCGATCTGGCTGCTGATCACCCTGATGCAGATTTCAAGAGCTGTTCCGAAGACAAGGCTACCAGACTAAGCACTGTCGGCGACTCAGCTTATGTTCCTCCTTACGCGCTTTGCGACCAATTCAGCCCAAGTCTCAGATCGTGTAATATTGGCTCCCATGCGGCCAATGATCTGCCGCCTCCACCCTGGCAACTTTCTTTTCACATCGTCACAGCAGTGCGCCACGCGCTTCCTTGGAACTCATGTCTCTTCAGATACATGTCCCTGGGCGACCCCTGACTTCACCAGGGGGACGCTCGATCATGCACCTGTGCAACAGTCCCGTATATGTACACCATCTCTGGCGTGTTATGGTTCTCAGCAACACGGATATTTTCAACCTGTTTGATGCATCCATGATTAGCTGGTCGATCCCAATCAGCAAACATGAGCGTCCCGAGATTGACTGCCGACGTCTCGTCGCGTGAGGAGGCTGAATCTCTTGCAAAGTTGATCTCGTCCGGTCAAAAATTTGAACGCGTCGTGATGACTATCCCTGGACATTTGCTTCATCAGCATGCACGTTAGTATTCATGTTTCCATATTTGCTCTATGATGATTGCTTAACATCGGAAATCAGATGATGAAGATGAGCCTGCAACAAAACAACAGAGATCACATCAGCGAAGCACACATCCAAAGCGGCATTTTTGGAGATTGCGGGACGGGCTTACCAGCACGCCTACGCAGGAAAATATTAAGGAGGCTGATTCGCCGAGTGGTAACATGTACAGTGGCCAGCGAACGCAGTTGTATACCAATGGAAGCATTGACTTTTACCCTCTATGGACGAAGGGGGTGTCAGAACATTCAGCAGAATCCCATACCTACAGCACCGCGGCTTTGGATCTGTTTGAGACCCTCGAATGTTCCGGACTTCGACAGTTCGTGTTAAGTCCCGACCTGAGGGAGGACACTAAGTTCCTTTACGGAGGCCGTGACGACGTCGCAGAAGGCGCAAGCTACAGGATCTGTACGAGGCTGATGGTAGTGAACGGGAGCACCAAGCTCGTTGCTATCAAGGTTGTCAAAGGCTCGCTCTACAGCTCACAATTATCATCTCATGGCGCTGCCGCCGCATCGAGGCTTCAGACAATCCGCAGAGATATTTTGATCATGACCAGACCACAATACAGGAAGCAAGGTGGCCATCCCCATGTTCTGTCATGCCTTGGTTACGGTTGGAATGCCACCAAAGAGGCGGCAGTATCTGCATTTCTGGTAGTGCCATGGGCACAGCACGGGAATTTGCGCGACTTCATACGGGGACTACACGTCTCGTATGCTACAAAGAAGGAACTTTTCAAACAAGTATGTCTTGGCCTCAGATCCTTGCACATGCATGACATCGCACACGGCGACGTCAAGATGGAAAATGTGCTTGTCTTCAACCGTCCTCATCTGGAGACAGAAGAGGGCATACGAGACTATGAGGTTGCACGAAAAAAATACCCTCAAGTGCCGCCAATCTCAGAGAACGTACACCTACGCCTGTGCGATTTTGGCTGCTCGGTCTCGACAAACAGCGATAGTTACATTGGTACCACGGTCTACAATGCCCCCGAGGTTCGTAGTGGAGCTGTCAACCACACACTTGCTCATGGCAAAATGTCCAGGTTCACCAAATGCGACATCTTTTCGTGTGGGCTCCTCCTTGTGGAAATGCTGTTGGACCGTCGAAGTATCGCTTCGGAGGACAAAGTGCAGACGATGGATCTCGGTGAGAAATCAGAACTTCCGGCGCTTGACTTTGCCCTAGATCTTGTACTCCAGATTTCGGCAGATTCAAGATGGAGCGAAAGAGGACGCGTTGTATTCGGAGATCTCTTCACCAGCATTTTCAGTGCAACTTTGAAATTTCGTCCAGACCAGAGACACTCAGTGGACCACCTGCTAGACCTGATCGAAAGGGCCACATGGCGGTGAGCGCATACCCCAATTCTTGACACCGTGGATTGCCCTGGTTCTGTCAGAAGCAAAAGAAGCTTACATCTTGCATAGGTTGACTTTCGCTTCGGATGACGACGAAACGCTGAAGCTCATCATAGGCAATGCCGGCACGCTGAACCTCTACGATCCCATGCATCAATTAAACCAAATCGATCCACTTCCACAAGTATGCTATCCTTCTTCATCCTCAATGGGATCAGTTTAGCACAGTACGAACTAACGTTTCGCAGCCGGGCGATGAAGACTTACCTCGTGTTGACTTTGAGAACTTGCCCCTTTCCATGATCTCGCAGCTCGTTTCCTCCTGGTATGAGACGTCTGTCAATGGGAAAGGCGAAGCCGCTGACCTGGCTGCTGACCGTGTGGTTTTGCTCTGCCTGGAGCGAAGGTGGACAAAAGTGACGGACACGGATGGATTTCTCTCAATCCTCGAGACCTATGTTCGACAATGTCGTGGGCACCATGCCCCACTTCTCTACTACAGATTATTGCACTCACTAGGTCGAGCAAGACCAAACATCGTCGTCAACAATCCTCAAAGTCAAGAAATAATCGACCTCGAGTGTAGTCTCGTGGATGGATGTGTTTCAAACGCAGAGTACGAATATGAGCGAGTGAGGTCCTACCGAAATCTCATTAGATCGACAACCAAGACTACTCTGCCTGATGAGCTGGTTGAGCAACAGGTGCGCCTAGCTATCCCGAAAGAGAACAGTGCGCACCTGCTTTGGAACGTTACAAGCATTCGCCATGTATTCCACAGCCCTGAGGTGTTGATTTGGCTTGTGCAAGCGGGCGAAGTGTCTATTCTGCGAGAAGTGCTGCACGCAGACGAGACCGCGCTGAATTCCAATAATGCTTCGTTGGTGCACAGATTGTTGATGGAGGCTTGCAGAATGGGCTATCTGGAAGTTTTGGAGTGTCTGTCTGATGCTAACCGCGTTAATTTTTCGAAATTCAAGCTCCCAAGCAACAAGAATCCCTTGCACTTCCTCGCCACGTTCGACCGCGCAGACGTTGACCAGGCAATTTCCCTTCTGATGAAGGCGGGATACAGTTTGAATGATGATGTTGACAAGGACGACGGGATCCGTTATACATTTTTGCCTCACTATATGTTCTGGGGATCACCTCTCTCCGTTGCTGTGATGCATAACCGCACCGACATTGTGCGCGCATTACTCGATCAGGGGTCAGAGGTCAGGTCCATGGGCAGGCATCACAGCTCCCCTCTCAACATTGCGGCCCGCTGCAATAGACCTGAGATGGTGCGTCTTCTCTGTGAAAGGCTCCCCGACAAGAAAAATATTACTATGTCCCCATTGCGGACCCTTGCACTTGGGAATCCGTATGGCCAGGAGCTCGTGAGTGGGACAGAAAAAGTCAAGATGTTAGGAGAAACCGTAGAACTGCTCATAAAGTACGGCTTCGATATAAATGAGCAAGCAGAGGCTATTCCCGCGGCTGGCTACCATGCGGAAATCAACATCTTCGAGCGTGCGCTGCGCGATTGCGACTTCACGGTTGACTTTTGCGTGCTTGATGTGTTGCTTGACTGTGGGTTCAAGTGCGAAGTACCCGCACCCTCGCTACCAGAACATCTCGAGCGACACCACGAAGGAATTCAAGTCCGGCTAATAGCCTACCTCATCGAGCGAGGGCTGGTGTCTGCGCAGAGTGACTTGCGTGGCCTTTGCTACACTTTGGTGTATCGAGGGATGGCAGGGACGCTCGACGTCGTGTTGAGAGGGCTGCCCGAATGCAAATCTTTCTTAGGCGGGGAAACCTTTCTAGACGGACATGTGTCACCGCTCCAGTTTGCCGTCAGTATGCGCGCTGAAGCAGACATGATGACTGTCCTGCTCGATCACGGCGCCTCAGTCAATGGCACTGTGGAATTTACTGGATCCAGTGGATTGCGGCACTCCATGACATACTTCGAGGTTGTCGTAAGTAGTGGCCAGCCGGATGTCATCGATCTCTTCATCGACCGTGGTGTCGAGATCACGCCGAACATGCTCATGTCTTTTGCCGCCGACCGCCACCTACGCGTCAACGAAAATCACATCCTCCACCATCTGCTGCGCATAGAAGACGAGAACTCGGATAGCGAACGGGTCCGTCATTTGCATGTAGTCATGCTCCTTGGGCAGACGGTCACTGACGATGAAGACGGCGAGATTGTTTACGAAGCTCTCCTGAATATCGCCGTCACGCGGTTCAATCTGGATGCGATTCTCAGCCTTCTTTCGATCCGTGTACCTATCCAGGATTGGCTATACCAGAAGCTGATAATTATACTCGTGACGCATGCCATCGTTGCCGGCTGCTTGGCCAAAGACGCTCAAGACAAATACATCAAGGAAAAGGGATTCGAAAGCCTGCGCCAGTTTCTCATCGCCATATGGAAGCTCCTGGTCCACTGGGCTCTTCAACAAGAGGAGTCATCATCATCATCAGAGGACAGTCTGGGCTTTTCCTACCTGCACTGGGCTGCGATCATGTCCGATCCAGAGATCACGCACGAATTGATCGCCGGTGGGGCCGATGTGTTTGCCCAAGGCTGTGGGGGACACGTTGCGCTGGACGTGGTGTCCCTGGTATCTTTTCGTAACGACGACGATGGTGGCGACGACGACGGACTGGACGCCTTTACTCGGGTTTATAAACTTCTGTTCGGCGAGCATCTCAATCAACTTCAAGTGGCTCCGCCCAGAGACGCAAATGGCGTGGTACAGCTGGACCAACAGACGATGAAAGAATTCGTCAGGAAGTCTCATTCGGGCGCACTTGAATTCCTGCTTCGGAGGCTGCTGACGTGCGAAGCATTGAATGACAGGATGCTGTGCGAGCGGGCACGGACGTTACAGCCAAAGGAAGACCAGGACGACTTTTGGCTCTACCTGGCGAATTTCTGGCTTCTTCAGGATGCACGTGAAGAGCTTGTATACTCCAAAGCGTGGCTGGAAACGGTATCGTGGAAGGACGGTATAATGTGAAGGTGTCCGGGGGCCAGTCTAGTGTCCTCCCTCCTTCAGGTCGGCCGGACGTTGAACAATACACATACACAGTGGAGAGGAACATCACATTGCATTCCCATTCACCTATCGCATGAAATCAAGCCTAAGCCGACAGTAGAGAATTTTTGGTATGACAGTGGTTCTCGTAGTGGTCACAAGCAGTTCGACGCTTTGTGTAATTCTTTCAACACCAAAACCCGATTTGATACATGGCTCGGGTCGGCGACGGCCCACCACGTTGCCGAATCGGAAAAGGGGCCATCGGCGCCGGTGGGGGTGTCGGTGTCACTGCTATCGTCCAGACCTTCTTCGAAGCGGCCCTTGAGGAAGGCACAGACGACGGCTGCGTACTTGGATCCCATTGTGTACGGGAGTCGGCGGGTCGCGTGCTGAAGGAGTACCTCCTTCACCTGCCCCGGGTCATGATCCGTGCGGGTGCGGCCGGTGCGGTGGCGGTCCCCCTGGCCCAGGAGGAGATGATCGAGTCGTTGCCACAATCCGATTTCAAGCAGGACGGCACCTAGTGCTGATGGATAGTCCAAGTCAGACAGACTTCTGAAAACTTGCCCCCACCGGGGTCACTGTCCCCTACTCCCATTGATTGATGTTGGTAGGTAGTGTTGGTCTCGGGTTTTTAGTGAGTGCATCATCATCCTCATCAACAATAATGATATCCAACATTTCGTGGATAAATTGACATCAACATCTCAATACCTCAATATTGAAAAAAAAAAAAAGAAAATCCGAAACTGGACGACTTCTGGACTTACTCACAGTATAAATCATGTAATGCGGTGAAACTCTCCGTGGGAGCACGCCATCGCGTAGGATGACGGTAGAAATAGGCCAGTCGGTCGCCGTCGCCGGCATTCGGAGACAGTGACGATTGTTCGGCCTCGGGTCTCGCAAGCTCAAATCCAACCAGCTTCATCTCGGCGTGTCGTAGCAGCTGACGGATCGACGTGTTTTCGGTTCCTTGGTCTTGATCCCCTCGGCGCGGGTTACGGCCATGGTCGTGACCATGGCCATCATGGCCATGGGAATGGGAACGGGTACGGTCACCAACCACCGTTGGCCGCCACGACGCGGACTGCGACTGGGACTGGGACTTGCGGGGGAAGAACAGGATGTTGAGGCTGCTGAAGCTCTTGTGCACCCAGCCGAGACTGTGGAGGGAGAACAGCACCTCGACAAGAGCGACAGCCAACTGGAATCGAGTCTCGAGCGGCGGTCTCGCCTCGCGGAGCTTCATGGCATACAGCTGGTGCAGGCTCACGGGGCGGGGTGCCAGCGTGCCGGGAATGGTGTAGATGATGCTGGCACATTGACCGAGAGGATCGTAGCTGTAGCCGCGGGCGTTGAGGACGCGGAGGTGAGGCTCCGTTGCATGCTTGAGCAGAGTAGCGAGTTGTTTGACCTTGGCCAGACGTCTCTGGTCCTCCGCCGCGCCGACTTGTGTGGCAAAGAGCTTGGTCTCGATATAGATGTCCGATTGATCCGGGGTGAACACGCCGAGCGTGCTGCTTCCGCCGCCACCGCACGTCGAGACGACGGCAATGTCGCTGTTTGTGATTAGAACAGCTGGCTCCGCGAGGTCCGCCGGCTTCGTCACAAAGATCCGTCTTACGGCCAGCGCCAGCTTCAGATCCGACGCCTGCTCATCGAGACTCCTCCCAAGGTCGTCGAGTCGGGATAGCTCCCTAAACCCTGGGAAACTGGACAACAGGTCCTGGATCGTCAGCCGGAGAAGGCTCGTCCAGTGCTCGATATCCTCGACGAGGCCCGTCATGGCCTTTTTATCCTTGACCGACCACGAGAGCTTCTGCCCCACCGACGCCGATTTCTGATAGACACCGGCCCGCTCGGTGCCGTCGATGATCTGGACGTCAGCCCCGGCCAGTCTCTTGACCACCGGCCGCGGAGCGATCCCAATCCCACATGCCTTGGCTTGCTCGACGAACAGGATGAGACTTTGCTTCAACCCCTGGAAAAGATCGTAAAATTCTTGCTGCTGGGACGGACTCAGCTCTTGGAACAGCGACCCCGAAAGCCAGTTGAATCGCTTCTCTTTCAGGAGTATCGCCTCAAAGGTACTCGTCTGTCGCTGGGCGACCGCGACCCTGACCCTGTAGGGAGACGTGAGCAGACATGCGTGTGTTTTACGTGATTCGAGACCGCATCGACGGCCGAGATTGCAGGTTGGCACTAGCTAACTAACAATACTTACCGGAGCGCGTTGAGATCAGATCCAAAATGAGAAACGGACTGGGAAACTTCACAAAGACTGACCGCGGTCTCTGCAAGTGGTTTCACCACCCCAATAACCCCGAAAATGAGACCGGCAATGTCCATATGGTACGTCGGTTGATGGGCAAAAGGATCCCGTATAGCGATGACATGCACGAATTGCACAATGGCGAGATATTAAGTTCCTGGTATAGCTTAAAAGTAATTCAGCAAACTTGTTCCCAAAGCACAGTGACAAGAAGCTAGTCCTCAGCCCTCAGCCCTCAGCCTCATTTGATGTCGGATATTCTTGTGGTTGTGAGAGGTCTTGGCTAAAGGTTACAGATGCCTCATCAGCCTTCACAGGTACACAGGTACAAGGCTCACTGGGACCAGTCGCCCCTGGATTCCTAGACGTAGCTTACAACAGGTATGTTATACATATACGATGTGACGGCCCCAGACGACGTCATGTTAAAGAGATGGACGGATTTGGCCCGGGAGCATGTGCCGGGAATTAATCTTGTAAATTTGAACAACACATGGGTAGCGGAAAGGGACTGTAGTTTGAATAAGACGCGCATATTTGATTAAGCCAGTAGCTAAGGATTGGATGGGTTGCCTTTCTGACAAAAATCGAAAAGCAATCCTGCGCGTGAGCAAGAACACATGTGGAAAAACAACAGACAGAATCCGACATACACGAGCATCGCATCGCGCACGAAGCGATGACGGATGGCCAGTGTCCACGTGCTGTGGCTAGAGGCAGCAATTACAGCAACCACAAAGCGCACCTTCACTCAAAAGCCTCGCTCTCCAATGCGTGGCGCACCTCCCTTCCAGTCGTGACGCTCGTAGTAACGAAAGACCAAGTCGTAGCCGTCAAGGTCATGAACAATGCGGTCGACACGACGATAGCCCTTGATCGTGTCCATCTTCGCATTGCGGCGGGCCACCTTGCGTTCGAACATCCTGATCTCGGCCAGCTCGTCCTTGCCAGCGCAGCTCTGTTCTTCGTAATTGGTCTTGGCTTCGAAGAGGGTGACGCTGAAACGCCCAGGCTTGAAAATGTCCACCACGTGCTGGATGATGTCGGTTGTCTCCCGCCCCTTTTGCCCAACGGGAACGTTAGTCTCGAATGAGGCATAGGAGCAGATTGGCTCCGGGGTGACGTGCACAGTGAAGTAATGGGTACCTGTTTCGCCAGGAGGTGCTGGGATGACACCGTTGGCCGAGAAGCCGCAGGGAGTGAACAGGTAAGCGTCCACACGGGCGTCTGGGTACTTGTGAGACGGGTAAACATCAGACAGGCCGCAGGCTTCTGAGACAACGGTGCCAAGAGCATGGCCCTCGGTTGTAAGCTCAGCAGGATACGGTTCCTCCTTCATCGATAAATCGCCGTCAGAAGAGGCGTTGCTGAAGACGTCAACATGATCATCTTGACTCGGTTGAGATCCCCTCCACTGATCTTCTGCGACCGCACTCGCATGGTCGAGGTAGAATTGCTTAGCATTCTCTTCGTCCAGATCAGTCATGAGAACTTCAAGAGTCTCGTCTTCTCCCTCGCAGACCCTGGCACCGCGATCAACCGTGAGCGAAGTTGGCAAGTCCAGAACTTTGGTCTCGGTTCCTGGACTATCCATGCTCTGTGGGCTTGCCGGTGGTGTCAACATGGTATACGGCTCGGTCAAGTAGAGATACCAATGCTCGCCGTTCATCTTGCCGATCATGTAGGCACTTCCTCCCACGAAAAGCTTGTCGAGGGCATACACCTCGTCGCGCCAACTGCGGTGAGGGCCCCGTTGTCGATCGGGAAAGAGGTAGTTCTTGCGGCTGTAAAAGACGCGATACGGAGGAGCCGCAACGGCAATGCCGCGCGAAGGCGGTGCAGTGGAGCGTGCGAAGCCACCGAAGAGAGTCGCTATCTCCAAAATACGTGGGAGACCACAAAGCAACGTGGTGGTGCCACATGTTTTCAAAATGAGCTTGTGTGGGAAAACGAACATGCTCGATTCCGAAAGGAGATAGGCGTCGACATCTTCGGACTCAACGATCGACAGGACCTTGCAGTTGACCAAGTCAAGCATGGACTTCCAGATCTCAGCAGGAACCGCCTTGAGGCCAGTGGGCTCAGAACAGCGATGGAGAGCATGGGCAGATGGACTGAACCATACTTCTAAAAGCTTCTCGGGGCCTGCAAAAGGGTCAGTGGATCCGCAGGATAGGGAGGTTGACCTGGCTGACCTTCGAATGCATTGCTAGAATCAAGATCTAGCGCAACTTCACGATTGATAGTCAAAGATGTACTATGACTAAAGCTCGATGGTGAAGTGGTATAATGCGGGGGGATCCCAATATGTACCATATCCCTATCGACCACACGGACGGAGTCGATTCGAGAGGACGGTCGGTAGGAGGCTAGATGTCAGGAAACACTGATCTCAAGAGTCAGTGAAGCACTATCTGCCGCCCAGACGAACAATGCGGTGTCCGCCTGAGAAGAGAAGGCCCACTAATCTGTGGGAGAGAGTGAGGCTGGCTTTTGCCAGCAGCAATGCTCGGTGTGATATTAAATTCCCTTCCGAAGGGTCGTTAGGGAGGCCGGAAGGAGGTGAGGAGGAAGAAGATCTCCTGCACGAACGGAATTGTGGGCAGTATTTGTCGTCTCTTTTGGATCAGACGTCGATACCTGTCTCGGTACCGATAAGAGGGGCGGTGGGCACTTGTGTGCAAGTGTTTTGTAGATCAGTCAGGATCGGGATGGGTAAGTTGTTCTTGCGAGGAACTGGTGTTATCGAGGCCTGCGGCGTTGTTAGTCACGGTGGCTGCGGGCAGTTGCGCGGAAGACCAACTTTGCAGGCTTAGACAGGTACCGTAGCAGATCCTTTGGGCTCATAAAGCTGCTACGAGGAGCTTGATGGGTGTTATAGCCTTGATATGATCGCCAGGGCTGGAATGGGTGGGTTTGCCAGACCTGCGACTGTGTGAAGCTCGGTGCGTGAGGAAATTACCTCAGGAGAAAATTTCACTCCGTTCGGAGAGGGTGCGAGTCGATGGGTGTTGCAGGGCAGCCGAAATGGGCCTTAGTAGAATACCTGCAGTATTCGAGATGCGAGGGAGCAGTAGAAAAATCCTGGTCCTGGATGTTTCTCTGTTGAAAGCGTTGAGCAAGCAAAATCAACAGTCGATTGAGGTTTTGGGCACGAGAGTAGGACAGTGTGTGACGGATGTTTTAGTGAAGTGGCGCCGTGGCTGGTGAGGTCTAGTGGCTAAGCGGCCCAAGCTAGACTACAAAGAGACTGGCGCGCTTGAAGCGAGCGAGGCTGACCAATTGCCGTTCTCGGGGAACTTATGGCTCGCAGCAATGACGGATCGTCGATGAGCAGCAAAAATCTTTTGCTTTGGTGCCTCCAAGATCGGGATCGGTCTTTTTCGCGCTACAATGCGGATGCAAGTGCTCCGCACGGCTACACCAAGTAAACAAGGAAAACTATCCAGTAAAGATCGGTGATCGTTCATTGCTCTACGACTAACGGGTGTTCTGCGACCTTGAGAGTTGCCACCAGTCGCTCCTGTGCCCTGAGCATGCATGACCTATCGTCTGTACTCACACTCGTACTCGTAATGCCTTGTCGCGCCACCCCCGCGACAAGGCTGCGGCCGTTTGTGGCAAGGCTGCCGAAAATATTTCGCTCGCGGCTCTGATACGCCATCATCGGCGGACGACGCCGCTGCTGCTTAGCAATACTCGTACCATTTGCATGCAACAAAAAGTTGCTGGAAACGTACCGGGACTGATTTCTTAACTTCTCTGGATTGCAATAGAGTGACAGACCATCTCCCATCATGGGCTTGGAAAACATCAAGCACGTCGTGCTCGTCCTCTCCGGTAAAGGCGGCGTTGGAAAATCCAGCGTCACACTCCAACTTGCCCTGTCACTCACATTACAAGGCCACAACGTCGGGATTCTCGATATAGATCTCACCGGCCCTAGTATACCCCGTCTACTGAACCTCGAAGACAAGAAGGTGACCCAGGCCCCCGGCGGATGGCTGCCCGTCAAGGTGCACGATGCCAGCTACGAGCAGACGCCAGAAACCGGCGATTCACAACCCTCGTCCCCGTCGAAGCGTGGATCCCTCCATGCCCTGTCTCTTGCCTTCCTCCTACCCTCTCGCTCCTCGGCCGTGATTTGGCGTGGGCCCAAAAAAACCGCGATGATCAGACAATTTGTGTCGGACGCACTGTGGCCGCCAAACACCGACTATCTCCTCATCGACACTCCGCCCGGCACAAGTGACGAACATATAGCCATAGTAGAAGAGCTGCATAAACTTGCTGCGGAGTCGCAGCCTGTTCAATACTCGAACGGGAACGGATCATCTCTACACGCCGGCAACCAGCCTAGGCTCGCAGGCGCGGTGGTCGTGACCACGCCGCAAGCAATATCGACAGCGGATGTGAGGAAGGAGCTCAACTTCTGTGTCAAGACCCAGGTCCCTGTACTGGGGGTGATTGAAAACATGGCTGGCTACATGTGTCCCTGTTGCGGAGAGATCAGCAACGTCTTCAGCAAGGGCGGTGGAGAAATCATGGCTAGAGAGTCTCATGTGCCGTTTCTTGGTTCGGTGCCAATCGATACTGGGTTCGGTGCCTTGGTAGAAGGCAGCAATCCAGACCAGAGCGCCACCCAGGGTGCGGACTCGGACGGTCCTGTTCGAGAACTGCCCACGGAGCTCGTTGAGCGATATCGACAGTGCGGTCTTTGTCCGATATTCGCTCGATTTGCTACAGATGTCGACCGGGCGGTGCGGGGTGTGGATACTCAGATGCCTGCGCCTGGCTCGATTCCGTGACACTTGAAGAGCATGCAGACTCTGAGTATAGTTTCATGACTCCGCAAGATCGATTGGGCAAGGGGTAGATCTTCTGCGCTCGGGCGACAGACTGTACCTTTGGTGTATCTGTCACCACAGAAGCACGCTGCTCTATACGCGATATCGGTCTCCTGGCAGTCATACAGACTCGCCATCGACCACTTCAATTGCCATTCGACCTGGCAATGCTTTCTGAAGGAGATACGCAGTTGCAGCCATTGCCGGTACTTCCCCCCTGTTTCTCCTCCTGGCGGCCACCAAGAAGTATAGTGCCATGCAGACCAAGGAGATCGAGATGGTATCAGAAGTAGAGCGAGGCAATCTTGTCGGAGGTTTTGTCCAGCCAGGCACAAGGCTGGATGCGTTATGAGCGTCGGCAGCGGAGTAAATGGGGCCCCCCCTGTCAAAGGCCAACTACTATGGCTCACGCCGCAAGGATCAAGCTGTGAAATTCCCACTGTCGCGTCCATTCTTGTGGACAGGAAATGGCAAGTTGTACGATGCAAAGGGACATTTATAGTCTATCGGGGCGCACCAGATTTATATTAGGGCCTGGAACTATGTCGAGCAAGGAATGACTCTACTATTATGTACGTATTATATTCATATTGTCACTGGGAAGCCCTCGACAGCATGGGGTAGATTTGTACGGACCGACTCTGGCCTCCTTCAAAACGGAGAACTCGATCAACGGCGACCGGAGGCGCTGCCGCTGAAAATCGTGCCGTCGTAGTCGGTGCCATTGTTTGGCCAGTCAATCGTGTAATTCCCGAAGCAGGCGTACTGATAGTTGCTCAGCTCATAACTCGACTCTTGGCTTTGAATGAATGCCTCGAGAGGACACAGTCCATCTGTTCGGTTCCCGCAGTATCCACCGCGTATGGAGGACAGGGGAAGAATGCCATTGTTGAGGCGCATTCGGACAAACTTGTAGGTGGCATCGCTGGGCTCGTATCCATACTGGCCTGGGTAATACTGTGTCCTGGTGGTGTTCTGGGGAGAAGGATTGCCGGAGGTGCAACCTACAACCTCTGTGACCAGGCGCGCCGCAAAGGGTGTCAGGTGGGAGAGGATGAAGTGTCGCTGAGGGTCCGGAGGATAGTCGGTCAAACTGGGCGGGTCGCGCAGGTAGTCCAGAGAAGCGGCAGTCAGGACGGAAATGATGATGTCGTCGTGCGAAAAGTCGGCGTAGAACTTTTGGTCCAGAGGGAAATCCCGCGAGTTGTTGGTGATACTGCTGTTGACGCTTGAATTGGAGACTGTGATGTACTGGTGCTGCAGCCTTGCCAGGAGTTCCTGCAGGTAGCCTATGCCCTGAGCACGGCCGGTGGGATTACCGTACGAATAGTCATAGTAGTATTCTTGGTCGAGAGTGCTCTCAAAACCAGCCCATTCATCTTCGGTGAACAAGCCGCAGAAGTCGCTCCTGCCCAGATAGTTGGTCTCGTAAGCACAGATGCTCCTGGAAGAGACCGTGTCAGTGCTGCAGTCCGACCTACAACAGGGGTGCGGTAAACCGTTTACTTACTGCATGGCATATGTGTCGTTGACGGTAAGATTGAACCCAGACGGCACATACTGAGAAAGGCGGTCGGTGGCGTCCGCAAGGTAGATGGGAAGATATTCAAACATCAGGTCGAGGTCCCCAATATAACCCTCCGGCAGGTTGTAGTCGTTGAAACAACTATCGTACGAGGCCAGCGTGTTGTTCTCGGTTCCGCCTTCGGGAATGACGACCAGACTGAAGGGACTGGTGGCATTCGCCAGTGTTGGGTTGGGTGTGTCCGTGAAAGAGGTCCCAAAGAATCCCAGGGCCCAATTGATCTGCGTGTTCTCGATCCGGGACTGAGATGTCGTGCGCAGCACTGGTTTAGGTCTTGCCGTCCCATTCGGGAAACTTGCATTGTATGCTACCTGGCCAACGGTAGCGTTGTAGAGAACTCGGCCATAACGCTCCCAGAAGGTGACGCCGGACTGGAACAGCTGCACGGCTCCGGTCCCAACCAGAAGGCCTTCGCCCATCTGGTACTCGTACGAGTTCAAGAAGCCGAGCGGGCCAGTAAACTCCTCGGTCGAGTTTTCCAGTGTCCAGTTGTACACCTTGGCAGCAAAGTCCTCGTTGTTGATGCCGTCGTCAAAGTAGCTAGTGGGGAAACGGGAGCCATGACGCTGAAGCAGATGGGCTTGCTCGACTTGACAACCGTCTGGTAGACCCGTCGCATTGACGCCGAAGAAATTCTCAGCATTGTCCGCGTAAGGAGTGATCTGACCCCAGTACGACTGAATCACGTTGATGTCGAGGAGAGGCTCAGAAGAAGAGGAGCCGGATGACTGCCGACGCTGCCGCGCAAAAGGCGACGCTCTTGACAGAGCCGGCAGGACGGCAAACAAAGCGAAGGACAGCCTCATGTTCGCTTCGCTGCAGGTTGGTAGCTGGAAGGGGAAGAAATACCTATAGCTCGTCCGGAGGATGATTCAGAGCATGACTTTGGGAGCTCCATCTAGCTGGAGCCATGCTTTTGTACCTGGGACCTTGCAGAAAGCTTCCAGCGCAGGCGACGTGCAGGGTTCCATTGCCAGAAGTTTGCTAGGGTTTGCGGTCAGAGATATGACGACAGAATGGACGAAGCTTTCCGAAGCCTCACTAGTTGTTCCTGGTCCGAGTCCGGTAGCACTCATGGCGGGAGGAGGAGGGCGAACCAGGTCGTTCGGCCAAATCCACTGATAGGACGATGCCTGAACCAGTCAATCGATCCCGTGCCGACCGAGCCTGGTATTCCAGACCACAGAAAGCAAAAGCAAGCGCCCACTGGCGGGAAGCTATTGTTCTTCCAAGTCCTCATTTTGTAGTGAAGCCACCGCATGGCCAAGTGGGGGACGTTGCCGGATGGAGGAGGAGTGTGGAAGCCCATTCCAGACTCTCTTCAAGTCAAGCACAGGCCGACGAAGCTTGTCAAAGAGCTTAATGAGCCGTAGAAGAGTGGTTGACTTTGGCAGAGGTTGCTCTCGTATCTCCCTTGAGACCTTGGGTTGCCTTGACCAAACACCTCGAGTTGTCGAATGAGGCGGCGCCAACTGGCTCTGCCCTGCGCCCACTGAGCCCCAGCTGCGGTTTTGCACAACTCCAACTCCACAGTATCTGCGCAGGCAGTAAACTACCTTAGTACTCGTCTTGAATTCATATCCGTGTCCTCCATCCCTGTGGGAGACGCACAGTTCTTCATGCCAGCGTCCCCTCTGCGCTTCACCGGCATGCTCACCAATCTGTGAGCGCCAGAGTCGATCCTAGCCACCGCCAGCGCAGGCCATGAATATCTGGCGCGATCTCCCATGTCCATTCCCCTTCATTGGGCATACTTCCAACCAACATTCCTGTCGACAGATGTGTTGTTTCTCCTAAGCCATGGACAGTCGAACGGACACGTCTTCATCGGGCCGCTTTGCTGGGCAATGGGCCTTTCTGACCTCGCCTTCACGCCAGGCGCAACCAAGGTCTCTTCCGCAAACCTCGAGCTACCTGCGCGGCGACAATAGCAATGTCTCACCCTTTCTACATATCCAGCAACTCAACGTCTCACGATCCAGCTTGTCCAGAAATGCCAAAACCAGGTCTGTGGGGGGCCAGAGCACCACCACCATTCCTTCTCAACCGGTCCTCGTTCGCGTCCATTCTGCCAGTGCCTCTATTCAAATCCACCCTGAAACTCGGCCCAAGAAACTCAAAGAGAACATGAGCAAAGACCGCGAATTGCCTGCAATTCATGAGTACAGCATCCGAGGGATTTTGGCCGCAGTTCACGAGGAGGTCGAAGACGACGTCAACGCAATCTCTGAAATCCTGGGGAGGAGCAGACTCGTTCTGGCCGACGAACATGAAAATCATTTGCCTCCTCAGGGTGAGATCAGAGCTGCTCAGAACCAACTGCAAGTTGTGGCAGAAGCTAGCGCGAGCAACGAAATATTGGCTTCCGCAGACGATGTGCTCATTCTAGCAGACGACGCAAGTCTCGTAGCGGACAGTCAAACAGGCTCTTTCGCATTCGGACTCTTGGAGAGGATGCAAGTACATCAGCGCAGCAGGAGTGGCATGTCTGATGCTGTGGGACAACGCAGTTCTCGGCCTCTGTCCACTTTTAACGGTAACCCTTCGTCGCCTGAGATCGCATATGCTGCCGGCCAAGTCCATGACCGGGCCACCACAGCTGCAGCGGCACAGTCATCTCGACGCCTACTACCAAACCAGCTACGTCAAAGTCAAGACGTTCAATCTTTGTCAAGAAGTACGAATCCGGTTGTCTCCGAGACCTATGTCTCTCCAGGAGCAGATTCCGGAACCGTACTAACCCCATCTCCATTGTCGGGGGACGTTCACACCTATACGCTCTACGGCTATGATGAAAATGAGCTGTTGGGCGATTCGCCGCTGCCACCCTCACTCACACGACGGACATTTCTTGATCGGCTTTGGTCATTGATACCAACAGAGGACATTTCCAGACTCTTTTCCTGGAGACAGGGTCGAAATGAGCGCGTGGTGACTGCAGAATCGCAATTGAGAGATATTATGTACCGGCAAGAACAACGACGCCAATGATGCAACGATTTTTACGACAATAATGATGATGTATACCTTCTGCTATTGACCTATCTTAATCAGCACTGTCTTAGTCTCTAAAAAGTTATTGAGACTGTGCCCAAGACCTTCTCTTCCAGTGCCGCTGCTCTTATATCCTCCAAATGGCATGTCTTTGGCGACGGTCGGACTTGTGCAATTGACTCCGACTGTTCCAGCTTCCAAGGCCTTCGCAAAACGCATGGCCCTGTTGATGTCTTTGGTGTAGACGGCTGCATACAGGCCAAACTCGCTGTCATTCGCCTTGGCAATGACCTCCTCCTCTGTCTTGAAAGTGTTGATGTTCACAACAGGGCCGAAAATCTCTTCCTTCATTATGACTGCGTCTTCGGGGGTCCTGAGGAAAACACTCGGTTCGATAAAATAGCCCTTCGTCGCCGCATCCGATAAGCCGGCGACATTGGTTGTGCCGCCCAATGCAAGGTCTCCAGACTTTTTCCCAATGTCAAGGTACTTTTGCACCGTGTCCCACTGTGCGGCATCAGCCTGGGGTCCGTGGGTCGTTGCCGGATCCAGAGGGTCGCCAGCCGAGATAGTAGCAACTTTTGCTTTGAAACGTTCCACAAACTGGTCTGCGATGCTCTCTTCGACATAGACTCGACTGTTTGCCATGCAGACTTGGCCACTGTTCCATTGGATGCTGTTTTGGGTATCGGCTACTGCGGCGTCAAGGTCACAATCCCCGAAAACAACGGCGGGTGACTTTCCACCTAGCTCCAGGATCACATTCTTCAGGTTGGATTTCGCAGCTGCAGTCTGGATAAGCCGGCCGGTCCGGCACGAGCCAGTGAAACTGAGAGCTCGGACATCCATGTGCGACGAAAGAATAGCGCCGGACGTTTGGCCGTGGCCGGAAATCACGTTGAGGACACCAGGAGGGAACCCAGCTTTCTCCACGAGTGTCGCAACGTATGCAGACTGAGAAAAGGGTTGTTAGCCAAAGCCTTTCTTCAACGCAACGACGTTTGCTGCACGGTGCGTGGTGGTGGTGATGAAAGCAACATGTATGGCGTCTGAACTTACCGACAACGGAGCCTTTTCACTGCTCTTCAGGACCACAGTATTGCCAGCTGCAAGTGCCGGGGCAACCTTGTTTCCGAAAAACACCAAAGGAAGATTCCACGGGATAATCGCAGCAACCACCCCGTACGGCTGCTTGAAAGTCATATTGACAAATCCCGGCGTGTTGAGACTGCTGACTCCTTGCACCTCGTAGCCTGCCTCGGCGTAGTGCTCGAATGTACTCGCGCAGGCATGGTTGTCAAAATACGTCGATACCGGACGACCCATGGACATGGCCTCGAGCTCTGACAGCTCCTTATGGCTCGCGTGCAGTAGAGCCGCCAGCTTCTTCAAATACACTCCGCGTTCGTCGGGGGCCAGCGCAGCCCATGCCGGAAATGCCGCCTTTGCAGCGGCAACAGCAGCGTCGGTGTCCTCTTCACTGGCTTCGTGTACTGTTGATGAACGTCGATTTGTTAGTATGTAACGTACTTGTCTTCATCAAGATGATGGCAACGTCGCGCCTCTCGCTGACCCAAGAAGGGAGTCTGTGGGACTGGGGGTGTGGCAGGGGCAGGAGGAATATGCAGGAATATGATGGATTGTACCTTCAGCTACTAGGTCCGTTGTATAAGGCGATTTTATGGGGAAAGTCTTCCCGTTGGACGACTCAACGAACTAGACAGGTCATCACGTCTTATCAGCTTTTGATCCACGGATGATACTGTACGTGCGTCTGTGATGCGCAGTGATTGAGGTCTAGGTACCTTTCCATTGATGAATAGTCGTGTTTCGATCTTTTGGACGGACCCCATCTTGGCTGCCGCTGCGCCAACGAAAGAATGGATATATGCGATCGATACCCTTGGGGCTTTCACCTGTTCTTGTACTCGGACTTGGACTTGGACTTGGGCCGGTCTTTGAACTTGCACGGCTTAAGTGCTAAATGTGTGAGAAATGCGTTATTCGAGTTTCATGAGACGTCGCAAATGCGACTGTACAGGCTCGGCACTTGTTTATTAAGCAGAAGTTACTGTGTTTACTGGTGCTGTCTAAGGATTTCGCAACTACCGGGGGTGTGATCCGATGGCTCTGGGAAGCAACCGCGGCATTTCCACAGATTATGCTTTTTCGCTCTGTGGTCGGGATCAATGCGGAAAGCGTAAATAACTATTTGATATCTGTAACTACGAGTACTGTCGTGTCTGCCGGGAGTCGGGGGTCTGGGGGTGTGGGGAGGAATTCGAGGGAGTCCCACTCGTGAACACTCCTTTACGGCAATCGGGGTCGGAGGCAGATGGGGCTGAGAGACGGCGCCAACTACTGTGAACCAAGTCAGTATTGTCGCTCCGACTTTTACTCGTACCATCTACAGCTGGGCCGTGGCAGATGACAAAATCAAGTATCTTATCTTCCGTTTCAAGGATGATAACGGCTTATTTCAGGTTTGAGGTGTATCCCGGCCATCTTCAATGCGACAGAGCCTTTACGGCCAATGATATCGCCCTTCGAGTTGACGAGACGGCTGGCCTTGGAGATGTTGACAGCTTGAAGCTTTTGAACGAACCGGTCGCGTAGATCCCTCATTTTTGCGAAGGACAGATCGGGGGAGAGCGTGACCGTGATAGCTTGAAGGGCAATCTCGGACCCCTCGTCGTCTTTAAAGGTCTTGTTACCATATCCGGTATTGCGTTTGCCGAGGACAGCATCGTCGTCGTCATCCGTCAATTCATCGTTGCTCTCGAGGTCACTGTCGGAGTCACTGTCGGAGTCACTGTCGAGGTCGGCAGTCCTGGCTTGCCCAAGGTCAACGTTGTGGCGGCCAGCGGTGACCTGGAGTCAGCGCGAGAGAGCGCCGAGAAAGTCTTCCTCTTCCTTGAGGGTCAAGTGGGGTTTGTTGAGGGTGGACGAAAGTGTCCTTGTCACCTGAAAACCCAATCAAATTATTGTGGTCACACATTTAGTTGACAGAAGGACTTTACCTCTCCGATGGTATCCAGCTCCGGTTTCTTCAAAGGCGTGTCGGGTGGAATGAAGGTCAGACCCTCGGGAGTGTCCGCCATCTTGACTCTGAATAGGACACAGAGAGAAAGGAAAGAGATGAAAGGAACAAAAGATGATTTGATCGCCTCTAAGTAGACTAAATGGTCGTCCTCCAACGCTATCAGGAAGGGAGTATCTTTATGAAGCAAAGCAGGGTGGACGGGAGCAGCCCCCGTGGTCAATGGCATCAATGGCTTCCATTGTCGAGTCCATTAGTCTCGATCCCGTTCACTCCCAAATGGCCGCCATTATGCAAGGAGGAGGCCGCCCCCTGTTGCTGTCGAACCTGCCACGGCAGAGGGTCCTGAGCAGGGTGCGCTGGGCCCACGTCTCCCGACTCGGATCTCCTCCCCTTCCATTCGTCGATGTCTCTCTGGTCGACGAAGTTCCCGTGCAGGCCCAACTTCAGCTTGAAGGGCAAGTGGATCACCGCCACGGGGCCCCGGGCCACGTTGAGAGCGTCCAGGATCACAATGTCGTTCCTCAGCACGTCGAGATGGTTCATGAGCGCGACGATGTACCCTTCACCCTCTGCGCCCCCGTCCTTGGGTATGAACGACGGCTCTTGAAACGTTGCCGTCGGGCCCGCGAAGAACACGTCCTCGGTCCTGTCGTCCCACCTATAGTGGCCGAGGCAATTGAACAGTCCACCCGCCGGGGGGCCACACTTTGCAAAGTCGTACGGCTTAGTCGGATCGACCTTGGCCTGCCAGAAGTGGTTGTATTTCTTGGTCACGTATCGGTCGTCGATGCGTGAAAACTCGCCGTTGGTCGTCCACGTTTCGGCCGGAGTCACCCTGGTTCCAGTCTTGAGCTTGGGATCAAACACCCACCGACACGTCGGACTGCGGAGTTGATTGCGCTTGGCGGCGACCGGAGCTTCCTTCTCATCGACAGGAGGGAAGAAGAAAAACACGTTGCCGTCCGCCACGGTAAGATCGAATACAACGTGGCCGTCGTCGTTCTCGTAGCAGCCTGCGACGTGGCCGTGGAAAGCTGTGAGATGACAGTTGTAAGTAAGAAAAGACAGACACTGTTGTGAGCTTGTCTCCGGGGGATGTGTCATGTTGGTCGAACGACATGGGTATGTATATACTTACCGTTATCGGCTCTGAACCACACAATGTCCTCCGGCTTTCCACCTCGTCTCGGCACGACACCGTACCATTGGTCCTCGTGGGGATCCCACGCCCAGTGGTTTCCCCCCTTTTTCAACCTGTCGATCCCCGTCCACTTGATGGGTGTGAGCGGCAGGACGAGATAGTTCTTGCTGATCCCGCAGTCGTGGATCATCCCACAGAACGGCGCTTTGTACCAGCACTCTTCAGTCTTCTTTCCGTCCCGGTCGATCGTCCACACCACGACGTCGTTGGACCCGTCATGCCCGTCGCCACCAGCCTCGTAAGCAAAACACAGCATTTCTCCTGTGTCGGGGTCGAACTTGGGGTGAGCCGTGAAGGTCGGCGTCAAGATCTGGCCTTCAAAGTCGTACCGACCTATCGTCTCCAGCGTGACTGGGTCCATGATGTAAGGCGGGCCGTCCTCCTTGGAGGCCAGAAGCATGCCGCGCCAGAAGGTGATGTTTGTGTTCGCCACGGTACGGATCACGCCTTTGACCGTTTCGTTGTCGGTATATGGGTTTCGGTAGCGGCCGAACAGCGCCCGTCGCGCCTCCGTCTCTGCTTTGTATCGGTCCGTGTGGACGTAGCGTTGTCGAAAGTCTGCATGGCCGTTGGCAATGCGGATCGCGGTGACACTGCCATCGCCGTTCTGCATGTAACAAAAATCCATAAGCTTGCCGGCTTTCAAAATTAAGGTGGATAACATTGCTCGGGTTTCAAAGTCAAGTGTTGTTTCATATACCATATCAACTTACAAAATGAATGTCATCCTCGAAAATAGGCGGGAATCTGTGGTCAGGCTGCACTCTGTAAAAGGTCCCGTTGATCTCGGGAGGAATGACGCCGTCGATTTCAAGATCGAAGATGTCGCCTTCGAGACGAGATGGTTTGTTGAATCCTTGGAACACTCCGGTCGCAGGATAGACGACGCGATCCGAGGACCTGACGCCGTTGGTATAGTTCGACCCAGTGAGCTGAGGGGCCAGGTCAAAGATATGTGCCATTATGATGGACCCCAATTAAGATGGACGGAGGGGCCGTTGGGCAGTCTCCTCTCGCCTGACTAGAGACTACAATCACCAAGACAGTCTCAAATCTTCAGGCGGCGATGACTGATACTAACCGGTGTCTGCAGAGAGAGAGAGGGTGTGCGTGTCTGCTGAATCATACCCAAGGACAGTCAGGGAGAAGAGAGAGACCTGGAGAGCCATGCATGCGGCATGTCCATATATCATGGATGTCAGCGGCCTCGGGAATGTCCAAAAGCCACAAGAAGAAATGCTGGAGTAAGTGAATGTTGCCATACTCGTACTCGTCCAGAGCCGGTCGAGGATGCACACTCCCCATACTAGGAAGTACCGAATGCACAAGCTTGCAGTCTCAGATGGGGCATTGGCTCCTTTTGGGAAGAAGCGGCGTCGATACTGCGGAGAAGCATGGCTGGGACCGACAGTACCGAACATGGGGTATATTGTACAAGTCACATACAGTATCCCACTGGCCACATATATATACAGTAGTCAGTAGTCAGGACAAAGCCAACAAACTCATGATCGTCCTCTCCCCCTCACCGTCGCATCCTCACCACGTATAGCTCATCATGGAAGCCCAACTTGCTGATCTGCAGGCCGAAGTCAAGCGACTTCACGATAAACTGCAGAAGGTAGAAGGTTCGAATTACTTGAAAAACGAACCAGTCCCGGTGAAGATTGCTGAAAAACTAACACGGTCCACCCCCAGATGAGGCGGAAATCCGCAAGACGCATTTCAAGTACGGTTACTACCTCGACAAATGTCTCTACAACGAGGTGAGTTAGATTCATCCGACTGAGTACACCACACGACGCCCCTGGCCCAGAGTGATACCCATTGACCCTCTCACTCACTCACTCTCAATCGCTCACCCAGGTTGTCGACATGTTCTCCGACCACCCAGACGCATACGTCGAGTTCCTCGGCTCTCGCTACAGGGGCAAGGATGGCATCCGGCGCCTGTACCAGGGCCGCTTCCAAAAGTACTTTGTCGCCGGCCGCAACGGTCCCGTGTATGGTTTCTTGTTGGACCACCCTATGCTCCAGGATATAATCGACCGCGACACGGAGACACACGCCTGGGGTCGTCTTCGCGCCCTGATGTCCGCCGGAACCCACCAAAGTATCCAGGAAGAGCACCCTCGTGGCCACGCCCAGTGGTGGGAAGGCGGCCTGTATGAAAACGAATACATCAAGGAAAACGGAGTCTGGAAATTGTTCAGGTACATATGAATCTTCACTTCTCTCCTGTCCTGTCCTGTCCTGTTTTGACGTGGGACTGCTTCCTCCTCCATCCCTAATCCTACATAGTTGAGAAGTGTTCCTTTCTAATCCTCAAACTTATGCAGGTACCGATACTTTCCGTTCTGGCACGCTGATTTCGAGCGAGGCTGGGCACACACCAAGAAGAACTACATCCCGTGGCCTACCAAGACGTACCCTGAAGACCCGATCGGGCCGGACGAAATCATCGAGCAGAGGATGCTGTGGCCCGACACCCGCGTCATCCCGTTCCACTACCCTCACCCTGTGACTGGGAGACAAGTCAGCGACGACGACCTGAGAGCACCGCACTACGGCCAGGACGTGAGCACATCGGAGCCTCCACTGACGCTAGCCCTGCCCAAAGATCAGCAGGAGAAGTTGGCCAACGAAAAGACAGGTGTTTGAAGAATGGGGAGTAGAGACGTAGGGTCAAGAGATGTGACGGAATCGTCGATGCGTCGCCGGCGTAGTGGTCTATCTCTTTATGGGTTACAGCTTCGGGGATAGTCATTCACCAGTCTGGAAAATACTTAAGTACAGCAGAGTACGCAGATAGCAATCAACTCTAGGCAGTTATCGGCAGACAAATGGGCTGGTATATTAATTGAGACATTTTCGGCGGTATACACCATCTGTGATTTGCACTGAACGAGACATTCGAAAGCCATCAACATTCACTCTCCTTGCAATGTGGGCCCTCCTTGTTTGGGAAACGATCCATTCCCCACAGCACAGCTACCTATTTAAGAATGTGTGCAGAGGGACCGACACTCCGCATGAGTACCAACGACCGGAGTACAGTAAGAAACTCTAGAAGTACATACCAGGTCGACTGTCCCGCAGTCTCAGCCTCGTGTGGAGAACGGAGACATTGTGTGCTTCCGGGATCCGAGCAACGATGACGAAGCTGACATATTGCCATTGTACAACGACCGAGGCCATCTCACCATTTGATCGACGCCCTTTAAGTCCGTTGTACCCGTATCAGTCTTTATGTTTTGTTCGCTGGGTACAAAAGCTTCCGTACGCTTCTCACGACCGCCATTCAAACGCGTCAGCATTCGAACGTTGAAAATGGACGCAACTCTCCATCCGCTCTCTGGACTCTACGCGCCTCATAATCTGAAAGGACTGTACTACGGGCCCGATGTGGTCAAGAACCACCTCCTGTCTGTGCTTCCGGCCAGCTCGTCCAAGGCCTTCATCGTCACGGGCAACTCGCTCGCCACCAAGACGCCACTGATCGAGGGCATCGAGTCGCTTCTGACGCCGGCCCGCCACGCCGGGACGTTCAGCAACATCAAGGAGCACGCGCCCGTGGCTCAGCTGGATGAAGCGACCACGCAGGTTGAGAACGACTCGACCATCGACACCGTCATCTCCGTCGGCGGCGGGTCTCCGATCGACTCGGCCAAGGCCATCGTGTACCGGGTGCACGAGAAGTCGCGGAAATGGCTGCTGCACATTGCCGTCCCCACGACGCTGTCCGCTGCCGAAGCGACCAGTTTGGCCGGCTACACACTGCCCAACGGCATCAAGACCGGCGTGGCCAACCCGTCCGTGTACCCGGCGTACATCTTCTACGACCCGACCTTCGGCCTGCACACGCCGCCGGGCCTCTTCCTCTCCACGGGCCTGCGGGCCCTCGACCACGCGGTGGAATCCCAGTACCACCCGAGCGCGACGTGGATGCCGTGCCGCCTGATGGCGCTCGAGGCCATCCGCGAGCTCTTCAAGCTGCTACCCGCCTACAAGGCCAATCCGACGGACGTGGACACCGTCACCGGCCTGTTCCTCGCGGCGTACGCCAGTCTGGCCTTCATGGGCGGGAACATCAAGGGACCTCTCGGCCTGTCGCACACGCTGGGCTACGCGCTGGGTTCGCCGTACGGCATACCCCACGGAATCACGTCGTGTCTCACGCTCGGCCACGTCGTGAAGCTCAAGGCTCGCCATGACGAGACCAGCGCCGAAGCCATCGCGGCCATCCTGCCCTACCTGGGCCGGCAGAGGTCGGGGGACAATATCAAAGACAGCGACGTCGTAGGTGATAGGATACTCGAGCTCGTGAACGACTTGGGGCTCAAGACCACGCTGACGGAGAAGGGCGTCGGGAGGGATCAGGTCGATATCATTTGTGCCAGGGCGACGGAGAGATTGCCGCACATCAAGGAAAAGAGTGAACAGAACGAAAAGCTTTTGAAAGACGTCAGAAGCCTGGTGGAGGGCTTGTACTGACTGGTCCAGCAATATTTGGATTGTGGGGCGACCATCTACATACATATATATGTATGTATGTTACAGCTCTCTCTCACTCTCATACCATATCATATTTTATGCGGTGTTTTTCTGTTATGGTCTTTTGACGCTTTCCCGGGGGCTTTTTTTTTCAACGCCAAGAGCCAACGAAGTTGCTCGTGATGTGTGAGAAAAGAGTGCGAGACAGAGTAAGTGGACGGGATTGATACCGCCGTCAACCTTGAGAACCTCGCGGGTTAACTTGGCATTGCCGAATAAGGTATGGATATTCGTACTCGTAGACTGTGAGATAGTACTCGGAACTCCAGGATGCCGAGTCCGGAGGGCAGGGGTACTACGCAAGGCTCCAAGAGGTGGTTGACCCGGACATAAGAGATTCCTCATTTGTGAAGCCAGCATGTTGGGGTCTAACCTCGCTTCGTATAGAAGGGCGGAACTCCGCAGCAACCGAGTACCAAGAAGCACATGCAGATGTTTATTCGTGGTCAGACATTTATACATCACGAGTACGAGAGACACAGATATGGAGTATAAATCTAGAATTTTGTGTCTTGAACTAGCAAACCCATCATCAGTCTTTTTCCAAAGCTTTAATCCTAACATAGCTCATCCCATACGAGTCCGTACAACATCATGCCTGAGACCCATACGGCAGCCGTCCTTGAGGCGATCGGACAGCCCGTGGTGTTGAAGACGGTCCCTATTCCAGACGCTAGACCAGGATCTGCAGTCCTCAAAGTGCTTGCAACGCCGCTCTCCCCAAACACAAAAGACGTCTACGCAGGCCACTTCGGCTCCTGGCCATTGCGAACGCCAACCATCCCAGGCTTCGCAACAATCGGCCGCGTACACAGCGTCGGGCCCGATGCGACGTCTTTGAAGCCAGGCCAACTGGTGATGTACGACTTCTGGATCCCGTCCAGGGACAATCCAGATGATAGCATCCTGGCCGGATACATGGGCGGTGTTTCCCAGCTCGAGGATACGTGGAAGAACGGCACCCTCGCAGAGTACGCCGAAGCTCCCCTGGAACGAATTTGGGCTCTCGACGAGGACCTGCTGTGCAAGACCATGAAGTACAGCTTTGCCGACCTCTCCTATATCGGCACGGTCAGTATCGCATTGGGCGGTCTGCTCGAGATTGACGTTCGACCGGGAGACAGCGTGATTGTTGCCCCGGCCACGGGCACCTTTGGAGGCGCTGCTGTACCGGCTGCTCTCGCGCTCGGCGCGAAAGTCATCGCCTGCGGACGGAACGAGAAGACGCTCGCCACCATGACCGACACCTTCGGAGCCTCGGGCCGGTTCCTTACCGTGAAGATGTCTGGAGACGTCGAACAGGATACAGCAGCAATCAAAGCGGCAGTTGGGGGCAAGGGTGCCGACAGATACGTTGATTTTGTGCCACCACAGGCAACAGGCTCGAAACACATCATGTCGTGTGTTAGCGCCTTGCGACCCCGTGGCCGAGCAGTCCTGATGGGTCTCAGTCTCGGTAACGTAGAGATTCCCTATTCCTTTGTGATGTTGAAGAACATCAGGATTGAGGGTCGCTACATGTTTGATAGATGGCATGGGGAGCAAGCCATCAAGTTGGTGGAAACCGGCCATCTTGTTCTCGGCGATCGCCCACTGAACGGAGTAAAGATGGTTGGTTTCAAGCTCCAAGACATTCATCAGGCGATCGACGTAGCGACTGAGCAACGTGGCTGGGGCAGCATGGTTGTCATTGAGCCATGAAGGGGATGTATATACTCTTCTCGATTGCTGGAAGTCGAGTCGCTATATAGCTCGATGTCTGAAGTCGCCATGGTCCAAGATTCTCCTCCCTGGAAAATACTGTGCCCTCGCAGTCTCTCGCAGTCCCATCCACTCATCGAGAGGGTTTCCAACTCAGGAGAGTCCGGCAGTAGATTCGAGATTGTTCAATTCATTGAAAAGTCCGTGGACCGAGGTTTGTCTATTATGTTCCTGTTCTCCGTATGTTCGGCCATATCGATCGGTCAATCGACGCCAAGATTGCATCACTAACTCCGACCCTCGCTCGATTTTTGTATGTAATTTGAACTTCGCCAGTCAGAGTTGAGATATTGTGCTTTGTCCGAGCAACACCTCGCCCTCCGTCGACCTTTGGCGTTTTGACCTCCTCGTTGCTATCCCACTGCTCCTGACGCGACCATGACTGCCGGAATCCCAACACGACTCTTCCTTTCCGCGGCAAGACTACAGTGCTATGCACCCGAAACAAGTGCCCCGAAGATAGCTTGCCGTGCGCTCTTCTCCCGCAAGGCCCACACATGTTCTTCTTCTGTGACGCGGCTCCGGCAGCATCAGGCAGCAGTTGAGCACAAGAAGAGTCAGATCAGATCACACGTTCGAGCTCTGGAGCAAGGCCGGCGACGCTTTTCGACGAGTCCATCCACCCGTCACGGCCATCTCGATCCACCAAAACCAGGAGAAGAGTGCGTTACAAACAGGCTCGAATGGGGAGAGAAACTTACTGACCTTGTGATGTCGATAGGCTACATATCACGATAATCGACAAGGATGGGGAAAAGCACACGTTCGAAGTCGCCGAGGGGGACAATCTGCTGGACATTGCGCAGGCAAATGATATAGAAATGGAAGGTACGTGGATACCCAACCTGTGACATCTCCCAGCATGTCTCTAGACCTAACAGGCCTCTCCAGGTGCATGTGGCGGCTCTTGCGCCTGTTCGACATGCCATGTTATCGTCGAGTCCGAAGACATGTACGACAAGATCCCGGAAGCGAGCGATGACGAGAACGACATGCTCGACTTGGCCTTTGGTTTGACCGAGACGTCACGGTTGGGCTGTCAGGTACAGATGACGCCCGAATTAGACGGCCTCGTGGTGAAACTACCTCAGATGACGAGGAATATGCAAGCCTCGGATTTTGAGAAGCGATAATAGAGGAGGATCTTTCGTTTCACATACATCGACTGTACATGTACTATCACACCTACTATCATCGCTCTTGTTCTGGAGACCAAAATACATAATGTCCCCAGTACTGCGCCTGAGCTGTGTGCTCAGGAGACGGCACACCGCACGAGTACTAACTACTGGACTGCTGCGGCACGCTTCTTCCCCCCGATCAGATCCAAAAAGCCTTGTTTACTCATCTCATTTGCCTTTTCCTCGCGGTTGGCCATGCCTACTGTGCCCTTCTTGCGCTCTTCTCGTGCAGCTTTTTCGCTGCTGACTTGCGCCGCTCGTACGGCGTTGAAGAGCTTGACCACACCGCGCTGGGCGATCTTTCGCAATCGCTTCTCTTCCTCGGCGATTTCTCCCGCCGTTCCGGAATTCAAACCTAAGACGTCCTTTATTCTTCCTCTTTCTAGATCTTCACGACGTTCCGACCGTAGCTTGGCCTTGGCCTTTCGCTCAAGTTTCTCATCGGCTAAAGACGTACTCGTCTCGACGGCTTGCTTGCTCCGTGAAAGCACAGGGTCTTTACGTGCTGATTGCGAAAGCTTCGTAGACAGGATCTTCGATATGGAGGTCGAGAAGGCCTCGGGGTCGTTTCGCTTGCTTGTAGATTTTCTCTTGGGAGTGGTGGTCGTTTCTGCATCCTCGTCGTCATCGTCGTCGTCCGCGGAGGAGTTGTCACCCTGTTCCGACTCTTCGAGGCCGTCCGCATTCGCCTCATCGTCTGATTCTTCAGCAGGCTTTGGTTTTTGCTGTTTTGTTTTTCGTCGGCTGGATTCCTCGTCCGAATCATTCAGATTGACGGCGTTAAACTGTTCATCCTCCTGCGCATCTGACTCGTCTGAAGAACTGTGGTAGTCGACTTGCTTGCGGACTCGTTTTTTAGGTCGATCTACTTTGCCGCGCATGCCATCTTCGAGCCTGCGCTTTTTTTGTGAAAGGGGAGCCATAGCGAATATGTTGCTGGAAGTGCCTACGGCGGTGCGGCCAGTACGCGGACTTTTGGCGCCCAAAGAGAAAATTAAGTCAGAATTTCTCGGTCGGCAAAACTGCGGTGTAAAGAGGATCAATCCATGGACTGCGGAGAGAGGGAGAGAGACACAGAGCATTGCATTCTCCCCACCATCAACCATCGAGAATCCGCACCATCCCAAACGTCCACGTTGCGGTAATCCTGCTGGAAATCTGAGGATCGAAGAACCCAATTCTCTTGTTCACACTTTCTCAGACACAGGCTTCTTAGGATGGTGCTTTCAGACCTCGGTCGGCGCATCAATGCGGCCGTCTCAAACCTCAATCGCGAGGCCAACCTCGACGAGAAAGCCTTCGATGCTATGATCAAAGAGATTTGCTCCGCCCTGTTAGCGGCAGACGTCAACGTCCGACTGGTCAAGAATCTGCGAAAGTCGATACAGAGCACAGTCAACTTCAAAGATCTCCCACCCCACACGAGTGCGAACAACAAGAAACGATTAATCCAACAGGCAGTCTTCGACCACCTCGTTCAACTGGTCGATCCTCACGCCGAGCCGTACAAGCCGAAGAAGGGCAAGTCCAACGTTATAATGTTCGTCGGTCTACAGGGTGCCGGCAAGACGACAACGTGTACGAAGTTGGCGAGGTACTACGCACAACGGGGGTTCCGATCATGTCTGGTCTGCGCAGACACCTTCCGAGCCGGTGCGTACGATCAGTTGAAGCAGAACGCCACCAAGGCGAAGATCCCATACTACGGCTCGTTAACACAGACGGACCCCGCGGTGGTGGCGGCCGAGGGTGTTGCGCGGTTCAAGAAGGAGAAATTCGAAATCATCATCGTCGACACATCAGGTCGGCATAAGCAGGAGGCCGATTTATTTGCTGAGATGGTCCAGGTTCAGAATGCCATCAAGCCCGATCAGACCATCATGGTTCTCGACGGGACGATAGGCCAGGCGGCCGAAGCCCAATCGTCAGCCTTCAAGCAGACAGCAGATTTTGGAGCCATCATCATAACGAAGACTGACGGCGGGTACGTATGCGCATACCTGCGCCACGCCCTGAATCTTGGTTGCTGTTGCGTATCCTCGTCCCCACGCTGACCATTTCGTAGTGCTGCGGGAGGTGGTGCTATATCTGCCGTTGCGGCCAGCAATACTCCAATTATCTTCTTGGGCACAGGCGAGCACATGATGGATCTCGAGAGATTTGCACCGAAGCCTTTCATCCAAAAGCTTCTAGGTTATGGCGACATCACAGGCCTGATTGAACAGATCTCCACGATCACGAAGGAGTCCGCCGGTCTAAAGGAGACACAGAAGCATTTGGCCGAGGGCATTTTCACGATGAGAGACATGAAGGAGTACGTGTGATGTTGTTTTCCAAGAAGAAAGGAAAAGAGGTCAGCTAACACGCGTCCCTCCCAGGCAAATCCAAAACATCCTAAAGATGGGTCCGATGTCGAAAGTCGCAAGCATGATACCGGGTTTGAGTTCAATGATGGTGAGTAGAAAGCCACCGGGGAAATTCCGACACTTCTCAATTGCATCTCTGAACTGGAAGGAATGTCGTAGCTAATGTCTGGAACAGGGTGGCATGTCAGACGAAGATGGCCAGGAGAAGATTCGCAGAATGATCTACATTTTCGATAGCATGACGGCCAAAGAACTCGACTCGGATGGAAAGATCCTCATCTCCCAACCGACACGAATCACGCGGATAGCATGCGGCTCGGGAACGAGCGTCAGAGACGTAGAGGAGCTTCTGACCCAGCATAAGGTCATGGCAAGGTAAGCGCCTCGTCCGGGCGGTTTTATGCATGACACACCGGGCCAATGCTGATTTTTCTGCCGCAGTCTTGCGAAAAACATGGGCGCCCAGAGAAAGAACATGGCCAAGGCCCAGGCAATGCTGCAAGGTGGGAACAAACAGCAACAGATGGCTGCTATGCAGAAGCGAGCTCAAGCGTAAGTCTTGTTTCCTTTTTGTTTGCCAGAACGAGAGGAGGGGCTGACCAGTTGGTAGGATGGGTATGGGTCGATCCATGCCAGGAGGAAACGACATGGGCAAACTCATGCAGGTATGTCGTGCGCAACCGTGGCCTTTGCGCTGGTAAAGGCCACCAATGCGGTGATTAGTCGCTGACCGATTTCTCGCAGATGATGCAGAGCATGGGAATGGGTGGCGGCGGACCTCCTGGTGGCATGGGCGGCATGGATCTCAATTCCATGGCCAGCATGCTTGGAGGTGGCGGCGGTGGCGGCGGCGGTGGAGGAAGGGGTCGTGGCAGATGATGGTTCTGTACAAGTATATCGTCCGTCTAACAACCTGTCCTGGGGCTATGAGGGAGCCAGCTTTCCTAGGCCGATATGAACGAGGCTAGAGTTGACTGGATACGGCGTCACCCTTCGTTTCTCGCCAGACGACCCAGAGAAAGGCCGATCAGACACGCCCCAGCCTGGCCGCGAGGTCGACAAGGCAATACACGCCGCCTCAGGTGTGGATGGCGGGCGGTCTTGTTACTTTCGGATGCAATCAATCACCGTGCATGCCTGTATGCACGCTTCCTTTGTCTTTCGACCCCCCTCCCCGACACGATCGACAATCTGTTCTTCAAGGATCAAACAATCGTGTGGCAAACGGAGAAAGAATAAAAGGAAGGAAATGGAAATGGTCACTCGGTCAAAACAACCACCGGGGACGTCGTGGTCACGGCCACGGTCACGGTCACGGTCATGATCGCCACCTGGAGGTATCCATCGGGCGGCATCGTCCATTGAAATAGAGACAAGAAAAGCGCAGGTGGTCTTCTTGCTACCGGACAACATGTCAGCTCAAGGGACGTTGGAACGCCACACAATTTTACCCCAGTGTCCGCCGCTCTTTGATGAGAAGAAAGTTTCGGAACCAAAGGGACATGATATGACATGACATGATATTGATGTTGATATCGATACTGGACCGTCAGCATGTCTAGGCCCTATCTATCTCATAGTGAAGTGATCGATATACATCAATCTCGCAACCGAGAAAGAATTAGTACGTGTGATGCCACAGTGAATTGATCAAAATGTATATATATACCCCAAACCGCCGTCTGCCCGCCCCCGGCCCCACTGACTCGTGTCTCGCAGCTTTGCTCTCCCGCTCCCTTCTCCTATTTATTAGTCCATTCGCTCCCTCTTTCAGTCCGTTCCAACCTCTTCCGCTCTTCCTATCTCCCCGTCCGAATCCGTGCCCGACTCGCGCATCTTGGGAACTCTGGATCGCCCGAATTCGTCTTCCTTCAAAGAAGGTGGATGATCTCTGGTGCTGCCTTCCACCTCCTGTGGTAGGCTTTATCCACTTCGTAGGCTTGGAACGACAGTGTTCGGTTGTACGACCAGCCATAACCCACTCGTCGATAGTATGTGGTCCAAGATTTGTGCGTTGGTTGCAGGACCAGAAAGTGCCGATACCTGGACTTATATTTCTGGCAGCAAGGACACATCCCATCCAGCTCCCAGGCGCTGAGGAGGAAGACATGGTCCTCGAGTTTCTCGCAGACACGATCTGGGATCATTGAACCCAGGTGTTGGCCATCGCCGTCGTGAAGCTGCAGGTATCGACCTTGAAAGTCAGTGGATCCCCGATACCAATGTGGTGCTTCTGCGCTGCCAAAGGTTATATCGCGTGCTTCGCCGACAGTGGCGGGATGGAGGACGCCTCGCAGAACTAAGCTCGAGGAGTGCTTTGGAGTTGCGCTGAAAACATCTGCATTTCCATATATACATTTGGGGGATGAGATGACTTCGTACTGGAGCTTGACGAAGTCCGCCTCACCGTTGCCCCGTCGGAGATGTGGATATTCCACGGCACCGTCAGCAGCGACCCACGACCAAGTTGGTATTCCCTTGAGAAGAGAGGCTCTTCGATGCGATGGCTCCGACGGGTCTTCTTTCTTCCGCGGAGGGTGTTTCAATGCGGAAACCCAGAGTAAGTTTCGCCCAATGCATCTCGTCCAACATCCAACGAGATATCGATCCGAGTAAAGCTGGCCAGACAGCCTTGCCAATCCGGAAAGGGCAAGAAGACGGTCTTGTCGTCTAGTCAACGAGCGATGCGTATAGGTCTCGACAAGCTGGGCCCATAGATTATGTTGTCGATGCTCTATGTTGCTCGGATCGAGACGCTTGAGGATGTCGGTTTTCGGGGAAGTCCACCGGAACCAGGACGGTAGGAAGGCTAAAAGGTCGGATCCATCTTCAGCTTGACAGACTTCTCCACATATCCAATACTGTTGGAATTCTCCAAAGTGAAGTTGGCGGCGTGAAACGAGCTGCTCCTGAAGAATCCATGCTCTTGTCGATAGAGGTGAGTGGACAACATCGGATTGAAATAGATCTGATGCTCTTGCAGGCGGCGCAACTTCGTACGGCGAATACCTTTTGACCAGGTTGGCCTGGGCAGGACCGTTAGCCGTCACGATAGTCAAGGAAACGCCGGATCTCTGCTGGAAGCTTCCTTGCCGACAATTCGCGAGGAAGGAGTAGTCGTCGTTTTGGGCGCTGTCGGTGAATAAAGAAAGGGCTGCATTGCCAAATACTTTGAGCATCTGAACGCTTTCACCGGACCAGTCGGCCTCATCGTCCTGGATGATACACACAGAGTCGACCCAGAGATATGATAGCCCGAGTTCACTGATGTAGGTGAGAGCTTCTTGTATAGTGTTGGGTAGCTCCAGCAATTCAAATCCTTGAAGCCTCTTTTCAACGTTCGACCTTGTCGTTGCCCACGAAGGCATCGGCCCTGACACCCATCGATGACTGAGTGCTGCGTACCTTCCTGTGTTTGGGGTTCCGGCCACAAGTCTAACGGTACCTGTCCGAGCTAGCAAGGAGACATCGATCAACCGACTGGGAGGCTCATCAGCTTGTTCGGCAATCCGATTGCGGCAACGGCTGTGATAATTTTCGCAACGGCGGAGCCACGTCCTGGTTGTTGCCATCGACCCTGCTGACCAGGCATTCTCCTCGGGAACTTTTCCGTACATCAGCCCGTCGAGCCTTGACGATTTTTTGGCTGGCAGAATCATAAGCAATGTTCTCAATAGCAGCGTTCCTGAACTTACAGTCGCTTGTGAAAACATCCATGTTGATGTCTTCCAACAGAAAGGCGCTGCACATGCCCATACAGCGTGCAAAGTCGAGTGACCGTGACGACGTAGCCTCCGCAGAGTTGCAGAAACAGCCACAGGATAGCTGTAGCCTTAAGTAGGTGACAGCACCTCTTTGATTCGGTGCGGTGCCCTTTCTCAGGATCACCTGACAGACGCCGTTGTCGATGTCAATATCCCGATGGGCGCCAAAACAAGAGAGGAAAAAGCCACAGCCTTCACATCGAATCGAGGACTGTTCGAGTTCCTTGAGTGACTTTGCATGTAAAAGGCCACTGGGTGAGGATAGGGTCTCGAGAGACAGAGAATCGCATAGCGAACATGGGTGTGCGACTTTATTGATAGTGATACTGTTCCTCGCTCCCGGCAAACATCCTTTCGAACGGTTGGGCAAAAATTCGCCAAAGTACCAAGAGTTGAAGACGGCGGGCACGGAAGAGAAGGGAGGAAGGCTGTCTCTGCGGCAGGGACCGTCACACTTCTCGCGAATCTTGTTCCACGTATCAAACCCAAGTTTCTTTCGGAGGTAGTGAAGACATTGTACATCTGTGCTCCAACACACTGGAGAGCAGGACTTCCCGCGGTCCAGCGAAGCACCGAAGGATAAGAGAATGTCGACGTGATCAACCCAACCTGAGTTGGCGGCACAGTAAAGCGGGGTGCAAAATCCCTGGGCCACGACCGAGATATCAGCTCCCTTCTGGAGCAAATCTAACGCGATTATGAAGGCAACAGTGCCTTCGGGGCGCTCCCCCTCGTGTGTGGCATATCGTGAGAAGGTATAAGCATAAAGAGGGTACCTATCCTCAGCTCCCGGCCTGGACGTGAGTTGAGCACCGGGGGAATCGTGACGTTGCAGGCTCAGACCTCGTAATGCCAGTTGATGGTTTTTCCACAGAGAAGAGTCATTGGCGCAACAAGCCAAGTGAAGTGGTGTCCATCCGATCTTATCGCAGGTGTCGATGTCTAGGTTTGCTGAGGCCAGCAGCTCTTTGACTTTGTCCGCATCCTGGCACCACACCGCCCAATGCAGATCCGTCCAGTCGCTGGGTGAGCCGTGTTAGCATCACGGTAGGGGAGGGCGCCGGACATATCTTACCTAGGTCTACACTGACCCATGGTACGAATGATCGACAGAGGGAGAGATGGCGAACAATCACATTGCCATGAATTCAGACAAGGATTGACTCTACGCCTTGCGCCTAGACGCAAGGCGTGGAATCGGTGAGCTGAAGTGGCCTTGTAAGGCCATGTTCATGCTTAGTCGCTTTCAGTTTGACTCGAGCTGAGCTTGACTAGAGCGGCACCAACCTCGCTCCCGCAAAGTATCGTGAGTCTGCCTCTCACCGGTTGCAACAAAGAAAAGGCGATCTGGAAGAGGGGGGCTGGGGGAGGGCGCTTAATCCATACATGCATACCCCTTGCGTCCAATAGTGCGGGCGTGTTGGGCACCATACCGGGGTTGGTTCTGTGGGCTGCAAAGTCTGCAAAAGCCCAACACGAGAGGAAAACGGGCTTGACTTGCGTTCCGGGGTGGAAAATGCGATGATGCTTAGCAGGTGGGCATCTCGTATTCTCTCAGCCCTCCTCATCCCTCCTCATCCCGTACAAGCCTCGTGTGACCTGAGGCCAGGGTTGTGTGGCCGCAAGGGGGTGCTGAGGATCAGGGTTATTTATATAAGTTTCGATTCTTGCCCGAAGATTTATAACCCCAATTTCGTGGTCTCAGCCCTCAGCTCATCTGTTGCAGCAAATCTGACAACAATCTCTTTGTCCACTTCTCTTTTATGCCCATCTGAGAAGTCTGTGCAGGCGGTTCTTAAGAAACGGCCAGCACTGGAGTAATCATGGGCGATCCGCTGGCGGTCGCGGCAAGTATTGCAGGCCTTCTTAGCCTCGCTAACGACCTGACGGGGGGGGGGGGGGGGGGTGTATGCCTGCTACAAATACTACAGATCTGTCAAAGAGGCAAGAAGTCAAATGCAAGAAGTAATCGACAAGCTCAAAGCTTTGCGCGCTGAACTGCAAGATCTCGAGAATATTTATGCGAATGCGTCACAGCCTTTGCCATCGACGCAACAGGTGCTCAAGACAGTCAAGAAGTGTTCAAATGATATTGGCGAATTCTCTAGCCTCCTTGACCCAAGTTTCATGGGAGTGAGAGGAACGATTCGACAACTGAAATGGTCGACACAGAAGGAGAGAGTCAAAAGCTTTCTGTCGAGTATCGAATGGTATGTCTCACTCTTCGCAGGGGCCAAGGCGAATGACACACTCCAGCTTGCAGACGCTGCGGTATCAATTGGCAAGCACATTGCAGAGGGGATAGATCTCGAGAGACACCGTGCTGCTAAGGAAAGACAAGCACAGGAATGGCGGCAATTGCTGAATTGGCTCTCACCCTTAGACTTGCAGGAACTTGGAACGATCCACGCCCACAATTGCCAGACGAGGACAATAAAAGGGTCCAGCCATTGGATATGAAGAGATCCAATGTTCCAGCGATGGCGTGACGGCAGGAAAGGAAACATTTGGCTCTCCGGAGACCCCGGGGTAGGGAAAACCATCCTTGTGTCAGTGAAGCACCTCAAATCCCTGTATCAGCCCAAATGGTAACGGAAGACATCAGCTCGGACATCATCGATCATTGTTTGAAAGCCGAAGGTAAGAACCGTTTGGTTCACGTTGCTTACTTTTACTGCAACTTTGGAGCCGAGCGCATCCAAACATTGGAGTACATTCTTGGCTCTTTGTTGAAGCAGCTGCTATCGAAGCATTTCGATATGGCATCCGTACCAAAGTCGGTCATAAAGATCTATGAGCGATCCAAGAATCTTCAGACGTCCATGCGGATATTGAAGCCTTTACTGGACATTGTCTGTCGCTCACTCGAACGTGTCCATGTAATCATCGATGGCTTAGATGAGGTCTCGCCTGAAACTCAGTCAGCTTTCGTTGAATTATTTGACCTCTCAGGACATGGTCACAGTTTCGACGTTTCACTCCTTGTATGCAGCCGACCTCATATTCAAGGAATCCAGGCCGCAGAGAAGCTGCAGATCGCAGCACGCGAAGATGATATCAAAGCCATGATCAGGCATCGCATGAAGACCGATGCGAACATCAAAAGGGTTGTGAACGGCGACACCACATGGGCTGGGAGAGTTGGTGCTAAGATCTTTCGACAGTCGAATGGCCTGTAAGTGCTGTAGCTGACCCTGGTACGAAGCGATACCATTATTGACAGCCTACAGACCTTTGCTTGCTCAGCTGCACCTAAATCGCATTGCAGAGGAATCTAGCAAGGCGGATGTCGACGACAAGATTACCGCTTTAAAACCCGGCCTTATCGAACAGTATAACCAATCACTTGAGCGGATCACAGCCAATCCAGGCTTCGCTAAGCTTGCTTTTCGCGCATTTTCGTGGCTGATAGCTGCTCGCCGACCGCTGTCCAGCGATGAGCTCTGCCAGGCTTTAGGAATCGGCTTAGAAGATACCAAATTGCGACGAGATAGGACTCCGGCGTTCGAGTCCGTCCTGCAATCGTGCCTCGGCCTTCTGCGGTTCAATGAACCTCTGAAGACTGTTGAGTTCTTTCACTTCTCTATTAAAGAGCATCTCGTTGCACGAAACAAACCCGAAGAGACAGCTGCTCTGAACGTACCGCAAAGTTGTCTCGTATATCTCCGATTTGCGGACTTCGCTTCAATCTGCAAAGCAGGATGATGGCAGCTTAGCCCGGCGTCAACAGCAATATCCATTGGCGTCGTACCTTGCAGAACACTGGATGTCCCATGTACATGGCGATGCCGAGGTTGAGCTCTGCGACGAGATCGGCCGGTTGCTGGAAAGTCCTAACATATTTTCGTCGTTGCAGCTGATTCCTGAGATCGAACGAAACACCCGGTTGATTGGGACAGTCAAAGACGTACGCTGCAACAGCACTCCATCCAAGGAAATGGCCTTCTACCTCTGCACTTATTTCGCTCTGGTCTACGTCCTCAAGAAAACTTTCGATAGAACGCTGTCTGCCGCTATGTCCGCCCCTTGGGGTGAACTTTATTCGCCAACACACGTAGCGGTTTGCTATGGAAACGTACCAATGCTTCAGGAGATTCTTATGCATCCCCACAGCGCGAATTGCCGAGACCGATGGGGTTTGACGGCATTACATCTGGCTGTTCGCTTGCGGTCAACAGAGGAAGTGGCCTTGGTTCGAGTTCTGCTGGAAAGTGAACCGGATCTGGACTTGCGAGACCAAGATGGTGACACACCTCTGCACCTCGCCGCAAGCTACGCGACAGTTGACTCAATCGAGCTTCTGTTGAAGGCAGGGGCAAAGGTGAACATCCAGAACAATCGTGGGAAAACTCCATTGCATCGCGCTGTCGAACGTGGTTCACTCCGCGTGACTCAACTCCTTTTAGACCACCACGCAGATCCAACGACTGTTGACGGCCAAGGTCAAAGCTCGTTAGCACTCAGTTTGCAAGACCAACGGCTTGCATTTCTGGATGCTATAGACCATGCTAGGGACCGTGATGGGAATCCGTATGAGTTCGCTGCCTTCGAAAGGACGGCGTTGGATGGCTTTTACGAACTCGACAAAGATGTAGTGCTCTTAGAGAAAGAGAGGACAGAGTGCCAAGAGCGCGAAAGAGAAGAACATGAGAGGCTCCATCGGTCTCGATACTGCGGTCAGACAACAACGTTACGGTCGGCACTGTTGTGGGCGGCGGAGAAGGGAGACTGGGGCAGTATCAGCGAAATGGTAAGAAGGGGCGAAGATTTGAACCAGCGAGGGCGTTCCGGTATGACGCCAATTCACCGTTCCATCTCGAATGGACGTGTTGAGGCAACTTTTTGGCTAGCTGATGCCGGCGCAAGCCTGGACATTCGAGATAGTGACGGGAGGACTCCGCTTGACTATGCTCAAGGCCAGTGGGAGATTTTATGGGAACTGTACCATGCCGGTGCCCTGCGCCGACCTCCTTCAGACTCCGGATGGCATCCGTGCAGAACGACAGGAACCCCCGGGTATCGGGACGAGGAACGAATGTACCGGGCGAAATGGAGTCGACGCAATCACGACGGAGGACCTGAGCAGGAGTGTCGAGGCTGGGACTCAGATGATCAGGCGAAGCGAAGCCTTGAAAATTCTGCTGTGCTCATCCGGCCACATATAAAACCCGCGTAACGAGGCTAGTAGATGTCGTGGTAACGGATCTGGATTGGAGGAGCATTAGCCGATGGTCGGAGAGACAGCAGACTAACAAGGAGACTACCAAGGAGCCCGATGAAGCTTGCGAGGAAGAAGCTTAGGAGCCATGCCTCATTACGCGTACGAGGACCAGGACCGGCGCCGGACGCATACGTATTCGACATCAGATGTTGGTCGAGAACGTCGTTGTTTGATTTATCACTTACAGTACTTTGTACCTGGAATGCGAGCTGCTTAGTAAATGGCCGAGTCTGTCGCGGAATTACGTCCTGGGTTGATCCGCGCCGGAATTACATAAGCGAGACCTGATTAAATTAGACTGATCTTTGCACTTACGAAGTCAAATCTCTTGGCGTGCCACGCCCGGTTGCCCAGGTCGAAAGATCCAGAATCCAAAACACCCTTCATCACAATAAAGTTCCAATACGGATGCTCCCTGCACCCTAGTGCCTGTCTGCTTTTGACTAACTAGCACAGTTACGCACAGTAAATCACCGAGCCTCTGGCCCACCGACCCTGCCCATCTGATAAGGCAGAGCCACAAACTAGGCCCTACGGACACGATCGCCTACGCGCGGGTCTGTGTCAACCGTCCTGAAACGTGCCTTGATCCGACGACTACAGCCGCAGTGGGTATTGGGCTCTGGAACTGACTTCCTCTTTCCTCTTGGGGGGCTTCGGCGCTTCCCTACTGCACACTTCGCTAGGTGACGAGGTCACGGCTAGCTCCAAGGCGCAATCAGCCCAAAATGACACCCTCCGGAGCAACTTTGCTTTCGAGATCCTGTATATCAAAATTCGGTGTGGATCCGAGGCCGCGTCAGTGTTCATGGCTCACAGCTCGAAAGCGCCCAACTAGTTCTCCGAGAGACCAACAAGGGTTGAGGGATTCTTCCGGCATCGAAGTCGGCAACCGGGTAGGTATTGTTTTGTAGGTGATGTCGGGCCACATGGAGAGCAAGTCGACAAGGGCGTCGAGGTGCTGGTGTTATGCTTCGGTATTTTAATCTGTCCATCTATATATATATATATATAGCGATTGCCGACCACATATCTACTGTTTGCTCCCAGACAAGAATCAAGGAAATCCCTCTGGTGTCTGAGGATAGATAGACGACCCCGAGACGTCAGTCATCATGAGATATTCAATCTTTGCTACTTCGGCCTTGCTTTTGGCCGGCTCCTCCTGTGGTGCTGTCATCAAGGCAATCACTCCCGACGTCGACACGAGAAACATATCCGAAATCTACGCGGCTGCTCTCCAGGAAAACGGGACTCTTCAAATAGCATACGGCGGCGATGGTGAGACACTACTACTGCTGCACATATCTTCTTCCGAGGAGAAACACAAGGACTGACTCACACTCCGTTTTCTGTCATTAGAGAAAAAGCAAAGCACTGCGTTCGTCCAGGCATTCCAGGCCGCTTTCCCCGGTATAAATATCAACGCGACCACCGACTTGTCCAAGTACCTCGATGGCCGGATCAATCGCGCCCTGCTCGCCGGTGAGACGTACGCCGACGTTGCCATCATACAAACGCTGCAAGACTTTGATTCGTGGAAGGCCCGCGGCGTGCTGCTCGAATACAAACCGCCAGGCTTTCACCAGCTGTACACCGCGATCACGGACCCAGACGGCGCGTACATTCCTGCCAACATCGGTGAGTCCGCCCGGTCTGGAGATTGCTGTGGTTGACTGACAATGAGCTCAGGCGGGTTCGGCTATTTCACCTACGACACAACACGGGTCAGCGCGGCGGACGTGCCCAAGACGTATCTCGACGTGCTCGATCCCAAATGGAAAGGCAAGATTGTGCTCACCTACCCGAACGACGACGACGCCATCAATTTCCTCTTCGCCACCATCGTGGACAAGTACGGCTGGCAGTGGCTCGAACAGCTCCTGACACAGGACGTCAGGTGGGTGCGCGGGACTGCCACGCCCGCAGAGGTCATCGCGCAACCGGGGTCACAGTATGAATTGACGTTTTCCGGATATCGTGCGGCGGCCAATCAATCGATGGCTGCGCCGCAGGACTACTTCATGTCTTGGGCGCAGACGTCCGCCATTTTCAAGAGCACCAAGCTGCCCGAGACGGCCAAACTCGTGCAGGCTTTCCTCGCCTCCGAGGACTGGCAGACCGCCAAGGTCGCTCAAGGCTCGTTCTCCACACGGAAGGACGTGTCTGCCAATTCGACGGTGTGGGCGGCTGAATGGACTGACGCGGCAAGATACCACCAGTTCATGGTGCAGAGGGACGTGGTCGAGGCGTGGCGGTTCAATTTCGAGGATTACCTGGGCACTGCGCAGGGGCTGAGCCCTCTCGTCGACGATATTTCGTAGTAATATGGTTGCTGGTAGATGATTGCAACACGGCAAGGATAAGACCTACCACGCACCGTGGTAGAGGCACCTTTCTGCGGCGGCGGCGCATGTCGCGATAGCATCAAACACCACCGGTGCGAAAGTGTTGTTGACATCCCTTTTTTCATCATCTGCATTCCAACGTAACCTGAGTTGCGGATAGGCGGGAAACACCGCTCTGGTCCATCAAGTACCGTCACATCAGGTTTCCAGATTGACATGAGTCGCCGTCTGGCTCTGGGAGAGGGGGTAGTAATACGTTGCAAGCAGGTCGTCTTGGAAGTTCAACTGTCTGGAATGACCGGCCAGACCGAGTACGGTCGTCCATTACACCAGAGATGGCACTTTAACCTGCCCTTAAAAGCGGCGGCGCCAGCTGCCACATTCGGCGGGAATGTTCCCTACACCATAACTTGAGCTGTTGGTTTTAGGGCATGTCGGGGAGTTTGTTTCGGTGAACCGTACACTAGATTTCCCGGCACCGACTTGACAGTCCAACGGAAGTTGCAGGGAAATTTCCCTCCGAATATGGCCATAGGTGCCGCCGCTCTTGGAGGTTGTTTTCCCTCGGTGCCAAAAATGCGGACCCTAGCCTCCCGTCGCAGACTTGACTCTCCACCCATGCCGGCTTCAGTGGGACCAGAAATAGTCCCCTTCAGACTCAACGGAATCGTCCATTCGCCGACAGAATGGATGCCTTCACTGCCCCAAGTATGGCGCCCGAAGGACGCGCAGCAAGGATCTTGATGGATCTTCTCACCGTCTGCTACAGAAGAGCACATTCTCTAACCCTCACGAAGTCCTCTGGAACCGCGTCTCGTCACCCATCTTTTATGAACATACACGACCGACTGCAACCAAGCTCTACCTTTAGGCCAGCGACCGCGACCTTTGTCTCTCTCCTCTCCGTGCAGAATCCCTCTGCCAGCTATACTATCCTACGTAAAAGCTACCACGCTGCACTGTGGGCCATTACCAGGGGCAAAGAATTGCAAATGTGCCTTATGGCGGGGTCAATGACGGAAAGAAGAGGTCATAGTGCTGACTGAATGATAGGTGAAGAAGCCGACGTCAGATAATAAGGATCAACAACATACTTATACCATATTACAAGGTTATTTAACGACAGGCTGAGCTAACTCTTTGCTCATCAAACTCATCACAACCTGTACTTCTGGTGACGGCGTGTGTAGCAGATCTGCACACAGTTCATGTGCAAGCCCAGGTAGTTTCGGCCGACTCGTGCCCAGAACGGGTGGCCGGCCCTGGCAAGCACCAGGGCAGGCGTCGTGCACCAAAGCCTGGAAATTGAAGCCCAACTCGCCTGCGGGACACGTGCATAGGGGCGAGTAGAGTATCCACAACTGCGGTAGCTGAGTGTTTCGGTTCGGAGTTTTTCATCAAGACGTCGATTTAGAGTGTGCGTTCAAGGGTTCGGGCTTAGGGGGCGCGGATCTTCTCGCATAATTGCGGGAATATGCAGTAGGTGCGGATGAAGAGCCGTGGTGCTCCTAACTTAATAACCGGCGATCTACGAGGGGCGGCGTGGCTGAAGAAAGCCTCAGATGTCAAGGTTGCAAAAAAGTTCGAGGGTGGCCTGCGTCGAGGTCTTGATGATGCTGGACAGCCTCTATTGGTTTGATCTTGGACTTCGAAACTTTTCTGGGTGTGCTTTCCCCGGCTAAACACAGGAGGCCGCACGATTTTGTCAGCTGGCACGATTGTCATCAAGATACTCGAAAGGACACCAGGATGTACAGCCCTGCTTCTTAGAGGATCCCGACCTCGCTACCTGAGCCATCAAACAATTCACCGAACTCTCCGATAAGCACCTGTGCTGTCTGTTATGTGCCGTGGCTTTGGCGACGCCATCACGAAACCAAGAGGCGGCGTCCGCTTGATAGACGATTTCCTTCAGTCATTTACCTGTTGTTTCACGGTTGTGACCAAGCTTTTCCTGCCGAGCTCCACCTCAAACTAAGACCAACGCTCTGACGATCACCTCGCCGTCCTTGCTTTGGCGTAGTCCACGAAGCAGCCTTGCATCATCACTTTCCTCGCTCGTGAAGTCTTCGTTTGAAGACGCGGCAAGGCCCGGAAATAATGTGAGTCTCACCCGCACCTCTGGAAAATTCTCCTCATCTTGGCCGGTTGTCATTGTCTCGACGTTGAATTTCGTGCCTGGCGCCGGCCAAAAAAAGCAATGGCTATCAGAAACGCACAATTTCAGCTTGCAACACAGCGACAGAGCTTTCTCAAAGAGAGTGCGAATCTTGGGTTCATAATCAATCCAGTGGCTGGGGTAAACGACCTTCTTAAAGTTGCCATCAGGAGCCAATGACCGAGATAGAGCGCCGGCCAGGTTTATTGCTAGTTCTTCTGCCTTTATGGGTAGATTCTTCCGCTGAAAGTGTTCCTCGTCGATGAATGACTTCGTCAAAGCCTGCCGGTGGTGCATTTCTGCAATGAGCCCATCTGCATTCTCACGTTAGGTGACCAGTTATGAAAGCGACGACTAAAGCCAAGCCGAATCAATCAAGGACTTACAGTTTTTTCGAACTAGACGATAAGATTGTCTCAACACTGGGTCATTCCCGCCGGAAAATTCTGGAAACTCCGACTCCAACGCCCAATTGTGAATCGCGGCCCCAATCAAGCTCCTCAGCAATTCGGCGTTGTCTGGAGGCCCTACTTTCAAACTCAGACTTGCTGTGTACCGAAAGAGCGATTCCTGTGGCTGAACCTGCAAAGCCTGTTCGCAGAGAGAGCAGAGCCCCGGGAATTTCTTTTCAATAATTGACATTTCTGGAATCATTTGTCCAAACCCTTCATCTTGATAGGAATGAACTATACCGCGGATAATCTTAACCATGTCGTCCATCGCAAGCCGAATACTCTGATCCGACGGTTCGAGACGCATGATTTGCGAAAGCAAATCCTGTGGTCCGCGCTCAGTTCTGCTCTCTGATGCCAAGTGAGTCCTGAGCTTTTCGATTTCCTTCCTTAATGCAGCACATTCATCGGACTTCGATGTCTTTTCAGGCTCCGTTCGTCGTTGGCCTCGCCGCACCACTGTTGGCTCGGCTTCAAGGTTTCGCGGTTCCTCAGGGTCCGGCTCTGAATGGTCACCTTTCAAGGCTGACGAGGTTGTGTCAGGTGAATCTGCGGCAAACCTAGTGGGCAAGTTGAGACAGGATCTCCCTTCTTTGAACAGTTGCTCGGAAGTAAACCCAGCTTTCTTGTACTTGTTCCATAAGTTGGAAAACTTCTTCTTGACTTGCTGGGCTGAAAATGGGGGGTCGATACTGAATTTTCGGGAAATGAACTTGGCTGATTCTGGGAATCCAACTTTGTTCCTGGCGTCGGAGTTGGCGAATTGGTCACTGTTGGCATCGAGGTAATCAAAGAGAGAGTTGACAGTCTCAGAATTCCAAGGAACGTGCGACATAATGATGAGGACTCTGGGTTTTGGGATTGTGCAAAGGATTGCTCGCGTTTAGAGAGAGTCGTTTGCAGATGTCTCGGGAGGACAACACTATGTTGGAGGTGAGAAGAAGTCCAATGTATCTTCAGGAAATTCGGCAAAATCCAAACAGCGGTGTGGCCGCTTTGCTACATCCTGTCAATATTCCCTGTCAGTGCGGTGATGGTCGATTTTCAGAGTGGCTTGCTACAGGCGCACGCCCTAGTTGTTCTGTACGTGGAAATGCTGCAGGCGCCTGGTCTTTGCGACGTGGCTTGCAGTTGTTGCCTTACGGTTGCCTGTTTCCCATGAGGGGTCTCCTTTAGGCTTGTCGGTGAGGCGATCCTCAAATCTGATAGGCCAATTGCACTGTGGTGTATACGAATGATGCAGAATCAGTCAGGCTGAGAGGCTGCAGGTAAAAAGCACATAAGTGTTGTTTGCCCATCACTACCAGTAATAACCTTTACACCACACAGACCCGAAACCTCGTCCCTTTTCACTGTGACATTCTCACCAGCATTTTTCCTCAACATAACAAGTGGCCTTGCTGCTATTTGCAGAACCCAGGAATTTGTTCCCTAATTTGTCGTCCATGCCGCGAAAGGGAACGAAGAAAACTCTGGTCGTTCGCCAAAAAGATGTAGAAAAACAACCTCGACAAGCCTCCGGGGACCGCGACTCCGAAAATGCCATCATAGAGGCTCAGAGATCACGGCGAGAGAAACTCCCAAATCAAATTGGGGAGATCCTGAGAGATGAGCTCAACCGCAAGCTTCACACTAGCGGACAAAAACGCTACGTCATCGCAATAGACTATGGCACTACCGTTCTCTTCGGCTGCTTATGCTTTCGCTTCAGAACGAACGGTTGACTTGAGTACTGTCAAGCCATCCTACATCCGAGGCTATCCTAGTAGTGGTATAGGACGCTCTTTCGATGATCAGGTGCCCACAGTTTCTCTCTACCTCAAACGTGGCGACAAAAAATACGAGTGGGGGAATGGAGTTCGGAGAGCTCTCATCTCTCAAAAGTCGAAAACATCCGCCAACACTCCCCTTGTGGAATTGGTCAAGCTGCTGCTGTCGGATACAAAAGACTTGGACAACGACAAAGCCCGGATACAATCTGTACTCGATCAGTATGGTGTTTCGATAACAAGAGCCATTGCCGATTTCCTTCACGAAATGTGGCGCCACGCGCTCTCCCGTATTGCAGCCAGTGATGGAGAAGCCTTTTTCGAGAGCTGTCAGAAAGATCTCGTTCTCTCTGTCCCCCCTGCCTGGAGTCCGAACTCCGTACGCATAATGCAGCAAGCCGCCGAACTTGCCGAATTACCCGAACCTGACATAGTAGCGGAGCAGGAAGCTGCCGCTCTTTCTGTGCTGATGGAACAGGGTCTCAATAACAGAGGGAATCTGCAGGTATAGAAGTCACGTTGTGCTGGATGACAGGATTGTTAACCATTCGTTTTAGATCGGAGACATTTTCGTGGTTGTTGACGCAGGTGGAGGAACTGTGGTGCGAGCATATCTCGTCTCGTCAATCTTCGAGTTGTGTTGACATATTCCAGGATCTTGCAGCTTATCTCCTGGAGCATCAGAGTCCATTCCGTGTTTCTGAGGTCTCAACTGCAGAAGGCGGGTAGCTACAGTACAAATTTGCTGTGGACCCAACTGACCTGAACGCTAGGTGTTGCTTGTGGATCTAGTCTCATCAATCTGGCGTTTCGCAAGTGGTTCAGATCCAAGCTAGTCAAAGAAAAGAACAAATACCCGGATTCGGAATTTGAGCGGCTCATAGAAGAAGCTTCCTCGGCGTTTGAGTGGGCTAAACGTGCATTTGACGATTCGACTACCGATGACCCTTTCTGCGAGGTACCAGGCTTGAAGAAAAACAGGGATGGCATCCTCCAAAACAATCTTGTTTCAATTCCCAGGCAAGCGCTTCCAAAAACGTCTGTGAAGAGAGCACTAATTCCGGACAGAATGACAATGCTTGAATTCTTCGACCAGATCATTCTTGATAAGATCATTCCACTCATTACCGAGCAGATACAGGCAGTTCACAAGCATTTTCATCAACCTGCCGAATTTCCTCTGGTCAAGGTCTTAAGCACCAGATTGTAGAAAAGGGTTATGCTTACCAACTATCACAGTCTATCATCCTCGTCGGAGGGTTTTCAGCATCGGCATATCTCCGCAAAACGATCAGAAACTTCTATGGCAGCGTTCGTGAGGACTCGTTCCCTTCGTACAAGATCGAGATACGAAGCCCCGAGTCAAATCAGTTCGTTATTTCTATGGATTATTTAAAAGCATATTTCTAATGTTTACAAGTGAGACTGCTGTAGCTCGCGGCTCGGTTTTGCGGTCATTGAACCCCCATTTTGTCGGAGACCGCTGCCTGCGCACAAGCTACGGGATTGCACAACAAGAAGAATTCGACCCTAAGAAACATGATGAGAGATTCAAAGAACAGGATGAACATGAAGATAAAGCGGTGGTCAATGATTGCATTTTGTGGGTGTATAAGGCGGTAAGTTTGGCTTGACCTTAGAAGGGATTGCTCGTACTGAGTATTCTAGGGCGATTCTCTAGAAGAAAATAAAGTCCTTGACATACGGGACCTCGCCTGGACCATCAACGCGGACTATGACTTCAAGAGCGGGAATTCTCGAGAGGAGTTCTTCTGTCAACTATATATGTCGGATGAAAAAAATCCAAAGGACCACTGGACGCTTGCACAGATGCGACAGAAAAACCTTCGTGAGTTCGAGAGACAATCCGAAGGATGAAATGCTCGTCTAACGTGCAATGTTCAGACATTATAGATCGCTGTCGCTTGGAAGCAGACTTCTCGACTGCTGATGTGAGCTGTTTGGAAGAACATCCCCCCAAGAAAGGCGGAAGGCCGTACTACAAGATACCCTACACCCTAAGGTCTACTGTGACTGGCGTGAAGACCGACTGGCAGCTGATTGTCCCTGGCGTGGAGGGTGTGGTAACCTATGGGCAACAAATCAACATCGCAGCAGCCTTCAAACCAGGCGAGGCCTGTTAGCACAGATACAGATCACGTTTGATTCGATCATTCCGACAATGAGTCGGCGTGAGATGCAAGCAATTGATCTACGCGTTTTCAAAGGAACCTTTGGTTTCCTTCTTGAGTGCTTCCGTCCTACACTAGCCTTGGGTAGGCCATGCTCTGAACGTGACTGGTGTAACCAGGGAATGAGCTACCCACCAGGAAATTAGCGAATGCCAACACCCGGATAACGAATATGCTAACCTGATTTTGCCAGGAAAAGAGAGTCATCCAAATTCTAGGATCAACTCTCTCAAGACGTGGCTTCTCAAACCCAGCGGGAACCGTGCCCCCACAACCGTGCACAACAAGGCCCATGAGCATTCTGAGAAGCCGTTTGCGTGATCGCTAGTGCAAGCAAACACCCACCGCCATTTCGGCTCCGCAGGATCATGCTGTGGCAAAATTGCCAGAGCTGAAGCTCAACAATGCTGAGCAAGCCGCAAACTTGGGACCAGAAAACCGGAGGACCACGTCACCCGCTCCTTGGATACAGCGCTGTACGGCATCCACATCGTGGATAAAGCTTAGGACCGCCTTTGTGGATACTTACCGAGCTTATTCAAACGTCACCAAACGCCGATCGACCAAATATCACGGTTCTGTCATATATGTCTACTTGGCGTGCGATGCACACCAGTTTCCCATGTTGTGTGACGTAGGTTTCGACATAAGATGACCCTGCAGTATCTCACCAATGACAATTCCCAAGATCAGAGATGTTTTTTCTCGGTTTTCACATGACTACAATATGGGCCACTGAGCTGCCAGGTCTCGCGGTCTGTGGGCTTCTGACATATGCTTGGGACCTCTTGAGTATGGAAAACCCAAGGCTACAGTCTCTCTTGGCAAGAGCCACGCCCCGTTCGACCTTCGCAGCCGATCATCGTCCCTTTCGTTTTCAGAGAATTCCATTCAGTACCTCATATCTCGCGTTACCACCGAGAACCCCTTCGAACGCCAACGCATCATGAAAGTACAACTTCGTGCATATCTTTCAACCTCTCATCCGTCCATGCCTCGCCAAACATATATCCCTGGATGTATGATCCTCCGAGCATCAAATACCGGTCATGCTCAACATGCCGTAAAGCCGAAGGGGCAGGAGCCACCTCAGCTATGAAGAGGATATCCGCTGGCGCAGTGAACCGCGGCACGAGAGCCAATGCTCCGCAGGAAGTCCAAGCAAGACGCCTGTTCTGGCAGGGTAAGGGCTGGTCAAAATCACCCACTACAATACCGCCGTCAAGGAAAGTCGGCTGCGAACCAGTGTCATGTAGGGTGTTCGCCATGAACTCAGCCACCGCCTCTTCTCCAGCTTCTCGAGCGTCAAGCAGCTGAACAAATCTTCTCCCATGCTCGCGCCACGCAAGGTATGATTTCTTCATCCAGTCAAATGGTTTACCTTGCAGCATTCCACGCGCCACAGTGGTGTACACGTGTGACAGTGGTCTGATACGATAGTCCAGGAGGATTCCCGTGGATGCAGCATCGGACGCCAGGCTCAGCAGGGCGTAGACGTTGTCTCGTTCATCTACGGCACGACACATCCAGGATGGGGACGTAATGCGGCATAGGGGGGAGGTCCGGGCGGTGTCCAAGTGGAAAGCACGGCAGGGCGCGTCATGGTGAACGGAGGGGAGAAAGGAAACACAACGTTGAAAGGGAAGGGAGAGAGTTGGGATGGGAGACCGGGTTCTTATAGCGGTGAAAAGCGGCGGTGCCAGCCGCCCAATTCGGCGGGAATTTTTCCCTGCACCTTGACTTGTGAGCTGTGATGGTACAAGCTGGAAAACTCCCCGTCTGTCTGTACGGGGAGTATTTGGGAGATGATTTTGTCGTTTTTTGAAGGAACTGGGCTTATCAGGCCGAGATAAGCTTAAGCGGCTCGGGAAAAACAACGGGGCAGATTGTGGCTCCGCCCATTGTCCCTGCCAAGCGCTTTGGTGGTAGGTAGCTTTCAACATCATATGTAACAAGTCACCAACAAGACCGATTGCTTTTTACCTCGACTGTAAGCACTGGTGGTTTCCTCAGAGAAGTGTCCAGACATTCGAAATGTGAAGTACACCGTCATCGCAGCTTGGTACAGTAGACAGTGGTTGAACCTCGGATCCGAAACAAAATGTATCATATCTCCCACGGCATTGTTGGTCCAGTACAGTACCCATTGACGAGCTACACAAAAAAAATCTTTGCGTGATGTCCAGTCCACGCATGTCCAGGTTTGCCTGAGAGAGGGAACATCAACTTACAGCAGCCCGGGCTGAATTCACATCAAACGGCTGTGCGCGCGTCACGACTGGCTGTCATGATCCAGGCCTTACGATGTGCTATAGTCATCCCCCAGCACCTCCTCCATCTCACTCGCCACCCCGTCTTCGGTCTCGTCGCCCTCCATGCTCTCAGGCAGCATCATCTCTCCTTCCTCTTCCCCATTCTCCACGAACCCCCTCAGTCCCACCACGCCCTTCTCCTCCACGCCGACCTCCTTCCGCCTCAAAGCACGCTCCAACCTTCCCTCCTTCACGTCCCACCCCTCCATCTGCTCCTCAATCTCACCGAACTCACCCTCGACGAGCCCGTTCCTCACACAAAACGCAATGAGGTTCCGCCAGGAGGTATCGCCCGTGCAAACCAGGGTGACGGGATCGCCAACCACGATGAACCCCTCCATCGCCCTTGTCATCGCCATGTTAAACCGCTTGGGCTCATCAATCACCCCCAACCCACGCCCTTGATCCATCTTCACAAATTTAGCCTCGTCCCCTTCAGGCCCGCGCCTTGTACGCGTCGTGCATAACATGACGATCCTGCTCTCCAGCCCCTGGAATGCTTCTAATGGCCCAACGTTGACCGCGGCCATCCCTTCTTTCCTCAATGCTGTTCTGATCCTCTTAACTTGCGCGCGGAAGGGAGACATGACCATGACTTCCTCGGGTTTCAGATTGGGTATCCCGTTCAAAAGGGTCTGAACTTGGGTGAGCACAATGCCGATCTCGTCGTTATTGTAGAGGGAGCCGACACCTGTGCCATCACCAGCAAGAATATCATCAACTTCATCGGGGCCGGAGTTCTGGATGAAGAGCACCGGCCAGTTTGGCTTGCGCCAGCCGGGCCATGACGTAGTGGTGGCTGAGGAGGGAGTGAATTCTGGGATGAGGTTGTCGAAGTAGAAGAGCGAGGAGGGGACAGAGAGAATGGCTGGGTGGGAGCGGTAGTTGCGGGTAAGGTTCGTGAAGGCAGGTCGCGGTAATGGGAGTTTCTTGCGAGTGAGAGGTTGAAGGCCGTTGGTGATAGAGAGGGGGTGGTCGGCGTAGAAGGGGAGATTGAAGAGGCGCTGGAAAAGAGAGATTTCGAGACCGGTCTTCTGCGCGTGTGATTCGAGGCGTGGGCCAAGTTGGAATTCGTCACCGGCGAGGACAAACTGTGGGCAGACAAGTTGACACTTTGGGAGCTGCCAGAGTGGTAGAACTACTGAGAGCGGGATGAGAGATTCTGGTTCGGTAGCTTGAGCGGCTTCATCGAGAAGAAGAGCTGTCCAGTGTAGGAGTGGGGTAGTCAGGCCCTCTACAGTCGAGGGGGATACCGCCCTCATGGAGTTGAAGGCTAGTTGGGCCAGATCTTTGTTGGTCAGACGTGCTTCAATGAGTATGTTGGCATCTCGACAGGTGGTGACTACGATGCTGTACGACATCAGTCGGCCAAACGGTGGCAGACTGAAAAGGCTGTTTGAATCGGTGTGTGAATACAGGATGAGTTTGTCAGGTACTTCAGCGAAGGATCGAGTCCAGCTATTGAGTCGAAACAGCTGATTTCGGTCAAGGTGAAGCGAAAGTCGAAGCGCGAGAGTATCTGCAGCCGCATCGGATGGTGCGCAGATGCGGAGGTGCGGGTGAACAGCCGATGTCTTTCGCGCAACCAGCTGAAGGGCTATCTCCACGATGGTCTTTGTTTTGCCCGTGCCAGGTGGTCCTGATACGAGGTAGGGGACCGTCCCATATCTGTCCGCAACGACAGCTGCGACAGCCTTTTGTTGCTCGAAGTTGAGGCAGGCATCTCGCCAATCTATGCCGAAGGAGGCTGCTGATAGTTTTTCCTGCATGCATGCGTCCGATCTCTGCGAGAAAAGCATGGACCGCAAGGTATCGGATGAGCCAAGTGCGGCGTCGATGGACTGGACGGCGGACACCAGTGACATCGTCTTGGGCACTTGCAAGATGAATTTGAGGTTGGCAGTTTGAGGACACTTGCTTCCATTTTCAATGCGAAGGAAGACGGCTTCGTTGGCGCGGTTGAGGCCCCATACCACCGCACGATATTCTGTACCTTCGAAGGCCGGGTGGCATTGTCCCTTTTTCCGCATATGGTCTCGCCACACCTTGTTTTGGCTAAACACGACCCGGGGGTCAGATACAGTAATGGGCCGAACAAGCACGATATCACCCAGATCGACACGAGGCGAGTCTTCGCGCAAGCCAGGCACACGTACTTCAAAGAGCAGCTGGTGAGGATCCCACATCACAATACGATGATTGTATAGCGAATAGTAAAGCAACCGCTGCTCAAGAGCTGCGAATTCGTCTCGCAGAAGAGCTATAAATCGGTCTTGATAGTGTGGTGGTTCGACAGGAGTCTGACGATCGGGAGTGGGGAGGCCCAGAGGGACAGACCATTCGTCACGAGGCTGAACATGGGTGTCTGGTCCGAAGGCGGCGGCATACTCCTCTGCGTCAAAATGGCACAGGGTAGTACAGGGGACATCAACTGCAACCGACTCGTTGATAGCAAGAAGCCAGTCAGGGACATGAACTGGTGCATAAATATTCAACTTTGAAGCTGGCTGGTCTTTGCTGGGTTGGGCGGCCCACTCCGTGGAGACTCCATCACTGGTTTTATCAAACTCGGGAGCACTTCCGGTCGCCTCAGGGCCCTCCGACAGTGTTGGCGCTCGAGGTCCTTCGTTCCTGGGGGTGACGACGTCTCCGTTGACTGTTATCACATTCTTCTTCCTCGGCGCCTCAAAATAGCCAGGTAGCGGCCTTTGGGGTCTCGTAAATTGCTGTAGAGGCCACCATCCACCTGGCTGTTGATTAGAGAGAATTATAGGTGGATTTAGGGGCAAACGAGACATCATGCAACACAATAGCCTGAATACCGCTGCTGAAGAGGAAGTGCGCCGAGAGATCGATTTCTTATGGCGCGTTGTGAGGGAAAAGGCTGGCTCTATACTGGTCCAGTCACGTGCCTGGTGCGTTGGCTGGCGCCCGACGCTGGCTGCCCTTTTCTCTCCTCCTTCTTTTCCCCCCTTTAGCCATCGTTTCTCTCACCGTACATGGAAAAGAGGTTGCACGCCTGTGGCAGCTTCTCGACGATGGAAAGAGACTGTGATTTGAAGAAATGTGTTCCCGATACTTTTAACTGAAAATAAAAAAAGAAAAAGGTTTTGTACCTGCTACCTCATCTACCTACTAGACACTCACTCCTGTTCCTTATGGTACATATCCCAATTGGCTGGCAGTCTGTAGCATCATCGGTCGATAATCCAATTTTTGTGATTTATAATATCCCGTGCATTCATCACGTCTTGTTTCGAAAAAGGAAAAATATCAACATGAACCAAAATCAAAAAAAGAAAGGACCGTGGAAATCTCATGAGACTGAAACTCCGTCGCTCAGGAACGATTGTAAGAGGCGCGAAAGAGAAAACCGGCCTTCCCTCCCAATGTGTCATCATCAAAACCTGCTAGCCGTGAAATGATCCGTAGATTTGTCGATGTGCATCGCCTCCATTTTTCTTCATTCGTGAAACGTTTCGTCACAATGATCAATTTGGTGTTTTTGGTTCTGAACGGTCAAGAACAAAAAAAATCCACCCTGTGACCAATTCATGCCGCATTTCATGCTCATATGTTCGTGATGTCCCCTACTGTCATACTCTTCAAGCTTTGATTTCTGGGACACGCTTCATCTCCTCAGAAGCATGAGCCATGTCGCCCTGCTTGTGAGCCTTGGACTCACGTGGTGGTGGAACAGAGTCATGCTGAGCTCGTCTGACGATACCGCCAGTGACGGGAAGGACGGAACCGGTATGCATCAAAAAGCTATCCACCTGTCGGGCGCACTGTCGGCCTTCGTTGATACCCCAGACAATGAGAGATTGGCCACGACGGCAATCTCCAGCTGCAAACACTCCCGGAATGTTGGTGTTGTACATGTTCTTGGGGGTCTTGATGTTCTTGCGGGGGTCAAGCTCGATTTCGGACTCGAAAAGTCGATCGTCGGGTCCAAGGAAACCCATCGAGAGCAAGACAAGATCCGCGGGGAAGTACTGTTCGCTGCCCTCCTTGGGCTTCATTTCCCAGGCACCAGTTGCTGACTTGGTCCACTCAACGCGGTTCGTATTGATACCGACAACGCGGCCATCTTCCATGACAAAGTCTTTGGTCATGACGCAGTACTCGCGAGGATCTTTGCCATAGTGCTGCTTGACTTCAGTGTGACCGTAGTCTACGCGGTAGATTCTTGGCCACTGGGGCCAGGGGTTATCGCGAGCACGCTCCGGTGGAGGCTGGGGCAGAAGCTCAAAGTTCGTGATAGACTTGGCGCCGTGTCGCAGTGAAGTACCAATACAATCGTTACCAGTGTCACCACCGCCGATGACGATGACATGCTTGTCCTTGGCCGAAATGTACTTGCCATCACCCAGTTCTGAGTCGAGGAGCGACTTGGTGTTGGCATGGAGGAATTCCATGGCGAAATGGACACCTTCAGCTTCTCGGTTCTTGATCTTGAGGTCTCGAGGCACTTGGGCACCAGTGGAGATGATGACTGCATCATTGCTCTTGCGCAGAGATTCCAAAGTGATCTCTTCGCCAGGTCCGACCATGACGCCTGTGACGAAATTGACACCTTCGGCGGCCATGAAGTCCACTCGTCGTTGGACAATGCGTTTGTCGAGCTTCATGTTGGGAATACCGTACATCAGCAAACCGCCGCAGCGGTCCGATTTCTCGTACACAGTCACGCTGTGACCAACACGGTTCAGTTGGTCTGCAGCAGCCAAGCCAGCAGGGCCTGAGCCAATGATAGCCACCTTCTTGCCGGTGCGTTCAGCAGGTGGAGTTGGTACCATCCAGCCCATTTCGAATCCCTTGTCGATGATGGCGCATTCAATGCTCTTGATGCCCACCGGGTCCTCATTGATACCAAGCACGCAAGCTCCTTCACACGGAGCAGGGCATACACGGCCAGTGAACTCGGGGAAGTTGTTTGTCATCAGAAGACGATTGAGGGCATCCTTCCACTGATTTTGAAACACTAATTCGTTCCATTTGGGAATGATGTTGGAGATCGGGCATCCGGTTTCGGACTGACAGAAGGGGACACCGCAGTCCATGCATCTTGCAGACTGGTATTTCAGTTCATCCTCGTTGAGACGAGATGACAACTCAGCCCAATCTTTGACTCTGGTCTTGGCATTGCGGTACTTCTCACTGCGACGAGTGTATTTCATGAAGCCTCGAGTCTTGTCGAGCACAAGTGCCGCCTTCTGCTTGGCCTTGTCTGCATCGCCGTTGATGCCTTCCTCGATATCGAGCATCTCAGCCTTCTTCTGCTTGGCTTCCTTCTCATGCGCCGCGTCGCGTTGTTCCTGGTGCAGGTTACGCACAGGGTTGCCTGGAAGTATGGGCAGAGGATATTCGGCTTTCTTGGCTTCTTCCGCCTTCTTTGCCTGCTCCAACAACACTCTCTTGTAGTCGGTGGGAAGCACCTTGACGAAACGTGGAAGAGCACGGTTAAATTCCAGCAGAATACGGGCGGCAAGCTCGGAACCGGTGTAGTGATGGTGATCCTCGATCATGCCACGTAGGAATGCAATCTCGGAGGGGTCGTCCACGCCAGAGACTTCAACCATTTCCATGTTGATCTTGGAATGGAAGTCCTGGTTCATGTCAAGAACATATGCGATACCGCCAGACATACCGGCAGCGAAGTTGCGCCCGGTGCTTCCGAGAACAACGACGCGGCCACCAGTCATGTACTCGCAGCCGTGGTCACCAACGCCTTCGACAACAGTATTAGCGCCAGAGTTTCGGACAGCAAATCGCTCGGCCGCAACACCTCTAAAGTAGCATGTACCGCTAGTGGCACCATAGAGACAGACGTTGCCGATAAGGATATTCTCTTCGGCCTTGTAGACAGCGCTGCGCGGTGGGTAGACGATCAAGCGACCACCAGACAGACCCTTACCAACATAATCGTTGGCATCACCCTCCAGTTCCAGCGTGACACCAGGAGCAAGATAGGCGCCGAATGATTGACCAGCCGAGCCTCTGATGTTGACGTGGATGGTATCTTGAGGCAAGCCAGCCTCACCATATCGCTTGCTGATGTGGTATGAAAGAGTCGCACCCAATGTACGGTCGGTGTTGACAATGTCAGTTTCAATGCGACATGGCAGGCCCTTCTCGAGCGCGAGCTCTGACTCGGAGATTAGCTTGTTGTCAAGGCGAGTGTGCAGCTTGTGATCCTGCTTGCGGACATTGTAGGTGGCGACACCAGGGCGGATTGAGTGAGCCGGCGTAAGAATGAGGGACAAGTCAAGATTCTCGGTCTTTCGCGAGCGAAGATCTTCACGGACCTTCAGGAGCTCAGCACGACCAACCATCTCATTGACAGTTCTGAAGCCCAGCTGAGCCATAATGGCACGAAGTTCGTTGGCGATATAATAAAAGAAGTTGATGACGTGCTCTGGAGTACCTTGGAACTTCTTCCTCAGCAAAGGATCCTGAGTGGCAATACCGACAGGGCAGGTGTTCAAGTGACACTAAAATTGTTAGCGGGTTCAAGCGCTGAGAACGTTACTGCTTACCTTGCGCATCATAATGCAGCCCATCGCAATGAGTGGCGTGGTCGCGAAACCCCACTCTTCGGCACCAAGTAGACAGGCAATGGCAACGTCACGTCCAGTTCGGATTTGTCCATCAGTCTGAACGATGACACGACCTCGAAGATCGTTGAGAACCAAAGTCTGATGGGTTTCGGCCAAACCCAACTCCCATGGAAGTCCAGCATACTTGATACCAGTCCATCGGGAAGCACCAGTACCGCCATCGTGGCCGGAGATCAAGATGTGATCAGCCTTGGCCTTGGCTACACCAGCTGCAACAATGCCGACACCCACCTCGGACACCAGCTTGACAGAGACTCTGGAACGAGGGTTCGAGCACTTCAAGTCATAAATCAATTGCTTCAAGTCCTCGATGGAGTAAATGTCATGATGGGGTGGCGGGGAAATGAGACCCACGCCGGGGGTAGAATGTCTGGTACGAGCGATGGGCTCAGAAACCTTATGGCCGGGAAGTTCACCACCTTCACCAGGCTTCGCACCTTGGGCCATCTTAATCTGAAGTTCATCGGCGTCCGCGAGGTAGTTGGAGGTGACGCCAAAACGACCCGAGGCAATTTGCTTGATGGCCGAGCGCATGGAGTCTCCGTTCTCCATCTTGAGGCTTCGCTCAGGATCTTCACCACCTTCACCAGTGTTCGATTTGCCGCCCAGGCGATTCATGGCGACAGCCAATGTGGAATGCGCCTCCATAGAGATGGAGCCGTAGGACATGGCACCTGTCACGAATCGTCGAACGATCTCGGTCCAAGGCTCAACCTGGTCAATGGGTACTGGCTGGCGCTGGTCGAAATCGAAGTCCAGCATACCGCGAAGTGTGCAGTTCTTGATCTGCTCGTACTCAGAGAGCGAGTAAGCCTCGTAGGACTTATCATTGTGCGTCCTCACAGCATCCTGGATGTTGGCGATACTGACAGGGTCGTTGATGTGGTTTTCGCCACCGTCACGCCAATGGTATTCGCCAGTTTCGGGCAAACCTGGAATGTCCCGAACGTGCCGTGACGGGAAGCCTTGTTCATGGAAAGCGAACGAGTCTTCGGCAATCAATTCGAAAGTCATACCGCGGACACGCGTGGCGGTACCAGCAAAGCACCGATCGACCACTGCGTCATCGATACCCAAGGCTTCGAAAATCTGCGCACCCTTGTAGGATTGGAGAGTCGAGATACCCATCTTACTCATCACCTTGAGTATGCCACCATCACAAGAAGCCTTATAGTTTG